AACGTAACAGAGCAATTGCAAATATACTTCGGAATTACTTTTATTGAAACTGTATTTGTATTTGGATTTTTTTTATTCAATTTGAATTTGAGTAAAATTTAATTCAATGTTGTGTAATAAAAAAAATAAGGGAATAAAATAAAATTGAGTAAAATTTCAATTTAATTCAATTCTGCTCTTGAACTAAATTAACAAGTCATGTCTATTTCCGACATGACCAAAAGGCGACATTTTCTTTGCGAACAAATAGGCCTAACCAAAAGTAATACTCAAATAACTACAAACAACTGAACTAAAAGTACACTTGGTGCACCCGACAGACGGCAGGTGCCGGTTATCTGTGAACAGTCACATTGGGCCGCTACACCCACTACTCCAGCCGGCTTGTTTACCCGACACCGGCAGCCGGCCTTCGCCGAGAGGGTGCCCGGTATCCCTCAACTTGTACATGGCAGCTTGGCAAGTGATTAACTGACCACGACACATGCCGTGCATATGTGAACAGTCCCATATACTTCTTCACCGCATTGCCGGTTAAACGTTAAAAAATGTTTATAATGGAAGGTATTGCTGCACCAAGTCAAGTGAGAACTAATTTGATTTGTACAGTAGGTAAACTGTCAGAGTCTCCATGTGAAAATGTTATACTTTAACACAAGAAAAAAATGTTTATTTTATTTTTGAAAATCTTTCAAATGAATAACTAGAAACATTAAGGTGGCACACAAATAATGAATATAATAAAAATTATTCAATTTGTTCTCATCATTTTTGTTACTTTTTGAAATAGCCTATAAAAAAAAAATTATGCTGTGACCCATTTAAAAAACATGTGGTATCCTTGACAAAGATTTAAGAGTGATTGCTTTAAAGAAGGTAAAAGAAGTTAAAGAACTTAAAGACATAACTTTAGTGCCAGGAAAGCTTTTGTGCAGCAATTGTAGAAAGTTATTGAATGTTGTAAACACTGGTTCAAAAAATTAAGAAAATTCTGCATTTCATGATAGTGACGAAGATATTGACAAAGAGTTTACAAAAAAATTACTACAAATTTACTACAAAAATAGGATGTATTTGGTTTTGTTTTACGTTTAAATCAAGTTGTTTTCTTTTGACTTTGACGTGTAATAAAAATGTTAATACTCCAAACCCCACTCTTATTTTTATAACATTTGAAAGATAATTTTAAACACAAACACACCAATACACACAGACACTGGTCACACTGTTATAAACTCTGGTTACAAACATTGATAGAGTATTAAATATGTCATAAAATTTTATTTTTATTTTTTTAACACATAATTTAATATTGAAGTTTGAACTATAAAATTAATAATACATATTTTTTATTTGTTATTAAGAGTGGTAAACTTATAAAGTTTGCATTAAATGTAATTTTGTAATTTCTTGTAAAGCTATAAAAAGCCTTTCTTTAGGTAAAAGTAATGTAGAATATAGGACGATTTAGTTAGGGCTTTTTATAAGTAAAGATTTAATTCATACAAAAATAACAACTTAAGGACCCAACATTTTGTTTCATATTTTTAGACTTTTAGTCATTTGTACAAACATATATTAAATTGATGAACCTTTTGTATTTATTTAAGTTCATCATACATATTCGGCATCAAACAAAATTTTTAGCTTAATCAAATTTAATTTTTGACTTTCACGTGTGATAACAATGTTAACTCAAAACCCCACTCATGTTATTATACCATTTGAAAGATAATATTATCCTCTTTCCAATGATATATACTTTTATAGGTTTATCTGGAGAGAGATTTTTGCTATCAAACCTTTTGTAACTGAATGTTCCGATTTCGGAAAAATCAAATTATTTGTATTTAGGAATTTTTTTTTAGGTGATAATAGGTAATAGTTATTATTAAAATTGTAGGCTATTACATGATTCTGAATTAAATTTTGGATATATGAGTCAAATTTGAGGCCTCTAGCTTAATAATTGTCCATTCTACATAGAAAGACGAGAATACATGCACGCTCCCCTAGCGTCAAATTGGACCTCGGAAACTAAATTCGCTCAAAACTTCAAATAGCCATATCTCTAAAACCGTTTGACATAATGAACTGAAATTTTGGATTTTATCCTATCTAAATGTCTAAATTAAGTGTACAAATTTTCATCAAAATCTGTGACTAGTGGGTGACAACCCCTGGATGACTTGACATGGAATGGCCCAGGCCTAAAGCCTTTGTAATGTACTAAAATCTTGACGAAATTAAATACATTTTTTGATAACGTTTGATTTAAATTTGTTGTGTGTTTACTTGTGGTTTACCTATCCTTTTATACGAAACTAATACTAAAACAATGATGTTTTGATCCAATGTCCTTTTTTTACAAAATTACGGAATTTTTATTAAAACATCGATGTTTCAGTCCGATTTTCATCAATGTTTAAAGGTCGATGTTTTCCACACATCAATGTTATGGTTCGATGTTTTTCTATCGATGCTCATCCCTAGACTGAACAAGTTTTTGTCCTGTGGTCTTCACACAGGACAAAAACTTGTTCAGTCTAGGGATGAGCATATTAATTTTAAAAATTTTACAATTTTCCCTGACTTATGATAAAATTCCCTGACTTTTTCATCAGTTTTCCAGATAGGTATTTAATAACTTATTCCCTGACATTTCCAGGTTTCCCAGGTCACTAACTTAGCCACCCTGGTTCATACATTTAAATTTAAATGAATATATACACGAATAAATGAGCTGGTGTCACCTGTCTGCCATGTTATCTTATGGGACATCTGATGCTAGACAACAACACAACGTTGCCAACTTTACCTGGCCGTGGCCTGGAGTTAAAGGTGGCCCTGACGGTATCCCACACGACATCTTACTCTACAGTGTTGGCGCAAAATTGCATCATCCAAGCAAGGGAATAGGTTACCGGTACCTAACTTAGCTCATAAGACGATCAAAGAATTTTTTTAAGAAATACTTTAACGTGTTCATGCTTGCTTACAGGTATTATATTTCGTCTATTAGGTATACCTACCTATGTTATTTCTTCTAATAAATCAGTATAGTAAACTTCACAGTTTTACAGTTAATAAATAATCATATTGAACAATTTTCTAGTATAAAGGTATGTTACGAGAGGGCGCTTGCGGAGTTTTGTACCGCAATAATGCAATTATACATATAGGCCTACATGCAAATAAAATATATTTGATAATAACTTAATTATAAATTAAAAATACATTTAAACTTGTCTATAATTTTGTATGTATAAAATATACACGCAGTTTGACAATAGCGCGTGAGGAAATAAGCTCTGTGCTAAGGACTTACGCGATAGGGCGCACATGGAGTAAGCCTCCGCTAACTGACACCGCGTCACTGAATTGTAAGTTAACTGACAACAAAATGAGGAGGAATTTGGGGGTAAAAATAGCTTAGGGGCATTCCCAGGATGAGGTGCGTGAAGTGTAGAGCCGGACACGACTGCCGACACCCATTATGCATATTTATACTAACAAAAACTACAAGTGCGGAGGAAAACTCCGCATGCGCCCGCTCTAGGGTTAACTGGGCTACGCTAATATTGATTGAAACTATCAAACTGAAAATATTGATTTCAATCGATAAGTTAGTTTCAATCAATATTAAGTTACATAATGAAGCCCAGTTAAGAAACTGTACCCCGAATACCTAAGTTAGCCTAGGCTATTTCTAACTTATTCGTTATTCCAAAGTAGGCCCTATGCCATTTTTTACAGTAATATATCTGTGGTTGACATCGATTTTAGGTAACATCCATAAGTTAGGCCTAGTTGACCAATCAATGCTCACCCCAAGCCAAGGCTCCACCTAGGCAACTACCTACTTAACACGTTCGCTGCTGCCCATCAAATGGCATGCGTAGCTCCAGTGCGGCCCAGCCCGCAGCGTCGAACAAACCCGATTGCCGGGCTATTGGCTTTCATATTTCGGTATGACGAATATCAAATAACGTGTGGTGATGTCCTGTTTCATGACAAGAGTCGACATAGTTTGCTAAACACCCACAGTAGATGCCATTATTTTACAATAAAACAACATTAATATAGCACAATATTACAGATAACCCTTAGAGTGCCAGGCGAGAAATAAAAGTAACGCTCAAAAAATGCCGATGATTTTTCCCGAAGGTCGCGCTAAAAATGCCGAGCGCGATCTGGCGATTTTTAGGTTAAAATTTCGTAAAAATCGAATTTTTGATATTTCGACCAACGAAAATCGATGTATCGCATCTAGTAACTTTCGACTCAATGTTAATATATGGGTTAAAAGTATCCGAGTATCCGTTCGGTTGTTATGACAACTGTTCGATCATTACGAAACGTCCGGTCAGCCGGACGTTGGCACTTTTGGCTCGTTCTAAAAACGTCCGGTCGGCCGGACGTTGGCACTCAAAGGGTTAAGAAACGTAATGAGTGAGTCAAAATCCACAAGGTATAGTTTCGGAACGAGTAACGATAATTACAAATGGATTGCACCACAAAACTGCCACTGTCATACACGAAGCACGGACAAAAATACTCCGACCTACACCGGAGTGCGGATGCACTCAAACGGAATAAGTTTGGCGGGTGCACATAACCGCCCGGGCAGCGCGCCGCAGCGTGGCGGAGCTACCGCCCGGGCGGTAACCCGCAGCGAACGTGTTAAGTTAAGGTAGGCCTACCTACTTAAGTTAGCCTATATTGAGAAGGAATGGAATAAGTTATCTTAATTACAAAAATAAGTATAGTAAGTTAAGTTAATGATTTCACTACAAATCTTTGGATAAAATGACATATCATTTGCTACTTAGCATGAGTAACTATGTTCTTGACTTGCTGCTCCCGGCATTGTTTGATATTTTCGGCTTTAAAATATGGCTGAGCAAGTAAGTTTTCCTTACGAGTTCATTTTCATGTAAACTTAGTCCAAACACTAGGCAAGATAAGCTTAATAAAGGAAAATGAATAGGCCTACTTACAGATATTTTGATAGGAAAATCAGCATGTAAACATTCACCACTTCACTGATGCACGAATAGTTTGGAGAATTGCTTCATTCACACGAAAAGAACACGAGACACGAGACACGACAAAAATTCACCCAAATTCAAAATGGCGATTCCTCTAAGTCTATAACGAAACAAAAGGAGATGCGCAAGAGAAGAAAGAAGAAGAAGTGAAGAAGATGATTCCGGATTCCCTCACTTCTCACATGCATTTGGTATTTGCACATCGGTATACAGAGGTAGCCATAGATTAAACTTCCAGTGTTTTATTATCAGAATACTCCCTCAGTGAATGCTTGTCAGTTGAGTCATGTTTTATCTATGGTTTAGCTTAGCTATTTTTACCTAAAAGATAGAAACATAATGCACATAATCATAGAGTACCTGTTTCACAAACCAATTACATTCCAATATCCATATATAAACCCCAAAGTACCTATGAACTTTTGACAAAACTAAAAGCCACACCCCCCATGGTGGAAGGCACACCCCCATAAACTATATACTTAAAATGTTCATAAAGACGAGGAACCTTACGCAAAAAATCCATTATTTCATAAATTGCCCTTTAAGCTCCTTATTCCTATCTTAAGGGAACTTTCCGTATACCTAATGTTAAAAATACCTCAGATGTACTCTTATTTGTTTGTTATTCTTTCAATTTATTACCTTATTATAATCAGATGTGATTATATTATGTTTGTATTACTGTATTCTGTTTTGTTTATTTCAGCTTAACTTAACACTTTTTTCTAATAACCAAAGATTACATATGCTACGCAAAATAGAGGTGGCCGTGGCTTAACCCATCGATCTCTATTACTGCAATTATTATTTTATGTTGGAGTAATAGAGACATAAATTTATTAAAATATTGAAAATAGAACATACAGAATTGAAAATCGAAACAATATGAATTAAAAATTTATATCTGTACATTTTAAGCGGAGTCAATATTTGCATAGCCAAGTAACCAATCTTTCGTAAATACAAAAATACCATAAGCTGCTTCCAAAAAAAACATCTGTTACAACACCACTTGCACGGCCGCCTTTAACTACAGGCCGAGGCCTGGTAGAATTGGCAACGTCACAAGTGGTGTTGTTCAGTGAAATGACCCATAAGATAACGTGGCAGACAGGTGACATCAGCTCGCTAATTCGCACTTTATTGATTTAAATTTAATTTAAGAACATAAATTTATTAAAAATATTGAAAGTAAAACATACACATTTGAAAACCTAAAATATGAATTAAAAATGTATATCTGTACATTTTAAGCGGAGTCAATATTGTCATAGTCCAGTAACCAATCTTTCGTAAATATACAAATACCATAAGCTAATTCCAAACAAAAACAGCTGTTACAACACCACTTGCGACGTTGCCAGTTCAAAGGCCACGGCCTGGAGTTAAAGGCGGCTGTGGTGTGGCTTAACCCACGTCCACCTATAACTACAGGCCGCGGCCTGGTAGAATTGGCAACGTCGCAGGTGGTGTTGTTTAGTGACAGACGTCCCATAAGATATAATGGCAGGCAGGTGACATCAGCTCATTAATTCACACTTTATTGATTTAAACTTAAATTATGAACATAAATTTATTAAAATATTGAAAATAAAACATACAGAATTAAAAACCGAAACAATATCAATTAAAAATCCAGATCTGTACATTTTAAGCAGAATCAATATTGCCATAGTCCAGTAACCAATCTTTCGTAAATACACTTAATACCATTAGCTGCTTCCAAACAAAACAGCTATTACAACACCCCTTGCGACGTTGCCAGTTCGAAGGCCGCGGCCTGGAGTTAAAGGCGGCCGTGCTTACCCCAACTAAAGAAACTCAGCTGGTCTTAGTAAAAAAATATTTGACAGTTGCATGGTTCAATTTAATTTGCTTGCTGTTGCTGAAAGAAAATGGAAAAAACAATGCATTGGCAATATGATTACATGGGCTGCTAGCTCAGCTTCTCACCAAGCTGTCAAAGTTTTAAAATTTAACTCCACCTTAACTCTCAAAACAAAACAAAACACTCAAGTCTCACTCTCTAATTAACTTATCAAACAAACAGCCCTAACAACAACTTTAAAACTTTGATCCAGCCTACGTAAAATCTTAGTATTTTAAGATATTTGAAAGTGACTACTCAATTTGTATAATTTTCCACACAAAAGGTGTACACCTTGTGTTTACTTACCTATGGCAAAAGTGGTTTTCAAATTTGATAAAGTTTTGAGTTAAAGTTAAGTTAAGGGATGAATAGGCTTATTACTTTACTGTTCTGTATAACCTGGTTTTGTACATTTTGAATATCTTAGATTCTTGAGTTTTCCAAAAATGGGAGTTAAGGATTTGTGGAATATTCTGAGTCCAACTTGTGAAAAGAAGTCCCTTTGGGAACTTCAAGGGTTAACAATTGCTATTGACTTGAGCTCTTGGATTGTTGACAGCCAGACTGTAGGAGACAGTTCTGTGATGAATATGTACCTCAGGTATGTAAGTTACCTAAGTTATGATGTCTATGAACTATGAAGAAGTAGCCTAGCTTTTTAAGTCCAACAAACAGTTCTTAGCCTATTCATACGGCAGCATAAACTTGATATCCGACTCGATCCTATTATCACACGATGTACAATCATCGTGCACGATCGTACTTCTAACTTTTTTACTCTACATATGTAGAAGTTTCGGTTTTGCTTAAAGAGTCGATTTGAATAGTACGAATTGTGGAGGTATGCACTATGGATGCGATACTCCCTGGTGTGGATTAACGTCCGCACGGGTGAGTTCTACGACTATCCGCAGTACTATCCTGATAATTAGACCAATTCGTATATTCCAAAGCAAAAATGTGGTTCGGATTCCACTATAAACTGTAGGTCCCTTAGTTGCCATTAGCCTAGCTGTATGGGCTATTAATTAACAGCTGTGTCTGAGGAATAAGTCGGCCTTAGTCACTAACAAGACTACAAGATCGTGCCACTCATCCTACACTCATCTCCATTCATACTTGGCTTAAAATACCTTGTATGGTCGCCATTTCATTAAAAAGTATTGGAGTCCTTGGAGCCTAGACAATCTAACGCATAGGCTAAAACAATTTTTAAAAAACTAGCAAGTTACAAAGAATCAAGAATGTTTATTCATCGTATATCGCTATGTACATTAACTTACATGCAATGGATGAACGTCATTAAACTAACAGTAGCCTAAAGTTTACAGGGAATATAAGAATAAAAACATGCAAAGACTAACTTAGCCTAGAGCAAACATGAAAACACGTGCACTGTGTATACAATACATGCAGTGTGTTTTATAATAAACTTAGCAGGGGCAAGAAAAGAATATATACAATTTAAAATACAATATATCAATATTTTTGTTTCCCTTTACAATCCATTACAAATTGACAACTGATCTTGTTTGGGCTAAAATCTAGTCTATTATGGATTAAAACTGTTCTAAGCTAACCTGATATAACCAACCAAACTTGCTGTACCATTTTCAAAATTCCGTTTGATTACAGAAAAGGCATGTGGGGATTGGGGAATATTAAACGGAATTTTTAAATGTTACAGCAAGTTTTGTTAGGTTAGTTTGGAACAGATTATTTCAATTTTTTTTATAGCCTACTGAACAATATTTATTTATCGTAGTTGTCAGCTGATAGGTTTAAATTCGTTAATATCGATATATCGATTGAAATTCATCGATAATAATGAATGTTCCCTTTAATAAGAAAGTACCGGTACCATTAAAACTAAATAGTGTAGCTTACAGTCAAAACATGTTGATTTACAGGAACTTATTTTTCCGCACTTCATATCTATTATTGCTTGGAGTTAAACCTATATTTATTATGGAAGGAAAAGCTCCTGCTCTCAAACATGATACTATTGCCCGAAGAAATCAAGCATCAAAAGATAATAAAGCACCTTCAAATAGTAAAAATGGCAATAGAGGAAGACTTAACTGCTTGCAGAAAAAGGTAGGCTAAAAATCTCTGAATTTCTATCTGAATACTTAGTCTAAATTACACTGCAGTGAAATAAAGCAATATAGGTAAGCTTAGTTTTGAAACATTTCCCATTTAAAGTAGTAAAAGATGTTTTTTCTGGACTGGTAATCAAATTATGGTGTAGGCCTAGCAAATGGCCCAAAGGGATGTAGGCCTAATATTTAATTTTCGAGATGGGTACCATCTACATTAGTAAGATATACAATGAGTGGGTACAGTACAGGGTTGCCACCTCAAGGTTGGGGAAAATCGGGAAATTGCCCCCCTACCCCGAATTAACATAGGCTTATATACGTGCATAAGGAACCAAAATCGGGATGGGTGGCAACCCTGGTACAGTACCTGTTAGTATTATAGATACAAAGACATAGGTACAGTACTAATTTGAGACACAACACGCAGGATTAGACATTTTTTACTACGTGACTGGCAGGAGTTTATGTTTAGCCATACTCTCTAGGCTATAGACAATTGAGTCTAGACAGATCTCTCACCAATCGTGTCGTAAAAAAATCTCTAGTCATGTGTTTGTGTCATTGTTTTTTTTTAATAGGCTATGTGTAAAATAAAACCACCTTCGGATGAAGAAAACCTATTCTTATAACGCCTAATAAATAATGGTTCCATGGTGAGCCGAAACTAGTTGACACAGCAACCTCTTAGATTACTGCTTATACAGATGTATTTAAACCACAGTATTGATGTAGTCTATATTGTAAGACCTAGATCCAAGAATGTACTTTTCTTGGATCTAGGTCTTAGACTACCTACAGAAATACTGTGGTTTAAATATATTATAGTACAGTAGGCCTATATTATAATATTTAAGTTTGGCTAGCCTAAATGTCTGTGTATGTAACACGACTATTACTTAGTGTGTTACAGTAAAATAAACATAGAACGTTCTAAACACTGCCTATAATGCTATCCTGTTGGAAAATTAATACATTTTATATATTTATACATCATTTACATTGAATTTCCATTGCAGTGTGAAGATTTGCTGCTAAGTTTAGGTGTGAAGTGTTACAAAAGTGATGGAGAAGCTGAGGCTCTTTGCTCTAGACTCAATGAAGTAGGGGTAAGTGTTCAAATACTTACAAATCATATACACACCTGTGTCACTTAAAAAATTATTTTGAATCGTTAGAAGTGAGTTTCTTACTTTGTACTGAGATATAAAATATGTCAAGAGTCCAATTTCAGTTTGTCTGAACAGCTTAAATTTTTAGAAATAATAGTTTTCCACACATAAATTTGTTTATGAAAATTTAGTGTATGCTTTTATAACAAATTTTAATATTATAAAGGCTTAGAAAATAGGAAATTTTAGTCTTATAATGTTTGTAGGGTCACAAAAAAATCAGTCCTTGCAGGTGATTACCTGGCTCAGTAGTTATAGTGATTGCATTGTAAGTTAATTAGGTCTCTAGTTCAATCCCGAAAAAAGTTTGTGGTTTAAAAAAAAAACCTTTGAAAGTATGGTTTTTTTATGTCTTAACACCTATTTTCAATACTAGGCTAACTGTTCTCCAAACCAAATTTAACCTGTTACTAATTGAAAACCATATTATTCCCTTTAGAAATATTGAAAACAAACTTTCTATCACTACTTTGTTTCCTGTACTGTATGTAGGCTACCATTTCCTTGGTTTCAAAATAAAAGGTAAATTGATTTAAACTCTCTTAAACAATTTCAGATTGTGGATGCGGTAATTTCCCAAGACAGCGATTGTTTTCTGTACGGAGCTAAAGTCGTGCTTAGGAACTTCACCATGAGCCCAGCCTATACTTGTGACATGTACACGATGAAAAATATAGAAGAAAAATTGTCGCTTGGTCGTCAAAAGCTGCTCGCTCTCTCACTTATATGCGGTTGTGACTACGAGTCAGGAGTACATGGCGTCGGTAAACAATCTGCTTTGAAATTCCTTGGGACGTTGCAAGATGATCAAGTCCTTGACAGGTAAATAATATTCAGATTTGAATTTTGGTTTGAAACTGATAACTGAACAAAAGTACCTATATTTCATCACCACACAAGCTCAAGTTTCACTTGGAAAATAAGCGAGGGTTGAAAAGACACTCTTTGTCCATGTAATGAACTATATTTTTGTCATATTTCACCGTTGTTCAACAAACTAAGCTAGGGAAAAATGTTTTTTGTGTAAAGATAACCTCTCAAAACAACTTTCAACTTGTTTTAACTTTTGCTATTGAAAGTAGGTAGCGTTAATACGATTGTGGTAGCATACATTATAGGCCTCCTATCAATATGTCAAACAATTGACAAGAATGCAACAATAAGCTTCAAACAATTAAATAAATTGATACATAATTTTGATACATGCAATTGCTTACAATCAAAATTAACAAAAGCTGAATTTTACTCCCTAGGGCTACTTAAGGCCTGCTACGCATGTATTAAAAACGGCTGTTTTGCTTCAGTATGAAAAACATGGTTTATAGGTCTATCACATTTTTATGTATAAAATAGTTTATAACATGTAGGTCTATGTACCAATAGGGGCAACCTAACCTACCAAACTTGCTGTAACATATTAATATTCTGTATGATATTCCCCACATGCCTTTTCTGTTATAAAACGGAATTACTCAAATTAAAATTACAAATATACAATTACATAGCATCACATTTTGCTGGGGGGGGGGGGTTAGTATTCCAGTCGCGGACACGGCTCCTATATTGGTTAGTTGGCAGATTTTGTGACGTTACTTTTCACCTGGGGGAGTGGTTTTCCAGGGGGTAGTATTCCGCATCCCCCCTTATTTAGATACGGGCAAGTACCAAACGTAAGAGATTGTGTCATTTGTTGTTTACATGCTAATTATAGTATTTTGTTCTAGTAAAATATAGTTAGAGAATATATTTTCAAGCAAGAGAGAACTACCTTGGATCACCTGGACCCAGAGTGTAGTTTTTAGCTCAGCTATTGATTAATTTTAAGTGATTTGTGATCATTTTCAGATTAAGGTCCTGGAGAAATGATGACTTCTTTGACAACCTTTCACAACTGTCCGTGTGAGTAATCTCTCTGTCAATTTTTGTATGGTTAGATTTCTAAAAAAAATCATTAATTCTTCTTTGTTAGGGTCACAATAAAACCTATATGAAAATAGCAATTATAATGTTTCAGTTTTTGTTCCTAAGTTTGCAAAATAAATATGTTTATCATAGTTTTTGTATATTTAGATCACTTTGTCTAGTATGTTTTGAAAGTCATGAAATTAAACTGTATGTTTCCTTTCGTTTCAGATTTATTTGATATTTAAATATGCTAAATGAACATTATTCATCCTCTAATGAAAAACTCTCATCCATCAATTTAAAGAAAAGATTTCCTAGTAGGCCTAAAGAATACCCCAATAAAATAAATGTATAATAAAACTATTATATTTCTGACGCTAAATATTTGTTATTTCCTTCTAGAGAAGAGAAGGTGGAATATAACATTCGCAAGAAAGCCATTGCGGATCCAAGTTTCCCATCTGAGGAAGTAATCGCTGAGTTTTTAGAAGCCAAGTCCATGGATTTGCCATGTTTTGTTTGGCTTAAACCGTCCTTAGGCAGTTTTGTTGTAAGTTTTCAATTTGTTTGTGAAAATAACCATATGTTACTGTTGAGTTCAGCAAAGATTACATACAATTTCATCTTGTGCCACTGCCGATTGGCATAGATCAGTTCTCATTTTCAAGTCATATGATTAAGGTTGAAATCGCCAATTTTAAATATTTTAGCGGCCCAACAACGCTGTATGATTAAAAATGGGTAAATGAAGCTCCATTGGTAATTTCATTTTAAATCATCCAGAAGTCCAGAAGATTAACTCTGGTAAATTAATAGTTGCTTGACCATAGCAAATATTTTAAATTTTTTGGACATTTATTTATACATATTTCAATAAAACAACAAAATATATTCCTGTATTTTTTTAATCTTGCCATTCTCAATAGTTGACCATTTTTTTGGTTACCCTCCCAATAGGTCTTTCTGCCAATTAAGTTAATCTTTTTTTCCTTGTAGCCATTAGCCTTACTGTAAACGTGAACCTTCATATCTCACAATTGGAATTTAGAACACATAAGAAGTTTAAAATTAATTTTGATCCTTCATTATGATATAAATTGTTAGTCATCTCAATTATTGCAAACCGATTCATCAGTGAAGTGTATTATTAAAGACTCGATTGATGTGTCGATCTTATTTCAAACAGGGTATAGCGGACCGTTTGCTGGCTTGGGACGATGACTACATAACCAGCAAGTTCTTGCCACTGGTCACCAGATGGCATTTGCAGCACGAAGGCTCCACCTGTGGTCTGAAGCTAGAGACGATCATCAAGAAGCGATCTGTGAGAGGAGTCCCCTCGTATGAGCTACGATGGCAGCACGATGCCTTGGGGGAAGTGACGACGGTGGAGCCGATAGAACTTGTGGTCAAAGTGTACTCGGAACTTCACCAGGAATATGTCAGGTCCAAGGAAAAACCCAAAAAAGGTGAATATAGCTTATTGCCTTTATTTTATTGTGTATACCCCAATGTAATTTTTAATGGATACAAAAAAAATGCTTGTGAGGGAAATGGGTTCAATTCAAATATATTAGTTTTATTCAATCTGTGTTTTTCATAAAGTTTGTAGTTATGTGTCAAAACTGAATCTCAAAAACTATCAAAATTTGAAAAAGGTTGGGTTTTGAATTTAAGTCTCCTGTCAAGAGAACAAGCCTTCCGTCATCTCGTCGTCTCTCCTCACTGGTGACGTGGATACAAACATTAATTTGATTTCTCGCATTCTGCTCTCAAAACATTGCGCAATTCTGTCAAAGTACTTCATTTATGTAAAGGGATATTACTTCGAGTTCATTGTAAGCTTTTGTGTAGTTGGTTGTCTTTGTATTTTGATGCCACCAAATTATGAGCGATTCATTTAGGGATTCTCCATAAAATCTTAACATCTTTAACATTTAGAGAATCATTAACATAGTGGAGCCCAACACTAATATTAGTATTACAATTTATGCAAGATTCTATTGCTTTTAATTGACGGAATTTAATGAAAGTTTTATTTTTTTTTATTGTTATGACCTTTTAATTGTAGCACCTTAGTTAAAAATTCACAACATTAATAGTACAAATCTAGACGGATAGAATATATAAAATCTTGCAGGATTGTTATACTGTATTAACATTGTTGGAATCTACTATATTATTTTAATCCAAAGGCCATTCTATCACTTTTTTTTCCGAAAATAAAATAAGTAGATAAACCAAGATTGTTGCAGTGAGTATTTAAAATGTGTTTATTTTGTTTACCAGGTAAAGGGAGGAAAAAGCAAACACAACTGTGTTCCAATGAAGAGATGGAAGACGTTGAAAATATGCTGGGAAAACTAGATATAAGTGGACAGAAGGTAAAACAACCTAACAAAAAAAGAACTAAAAACAAAACTATCAAAGGCCTGCAAACAATGGATCGATTTTTACTCAAAGATGTTGGCAACAAAATGACAGAAGACGAAACAAACTCGACACAAAATTTGATATCTCACAGTACGCCGGTGGGAACCCCTACTAAAATAATTGATTTGTCAAAATCTTACCACTACTTATCTGATGACAGTAATGTTGAATCCCCGAGGAGAAAAAATAATTGTGGAAACATTGAAAAACCAGAAGAAGAGATAGAACTACCCACTTTAGATTTTATTTCTTTTAACGATTCCAAATTTGACAATTCAGAGCTTAATTTGTCTAACATAGTGGATTCTATTGTGGCTCGAACTAGCAACAATCCGGCAGTTAAGATTTGGGCTGAAAAAATGAATTAGGAACAACCTTGATGTATTGATGATAGCATTTTGACAAAATGTATTCATTATTATGTAATTTATTGTAATTACTTTTTATTAACTTTTTTATACTTTTATAAATAAATGTTTGAAAATTTTAAAGCTTTATCTTTTCCAATATCCAAGAATTATATTAAATTTGAAATAACATTTCTGGTGTGTGTGTATCAAAGTGTTACGGTTCTACTTGTGAAAAATTTACCACCGTAATAAGCTACACCTGCCCGTGATACCTTGTTACTGGTTGACATTCTGAGTTTAGTACCTAAATAATTAAATAATTTTAATTGAAATGGCGACCGGTACCGTACTGTGTTCTGTATAAAAAGTATTAGCGATCTTCTAAGTAAACTTCTCCCAATTGTTTTTATGTCCCAATTATTTTTGTTTTTCACAACCGATACAGACAACTTGGTCAGAGATATTAAATATTAGGTTGTTAACGCACACACATTTAATATGTGCCTAGAAGAGTTAAAAAAAAATTGGGTTTAGGCAATATCAACTGATATTCATTCAGGAACTTTCCTCAGAATAAATACTAAGTACATTAAAACACAACGGTAAAGAATCTAAAAAAAAACCATCAAACTAGTTTAGGGTTTATAAGTAACAGTTGTGGTCTTAAACAGCAAAATAACCTTTTATTTACAGATAAGAATCAATATGTACAATCAAACTAATGTAGCCTGACACAAACTTAAAACTAATTAACGTAATTGGTTATAGGAGTCAATCTCAATTTTTAGATCCTAGTTTACTAGTTTAACTTCGATTACAGTGCTAGAAACAGCTTAAGTAATTATGTTATCCAATCAATGGTTTTCTGCTCATATAAATACCATTAAAAAACTTATCAAAGGAATGATCTTTAGTATTTGTTTGATAAATATGTTATAGAACATTCTTATTTATCATTTAGTGGCTAAAAAACTGATAGAAATTCATAAAAAATCAGTTCAAAATTACAGTAACAATTGGAAATATAATTTGCTTTTGAATTATTTAACTAATTTATCAAATTATTTAATTTATAAAAAAACTGATTGTTAAAAGAGTAATATACAGGGTGACACAAAGGATTGTTGTTGCACGTGGTAGAAAGATTGAAGTTATGTCATTACCTTCAGTGAGGCTTGCCATTTTTGTTGAAATGGCTCAGTGGACCCTAGACCATCGCGTTTTCGCATACGATACTTTGGTCCGAAATGGCGAATCCGTCGTCAAATCCAGCGGGAATTTAGTCGACATTTTAATATTGAACGCCATGGAACGGTTCGAAGCCGAAATACGCTATTAAGATGGGTTTCAGGGTTCCGAACAACTGGGAATATAACAAGAAAGAAACTACCAGGCCTTGTTAGAACTTCGAGAACACCCGAAAACATCGCCAGAGTGAGAGCAGTATTGAATGAATGTTTCCTAACAAGGTGATTTCTCGCTTTGGTGACATGCCGTGGCCGCCAAGATCATGTGGCTTGTCCACTAGTGATTATATTCTTTGGGGGTTTCTTAAGGAGCGTGTTCATGCTCACAAACCACGCACTCTAGAGGATTTGAGCACTCTAGAGGATTTGAAGTTTGCAATCACAGAAGATATCAATGGCATTGAACCTCCTGACCCGAGTTTCAGAGGATTTTCAGACCAGAATGAACATTGTAGATAAGTACATGGCTGCCGTATGCATGACGTCATTTTCAAAAAATGACGGTTTTGTAACAAATGGCAAATGTTTACCTCACTATGTACAGTATTAAAACCAGTTTATTCCTTTTAACGTTTTAACTACTGTGTACTACTTATTTAAAAAACGTCCGGTTCCTTTGTGTCACCCTGTATATATATCTAGGAAATTAATAACACAACATACAATAACTATTTGATCAAGTAGTCCTAATCACTAAAATATAACAAAACAAGTCAGACGAACAAAAACTTATCAAGCAACAAGCAAACAAGATACAAATCTATTTTTGTCTTAAACTTATCAATGTTTTCATTCTCTTAAAACAATGGAGATAAATAATACATTCAAAACAAAAAAGAAGACATGAATAAAAAAATCTTTATTCCCTGATACGTTCCCTGGTTTACAGTATGTTGTAGCATGATGTAATCATGTTAAACAACATTAGTACAACCTACGAAAGTAGTAATTACATTTAAAATACAAACAAATCTAAATGTTACTAAATTATGTTTATAATCAAAAAATTCTTTCCAACTTTTAGCAGACTAAAAGATTGTAAAAACTTTAAATGTGCAAACAATGTAACCAATAGCTACAACACAAGTTAATCAAGCTTTTTGTCATGGTATCTTGGAGAATGGTTATCTCAATTTTGAAATACTACCTAAAAATAGCATTCCATAAAGCAGATTTTTAATCCTTAATAAGGTGGTTTGTGAATTATCAGTTCACATTTGTGTTATTTGTGACTAAATGCAAGTTTCTTCGTCCATCAATTAAATAACAAACATAAAAATGTGAGTGTTAGTGTTTTGTTATGATATTATATTTTTGCTGAAATAGCAGCCTTTGAATTAGTCTGTAATATTAATATTATAACTATTTGCTTGCCATAAAATCAATACTTAGAAGTAATCCTCTGACGACTTATTTACGACTCAACTTTCACACACCATACAGCCACTTACAGACTCAGTATTTACATTTAAGAATCAATACTGCACTTTCCTCGTTAGTGTTCTGGGATCTCCACTTGCTGCATTGGCCTCAAATCGGGTGAAACCTAAAAAGAGAATATTGCGTTCAAAAATTAATTATACTTGTTCCACTAATCAGAATCGACTGTTGGTTCTCTTTTAAAGTTGTCAAAAAGTGAGAAAAACGCAATCGCAAGTAATTTGATGATGGCAGGAGACAGTCACGGAAACTTTCAGCATTGCAGGAGAGGATCATAGGGTTTTTGTGATCGAGGGACCTATGAGGATTTAAAATACACTTTTAATCTTTTTATGCAATTGTACTGCATTTCCACCTGATTGAAAGAATTTTGTAACCACATTAGCAGGACTCTTGTTTATACATATTTGTACTGTCTTTAAATACCATATTTAATTGTAATATTTATCAGCTGACTTTTTGTTTGTTTTTGTTTATGTGATGAGTTTTTGGAAATTGGTATTAAAACAGGGTTGATCTTATCTTGGTTTTATTTTATCTTCAAACAACTTACAATGGCGACGAGGATGAGGAAGAACGGTAGAAAACATCAGGAACTAGAGGAGGAACGCATAGCGATACCGAACAAACCAATGTTTTGTTCTAATTTTGATAAATTCGATGAAGACAATGAGACATGGACATCCTACATGGTGAGAATAGATAATTTTTTTGACTTAAATGAAATCACATCAGAAGTAAAGAAAAAGCAGTATCTGATAAATTTGTTAACACCTAAAGTATTCCATGATCTAAGGATTAGCCTAAGCCCATCTAACACAGAAGATAAAAGTTACAATGAATTGTGTGAAACTTTACAAATATTACTTGAGCCTAAAGGTAGTATTATCGCGGAGCAACACAAATTCACTAAACGAGTCCAGAAACCTTGTGAATCTGTGGGTAGTTTTGCCAAAGACCTAAAAAACTTAGCCAGTAAATGTGATTTCAAATGTCCACAATGTTTATCTTCGACAACTGACGTCCACTTGCGGCAGCAGTTTATTTCGGGGCTTCATGATGAAAAGTTGTTGTCAAGATTAATGGAAATTCATGAAAATAAAAACTTTAACCAGTGTATTGAAATAGCTAGTAACTTTGAACAGATCAAAAGTGAAACTGCAAAAATCCAAGAATCAAATTTGTATTCAAAAGTGGAAGAACAATTTCAGATTCAAGGAAGGAGGAACACTGGATATTCGCAAGGAAGAAAGGGTACTACAGCTTGTTTCAGGTGTGGAGGAAACCATCACGTTAGTATCTGTGAAATTCCTAAAGACATAAATTGTTGGAATTGCGACAGAAAGGGACATCTCAGCAAAGTTTGTTGGAGAAAGAAGCAAAACATGCTACAAACTGACGACGCTTCACCAGATAATGAATATGACGATGAGGGTGAGTGTCAAAATGTACCATTCATGTCTATGTTATCCATTGTAGATAGGCAGAAAAAAAGTAGTAAACTATCTAAACTGTGTGATAGTATTTATCAACCAGAAGCTGTCAACAGGCCGAGGAAAATTATGTTAGAATGCACCATTGATGACAAGCGTAACTATTTTGAGTTGGATACTGGTGCTGCGGTCAGTACAATACCTTTACATCTGTTTCGAAAATTATTTCCAGAAAAGATTCTAAATAGAACAAGAATACGGTTAGAGACATATACAGGAGAAATGATTCGCCCCGTAGGTTTTGCAACAGTCAAAATTTGTTATAAAGATCAGATGACTGTGGGCAACCTATACGTTATTCGGGGAAATGTAGACAGTGTATTTGGAAGGGAATGGTTGAAACTATTCAACATTGAGCTTCAGAAAGAGAATGACCACAGAACTAAGAAGGATGGAAACATAGTGGAATACAATAAGTCATTGACAGGAGGCCGGTACCATGATAGCAAGGGATTTAATCACCCGGCACTCGACCAGATATCCAAAGAGCCTGAGACTCGATTGGCCACCAAGAGACAGGCGAGAGATGAAGCTAGAGAAATCAGGACGAAGGAACTAGAAAGTCGCCAGCTTTACAGCAAATATAACTTTAAAAACCACGATGTATACTCCACTCCAAATAGAGCTAGCTCTGCCACCAATAGTAGATCTCAGCTGTGCTCAAAGAACAGCTATAAATCGTCAAATTGTACTTCTGAGGACTCTATGGAGGAGGTCAACAGCATGCAAGTTGCCAGTATTGATCCAAGGGAATGTGAGGAGAAGTTCCGCAAAGCTGTGGTAACCAAAGCACATCTGGACAGTGTGAAGAAGGCTAGAGTAGAGTACCAGAGTGATATGTCCAAGGAAAAATACAAGGATTTTGAGAAACATCTTCAAGTGTTGAAAGAACACAAGGATACCAAACCTCTGAAGAAAGTTCAAGAACAACTAGGTGAAGAGCAGAAAACTCTAGAAGAACTAGAAGGTGTCCTACAACATAAATATGGGTCTGTAGATATTTCATTGAAGCGAGTCCTAGAAGAATGTAATGGGTTGTTGGATGAGCTACGAGGACTCAAGTTAGAGTTAATGAAAGGGAGAGCTGCATGAGTTCTACACCGATGACAGGGACGATATACAACAAAATAATTAATAGAGCTCAGGTTAATTTTAAGGGGGAAGTGTTGTACTGTCTTTAAATACCATATTTAATTGTAATATTTATCAGCTGACTTTTTGTTTGTTTTTGTTTATGTGATGAGTTTTTGGAAATTGGTATTAAAACAGGGTTGATCTTATCTTGGTTTTATTTTATCTTCAAACAACTTACAATATTACAACGGGTGTTTTTTAAAGTATATAATAAAAAGTTTGTAAGAACGTAACGTTAACTATTCTAAACAGAAAGAATATAACTTTAAGTTTGAATTTGAAACTTAAAAAAAACGTATTCACTATATGGGAAATTTGCTAAAACAGTATTTGGAGTTATGAAAAGTAAGCAAAAAAAATGAAGTAGAATTTGAAAAAATAGGTAGGCATACCTGAAATTCGCATCCTGTACTCTGAACTATTTCTGCAACTTCAACTCCTTCGGCTAACTCTGTTAGTGTTAGGCCACTTTCAGGGTCAACCTCAAACACACACTGAAGACAAAAATAATCAGAAATAAGCGGTCAATACTATCTGGCAAAAAAACAGGGAGACAAAAATGATTACTTATATTTAATTTAAAGAATAGACTAGTGGTTAGTTAAGAATAACACCGAAGAGTGATATAGGTAGTTCAGCTTACTTGAGAAAATTGGAGTCCAGGGGCTAATAGACCCTCAAATAATATCACGAAACATAACACTGATATTTAGTCTTAACGGAATACTTCTGAGAGTTCATCAAAGATGGATCTATTTTTTAAACTTATTATTTTTTTTATTTACTCTCTGAAGTCTAAAATTTGTTTAACTATAGTCTAACCTGGGATTATTTTTCACATTATTTCAGGCTAAGCCTAGGGGTGGCGGCATTATCACTTAGATCAAATCCATTGGTGATTGGCGGGATTTAAACCAGAATGCTGATACCGTTTATTTGATCTTTTATTGGTGTATGTATTAGCATCTAAACCCTTTTTTCCTCAGGTAACAGTTGAACACTATCCCTTTACAAAAATAAAAACAAGTTTCAGTTTGTCTAGAGTGTAACTGACCATTAGACTGTCAACTTATCATCTCAACAATACCTTTTCCGTGATGATGGTGTTGACACAGTTTTTGCCGGTGAGTGGAAGATCGCAGTTGGAAACTATTTTGTGTTCTCCGTTTTTAGCGACGTGTTCCATCGTGACTACTACCTTGGTGTGGGGAGACGACACAAGGTCCATCGCACCTCCCATACCTTTTACTTTCTTGCCCTGGAAATAAAAATTGAATGATATAATGGGGTTATGCATACAATATTGCATTTTTGCTCGGGTTACCCATATTGTGCTATCTGTGATGGCAATTGGTTATTTCCTACTTGATGTTCACTCAAGAGCAGGATAAGAGGGTTTGCAAAAAGAAATTTTCAAAGCCTATCCAAGGTGAGAAATCAGATGCAAAATAGTTGAAGTAGTTATGAGAAAGAGTAGTAAATTGTTAGGAAAATGGAATTGATGGTGATAGAGAAGCTGAGAACAAGAGGGATGCCTAAATGAAGATGGACAGATAAAGAGGAATGTGGAGAAGGAGATAGCATATCTGAGGAAGAAGAGCTATGAAATGATAGTTCTTGCTTTAGATGTATGTTGTCCACTGTAAAAACATTTAAACTGTTTTTTTGATTGTTTATAGCCACAATCACATTCAAATATTTTTATTTATGTAATTTTACTATGGTACCTGTTACTAAGTCATTTTGTAACAGAAAAATGGATTTAAACTAGTTTGGAAAAAGTAAATAGACTAATACAAGAAGGATTGACACTGAATTAGTTTCTTGTCTTTAATTGGACTACACTGAAGTTTTAATTAAACGACTCACGGGAATCATCCAGTTGGCAAGATCTCCGTACTGTGATACTTGCATGGCTCCCAACATTGTAAGGTCTATATGGCCACTGAAACATAAACACCAAACTTGCAGTGTATTTATTTAGCCTGTACTTTAGTAGTTATCAACAACACTAAATCAGGTTAAATCGGTCAAGTGTTCTTTGTCGATTAATCTTAATGTAATCCTATATTCTTGAGCAATGTTTCTTGTATGTATGTATGCTTGCACAAAGATTTCAAAAACAGCTTCAACGATTTTCTTTATTGTTGTAAATGGATCTCCATTAAAAATCAAAATTTAGAAAAAAATTAGAAATTTCCTAGGGATACCATAGATTAGTGGTACTCACATAACAAATTTCATCAAAATCGGACTATGGTTTTGTGGTCTGTAGCCCTGTCTATACACATTCACCCCTCAGACATCACTTCAAAAAACACTTAACACATCAAATACGGATATTTCTACCCAAAACTCAAGACTCAAAAACATTGACGAAAACAATACTATATACTATGTATAGGGGGAAGAAATAAAATGATTCCACTCACCCTCGGATCATGGCGAAGCTGTCATCACTGCTGAAGAAGCTTGCTCCAGGCCTTACTGTAACTGTCTCCTTGCCCGCGTTGATGAGATCAGCATCCACCTCCGCCTTGGAGCCCGGGTATGCCCCCAGACCCAGGATGCCGTTCTCTGATTGGAGAGTCACACTGACACCTGGAGGGATGAAGTTGCTGGCCAACATTGGGATACCAATTCCCAAGTTGGCTGGAGGGAGTTAAGAAAAACAACATTTTTTCTCAGTGATGAAACAGTTTTCTTAGACATTTGTCAGTTGCATGTTGAAACCAAATAGAGCCTTAAGCGTATTCTAAGTAGAATCAAGACTAAAAGGTTTAGAAATTCTGTAATTTATCAAGTCAATTAAAATGGTGAGTAGTGAGGGTGGTGCGAGAGGAACAGACACTTCACCTACTCTAAATAAATATGTATGCAAACTAGAACCAACGGCAGTTTTTTTAGATGTCCATCCAAAATAACAAAGGGTTGGTGATGAGAAACAGTTTTAACGCTAATGCCAATGCGCATCCTGCTCGCTACTCCAAATGATTCTAGCTATAGGTACCTTAAACGGTGTAAGTAGTATGACTAGTAGTATTAGTCATGTAAATCATTAGTGTTGACAAAGGATACCATACATGCCGTTCTTGAACTCAAGAGCTGCTCGTCGGATAATTCTCTCTCTCGCTTCGGCTGCTGGAGTGGTAGAAACTGCTGACGCTACAGAACTTTCACCCTTCGCTACCTTGACTTTCTGAAAATCAAACATTTTACTCAGAATTTAATTAAGTTTAAATCCACAATTGGTAACACAAGGTTAAATCTCTAGTCTTATCATCAAAACTGTTTATGTTTTTAAATCATGAGTTTATCAATTACTGTTTGTTTATTAGGCAACAAAGAAATAATGTGAAGTGTTCAAAACCAAAATCTACGTACCAGTGAGTAAATGTAACAGCAAAAAGCTCCCTCTTCCCGAGTTGAAAATTCTGTAAGTGAAAGTGAAATAATCTAATGTTTAGAGTATAGTGTAAAGTGTTGTGTTTCTTGTAACAGTTTGGACTCTTTCCCATTCAAGTAAACCTGCTATTATCATTAAAATTCCTAAAAACCTATACCCTTGTGCTCTAAAGTCTATGTTACATCCTCAACTATGTTAAAAAATCTTATTTAGATTGAAGATAGAAACAACTTTCCTCTGAAATTTGAACATGTTAAAACTACAAGATTTTTACTATGACCTTCTATGTTACAGAATAAATCAAAATAATTCCAGTTTTAACCATCTTATGGGGATAATAATGTACATTATTTATTGTCAAATTATTACATTGTCTGACCATTTATAAATTTTGATGCAAAAAATGTCGCATAAAAAAAAACTCAACAGTTCAGTTGGAAACGTACATAAAATTAAGAAAATAATCAGTTAAACTAAGCGGCCGTGAGTTATTTACCTCAACCCTCTTCTCGTATTTTTCCCCGACGACTATCCGGTCCACAAACACACCCGGAAGATGTACATTGTCTGGGTCGAGACTCCCCGTTTCCACAAGCTCTTCTACCTCCACAATCGTGGTTTTAGCTGCCTTACCCATTGGCTGGTTGAAGTTTCGAGCTGCTTTTCTGCAAGTAACATAAAAATGTTCAACAAATCAAGGTATACATGGATGATTTGACAATGCAACATAAACTGTACTGCGCCTGGACAGTGTAATTATTCAAAATTCGTCTGACTGGATTGTAAACCTACAGTTCAAAAAGTATGTATATAAAATATAAAACTTACCTAAATATTAGGTTACCCTCCCTATCTGCCTTCCAGGCTTTGATGAAAGCGTAATCTCCGACGATAGCTCGCTCCATGACATATTCTCTGCCCTCGAACACCTGCGTAGGTTTGGGTTCACTAGCCAACTCCACATTCCCTGCACCGTCATACTTGATAGGAACTCCTCCTTCTTGAATAATAGTGCCGAACGCGGTCGGGGTAAAGAACGCGGGAATACCAGCACCTCCGGCTCTAATACGTTCTGCGATTGTTCCCTGCAATAGGATGAGAAAAAAGTATTAGTCCAATAGGATTCAGCAGTATTAAAAAGGGAATTCCTAAATGTTACTTGATCAAGAGTGACGGATTTTATGAAAATGTAAATTTTTATGTCCTGCAGTGGATTGTAAAACTAGGTAAATTATTCAAATCTATCTATTTTCAAGTTATAAAAATGTCTTCTGAGGTTGCTCGTTAGAGTCTGTGATATTTGGATTACAGGTAATTCTTGCTAAAGCAATGCCAAAAGCGATACACAACATAAAGAGAGACTAAACACTGCCGAATCCCGATTAACCGAGGTTGTTGGGACCGAGACTACCTTAGTTACCAAGAATCTCGGATAACACGGAGGTCACATAGATTTTGAGGTTAGGGTTGCGGTACCTTATTTAGTCCTCACCCTAACTTGAGGCAGCCCAAGGCCGCACTAGATAGACGGCGTGTGGCCTTGGGCTGCCTCAAGTTAGGGTGGCGAGGACTATATGAAGTCAAATACTCGTAAAATATATCTTAAAGCAACACATAGTGAATAAAAAATTGTAATATCTAATTTTGATGCTAACCTTATTCCCAATAGGTAACATATTATTAAAAAAAATAATAATACAAACTAAAAAATAATAATAAACTAATTCAACACTTCTTCAACGTCTTGAAAAGCTTCAAACACAGTATTATTATAATTATTATAAACCTATAAACTACCTACATGTTTAAAACAAAACACTAATGCGAAAGAATCTCTCTAGTTTAAAAAGCATAAAATAACATTTTGTTTAAGTTAGACCTGATCTATAACTTGATACAATCATGTCCAATCAAAACATTGCAATAAAGAAGACTGACAGTGGCTATTGTTTATGTTTTGCAGACGGCTCGTCCAGTCCAGTTTGCCGTCGGTAGCCGGCCAACCTAGTACTATACCGTATCATTTTAATTGTTGAGCTTATCGGGGTTAATTTTTTATGTGAAAATAATACTTTTTGGTTATACTAGGTACCGGTACTGTGTTTGTTTCCATAGATCGCAAATTAATTGCTATTTTTAATTTTTCTTTGAATAGAAACATAATTAGTAAATAATGTGTTTTTCTACTGAAAATGAAAATATATATTTAGGAAAAAAATGACCTCGGATAACCCGAGGGCTCAAATAACCTGGGATCCGATAATCGGGAGAGTAGCCTACTGTAGCCTATTACAGTAATGGACTACTGATGACAGAGAGAAATGAATTATGCAATCACTTTTAATATAACTTACATACTTATTTAGTGCATTTCAATACCCCTCACACCAGCCATTTTCTGCAGATATAGAAAAAAGAACCACTGAAATTCCTCCCTTTCTTTGTAATCACTTATATGCAAAAACGTGTAAGATAGGTCATAGCTAGGATTGTGTAGAATTTTGCTACATCACATACCGCTGCTCACTAGTCAATGTCAATAGCTAATGGCAAAAGTTTGCATCAATTAACGTACCTGAGGACATAGTTCCACCTCTAGTTCCCCATTCAAAAACTGTCGTTCAAACTCAAGATTTTCTCCGATGTAGGACGCTATCGCTCTCTTGACTAGTTTCTCGCCAAGGAGGACACCAAGGCCCCAGTCGCTCACCCCTGCGTTGTTACTGACCACGGTCAAATCCTTCACCTTCTTGGACGCTAAACCAGCGATCAAGTTCTCCGGGATACCGCACAAGCCAAACCCTGAACAAATTATAATAGTTAGTAAAATTATGACAAACTATCCCCTGGAAAGAATTAAGAAATGAGCTGGTGTAACTGTTTAGTTTAGTTTTTATAGAATTACCAAAAATAGTAGGGCCTATAGAAAAAAAAATAAAAAAATAACAGCCTATAGTAGTTAAATACAAGTTAGGGCCTATTCAAAAATCATCATTTAAGCAAAAACTAGAAGTTGAACCCTTAATGCGGAACAAATGAAAACACAGAAAAGGAGAATGTGGTTCTTTTAAGATAGGTACGGTACTCAAAACAGTTATACTAGACCACAATTAATTAAAGAAACTGTTTGAACTGTATTAATTGGTTTCATACCCTCTTTTCTATGTCTGATTCACCTTGGGAGTTCAAATGTTCAACAAAGGGTCCATCAAAGCCTAATAAAATAATTTTCCTAACCTTAACATGGGGATCACTTAATCAGGAAACAATTCAGAGCCATACATATTGTAGGCTATGAAAAATAGTTTCCCAAAGTTTCATGACAATTCCGTGTATAGTTTGTAATGTAAATAAAGGGCAAACTACATACCTCCAAAGAGAATAACTGAACCATCAGGTACATCATGTATAGCCTCACCGACTGAGTTAAATACTTTCCCCTTATTTGAAAAAGTAGAAGCTGCTTGAACAAATTGGAGATTTTGATTCTGCAATACCTAAAAAAGAGTAAGTTTAGGCCTATTTTATGAACATGATTATTACATTTTGCGTATATCATAATAAAAATATTGTTTTGTGTCTAGGTCTAAAAATTAACATACCATGATTTTATGACTTGGTAACTCTTTAGAGTAAACTTATTTTTTTGGTCAAATCAAACACTGTTTTCATTCAGTAATGTGGTCAAATGATGAAACAAAACAAATGATTAAATCAAATTTGATAAACAGTTGCTTTTCTTATCATAGATGGTGTGCACTTAATGTAAAAACATTCAGCTAATGTGATGGCTGTGTGTTATTATTAGATGTGTTTTATCCAAACGGAAACATTATAATACATAGCTTGAAGGGGTTATGATGAATAGTCTATCTCATAATTTATCATCTGCCATTCAAATTTCATAATATTTTTGAAGATTTCAATTAGTAATTGTAAAGAATACCATTATAGATATGTTAAAAACAATCATGATAATGGCAAAGTTACAGTTTTATGCTAAAATGATAACAATTATCTTCGAGCTAATATCTGCTTGAATAGGTCAATAATTTACTAAACTCCCCGTGAGCAAACTTGTTATAATGTCAATATTTTACTATGCCCTAACTCTATACAAAATTGACTAGTTAACAGAGTTATATAAAATTATTATTACTATCTAAGTTATACTTATGGATTCCTGCCTCAAAACTAATGATTTGCGTTTTGATGGCAAAAATATAATCAGTATCTAAACTACATTTCTTGCTAGGTAGAAATAAAAAGCCAAACTTAACTTGTAACTGATAAACCCTGATAGGGCCTACCTAAAATTAAAAAATACTTGCTAAATTTATTTTGTTAGTGAAATCAAGGATTTTAAGTTATTGAAGGGAAAAATTTGTATTAAGAATAACTTAGGTTAGGCCTATTGTCTTTTAAAACAATAGCAATAAATATGAAAAACAACAATAGGGAAATAAGTTAAGATAAGTTCAATAAAACCCACATAACAATGGTCTTTGTGTAGTACAATGTAATTTAAATTTAAGTTTGGTACAATGAGGCTCTACCCATACTAGGCTACGCCAGTAAGTTAGGCCTATGTGGTTTGGTTTCAAGTACCGGCACAGAAAACATAGTATGTTTTCTGTGGTACCGGTAGGCTAGTGGTTTTTCTCTTCGATGTTGAAATAAATATCTCCGATTGATGAAAAATTACGATGTAGGCTTGACTTACTAACAGAAATAACAATCTTGTCAAATAAAATGGGAATCAATTGGTTCAATTTAACGCTGAACTAAGGAGTTAAAATTTTAGCATGTTGACTGTGTAATTTACCTCCTGCATTGGTAAAAGTTAACCAGCTAATTTTTACTGGGTTACCTCTTGAAAATGTCTAAGGTAACTAATTGTTTACAAATGACATTTCCCCTTGACGTGAAAAGTAAGTTACTCCCGATTTAGGAACATGTGAATCAACCTACCTATATATAGATAGGCTTAAATTAGATTATCCATTTTAACTTAGTCCTCATGTGTAATAAATGAGTTACTAACCTCTTTTAAGGTGCTCCAATAAAAATATTGAGAATTTGGACATAGATTTACAGACACTCTGATGGTTCTGCACAAGAAAGACATGATGCAATTAAATTATAAACCACTAAGCTAAACACAAACTAGGTTTATTTTATAAACCGTATTTACTACTTCTGCTTATCATCAAGATAACAACAAGGTTAACGAAAAGCAATCAGTCGGCCTATGCCTATGTGAGAGATAGGGACAACAACATGTTTTGATTTTCAATTTCAAGTTTGTCGTCAGCAACAGCAAGCAGTGTTTTTACGATTTTAGCGTTGATTACGGTCTGATTGCACTTTGGTTCTTGGTATCTGAAACCCTTTTTTAGGGAGTAAACATGTAACCATAGATTAAAAATGAATAATGAGGACAAAAAGTATTACAATGTATTTATTTATTTTGACAGCAATCGCCATTTTACCAAATTAGGCCCTGGTTGTTGGTGTTATGGGCCCTGTATAGTTTATTTCGTCCAATTCCATAGATTTGTTTAGTCCCTCCGACTTGATTAAGCAAAAGTTTCAATTTTTCAATAAATTAAAATTATTATTCTAAGGGGTCATTTTCTTGATGTCTATGCTGCGATGCCTGTGGCATTTTTACTTGAGGAAACAGGAGAAAGTGCTCAAGTTCTTTTAGGGTCTATTGTTTTGTTTTTATTTTGACGATTGTCATGAACTTTGTACATAGTTTTAACGACAATAAATCATTTCATTTAATTTCATTAGGGAAAGCGGTCCAAAGAATTGTCATTTGATGTTTCTCCAAACTGTAAAACTTAAAACTCATTGTTACTGGATTCATTATAGCCTCTAATATTTTTTTATGGTGTTTATTTCTAAATCCAGTGGGATCTTTGACGTGTTGTATAAGGGAAATGTCCAGGGACCCGGGTCTTGTTTTACAATTGTATGCAAAGTCTTGAGCGCAGGTTCGCTACATGGTTATATCAGTTGCCATATTACATTTCATTGACCACATTAGAATTTCAACTATAGAAACCCCATTCATCACTATTTTTTTTTCGTAACGCATTTATAACTTATATGTGGGATAGCTTAATCTTTAAAGTTTGCCAATATAACGATCTTAGTGCAGGTGCATGTTCAATGACTATAATAGTTATTGGCATGTCTGTATACAAATCTTCCTTCAGAGATGGGGATATAATCAATGCTGATATGCTTAATCCAGATTGCTTATATTTTTTGGTCGATTGAAGGTTCCATGGTAGGGTGTAGTTTGTTTATATCCGTCCATATGTCTTTGACGTTAGAAGTGATGAGGAGATGATGTGATGAGATCATGATTATCAATGTGGTGTGGTAATTCGATATGATTATATAAATCCTTGTCAGTGTCAATGGTGATCTACTAACTAAACCCACTAAACCTGAAAACTTACTATCCTCGTAATTTCCTATGAAATAGGTACCAGCCAAGTTTTCAACACAATTGCTTTGTCTTTGTACTATCTGTGTAGTGAAAGTGTGTGGTGAAGTAAACTGTTTTGGACATGACTGCCCGATTACCCTTGTCTTGAGCAAAGTTATACTTTTTTATCATCAAATCAAGGAATAGGCCTAATAGGGTTGATTCTGAACTTAAAGTTTTAATATCGCAATTGAATTAATTCTTAAAATGTGGCACTATATTTTCTTTGTATTGCTTTGCTGTCACTTGGCAAATGCATCTACTGGATTCGATTTTGGAGATGTACTGGCATTACTTTTAGGTATGGGAATCAGTCTGGTTGGAATTTGTGCTTGTTTGGGATGTTATGCAAGACGAAGACAAGCCGGTTTGGATTCATTATGAAATCCAGTGTAGTCCAAAGTAAGTAGGGTAGTGCAGTATACCTAACATAGTCCTTTGTTGGTAAAAGTACCTAGGCATAGGTAACTTACCACCTGTGCCTATCCTAATATTTTATAACACGTTCACTGCGGGCGTTGTATTTTTACAACGTGCCAGGAGCTAGTGTTATAAAAGTAACACGCTGTGTCATTTTTGGCAAAAGGGACCGGTGTGAGACCAGCAGTTGAGCAATGTGCTAGCTGCGTTTGTCACTCCTAGGAGAGGTAGGCCTGTTTTTATAACTTTCTGCAATTATAGTTTCCAGCTCCTGCCACCTGAGCGCTTGGAGCGAGGGTTGTATTGTGACAGCGCCATTACGTGTATAAGTTAGTGTGCTGTTTGCTTGTCAGTGTGAGCTCAGCCATTCACACGGAACGTTATAATCATTCCCAGCCCTTAGCTTAGAATGCGAGCTTTATTTTGGTGTAGGTTTACTAAAATTTTCCGTAAAATCCCCTCTGGCAATGCTTCTGTCCTGGTTTCTTTCGGGATTTTCTCTCTTCGAGCCACATTACAAAGACACTGGCTACGGATCCAGTCAGTGCTGCTACCCTTGGGTGTTTCAGTGAACTAAGTTACGTCCGCTCTCGGGGTAATGCAGCACAATCACCGCTGTTCTTTTGTGATTCGTCAGACTGAAATATTTGAATGCCAATGGCGTTCGCTGTTGTTGCCGCCATTGGCGACCGTCTGTTTGACATATGCCACAGTGAACGTGTTAATTGCAATCTTCTCTAAAAATATATTTCCAGTTTAATTTCTAAAACAATTGTAAAGTCAGTCAGCAAAGCCAATTACAAGGCCACCAACCTGCAGAGCGACGGCTTCGGTTCAGAAAGAGCTTTTTATCACGGACACGAGTCCTGGATGGATCACTCTCAAGCAATCGGGTGGCAAGGTGGGAGGCCACGTTGACTAACCCTCCCATACCAGCCAGGGAGGAACTGGCTCCTGGTGGAGGCCTTCATTACTCGGTGTGGAAGACCCTAAATCAAATTAGGGTCGAGGTACGAAAATGCAAGACAAACATGCAGAAATGGGGTCTCTTACCAGACGAAGAAAACATCTTGTGCGCGTGTGGTGCTGTTCAGGATCCTGGCCATCTGCTGATCTGCCCACGCCTAGACCAGTCTTGCACATTAGATGATCTTTTACATGCGAATGACAAAGCCATATCGGTAGCTAATTTTTGGAAAAGCGAAGTCTGATTTCCGGACACGGAAAGTAAAGTAGTCAGCAAAGAAAACAAAAATTAAATTAAATTATGCCAACCCCCCAAAAAATACTATGGGCAAGGCAGCAGGATAGCAAACATCTTTAACACATCCATGCTTTAACTTATTAAACTTATAGCCTCCCTAAGCCTAAGTCAATCCGTTAATTAAGCTTAAATGAATGTAAAATACTTGATTGGTCATTTTGTGACCGAGATGGCAACTAACTTAGCCTACACAAAGGGCCGTGATCGGTCATTAAAGTATTAACTTCCGGGCCTATATGTTCCATGGGTAGGGTTTCCATATGGCAGACAGAAAAGGGATTTATCTACAATTTATTGTTAAAAGTAAATATGGTTCTCTTGTTAATCGTTAAACATCAAACAGGATACCGTATACAAGTATTTTAGAACATAAGAAAGCATACAAATTAAATTATACTTTTTAAGATATATACAAACTATATAAATACCTATGAAGTTGGCAAGAGTAAACCAACACCTTTTCATGGCCTGAACTTAATATATATGTTGTTTTACACTACACACCTACCTTCCTTAAGTGATGAAAACTATAAAGATAAAATTAGAAAAAACTAGACTTTTAAAACCACACTTCTATTTTCAACAACTCATATAAAACTATTATGACAACAACAAAACAAAACCAAACCATATGACAAATAAATTAAATCAAAGTTAATATTCATCATATATACAGACTAGGAGATATAACATCCTCCCACCGAGTAGTATTACTACTCAAACATGAACCTTTTTGGAACTTTGATTTTTCGTCCAGCTTGTGAGACGTGCTCCCACCGTGGCGGTTGATAATTCCAACCTTGGAATCGTGGTTTTCTTCAGAGGAGCTACTCTTGATTTTGCCGACAATAATTGGACTCTTACTTCATCTTCAATTTCAACTCTCAAGTAAATAACTGTAGCATAGGCATCTTATACTTGTGTCGCAAAATGTATGAATACTACAACCATTTGAATCCATAGTCATTTTACCTATCCATCGGGGTATTTTCACTTTTCCAAGAGCGCTTAGCTCATTATACCACAGTATGAATAGTTTACTGATGTCTGAACTTACTTCAGTGTCCCAGTCAATTTTCAAGTCCCACATACTTTGCAGAAGAAGTTTAGGAAACAAAGTAACAGGGCAAAGGATACCAATTGGATCAAAGATATTGTGAGATATGGATAAAATGTCTCTCTTTGTGATTCGAGACACGTCCAAATCTTTAATACAGTTCGTGAGGTTAAAAAACAGAACGTCCTCAATATAGTTCCATTGAACTCCCAAAACATTAGTGACGAACTTGGTATCTCCTTCTTCAATGACGCTCGTGGCATGCCATCCTCCTAAATCAAACTTAGCGACAGCCATAACTTGTTTCGATTCTTCAACAAAGTGTTTTAGTTCCTCATAAGTATCTACACTGGTCGAAACATTGTCCACGTAAAAACTTTTACTCAGCTTCTTTACCACATTATCATCATACTCCTGAGAAGTCATAGATTTTTGAAGATGCAGATCAATTACTGCCCCTAGAAGAAATGGACTACATTTCACTCCAAAAACAACTCTTTTATGGCGGTAAACAATACTTCGGCTTCTTTCATTGATGTCAAACCATAAAAACCGAAGAAAATCTCTATCTTGTACATTTAACGATATCTGTAAGAAGGCTTTTGCTATATCAGCAATAACTCCAAACTTCCCTTCCCTAAAACGCATCATAACAGAAGGAATCAGTTCAATTAAATTTGGTCCATTTTCAATACAGTCGTTCAATGAGGGTGAAAACTTGGTCTTTGCTGATGCATCAAACACTGGACGAATTCGTGTGGTAATACTACTCTCCTTCACTACAGGTCTATGTGGCAGGTAGTGAAAGTTGTTGTTCAAATCGTCAGAAGGTACAGCTTCAATGATGCCATCACTTAACCACTGTTTAAAAACTGAGTCATAGTCTACGGTAAAATTGTTACCATCCAATTTCTTTACAACTGTTGATAACCTCTTTTCGGCTAACTCTCTGTTACTAGGCAAAGGAGGATGACAATCAACCCAGGGCAAACTTACTTCATATCGACCTTCTTCATTTATAGTGGTAGTTTTTATAAAATGATTTTTAACTGCCAAAGCCTTTTGCTCTTTGGAAACTGATTCACTTGTATCAGTAATGCCTATAGTGTCTAATCTCCACAGTTCCGATATGTCAGCATCATTAATAAACATTGATGTTACAACAGTGGAGAGTGTAGTTGAACCTGTACTACCACTAATTATAGCCTTACCCATCAGTGTCCATCCCAGAAGAGTTTCCATAGCCACTAGTCCAGATTTCAGTTGAATCATATTTCCCGTGAATAGTTTACCCGCTATATCCGCTCCAATCAAAATACCAATTGGTAGCTTGGTCTCATGTATGTCAGTCAGAGAAACATTTTTCTCTATAAGTTCCTGTATCCAGGCACCTTCGGTAACTGGTGGAATTTCCCCACATATGGTAGTTTGACTCAATACCTCAAAGTTGCAGTTGTAACTGTAATCTTGACTGGTTAGAAACACACGATGTCTGTTATGAATTACTTCACCAGATTTGACATTACCAAAAAGAGAGTGTATGATTGTTTCTTCTCCTAAGCTTTCGTAATTCATTTTTTCAGCCAAGTCCTTTAAAATGTAAGAACGCTGTGAACCAGAATCAAAAAGAATGCGAACAGTCTCAAATTGATTACTACCTGGGGTTCTTAATCTTGCCTTTACTGTTTGCAGAAACACTTTCACTCTGCTACTTGATTTATTGGCCAAAGCGGTATCTTCCACTACTGTCATTTCTTTAGATACCTTATCAACACATTTGCTTACACACTCATTCACTACTTCTTTGGAATGAATACTAGGACACATTATAGGATAATGTTTCCTTTTACAATTAGAACATGACAAATGAGTTCTACAATCCTTAATACGGTGACCAGGCTGCAAGCAAAGGAAACAGCACCTCTTTTCCTTTAAAGTGGACACCTTATCAGACAATGGCAATTTCTGAGCAGCAAAACAGTTACTACTCTTATGATTCTTATCACAAAAGACACACTTTGTATAAGAGTTTTGAGTTTTACCAGAGGATATGAGGCATGAAGCTGTTGGTATGTCTATCTTACCTGATTGAGTTTGAGATGGCCTTTTAAAAGATTTCTCCTTCCCAGAGCTACTTATCCCAAAACCTGCCATGGCTAGACCGATTCTCTGTTCCCCTTCAACTTCAGACAGCATAAACTTCATTAAATTGTTGAGTCTTTCCTGAGGGTCTGTTCCTACTTTCAAAGGGCTTCTTTGCCAGGCCCTTAAGAGATCTTCAGGCATACAACTTTCAACTAACGGGTATAACATGGAGGAACATTTATCTGTTGTAACTCCCAAGGTATCTAATGCACGCATATGAGACTCAAGTTTGTCATATAAACTTTGTAAGTTCATTGTGTTTTTGCCTCCTAGAGCATTTTGTAAAACAATTTTTAAGAGTTCCCTGACATAAACCTCTACCAATAGGTCATCTTTACCAAATCTGGCTTTCAAACATTCAATTGCTTTTGGATAGTTTGCACCAGTCGGAGGAAAACTCTGAACTACATCAAAAGCTCTTGATCCGGTAACTATGGATTGCAATAAATATTGAAACTTATCCTCTGAATCAATGTCTGAGTCACTATGAATTTTGCTAAACTGACTCCAAAAAGGTAGCCAATTGATCAAATCTCCATCAAACTTTTTGATCTCTATTTTAGGGAGCTTAAATTTCTTCTTACTAGCATTGTTACAGCAAGATCCAGAATGAGCACTAACTACATCGTTACTTTGTTGTAGTAAATTCTGGACTCTTAATTTTACAGCTTCAAACAAAGCTAAATATTCTCCAGCTAAGATTGTTTCAGCTAACAGCTCATCTTCAGAAACATTATCATTATTCAATAACAAATCAAAGATCTGAGAATTCAAAACCTGGAGTTCATCAACCTTTATCTCCAAAAGCTTTAGAGTGGTTTGAATTTCAATTTTGTCTGTGGTTTCATTTTCAACTAAACTGTTTAGTTTGTTCAATGTTTTAGAAAAATAAGCCCTATATACTGTTCTATTTTTCTTTAGATTTTCCATCATAGAGATAGGTGAAAAACAAGTCCTGTCACGGTCGCCAAATGTTGTTTTACACTACACACCTACCTTCTTTAAGTGATGAAAACTATAAAGATAAAATTAGAAAAAACTAGACTTTTAAAACCACACTTCTATTTTCAACAACTCATATAAAACTATTATGACAACAACAAAACAAAACCAAACCATATGACAAATAAATTAAATCAAAGTTAATATTCATCATATATACAGACTAGGAGATATAACAATATAAATACTTAAACATAAAATCAACCTCATGTCCATTTCATCATTAGTTTTGAAATTATAAACCTATAAAATCAGATAAGCCTAATTCTTTTTCCTGTGGTGTTTTTGTGTGTGTGTGTTATTTTTTTCTTTTTCTGTGGGACCTTGCAGTAAATGTATACATTTTATGTTTGTCTCTGTAAGAGTTTTAAGAACAATTTTAATGATTTTAAACTTAAAAGTGATGGCCACCGCCACAACACAAGACACAAATGGCAGATAGATGAATCCTTTAATAGGCTAAGCTTGACCCATTGTTGGTTAGACAATATAAGTGTAAAAATGTTTAATAGGCTACCAGAAAATGATAGACAAATGTGTTTTAGCAGATATAAAAGCACTCTCTACAGGTTTTTAGAATCTAGGCCATTCTATAAAATCTAAGATTTTTGAAGTATCTTAATCTAACTAAAAAATCTGCTTTCTGTTAAAATACTGTAGGTAATATTTTTTTCACATGTTTATTGTTCGTGTCAAGTAATCTTTATGTATTTATTCCTTAGTGTATAGTACAGTAGAGTCCCGCAAACTCGGCACTCGATAATCCGGCAGTCTGGATAACTCGGCCATCACCTGGCTCAGAAAATTAGTGATATTTTGAGTCCGAGTTAAAAGGATTTGTTGTACTATATGTGATGACTTAATACTAACTTGTCATATAAATATAATTAAAAGAGGTAGTTAATAAGCTTAAAAATTGTATTGTTCTTATTTTTAACCCTAGTTCCCGATAACCCGGCATTTCAAAAACTCGGCACCCTACCAGTCCACATTACGCCGAGTTTGCAGGACTCTACTGTATTTGCAGCTTAAATGTTTCTTCTTAAATCTAGTCAACCAAAAATGTCCATTCACTGTGTACCTGTTACTGTATGCAATATTTCATGTAGCCTAACTTAACAATTTGACCTGGTCTATAACTGTATTGCTGTTAAATTGACCAAATAAAGAATCTTGTATCTTGTACAACAACCTCTCAACAGGCTGTAAGCCATATTTATTCTTGTCTAGGTTTTACTTTTTAAATACTTGTTTTTTTTTCAGGATAATGGATAACACCTGGATATAACATCTGACAAATTACCATGTTCATCATATGGAATGATATCCCACCAAAGAAGAATGAAACATTTTGAAGTGTGTTTAAATAGACTGTAACTTGAATTTTATGTAGATGTAAAGTTTTACTTTAGTTGTATTATTTGTACAAATAAATATTTTCTTTTAAACTACTTGTGGTTGTCATTACAGAATCATCCTGATCTGTTGAATTTATTATTGCCACCGAAAGTACCTAACAGTGAAATAGAAATATTTGCATTAGCGTTCAATCATAGACAAAAATAATTAAATATAGACTCTCAGCTGTGCTGCGGTTACCATAGGTCCTGGCGCACACCGCTGGTAGTGTTATGTAGTTACGGCCTACACGCTATGTAACTACACTGCGCTCCTGATGGTATGCGCCAGAACCAACGGTAACCACTGCATATTTAATTCTATTTGTCTATGATACCGTCTGCACATAAGTAGAATTATGGAGGTAAAAAAATGAGGCAATATAAAGAAAAGTATTTATTTATAAATTATACAGGCATCTATATATATTTATATATCATGATAGGTTTATTCAATGTCTGTTGGCTATTATAATGATATTGAATTGTTTAAAAGGTTTGCTACAAGCAAAAATGTATTAAGTAACGTTTAGATAAAAAAAATCACCATTAACTTACAACAAACACATCTCTTTACACAAATCAAAAATAAAACATACTTTGGCATATATTCTTGCTGAACATGTACATTTTATTAACCAATTTAAATAGTTCAAAATAAAAATGATTACCCACCTTACTAGATCAATTTTAACTGGTAGCCTATAAGAACAGTGAATTTTGCAGTTAAAACATTAAAACCAAACAAGAATAGCCTACCTATATTCAAATTTATTCGGGTGTTTTCTTAAAACACGTACATAATAATCCTAAAAAGAGTTATCGCATCAGACAAGAACCAGGGAAAAACACACTCGACTTCAAACAGAGAAGTGGCAATTGCATACGCTAATTGTGACTAATTAAAATATAGTTTTAGCACTGTCCGGCTACATCACAGTCATCTTAGTTTCACCAGTCTTACCAAACAACTAGTGTCACCCGATTGGTTTACAGTTTCTGTTGTATAACTTTACAATCTACTGCCTTTTTTAAATATTTAGAACATATCAACACGTCCTAGGCAAAACGTATGTACAAATCTTCTCTAAGTCAGTCGATCAATTTATTTACATGACTTTTGAATTTCCTAAACAGAACTGGCTATTCGGAACTGTTCATTCCGTTCATTTGAATAAAAAATTAGCTACTTTACTTACAATATGTTTATTATAAAATAATCACAGCATGATACTAAGTTCCAGAAGAGGCATTTTGATGCCGTCTTTTTTAACAGATTTATTACCTAACCAAATGTATGGTTGACCTGAATGGGCCTTGGATGGAATTCTGAAGAACTTTGTCTTACACATCTTAGCAATTTTATTTAAAAACAAAAATATCCTTTCTTCTGACCTAGCTTGAGGAATCATCTCACTCAAAGAGACAGGCAAAAAATCAACAAGTTGAAAACTTTAAGCTTAGCTCACTGAAAACTCTTATTTTTGTAGAAGTTGAACATCTAGACAAAAACACAGACTAACATAAATGCTCACTTTCAATTCATTTAACTTTTTCGAGCTTCGAAATAAATAGCGCGGGCAACTATACAAGATATAAAACTTATAAGCGTAATACAAAACAGCAAACTGCAAAGCTCTTCCAGTCTGCGTACAAAATAGCAGAAACTATAAAAAACTTTAAATACTACTTTGACTCTTCCATGTACAGTACTTAAAATTAAAGCTAGGAAAAATAAATAACAATCAAAAATTATAAAACATTTTTACAAATTGGCAAAAGGCGGTAGATAGGTCAGGTAGTTTATTTACATAGAACTGAAGAACTAATTGACATCGGCCAGGAAATAATAAATAAATATAATAGTAAATAACAAACCATTCAATCGGATATTGTAATTATATTACTGTACATATTAGGACCGATGTTGGGGAGGTTACCTCGGTGTGTCAGGACGAGATTGAGTATCCGGAGACTGAGGAGCCGTGCTGAAACCCTCTAGGCTGCCTTGTCCACTGATACCTAATGAAATAAATGATACTTTAGTGCCACATAGACGATGGCCACAGAACATGTGGAAAAAATTCGCACATTTTAAACGACACCTAGAGACCTATTTTTTGGTCAACAGGTGTACCTGTAATAGGATTATGCAGGTCACTGTTGATTTCGGGTCGGGCAAACAGATGACCTGAGGGCTCAAGTTTCGGGTTGAGGCTGAAGATCATTATCGGGCCAAGCTCGGGTCACAAAAAACACAGCAGTCCATTCTCAAGGTGTTAACCCTACTCACTGTGTTAGTGCCTAGAGAATAGACTGCTGTAGGGATGTGTTGATTCTAGAAACCACCGATACCCAACCCGTCTGCGAAGATCACTCGATCGGAAGACAATGATTATATCTACACAGCCGAAAAATGTTATTGAATTTTCCAGAATCGCGCCAGACCACAATGAGGTTTTTATGTCAAGAGTCGATGATGATGTCTTCACTGCCGATGGGAGGTAATCAGAATTTTAACCGCAACATCCGAAGATGAGGAAAATTTGAGTGATGCAGTTCTAATGCACATTATAACGAAGTTAGGTAACAGATTAAATTCAATAATATGCTTCAACATGAGTTGCATCACCCACTGTACCAGTTTGGATACAAAAGTGACTTATTATGGCTATTTCTATCCATTAGTAAAACATGGAATAATGTTACAGGCACATCAGAATCAACAAAATTCTAAGAATTATGACACTAAAAATACACAGAACTTCATGTTGAGGTATTTTTAAAAGTGTCAAATTAATGACAGTTCCAAGCAGTGCTCGATTTGTGGGGAATTGCGGTGGAACGGAGTTTCGGTACCTCTCTTTCCAAAAGATAAAAATATTGGCATAAATAGGTAGGCTACTGAATCACATTAAATACGTTACAGTTTCAGAACCTTATTTTTTACAAATCGAGCACTGGTACCAAGTATATACATCCTTTAGGTTCTTTGTCATGTCAAGAGCAATTTATTGTGGTTCTCTCAGGAAAAAACTAGTCACAGTTATCATAAATAAACCAAAAAATTACGTGCATACCCTCATCATTCCACAACAACTTCAGAGAAAAATATTTACTATATTGGGAATGAACCTCTTTGATGAATTGCTTAATCCTATAAAAAGTTAGACCCTCAACCCAACACAATTTTCAGAGAAGGTCAAAAGCTTCTTAGAAAGGCCTATTACAAAGTTGGTGACTTTTTAAACAATTCTTAAATGTGATAAGATACATAATATAACATTGGCAGAGCAGAAAATTATTTTTCAAGAAGAACTGGTAATATTGGAATGAATATAAATTTTAAATAAAAACTTAACCAATATTTTCAGAATTTTTAATTTCACAAGGCCTTTTGCCAGCTATGACACCATCAGACATGAGTTTTGTGATGCATCTGAAGATGCTAGCATAGCTGGCAAAAGGCCTCATGAAATTAAAATTCTGAAAATATTGGTGAAGTTATCATTTTATGTTTATATACAGAAAAAGTTTATTTTTATTTTATATTTTGCTGTTGAGTTTTATTAGTATCTATACACATTTTGTTACATCCTGTAAACACTGAAGGTTATGTGCCGATAAATATCAATCAAGGCTATAGACTGCTGCATTGTGTATGAAACTTAATTCTCATCTTCCTCTACACGGTCATTACCCAAAATCAGCCATAAGCACATATCACAAAGAATGTACATTTTTTATATGATAAATATAACCCCTCAAAGGATATGGACTGCAAAACAACATCAGATTAATTAAGGTCTCTAGATTTTTTCCACATTGATGTATCGAGGCTCCCCTCAGTTACCTTGTGCCGCTGAGCTGTTCTGCGCCAACTGCCGACACAAAGCCTCCACCTCCTCCCGATGCCTTTTCTGAAGCTCCTCTAACTCCATCTGGTGCCTAGTGAAACAACAGTAAATAACCATAACAAGACACACATTTTAATTCAGCTGATAATTAGATAACTTTCCTGATTTTGTTCAATTTAATATGAGTAAGGGTGGCAATTGTTTCAAGCTATTTCTGTCAGCAAAATTTTAGTTATAATAGCCTTTTTAAATATTATATATATTAGGTATATCAGAATACAGTTGGGGTAACAAGCAACAAGGGGCCACATCCGAAATCCAGCAAAAACTTGGCAATGTTGAACATCAACTAAACTGGCAGTGCATTTTTTCCGGGGAACACTCCTGTTTACCGATTACTTAGTATTAGGTCTAAGCTGTTATGTGTGTCATATTTAGTGTTATTCATGATCAAGTCGTTTAATGACAATGAATGATGGATAATTTTAAATTTACGATGGACATTATTACGGCTTGAGAGAAGCACAAACCACGGTCATCCAAGTTAGAGTTGAGACAGAAAATTTGGTAGGGACATCAAAGGATTGATAATAATTTTATTCTATCAAAGAATTAAATTCTTTTTAAATTACATTTTTTTGCCAAAAGAATATTTTTTCCCGTCCTCTAATAGAAAACTACAAATTTGTCTTAACACCAGATTATTAAAAGACAAATACAGTGGTACAAATAGTAACAAGCATAATGACTAAATTTCTGAAATCATGTATTTAGTGGGCAACAGAAAAAATAGTTGATACAATAAAAATTATGTCTACTACAGTATCCAGTCAGAATAATAAAAAAAAAAACCTTGCATACCTCTGAAGAAGTGCCTTCAATTCCGTATTGCTAGGCTCAAATCCGACGGTGTTATCATGATCGTCTGGTATGTACTGAAAACCAAAATAAAATATTAGATGTTAACTTTTACATGAATCGTTCAGCATCACAAAATAAACTTCAAACAAGTTGCTCAGGAATATTCTTACTGAATACAAAATCAATTGGGGACATACATTAACATATATGTTAGCATAAAATGTGAACATTATTGACAAATTTTTATAGCCCACAAATATTAGAACAATAGTCAGCTCTTTTACAGCCTTATGTAAAAAGATCTTATTAAACAATCTTTTGTGGCTAAAACATTTAAATAATGTCAGGAAAACAAAGGAATCAAATAATAAAAAATGAATTATTAACTTTGTTGGGCGTTTATTTAGAAATCAATGCTGCTATCATCTGGAAACATATTTTTAGGAGAAACTCAGATCATTTCAGGTATTCTAATTTTCCTTTCTTAAGGTTATGAAATTAGTTCCACAACCACAAAATCTAAGCAATATTTTTCTGTTAGTATTTAAAGATTAGAATGTCAGGCAGGCTTCTAAATTCTATATTAATTTTAAACTGTCCAAAGGAGTTAAGGGGCGAAAATCACTTTAAAAAAACTGTATAGAAATGTTGTATTTTTTAAATTAAAACTCTACTTATACACTCCGAAGTATGTGAAGGCCTAAAAATCATTTAGGGCTCATCAGTGGACTGCTACAGTTTAGATGCCATGCAGTATTGCAAAATATAATTAAAACACTCAAAACATATGTTTGTTATTGATAAGAGGATTTAATTTTGAGACGGTTACTTTTAAAATGAAACATTGCATGACACTCTTTGCAGGTTAATTTTTTTTACAGGGACATAAAATAGAGGGCATTAACACTGAATACTTTTTGTGTTATGGTATTAGTAAAAAATTACACTTTTAAATGAAGAAATCTAAATGTAGGCAAAAATAATGGACGTAATGAATAAACATTGTTTTTAGTAAAAAAAGCTTGAGTAGGCTAATTATTTTTTTATTTTAAAGCCATCATCATGATTAGTTTATTAAGTTGTAGCATGACAAAATTTATTAATAAACATACGGTGTTGTTCCAGCAAGACAAACATGATGCAATATGCTTCCACTTCCACAAGGTTATCAAAACCACACATGGTATTACAAGCAAATATAACGGCATAAAACTAAATTGCAATTAATTAGTTTTAGCGAATTTCCCATATAGGGAATAAGCTATTACCGTAGTACTCATGGTAAGACCTGGACGCGGGACCGATTTTTTTTTTCGTTTTGAGGTCCCTAGAGGCCAAAAATACCATCCGTTCAAATTCATATATATATATATATATATGTGTGTCCGTCAGCACGATAACTCGAGCAAAAATGATCCGATTTTAATGAAATTTGGTACAAACGTGTAAACGTATGTTTATTCGAACGAGTTCGCGATCCAGCATGATCGGACCATGGGAACGGGGGTTTACGGGGGGTTTTATGGGGTAAAAATAGGTTTTTCCCATTTTTGACCCAAAAAACATAAAATTTAGCAATTTCTTTCCAAACCATTTTGTAGAGCTTAAAAAAACAAATAATTTAGTATATTGAAGTGTTATTATGCGCCTAATGGTTACGGAGAAAATTCCAAAAAATTGTAAATTTAAAATTCCCATGTTATTCTTATGGAGAATAAGTAAACTGTTGTAGTTTGCTTGTTTGTGAACATATTTTGATCAAATTTGGAAAATGTTTTTATTTCTTACTAACTATTCACATTTTACAAAAAAAAAAAAAAAACAGTTTTACCCTCCCTGATGCAGCAAACCTAAGTACTTGTTAAACTAATTCTATTTAAATCAAGAATAAATGTTATATTTTTAAGTAGACATTTCAGTGTAAATCCAATCAGTCAAATGGAAATTCGCTTAGTCTGCAGGTTTGCTGCGGCGGGGGTATTAATTGTTTGTATCTTCATACTTGGCAAATTGTAAGGTTTAGCACTTTGGTCCCGTTGTAGGTTTAAATAATGCTAATGAACTCGCTGAAATTCATGAGGGAAGGCTTCTGTGCGAAAGAATTCTCTAATTTCAAAAGACCAAACACATTTTAAAAATTTGTTAAGGTAGCGGTCCAAAACCGCGGTCTTTTAACGGGTTTGTAGCCCGTTGTTGGAAGACATAATAATTTTATAGACCACAAATCGCGACAGAGTCCAGAAACGATTAGTATAACATTTGCAGAAGATCACTTTAACCCATTGACACTGAATTTTTTAACATTCTTTATTAGTTAATTTTTTTAGGTTATGATATTTTAATGTCTTTTATCATATGTATTTCCCCATGGTGTCCATATTTAACCAAAGGGGAAAAATTTGTTTCCTCCTCATCTATACGAAAAAGAAGCAAATCAGGTGTTGTGTGCAATCCCTACTAAACTAACTAACGCCGCCAACCTTCACCCAAGCCGGAGACCGTTTATTTAAGGAGGGTCTTTATACTTGATAAGCCACACATTAGTAAGCTTGATATGGATTGTAATCACAGGATTTTAACCCGCGCATATTTAAATACCTCAAAGCTACACTCGTCAGTGCAAAGCTTTGCCAATTGAGTTAACTTTCCACCGTTGGCCAACTGGGACGAGTACTACTATATGGACACGTCGCTAATAGCGCTCGCAGGTTAGATTTGACGAACTACCTAAGCCCCCGTGGCTTAGCAGTATGGCTTATCTCGCCGCGAAATACGATGACAAGCTTCAAATGTGACTCAGCATCAATGGGTTAAACAAAAACAAATCTTTACATATTGAGATATTGTTGCTCCAACCTACGCTATTGGACTAACTTATTCCAAATGATTATGATTATCAATTGAGATGGGAATGCCACCTTAGTGTGTATTTTAAAATTCAAATATTATTTATTCACTTAATATACATCAGGGTGTATACTATTTTATTAGAGTGAAATTCCAGGTTTTTTCCAGGTTTTTCCTGGTTTTTCGAAGTTTTTCCAGGTTCCCACGTATTTTTTTGGTTCCACTTAAAATATAATCAATTTAAGACTTGCAGCCTAAGTATACAATATAAACTTGCATTAAATTTGTTTCAAAGTCCAGTGAGCTAGTGTTGAAAAAGTAATAATCCTTATTATAATAATAATTTTCATTATCATCATTACCGTACTTAAGTCCACGGAAACATCGTCTCTCTCGATAGCAGCAAAATCATGAATATTATCTTCACTTTTTATGAACACATTATCAACGGCGGCTAAATCCTGAATATTTCCTTCGGTCGTGTGGTCGCTTCCCACGGTGACGTAAACATCATCACAGTCTTACGTTACCATAGAAAAATCCTGGACATCTTCCGCGGTATGTATACATGATCGCCGTCTCTCGCGATCACGGAAACGTAATCATCGTCATCCACGATCGCGGCAAAATCACGAAAATCTTCCGCGGCCGTGTGGACATCATCATTGACTCCCACGGTCACGTAAACGTCATCGTCATCGACCGCGATCACGGCAAAATAACGAAAATGTTCCGAGGCCGTGTAGACACCATCATTGACTCCCGCGGTCACGGGAACGTCATCGTTGTCGTGCGAAATCTCGGCAAAATCATGAATGTTTCCCGCGGCAGTGTAAACATCATCGTTGATCCTGCGGTCACGTAAACGTCATCGTCGTTGTCCGCGATCGTGGCTAAATCATGAACATCTGCAGCCGTGTAGACAAAATCATCGTCGTCTTTCGCGGTCACGGCAAATCACGAATATCTTCTGCGGCCGTGTGGACATAATCATAGCCTCCCGCAGTCACGGAAACGTCATCGTCGTCATCGTCCGCGATCTCGGTAAAATCATGAATATTTCCCGCGGCCGTGTCTACATCATCGTCGTCTCCCGCGGTCACGGAAACGTCATCGTCGTTTCCCACGGTCACGGAAACATCATCGTCGTCGGCCACAATCACGGCAAAATCATGAGCATATCACGCGGCCGTGTAGAAATCATCATCGTCGTCTTTCGCGGACACTGCAAATCACGAAAATCTTCCGCGGCCGTGTAGACATCATTATTGCCTCTCGCAGATATGAAAACGTCATCACCGTCGTCCACGATCTCGGCAAAATCATAAACATCTGCGGCCGCGTAGTTATAATCATCGTCGTCTCCCGCGGTCACGGAAACGTCATCGTCGTCGTCCGCGGTCACGGAAACGTCATCGTCGTCGTCCGCGGTCACGGAAACGTCATCGTCGTCGTCCGCGATCTCGGCAAAATCATGAATATTTCCCGCGGTCGTGTAGACATAATCATCGTCGTCTCCCGCGGTCACGGAAACGTCATCGTCGTCGTCCGCGGTCACGGAAACGTCATCGTCGTCGTCCGCGATCTCGGCAAAATCATGAATATTTCCCGCGGCCGTGTAGACATCATCATTGCCTCTCGCAGATATGAAAACGTCATCGCCGTCGTCCGCGATCTCGGCAAAATCATAAACATCTGCGGCCGCGTAGACATAATCATCGTCGTCTCCCGCGGTCACGGAAACGTCATCGTCGTCGTCCGCGGTCACGGAAACGTCATCGTCGTCTCCCACGGTCACGGAAACGTCATCGTCGTCTCCCGCGGTCACGGAAACGTCATCGTAGTCTCCCGCGGTCACGGAAACGTCATCGTCGTAGGTCGCAATCGCGGCAAAATCATGAGTATTTCACGTGGCCGTGTAAAAATCATCGTTGATCCCGCGGTCACGGAAACGTCATCGTCGTCTCCCGCGGTCACGGAAACGTCATCGTCGTCTCCCTCGGTCACGGAAACGTCATCGTCGTCTCCCGCGGTCACGGAAACGTCATCGTCGTCTCCCGCGGTCACGGAAACGTCATCGTCGTCTCCCGCGGTCACGAAAACGTCATCGTCGTCGCCCGCAATCGCGGCAAGACGCATTTTACGACTACAATCTTCTACCGGGGCTAAAATAAAAATCCCGGATTCGGTCCAAAAATCCCGGCTTTTTCCCGGTTTTTTCCAGGTCCCTTCAAATTCAAGGTTATTTCCCGGTTCTCCCGGTTTTCCCGGTTGGTATACACCCTGTACATTATATACAATTGAATAGTGTCAATGTTTAGTGACTATGTCTCAAGATGGTTAAAATTTTTCCAACATATGAATTACCGTTACATTTAAACATTTATGATAGCGCATATAGGTATGGATATTTATTTACTTAACAACAAATTTTATGATTGGGAACTAGATTGAAAGTACAAATTAATGCTAGGAAATTTTCAGAAGAAATTAATTTTAACCCATGAGTGAAGGACGAGTGTAGAATGGTGTGAGATAATCTGTGTAGCTTTGTTACTAAGATCAGCTGTTTCATCAGTCAGGATCATCTATTTAAATCCCAATGATCAGGGACAGCTGGGTCAGTTTGAAACCATAAATAAGCTACACAACCGGCGACCTTTAGATTGTTAGGCGAGCACTTTAACCACTTAGCTTTTTTACTTCAGTATCCAACAGGCTGTAACTCTTTTTAAAGTTAGTCATCCATTCCTTCTCAATGCAACCAACATATTACCTGTAAGCTCTACGGACAAACCAAGCACTGGACCTCCTCTAAGCTGAGTTAAGCCACAAGCCACCCTTGTGCAAAAGTCTTACCACACTGTGTGACATAGAGTGTGCCAGCTCACTCATGCTGTGTGCATTCTTAAGTTTGTCCCTAAGCAGGTGCTTGGGCTGTTTGTCACCTACTTTGATGTGGCCTTCGCTCGGCCACCTGCTGAGACTCCCTTCCGTCTGTCTCACCCGTGTGACGGCCGCCGGGAACCCAGCGGACGTGATCCTCCTCATCGGCTATACGAGGCAAGGTTACATTCAACTTACATGGACTCTGGGAGGCTTGTGCAAAAGGGAAACGAGCAAATGTACTGTTCTGCTAAACTATGCAAAAAACTCTAGGTGCTAAATTTTTTTTTAAGTTTTACAAGCAAAACAGAAATTTACAGTTCTACTAGGGGGGTGAAACACAAAGGAGACTTTGGGATTGGAAACTTTGATAGATGTGCGATTAACGCTATCCAATGCAAATCTTGGAATTTACGGATTATAATGCAAAATATTTCAATAATCCTACTTTTTTAAAATTCATAACTAACTGTAAAGGATAACTATTTTGACTTCAGTTTAAATGAACTCTTCGTACGCTACGTATTTTGACTACACTGCGTTTTGGGAGGTAAGGAAACTCATGTTTTTTAAGTGACCATAATAATATATGTGTGAAAAAAAGAAATAAATGAGGTAAAAGTTAAGATAGCCTATAGATTATTTAGGTCACTTGAAAGCGGGAGGAGCTCCCTTATTTCTAGATACACAGTGAAAACACTCAGGGTAGGAAAAGACCTTTTAAACTCAAGTTAAATAAGCCTACTTTCTTGGAAGTGTAGCCATTTTTGTTATTCAGTTTGAATATACTCCAAAGGCTAACTCAACATTAGCCTTTGGAGTATATTCAAACTGAATAACAAAAAATGGCTACACTTCCAAGAAAGTGCAATTTTGGACAAATTACAAATAACCTAACCAAACCCAACCTAACCTATCCTTACCTTGTATTTATCAAAGAAACTACTTCAAGGACTAGCAATATAATTGTTAGTCAAAGTTAAATTTAACATAACAATAATAATTGTTTTATTGCAGTCAACAAAGTAGGCTACATTGCATTACAAACGTCAATACATAATTTTTGTGAAAAAAGGGACATTGAAGTACTGCTATGATAACATAGTTGCCTGAACAGAATCATGGTGCGGTTTCAGGTCCACTGACATCAGAAGTTTCTTATTCTGCGTCAATCCCAAGGTCTCCTATTTGTGTTTACGCTCTAAGGTGCTTTCGGAGAAAAATAGACAATATTTTAATTTCAATCAAATGTCTAAATATTTTGGGAAAAGCTCTTATGATAGCCTTCAAGATTTTATTTGCCTTGCCTAATATTGAATGTTGCCTACTTACTAGGTTAGAGATGACCGTCAAAAATGTTTAAAAAGCAATATTGTACTTCACATATACATATTTGAAGGAACCCAATGAAACTGTTTAAATTTAATACTGTTGGAGCACACTTGTATTCTTGGACCAATTAATGAGAACTTTTACTCTCTATGTTAAAACCCCCCAATATGGACATATGATGTATTTTCTACTTGCATCACTTTCTCAAAATAAATATTCTGTTTTTAAATGACATGCTTGAAGGAAAGTTATAGTAGACAGGTAAATTATGCGGACTACAGTTACACTAAAATTAAATCTAAAAATACCTGAAAGGTGAATTTTAAACATATTAATGTATTTGTGCAGGATGATACCTACATAGACAAAAATAATTGGAGGCCACAAAATTCACCAATTTATCTACCAATCGGTTCTAGAAGATTCAATCTACACCCTACCTTTACAGTCGCTATACAACAGATCCCCTAATACATCTACAAATCTAAAAGGTACACATTCTACGAGTATATGAAAGTATTACTTGTGTGGATGTGGAGTTGAGGTTAGTATTGGTCATATGCAGCAGCTGCAGACTCGGAGCTTCTTGAGTGACGACGCTGAACCGTCCTCTGCGCTCTTCCCTCCTCTCAGCCGCTGTGCAAAGTACAATCGTTGAAATTTTAACCAAAATAATTATCACTTTGATATATTTAAAGTTAATCCACAACCACAAAAAAAACTTTTTCTATAGAGCTTGAAAACCCACAATATTTTCTAGAGGGTGCTGCTTTCAACCGACTATTGTGAAATTTCTTGTTAACAATCACTAAATCAAAACTAAAAGTTTTAATAAATTTGCGATTTTCCTAATCAGATTGTTAGTTTTTTGAATTCAAATATTCACAAATTCAGTTTTACTTGAATAAACTAAATTGATTTGGTCGACATAAATCATGTATTTTTTACACGATATGTGCCTAATTGTTCAGTGATTTTTCCAGGAGGGTACATTTTATCATGTTTTCGTAGCAAGACCTAATTTTGAACAAATAACAAATTAGGCTATATTTTAAGGTCCCTTGAAACTCTTTTCCCTATTTATATACACAGAATACTATGTTTAGTGGTTAAATAGTATGTATACAAGAAAATATTTCAATCTTTTAGCTTGGACAACATTTTAATCAAACGTGTAAAGCAAACTGTTGAAATGGGTTCCCAAAGCAGCCTGATTTGCTATTGGAAACAGAGTTTTTAACTAAAAAAAAAGTTTTATAACCCACTTTGAGGACAAAGAAGTAAAATTACCAGAACCAAGTTTAACCCAACTACTGTGCTTCAAACAATTATACTCCTTTAAGCGGTCTACACATAACAATACTTAAAATACATTTAAATATTTGGATAATAATTTTAGACTTAGTGATTAATCACTGTCTAGATACAAATCTATGAGATTTTTCATGATTTAAGTTAGTAATCCTAAACTATCACACAGATTATGGATAAAATATTTAGTTACATATGACAAGTCAATGTGCAATTATTAATGTACATAAATGAAAACATTCTAAAATAGAGGTTTATGCAATGAAATAAAAACATTAACATTTATTTTCTCGGCGAATAAGTTTATTGTTCGTGCAAGTTAAATTATTGGTTTATTATTGGAAATCAAACACAGGTAATTTAATTGTATTGATAATTGTAATTACTATATTTTCACTAAAGATTTGAATAATTATATACTTTTAGAATAAAACATTAAAAAAATAAATATATTAGATTTATTTAGCTAAACTCCATGAATACTATTTAATAATAATTAAGGAAGTTTGTGATAAAATTTGTTTACAGAATTTTTATCATTCTTAAAATCGAATGTATATTATCTACTAGTGTTTTAGGTGTGAATGTTCAATTAAGCTGTCAATAAAAAAATGCTTCATGATTTAATAGTTTATACAATAAAATGACTTCTTTGTATGTATTTATAAACAAGTCTTAATGGTGTACGCGTACCTATTTATCTTTAAATTTTATAAATGTACTGGATTTATCTGTCATATTTTATTACAATCAACAGTTTTAGAACAATTAAAGGTTAAATTAATGAAAGACAACGGTAGTTGTACATTGTTAAAGACATTTTAACAGAATGGACTTGGGTAATTTACTAAAACCAAACAGCTACCAAAGTTCCCTAAACAGAGATCCAATAAATTTGAAGCAGCTGCCAACAAAAACAAAAAAAAATACATAACACATACATGTTCAATAAAATTATCTTTTTACTTGTAGAAATGTGATGAGGGTTTCACATTGAATTGTTACTCTACAGAGCTTATACATCAACAGCAAAAATATTTTGAATCAGAAACGCATTTTGATAATGAAAATAAAGTAAATACATCGCTTTAACCCTTTGAGCTCCAGACTGTACAGTGAATTTACCTATTTTTATGTTTTCTAACATAAAATCTCAATTATTTTCAATCAACTTTCGGTGGACCCACGCAAGAATTAAGGCAAGCAAAATGTTGCAAAAGTCTGGTTTGAGGTGAAATTCGCAAAGAATACCTCCATTTTGCCAATTTCCAACCTAGCCGACTACCATTTTAAATGGGCTTTTCTCACGAAGGTCAACCACGGAAAGTTGAGCTCTTCATGAGTGTCACATCAGACTTGACTGATGGGATTCAAACCCTCAACGTTTATGGAGACAATACTTCAAAACATTCCGCCATTGACCAGACTTAACATTTTTCCGCACCAACGACACTGGTCAACCAAAAGCCCCTCAATAACCCTCTCCCTAGCTCAAGTACTATCAGATATAGATTCCAGCCTTGTTGTACCTGACTCGTCCTAGAAATAGACATTCCATCCCATGTTAAAATTGGTGCCAGATTTTAAATGAAAATGGACGTAGTTGATTGAATTGGGCCATCGATGTAAATTGACATATTGTATTGAATTGTTCTGACGTAAATTACCGACTTATGTCGAATACATAAGACTTTTTCTGATAGAATTACTAATCGTAAGCGGTAGCATCTTTTATGTTACATTAACTATCTCAGGAACAAAATGGTTCTTTTTTAATTGAAAAAGGCTACTACACCAGGTTCATATGGATGGGATCTCTAATTCAATATCCAAAAGTGAATGGTAGTACCCGACTATACTCCGTTCACAAAATTTAGGCGATTAGAAGAAATCTATTCTATCCGTATGATCCTACATTAACAATAGCTCAACAGCTGAGGTTTACCAAAACGTCAGTCAGCTGAAACATATACATTAAACAATAAAAGTAGTGGGTGAACTAGGGTGAAAAAGAGTATGGTAGTAAAATTACTCTTGCCTTAAGTACATTAATCTGTAGCGGAAATTAAGACATTAATTTTGTATTACTATTTCAACAACTGGAGCTCAAAAGGTCAATATACCACATTGCCTGGAAAAAAGAACACACCCTCAATTATGAGCATGGCCGCCAACCGAGCTGAACACAGAGTCTAATCTAATGTTTACAACAACAAACACTTCTCAGCACCAAACGTTAGTAAGCTCATCTACGTGTTCTGCAGCAAGCTAACATACAGTACGTAGCGTTACGCAGCACACAAAAACCCACCGAAGAAGCTGCGGATCGTCTGCAGCAACGTGATAACAGCTGATCCGACATCTTGAAAGTACGACCCAGCTGTTAGGAACATGTACCCAGCTAGATCCATCATTGCGGCTATACAGTCCCTTGTACTAACACTGCCATCTACACCGATACAATACCAAAGCAACGTCATCAATCAACGGAGGTATGGTTAGCACAGTTGCCATTTGCTATAAATTCTTTTTTTGATTTCTACATAATAAAAAAAAGGAAAAGGTCTTTTTTTGAACTTTTTAGTGTTGGCAAGTTAAGGGTCCCCACCAAACTTAACTTAATTCAGGGTGTCTACTACGTTTTGGAGGGAAAATTCATGAATTAATCCTGTACATTTAAGAACACTTTCTCGTTACCTATGTCGGTGTTGTTACCAAATATATTTTTCTGATTTGTCGAACTGTATTAATCTTGTTCTTCACTGTAGTTGCACCAGAGGAAAAAGTAAGTAATCATAGACAAGGGTTAAGTTTCAAAATATAAATTTTTTGTAACAAGAAAAACATTGACTTTAGGTAAGCTTAATAGTGTAACAGAAACGCAATCACTGTCTCCCGCGATAGCGACAAAATTCTGAATATCTCCCGTGGTTGTGTGGTCTCATCATCATCATTGTCTCTGGCGGTAACAGAAATGTTATCATCGTCATCCGAGATCGTGGCAAAACCCTGAAAAGTTACAAAATTCACGGTTTGTTGTCGAGTGGGAACCCAATTTCAGTCCGACAAGCTAACTGAGAACAAAGAGTTGACAAAAATCTGCAGACGTGAGACAAAACATCCGCAAAAATTCTTATAAACAATCTTAACATTGAAAGAGTTAAAAAAACTTCATGAATTAATAATAACATCATTGTACTATTTTCAAAATGGCAAGAGTACTAAACACACTGTTCCTTTAAAACTGAAACTGAACATAAATCAAAGGCTCATCATACTTAAAAAAGGAAAATACAAAAATGAAGTTGAATGTCCAATAACAAGCATCTTTGAACAGTAGTTATCTACAGAGAAAAATCTGTTGTTATAATTTTGACAAAAGACAGCATTTTACAGATTTTACTTTCTAAACTAAAAAAGTTAACTGTTAAAAACAAATTTGTGTGATTGATTTAAATGCCTTTGTATTGTAAAGGTGTGATAGCGATACAGTATTCTCAAAGAACTACAAACACTCCATGCATGGTTCTATAAATAAACACCATTCACGATTGTTTCCCACGGGGCTGTTAACAGAAACTTAGATTTAAAAAATGTAGTATCAAGCAATGTAGATAAAAAATATCAACATTTCATCCACGAGATTGTCTGGTATAGTGTTTAAAATTATAGAGAAATAATGTGATTCGATTGTGGAATTACTTAGAGAAAACTGTGAATTGCAATAATCTAAAAATGTGTTGATTCATACTTTGTTAATTTAAAAATACTAACTGACATGACGGGAGATGTCTGCCTAAAAATATTACATGTACATCCATACAACAGATTTATTGTTATTTGGCCTCCAAAGTCAGTCGATCAACACAGGTTACCAATTCAATCCACAGATTTCTCTGGTTCTACAGGACTACCTTGGTTTTAGAATGGTTTTAAGATTTTTACACATTTTGTCCATGTTTATAATCAGTTGAGTATTTCTATTGATGATTTGTGTTATTTAGTTTAAGTAATCGTTAAATGTGAGTAACTCAACCAGTTTTATACTGAGAAACGCTCGAAAATAAAGGCATTTTAATTGATTGCTCTTTGGCTGGATTTGAACGTAGGCTTGCACAGCTAAAGATCCCAACAGCTGCACCACAACATGTAATTTAGCTAAGCTTTTAGTATAACAAGCATGCCATTCTCCTCAAATCCCTTTGAAAACCATTGTATTGTAGTCTTAGAGAAGCACAGAAATCTGAGGGGGATGGCTAAATTTATACCAACTGTTACGCCAAACCCAAACTGGACAAAATTTCAACACCTGCACACCCAAAATATGAATTAGCTACGTTTAAACCTTAGTTATAGAAACCAAAGCAAAGCATTAAATTATCATTTTGTATAAAAACTTTTTTTCCCTCAAATAATTTTAAATTGTTTTCAGTTTTCCTACATTAACTAACCATTAATATGAGTAGACATCTCATCCAACATTAAAGCTGTTGCCGGTTTTGGAACAAAAATTTAGATATTTGAATTGAACTACAATCTGCGCCTATATTGATTCCGATTTCTATCAAACACAGTAACTTTCTACCCAGCGAGTTGTAAAACTTAAGTCATATAAAACTGTCAAAGTATCAAAAATTTAGGGAGAAAATAGAATTTCAAACAGTAGCACACTCTAGGAATGGCTCATTGAACTATTGTTGACTAAAAAATAGCAACAGCCCGTCGACAAAGATGGAATGTCTACTTCGGTATCCAAAAGTAAATGCTAACCCCAAAAAAATGTTTATTCTGAGGTTCAAATTCCTTTTCAACAAACTGTTTGGTTATTGTTTCCATGATTAATTCAATACCTTAGACTAAGGGTTCATCCTGACTTGTTAAATCCGACTAAAAAAAATTGAATTTAAATGGTGATCAATGAACCCACAAATGTCTCGTCTTTTCTTAATTATTGTACCCAAACATGAGATTTCCTATGTGCACAATTACAATCGAACACCAGCAGGAGAATAATTACCTGTGGATGCAGAATGTGTAGGAGAAGCCTCTTCTTGCACCGCGCTCACTTGGAACCTCGACACCTTCCTGACGGCTGGCTTGGGCGACAACGGGACTTCTTCTGGTTGTAGTAACTCCTGCAGCAGAACAACAGTTTTTATAAGCTACTTACACCTCTGTCTTGCAAATCCTAATCTGACAGATCCAAACCTCGCTAAAATGAAACGTGCTTATGATACCTACTGTATTATTTTTGACAATGTCAATTGATTTCTAGAGCTGAAAGACAATAAAGAGATTTAAATTGATTTGATTTGATCCCCGCTAATTCGATAAAACACTAATATGATCCCTGCTAATTCAATAAACACACTAATATGATCACCGCTAATTCAATAAACACACTAATATGATCACCGCTAATACAATAACACACAAATATGATCCCCGCTAATCCAAAACACGCTAATATGATCCCCGCTAATAAAAAACACGCTAATATGACCCCTGCTAATCCAAAACACGCTAATATGACCCCTGCTAATAAAAAAAAAACGCTAATATGACCCCTGCTAATAAAAAAAAAACCGCTAATATGATCCCTGCTAACCCAAAACACGCTAATATGATCCCTGCTAATCCAAAACACGCTAATACGACCCCTGCTAATAAAAAAAATGCTAATATGATCCCTGCTAAGCCAAAACACGCTAATATTATCCCTGCTAATCCAAAACACGCTAATATGACCCCTGCTAATAAAAAAAATGCTAATATGATCCCTGCTAAGCCAAAACACGCTAATATTATCCCTGCTAATCCAAAACACGCTAATATGACCTCTGCTAATCCAAAACACGCTAATATGATCCCCGCTAATAAAAAACACGCTAATATGACCCCTGCTAATCCAAAACACGCTAATATGACCCCTGCTAATAAAAAAAAAAACGCTAATATGACCCCTGCTAATAAAAAAAAAACGCTAATATGATCCCTGCTAACCCAAAACACGCTAATATGATCCCTGCTAATCGAAAACACGCTAACATGACCCCTGCTAATAAAAAAAATGCTAATATGATCCCTGCTAAGCCAAAACACGCTAATATTATCCCTGCTAATCCAAAACACGCTAATATGACCTCTGCTAATCCATAACACGCTAATATGACCCCTGCTAAGCCAAAACACGCTAATATTATCCCTGCTAATCCAAAACACGCTAATATGACCTCTGCTAATCCATAACACGCTAATATGACCCCTGCTAAGCCAAAACACGCTAATATTATCCCTGCTAATCCAAAACACGCTAATATGACCTCTGCTAATCCATAACACGCTAATATGATCCCTGCTAAGCCAAAACACGCTAATATTATCCCTGCTAATCCAAAACACGCTAATATGACCTCTGCTAATCCATAACACGCTAATATGACCTCTGCTAATCCAAAACACGCTAATATGATCCCTGCTAATCTAAAACACATCCTCGCTAATTTAAATGACTGGCTAATCTGAACCACTGGAATCTAACAGTTGTGGGGGAAATCTTAAAATTTAAGACAACGCTGTGTCCAAGTAATAACCAAGGTGTCTAGCCAACCAGGAAACCGAAAAAAAACATGACCTGCTCGTGAATTTTTATTACCAGGAAAAAGTTGGTGAATTCACTTACAATTCACGGATTTTTTCCCTGTCTACATACAAAACTTGTATGGAACCAGGATGTTTTTTAAGACGGGAATCTTATAATAATAAAATGACCTTGAAAAAATCTGTTCATAAAGTTTGTGCAGTTAAAAATTCAATTAAAATGTCATCACAATTGCGGGGGATTATCATAATGTTGTGTTGCCACAATTTGGTAGAGGATCATAATTTCACAGCAAATTCAAAATCACAAAGTATTGAAAATCGAAGTGTTTAAATTAAATTAATAGTAATGTTAATTTAGGATAGGCCTATTTGCAATTAAAATATCCCATTAAGTAATTGTTATAAAAATTGTAAAAACTTTGGCAAACGAAAACCTACCTGAGGAACAGCCATTGCCTCATTACCCGAGGCGGAAACAGTTGTAATAAGTGGAACCTGGAAATCATAAAAAATTAAAAATCATGATTTACATTGCTAGTAGTTTTGTCTACCTGATGGCAGTGTATTGCTGACCCATACATCTTCTTATTAACAATACTGGCAAATATGAATCAAACAATATCTATTGTCATCGGGTAACACTGCTAGCTAAAACAATCAGCCTATTGTTGGTTAACCAATGAGCGCAAATATTGATGTACACAGTGTCTTAAAGATTTTCTAAAATTCCGTATCATTAGAATTGTGAGCCTATGCAACCTCGAGAGTACGTACAGGTTGAGGTGCAGTTGTGGAAGGCTGAGACAGGGCTGGTACAGGTCTGACAGAGCCATGAATCTTGGATAACTCCTGCAAACAACAAACATCATTGTATTATAATGTTATGCACAGTTTAAATTCAATATGTTCAAATTTCTAGCTTTCCATGATATTAGCTTCCTATTGACATTAGCCTAAGAAGACTGACAATATACATTTTACTCTCACAGAAAATCAGTGGCCAACAGCTGGCTTACCTTGGAAGAGTCCACATCGAGACAAAAAAAGAATCAAACGAAAAGCATATTATCTCCTGGGGGGGGGGGGGGTTTCCTCACTTTACCTGTTCTAAGTTTTGCAGATCAGGAGCATGGGGGACTGTCCGAGCCATCATTCTGTTATGCCTTTGTTCCATAGCCGTAGCAGTCACTACGGTCGAGTCTACCGACAACTGGAAAACATTTCAATCATATCAAATACGGTAAATTTTTTAAATGCATGAAAAAGATGATGACAAGAAAACTCTGTTCTGCTAGTAGAATATACGAAAATAGCAAATAATACAAGTTTTGGTGGAAAATTAAGTCAATTCACTCGCCTTCATAAGTCTAAGAAATAGAAAATTTATTGTAAAACTGAAGTAAATAAAAGGAAGGATGTGATTAATTATTACGCTGCATTTTTAAACAATGACAACTGAACTGTTTATTTATGATTCTTTTGTGTCCATCAAATTGTGTTCAACACTATTCAGTGATGTATGTTTTCATTCTAAAAAAAACACCAAATCTAATCAACAATAGATTTTATCTAAGTGATACCGGTAAAGAAACGACCCTCTAGGTCAGGCCTAAAGTAATCTCTAAAACGGTTCCAGGCTAGAAGTCTACGTCTGAGGATGTGAAGTGGGAAAAACCGATGTTACGGACAGTTGTACTTACTTGAGGTTTAAGCAGACTATGCGAGGTGGATATCGGAGGCAAAGCAGTATTGCTAGCAGCGGCCGCGGCGTAACTCATCACTGACATGTCAACTGAGCCGACTGGAATTTGTTTATATAATTAAAATTTACAATACACCATTGAATCAATAATGCGTTAAAGAATTACTTGTATAACTAAAAATTTCCTGAGCTCGTAATCTATTTTAAGTCGTTAATTTAGTCCTAGTTAAGTATTTACTTTTAGAAAAAAGGGTAGACATAACATCTATATGGGCCAGCTGTAACTATTTTTTATTGAAAAAGAACTCAGTAGAAACAGCCACTCCCATTGTGAACTACCTTCAAAATAATAATTTCTCTCTTATTTCTTTACACTGCCATGGTTGATGTTACATAGAGATGCTATAGGCCTAGTTTCTATAAATTGTCTAGCTTGGGTAGGTTAAAAAGTTGGTGTATTCAACAGAAATCCGTGATTCACTGCACTGTTTTGTGGCTCACTTCACCTGCAGAAAACTCCTTTTAAACGCATCCTGCTAAACCAAAGCCTGGTTAATGTTGGAAACCCTTATGGTGGCTGGGTTCTGAAATTTTTGGAAAATTTTCAATTTCAAGGGGAGTGAATTTAATCTGGGATTTTCTTGGGACTTGATTTGCTCTGATTGTCAATGATTTAACTGCGATCAAGTGATGAGGTCTCTGCGATCACGGGATACAATAACAAAAGAAAATCCTTTCCTGAATGTTAGAAAGGAATGAAAATCCTGTACCGAGTTATAAACTACAATCCAGTCTATCTACATGAAAACAATGAAATGAGTGACAGATGGACCACATAGAGATAAAATGTCTACTTTAACATCCAAAATTCAATTATAAATATTTTTAGCAAACTACTTCCACTAACCAGGTGTGACGGGAGGCTCGTCTGAGTGAGGTATGGGTATGGCCACAGGTTGTGACACGGTATGGGCGGGGACTAGAGCTCCACTGCTGGGGTCCTCTACACTAGGCGGGGGTGGCAACTCGTCCGTCGGATAGTCAAACTCCACTGGTGTAGGTATCATGGACTCCAGGTGCGGTAAACTGTGACCGTGGCTGTGGATGGTGCTCTGTGGAGACAAGGTACCCTGGAAACACACAAGTGAAATAGACTCTGGATATTTGTAGGGGCAAACGATTATAGATGCCTAATTTGATATGAATTTATTATTTAAAATCATTGCCGTTGTAGTCAGGAACTACAATATTGACTGATTGGCTTTACATTAATTTGGAAAAGGTAACATAAAATTATTTCATTTATCATTGTTTCGATAGACTAATACATGTTACGTCTAAGTAACACTTAAAGCGGTTCCAATATAAAAACAACCAAAATGAGACCATTTTTCGAGCTAATTTATTTGGGTAAACGGTAAACAATCTACAAATGTTATGTTTTGTAAATTATTTAGCTAATGAATGGTGTAGTGAAGCGAAAAATATAATTCATCAACCTTGAAGCTAACTTGCTTTTGAACTTTAAATCAAGCCAAAAAAAGTCACTTTTGGCCCAAGTGACGAAATATACTAATAAATCGTACTCTGGCCTAAATATTCGATATTGATACTCAAACTTGACTTTTACAACAATACAGACATATTCAAAGAGTTCTACCGTTTCCAAAATACACCCCCCTCACCCAGAATACACAACAACTCTAAACATTTGTATGTGCAGGACAATAAACAATAACCAAACTAAACGTTGTGCAACTATACTTTATACATTGTAGAGAATTGTTAGCAGTTGTCAATAATTCCAAGACAAACGGGTTCGAGACAACAATTGGTGGACAACAGATGAACAATATTATATACAATTTTGAGGTAGGGAATAGAAAAATATAACTCATCACATATTATGTATGAGCAAAAAAAATTACAAGTTGTTTTTTTTACTTTTTGAAAAAATATTGTATAGTAATAATATTTTGAAAATAATGCTTTAAGAATTTTTTTTATTAGTTTGTAAAATCCAATCTGAAACTTTAGCTAAATATAATTTTTAGCAAAATTACAGTACATAAATAATTAGTGAGATGTATTTAAAAATAAAATAACGAAAGCAAATGATTCTTAGGATGAGTATTTTTAAACTTTTTCATGAAAATAGCCACAATTTATTTTAATGTTGCTTACACATCTCTAAATCGACAAGTCATAGACATATTGACGTGAGAATTCAACTCGCTCAATGTAAAAATTTAAAGAAAATTTAGTAAACTAAATATATAGTCTAACGTTGTTTGGTGTTTTGGTAGATAACTTTTAGTTCACAACAAAGCTTAGTTACAAAAACTCTCTTTGGTGCTGAAAATTAATAGGAATGAGTCCACTTTGGTGTAGAATAGATTGTACCAATTACGGTGTTCAAATTCCCTTACTCAATGGGTAATCTACAAACACAATATAGTCAATGATGAACGACAACAAAAACAAAATCTATACAAAAATTACTATACAAAAATGTGTTATAGATGAATAACCAGTTAAATTACAGTGATTTATGAGTTCAAGGCTAGACAAAAGGTGAAAAACTATTGGGTTTCATTGACTGCTTACGTCGTTACTATCAAAAGGTTCCTCCTCAACGAAACTCAACTGACTGTTCAACTGATTTGGAACATCAATTGTGTCCTGTGCCTGGAAAACGTTATTAATAACAATATTTGTCAAATTTTATTTAGAAATAATTTTTAAACGTGAAGCAACCATCTACCATTTAATTAGCCTCATCAAATAATTGGTTTAAAGGTAACATACCTTACTGCCAATAATTTTAAGCTATCAACAAGATGATGGGTGTTTTCTGGGCGATTATTTATTGAAACAACGACTTGCCATTCTTACAGCAATGTGAATGATTATTTTGGTTTTAAACTAATTAAATTATTTTAACATGGAATTAAGGTACATTTTGATGAAGTGTTAAACAAGAGTCTATCACTGAAGGAACAAAAAAAATCAATATTTAAAATAAAATCATAAAACACAATTAAAAATGTATTTGTAACTTTGAGTAATTTTCAACCACCAATGAACGTTTTTACAAAATTTTTTTAAACAAAAACTTCTGTTCAACACTTTCTAATGCAAAAATCTACCCATTTTGTGAAACTAGTGCATATTCATATTCATATTCAAACATCTTTATTTGTCATAAATCATAGTACCCCATTTTCCTGCAATGCCCTATCACTTTTAAGTTGGGGAAAAACTTTTAGCACAAAAATGTTAAAATATTTGTCTTTTTTAAAATAATTCACTGGCCCACACTCTTACTCACCAACGGTTGGCTGATAGACGCCAGTTTCTGTTGCAGCGCGTACATGTACGTGTCGTAACTCGCCTGGGTATGAGGTGTCGGAGGGTGAGACGGAGGAGTACCTCCGATACTTAGCTCCGAGGGTTGTGATGTCAACTGCACCAACTTCTGCTGAAGGTCTGCGATCGTCTGAGGCATTGCTCCGCCACTACCACTAGGGAAAAAAATTACCAGTTTCAATAAAAAAATGATAATTCCATAAGGTTTTATAAGTATGCGTCTATCGATTTAAGCCCTAAAATTCCATTCACTACTGATTATTTCACTTTTTTTATGTGTTAAGTCATGATGATGTATCAATATTGAATGAATGATAAAAATACTACAGGAACACATCTGTGAGATTTTATTGTATGAGTATTTCTGTTACATTTTTCATACACATGGAGTAGAATAAGTAATCCATCATGCACTTTACCAGAGCAAAGTATTGTTTTGTTAATTGTTAATGGATATGGTACTCAAAAAAGATTGTCTCTGTATCAAATAGTTTGGAGTAGTCACTGGTTATTTTACAGTAGTTTTCACCCGCCAATGAACGATTCTACCGAAATTTGTGTAATCAAAATACAAACACTAATGCAAAATAAATTTAACCCTAAAATTTATGCGTCACTCTTCTTGCAGTGCTCTATCACTTTCAGGGAGTTAACAAAAAACTCTTAGCATTTGTAGAAAAAAACATGTTTATAAGTCTATGAAAAATCTGAAAGACAAACTATCAGTGATAACTACAACAGTAGGGGAGAATTGCTTACTTGCTGTTGTCCAGTGAGTTCTGATGACTAAGACGAGGGTGAGAGTCGCCCGGGGGCATGATGGTAGTGTCAGGAGTTCCCATTGATCCTGCGCCAGAACTGAGACCCGATTTCAGGCCGTCTTCTCCTGAAACTAAACCTTAAATTGTCAGAAACACCCAATTTAATAATTTTTTTTATTGTCTACGCCAGTGGAGTTTAGTATGGAAGAATAATTAACTATTTTAAGGGAAAGTGGTTAAAATTCATCAAATGTTTGAAGATATGCGGGGAGTTTAACCCAACTCTCACACCAAAGTCTGAGACGCAACCCACTAGAGGCTTGGAACACAAATAATTATGATTATGCACCATAAATTGTAAACCGGACAAAATTTGCATCTGTAAATGTATTACTGCATGAAATATTAACTGAACAAAAAAACTACAACAAACTAGAATCAACAACTTACCGTCATTGGTTGGTGGAGATACATCGGTTGTTGGGGGTTGACTTGGGACTTCCTCTGGCTCACCACTCACCACCTGATAAACAACCCTTTAAATATGCTAAAATAAACCATTTAAAATAAAAACATAAATGAGTAAATGTCTGAGGAATTTTATAAGCTTCAGTTGTACTCTCAGAAGCAAAATTAACAAGAAAAGTTATTTTTAAGGTTAGGGTGTTTTTTAATTAGACGGTTGCTGATTTTTTTTTAGGATTGATTGTAAATCCAGCTGTTTGTCATTGGACATTAACTATATAGATATTTTGCAAAAACAGGTTGATATTATTCAATGACAAGACCTTTTAGACCTGTATCAGAGTTTAGGTGGTTTTCTTACACAAGTTTTAAAATTCCTCTTTTTATTAGTACAGATAATTTAAAAAATGGAAATCCCAATTAATAAATTATTTAGTCATACTTGTTTACAGTACCTTTGTTGCAGACTCAACAACGGGGCTAACCAGGAAGCGAGAAATCTTACGCATCTGTAAAACAGTAAGTGTGGATATCAACATCAAAAGATTAACTATTATTAAATAGCTTAACTTACTCCCTATATGAAAAAATCGCTAAAAATAGAAAAAAGAGGAAAATGCTAAAAGAAAATTATAAGATAGATGGATAAGAAAACAAGAACAAAATAGTGACAGTAACAAGGGGACATTGAACTAAAAAGTATAAATGGATAAAATTGTCAAAACAATGAATAGGAATACAATTGACTTATTGTGTAGTATATTTTTGTAGGATAACACACTTCTATTGAAAAACAAAAAAATAGACTAAATCCTCCACACCTTCAAACCATGTTAAGCTCAACTTCGTCCAACGTAAACACTCATGATTAAACACTAATTTAGAACAGACAACATTGAAAACTTTTGTTATATTTTTTCAAAACAAACTTTCATTAAGAAATTAATAAGTGTTTTTTATCGTGGTAAAAAATAACACTTCCCTAAAACCAAACAGTGTGTTCCCTCCTTCAATGTATTTATTACTGTGTAGTACTCTAAAAAAAAAATGAAATCAGAAAACAGGTTAACATTAATAGATTCAAGAAGGGAGCTACTTCAAAAGCCATACAATTCTAAATCAAACTCACATTAAAATTACAAATAAGTAATTGATACTTCTGCAACAGTTTTAGAAGAGGAAAAATAAGTACTCTACTAACACATTCCCACGGAATAATAAGAGATTGTTTTCGTTTTGTCCTAAGACGCTAGGTTTGAGCCTGGGATTGTTTTTCACATTACTTCAGGCTGGACCTAGAGGTTGCGGCATTATCACTTAGATAAAATCAATTGGTGATTTGGCGGGATTTGAACCCGGGACCTCGGGGACTGAAGTCCTGCGCTCTAACCACTAAACCAGCTTGCTCCCCCAGTTTGTATGGAATAATATAGGATGGAAGTAACTGTAACTTACAATACAAAGTATCTAATAAAAATAATTTATGAACAAATTATAACTTTCGTAAGAATTTTCTTTTAATATTTTCTTCATTGCTAAAAATATGTTGGAAAATTTTTTTATTGAATTTAAAATACCACCTAGTATAAAATACATATCTTATTCAAAAAAAGAACTTAAGATTTTTTCATCGGATAGGAAAAACACCAATGTGTTAAGGTTTTTTTTTACTTTAATCTACTTACGGGGGTAGGTTTAGAAACCGGCTGCTCTTCTACAGATTTACTGGAAGTTTCGTCCCTCTACAAAAACAGCAACACATGAAAATCAGTTTTAACTCTCGAGCTCACCTATTTTATAACCAAGTTTTATAACCTAGTTGATATAGTTATTTTAACAAACAATTATTCCAAATGGGTTCAAAACTAATTTTTAATTCAACCAATTGTTTGAAACTTTATATTGGAGTAAAAAACGAGTGAGAAATTGATAGCTTAACTTAATTTTAGTGCTATGCTATTCTTTGTATACATACTCTTTAAACAAATTTGGAAATTATCTACAAAGTGAGCATAGCTTTAATTTACAGACAGAAAGTAAAAAGTAAGCACTAAAGTAACAATTCTTTACAACAGTTCAGGAAGCGAAGACGTAAATTAACTAAAACAAATTTTTACTTTTCAAAGCTCTTTAAGCTCGGCTCATTAAAAATAATCATTGAAGCCAGAGATTGAACAACAAATAAATGGCCATTTTTGAATGTTTGTGCTTAAAAAGCGTTGCTGATATTAAAAAGAGTTGCGTGTAATTTTGTATACCCATTTACATCTAGTTTACAAAACCAGTCAATCTTTTTTAAGTGTTTAAAATCGGTCAACGATTTTTCAATTACAACATGAAACAATAGGAATACATAGCGAATTCTGGAACTGTTTTGTACATGCCCTCTTTGGACAGGCAAAAAAGAATTCATGAAAACGCTAAATATCCAAATTTAACTATTGATTGGTAATATTTATTATGAAGTTAAAAAACATGAATCTTACTAGTTCTACATAACAAAGTTAAACCAAATATTTATTACATAAATCCTTACCCTACACAGACTTACAAATTGACACTTTTACAAGAAATACCCTCAGCTATACAACGTTTGAGAGAAGAACACAAACAAGAGAAAATCGAAGCGAAGCATGCACAAACGTAAATTTAACAGCCTGGCAAGAAAGAGAAGTGTGAAGCTACTAACGGCTATTTACGTGCGGCAAACTTACGATCAAGCTGCAACTCCCGACATCTCATCTGAGCTTTAAAACTTATGTTTGTAAAAGCTTGTGAAACTTAGCTGTACGCTCATGTCAAAGCCGATAACGAAATTGTGATAAAAGTTACTTCCTCGGTGGAAAGCATTTCCAAAAATACTTTTAGGTTGCAAAAACATGTGCTGTTTGAAAACGTAACTCGATTTTATCAAGGAAGCCAAACTTTTGCATATTATAATGATTATATTTAAATATTATACGAGACAAACATCAAACATTTTTATTGGCCAACTGGATATTGATAAACTATTAATGACAGATAAAACATTATTAAGAACCAAACTGTTTCAATTATTTTATCAATTCGAACAGTAACTTAAAAAGTTATAACTAACTATAAACATAAATAAAATTGAATAAGAGCACAGCACATTTTTTTAAATAGTTAAATACATACTTTGAACTATTGTCAAATCTATTTGGAGCACTTCTATATCAAAATGTATAAAAATACTTATAAAAAATTATTGCCTCTCTATATATTAATATATAAGATATCTGATTACTTTTCAAAATGCACAGAAGTACCTATTTCAGCTACAAATAATAACTAAACAGTGAACAATGAATGGAAAAGACAGAACAAGAAGATTCGGAAAACTTCTGATACTCTAATACTGTAAGTTGTGCATTTTCCTACAGAACATCCAAGATCGAGACCAAATCCAATATATTCTCAAATTTTACTTCCACCATCCTGGTATATTATGTGGTGTACAGGGTGTCCAGTATTTTCACATCAACATTTGACAGCTTCTTATCTCAGATTAGGTGCTATCTCAGCTTATTAACAGGGAATCAATAACAACATGTATAACACATAGATTCAATGTCATAGGGAAATATATAAATGAGAGATGGTCTATCGTTGGATTACATTAAGAAGGTAAGCTTAAAATTATTTTATCGCCTAACCTTTTTTGAAAAAAAAAAGAATGTAACAGGTGAGAGTTTTGAGGTTATTTTTTGTGTAAGGCCATGGCGGTCTTGCTTACGATCGAGTGAAAAAGACCAGTACCGGTATAAAGATAATTGCAAATTGTCTTTCAATCTTTCTGAGAAGGAAGATAATAATTAAAGAAATAATAATGATCAATACGGAAATTATAGTAAATCCCTATGAGAGCAAAAAAATTTGAATTCATCTTTGTAATTGGGTAAAGCAATTTCAGTAGGCCAATGGGTCAACGTAGTCCTGGCGATCTAGCCTCCTCCAACCTCTTTCAGGTTATACAAAATTTATGCACGCAAAATAATTGTATACGTTAAAACACTCTGAAAATGAATTTCCTGGTCCCCTGGACACCCTGTTGACGTAACCTAAGTGTGATATCCACTCACCGATCTGTGGCGCCGATGTGTCTTGATGTGCGCCGACCGCTGGCGCGTGAGCGAAGGGTGACGTACCTGAGCCATGCCAGGGGGTGATAGATACAAGGTTAACAACATGTAGTGGCATCTAGCCCACTCTCACACACATTCCACCACTAACCCCTACTGCGAGATCGTAATTTACATTGTTCGCTAGCGGCATGATTCACGCAGGATAAAAGCTTTTGCAAGAGTCGCTCATGGGAAAACGGCAGTACAGAAAAGTTACTGTATTTGATAACCTAAGTCTCTTTGGCAGAAGAGAATTCTAGAAAGTAGCTCCTTAAGCTGTTATGTATCCACTGTTGTTACTTTTACCACCGTGATAAAAGAGGCATAGTGCAAGCCGCCCTATACGGCCACGGGTGATTTAAAAAATAACAAACACACCAGTAAAAGGAAACTAGATATTAACTTGGAAAATTTACAACAAGTAAAACGTTATCATCTTCAGATTATATATTTTTAATTAACTAAAATTGTGTGGAAGTATTTTCAATTTTATTCCTAAGTGTTCAGTTAGTTACAATTTCGGGAATAAATTCAAATCATTTCCTAAAACAAAACCTAAAGGAAACAATCGTAAGTTTTCAGGACTTTGGCCCCATACATAAATAACAATATTTGGCAAAATGGCCACTTTCACATAGCATTTTGGACAACAATAATGGAAGCTATATTGAAGATTTGTCTAGACGTTCACAATAAAATGATCACTTGGTCGACATATTCAGATACATATAATGATTACAAGCTATTTTATTTTAATTACTTTTCTGCATTAACACTAATTTGGGCCGTGTACAGGAATCACCCATCCTAAGAATGTTAAGGAAACCATAGTGATAATATAAACCAAGCAGCATACGATTGAATAAAAAATTATCTACTCAACATAGGAATTAGTTTTTTTTTATTTACATATTAGAAAAAAATTAGACTTATTTTAAGTTAAAGTTAAATTTAAGTCCTAACAAAAATTGTGAAGAATTACATCCTTGTCAAAATTAAACCTTGAATTCAAATTATGTTGGCTGTTGCCTGTTGAGTTTAAAATCGTATCAAACAATCAAATTGCGATGACGCAGCAGAGGTAGTGTAGCGAACCCTGAACCCCATACCCATTGAATTTCAGCAAAAATAAAGAAACATTTTGATAGCAAGACTTTACACTCAAAAAAGTATCTAAACATTTATTGATACGCTCAGTCAATTCATCAATAAAACCATAAAAAAATCCTTTAACCATTTTTCAGAGCAAAAGCAAAATTGATCCAAAATAGATATAGATGGTAAATGGAACAAAAAGATCCAGCGTGAAAGGTAGAATTTGTCTGTAAATGCAAGTATGAATGTATAGAATGAGTGTAAGAGAGTGGGCTGTTTCTAGAACAGTGCATTAATTTATTTACGTGCAACATAGACTGGGCTTGCCTTCAACATGTTTTTCTTGTTTCAGTTTATTTTGTAGGCTACATATTTGTGATTTAATTATGAATGTCAACAAGACTGACTGAAATTCTTTGAGAATGGATTGTAACAGCAGTTTGGTATAAACAATTGGTAACAAAAATCAACAACCAAAAATCTGACTTTTGAAATCAACATTGAAAATTTTTATGTAAAACATTGAGGGATTCCTTCAACATTTGAGCAATTATATTTGTTTTGACGATGAAGAGTTGTCAAACCATTTTAGTAAATGGACTCTTCAATTATCTTAACCATTTAAGGCGACTTTTTGACTCATAAGATTCATCAACAAAATTTACCAGAGACAGGATGGGTCTATGAGGCCAAATAACGGCAAGGTATCAATGACATGAAGTAAGAGTTGGTTTGTCAGAAAATAAGAAATTTACAAACCAAAGTTTTGAAGTAAACCCTAATAAGTAAAGAAATTTTATTGACAGTATAATGTAAAACCATGTCTTTAACATAGTAGAACTGATTTTAATTAGTCTGTTAAGGCTTGGATAAAAAAATCACGTTAAATATTTTGGATTCATACCAAACAATAAAGAGCCAAAGACAAACCCAGTCTCGGATGTTAGTAAACACACATTAGAGACACTTATGTTAAAGTAACTTGTATGCGATGATCGTAGTAAAAAAGAACAGATATATTTTAAAGTAGAAATAACATTGTTGCTGATTTGTTTTAACAAAATGTTGAGTTTAACACAAAAAGATATAGCTTCCAAAATAAAAATACACTTTAGGAAATCATCATGATTCAACACTCGGTGAAAAATGCATCAACACAAACAGTACAAATATGAATGTGGTTCTATCAATTGTCAAACCTTATGACAATTCTCGACTATTTCTGTCTTAACCAGCCGAGAAAATAACGAAATCATCACCCTGTCCAAACAAAAAATTAAACTGAAGATCATAGAACTTGTGAAAGTTAAGAGTGGTTTGAAAATATGAATATTATCTCTTCTTGGACTACTATACTCAAAAAATACAATATGGTTCAAACTGTTTAACAAACTTTAAGTGCCACAGTGATTTTAAGAATCAATGTGAAGCAAACCCGGAACAGAACATTTTGTTCACGGTGTAAGAAAAAAACCTTGATAATTGAACATCCTAACAGAACCAAAAAGGTTTATCAAAATAGGTTTTTGGACTTAAGTTTTTGCATCAATGTTTGATACGGCAACCTGTATCCCAAAGCATAAAACAGATCAAACTCTTTCATAATTATGTACAGACCACAAGTTCAAACAATCATTATAAGCGTTCAGAACAAAATTTGTATACTGACACTTTACATTGTTGTAAATTTGTATATGAAATGTGAACGAGTGCAATCTGGCACAAGAAACACAAAACTTTACACCATGCAAAACATTACAATATTTCACTGTCACTAACAGCATTTTCAACTAGGCCTACGGAAAGTACAAGCTGGACAGGCCTAATGTCTCTCTTCGACGTAAGAGTTGAAAATAGCGTCAGTTACAGTTAAACATTGTAATGTTTCATGAACAATGTGAAGTAACATGTTTCTTGTGCCATACAACTCATTCCCATTCAGTTAAGCCTGTCCTCACAAACAATTCTAAAAAACTAGACACCCTAATTTTTACACTGTTTGTTTTGTTGCATTAAAAATAAAAGACTCTACGAGCCGAAGTATTGACCACTTGCACATGATCGGACACCGACAAGCAAGGATTGTAAGCAGTTATGCAAACACAGTATAAACTAGGTAAAGCATACCCTCGGTTTTCTGATAGGACTGCCAGTAGAATCCAGCACTGGCAACTTTTCCGGGGTTTCCTTCAGTTGTCTGACAAGGTCTTTCAGCAACTCAGTTATCAGTTCCGCGTGGGCGCTCGGCAACAGCTTTTCGCTCACCTGGAATATGTTTTATGTTGAGTGATTTCAAAATTTTACAAAGTAAATAAATACAACCGAGATTGCGATGGAGGAGTCAGGTGCTGAAGGATGTGGCTGGGTTGGGCACTACTGAGGCAGCGGAGAATAGAGAAGAGTTGAGAAGCATCGTTGGCGAGGCCAAAAACCTTCTGAGGTTTCAATGGCCAAGAAGGTAAGTAATAAATACAACTGGAAACAAATATTTTACAAAGTGTAAGCAGTTTATTTTCAACAGTTTGTAATGTAACGCACCTTCTAAAGAGACAAAATCTGGATAGGAAAATTTAAGTAAACTAACCAAAAAGTTGGAGTTTAAAGAAATATGTATCGTTAACGTATTTACTTAGGCTATTTTTTTAGGATTATGAATGGTACAGGGGATTACAAATTTGTGAATTTTACCAACAGTAAAAGCATGTTTTCATTTACAATTTCTTCCTACTGATACAAATGACAACCTTCTCTACCATAAAACAAACTAAATTACATTCGCCTATTACCAAATGATGATTGGAGTGTCCAATTTAAATTGATCACCCCACAATCTTTTATCTGACTTTACCATTTTGTAAGTAAACAGTATAGCATAATTGTAATTAGACATATTTTCATTTTCTTTCCGGATGAACGGACTCACCAGGTTGTTAGCAACATCAGCTGGCACCGTGTCGTCCAAGTTAAAGCGGAACGTGACAGTCTTCTGTTTGCTCGTCTCCAACTGGCATTCGATCAGTCCGTCCTGAGCACTTAGCACAGTCAGCTTAGGTCCTGTAGGTCTGCTGCGTCGCTTCACTGTCAGTCCTCGTTTGTTGTCCGCTGTCCTACAATATTAGAAGAAAGTCAATTGTTTGTAGTCTTTTGTTCTACAACATTATTGGAACATTAAAAGTTTCGCTGTCTATTTTGTAACAAAATTATTGCAAAGTTGATCGTCCTTTATCCTACAACATTATTGGAAATATTTTTTGTTTGGTTTTAAATGTTTTGCAAAATTATTGGTAAGTGTTACCAGTTGTCTAACAACACAATTTCAAGGTAAATATTTTTAATACAATGGATAATAATACTAAATAATGCCAATTTTGCTAGCAACATATCAATTTACTTTCTAACAAATAAACACTTTCTACTTCCTTAAAATACACCAGTAAATGGATAAACTGTACCTTTCCCCCTTAAGTTTTGTAGAGCAGCTCTATAAAATTACTTGAATTCAAGCCAAATCTTCAATACCAGTTTAATTAAAAACTAAACAAACATTTCAGAAATTTGAAAAACAAGCTGTTTTAACCCCTAAAACATTCTTTTCTATTTTCTTATAAAGTTAAAAATGTATTTCCAAACCCTCAATATCATGTTGTTCTGACTTTAAAATGTAATAGCTAGTTGAATAGTATAATTCATTTGTATGTGATGATAATAAAAACACTATTTCATTTTATTGTTAGATAAGTAAAACCAAAATGAAACAATTAATTATCAGTAATGAACAGATTTAATTAATACCGATATAGAACTATACTAATATTTAAAAACCTGGTAAAACTTACATATCTGTTGTAGCAGCTGAAGATGAAACATCCACTTCACTGCCACCAGCCACCGTTGATATCTGTGAAATTATTTTCAAAAAATCGTTAAATAAAAATAGTAATTAAATTTAAATGATTTGTGCAGATAAATTTGTTTTGCCCTGACAATTTAATGTCTTTACTTCTAAATACTACTAGACAGTATGCTATTTTTTTAAGTGATAAGAACACTATTGATTAGTTAGAGACCTATTACATTGTAGAGTAAATAAGTTTAATTTCTTGTGATATTACATTTGAAGTTTGTAAGAAGTATGACCTATGGTTAATGTTGTTGATAAAAAAAAAACTATTATTGTTATGTGGGTGAGGATTTTACTCAAGTATTTTGAGGATATTGAATATTTTATATCTATTATCTATTCAGCTATTTAAATAGTTCATTAAAACCCATTTAAAAATACATATCATATTAACTTACCACACGTACATTTTTTGGGCATCTGGCAATAATTAAGTTCTAATGTTATACATTTCAAAGCGCAACAAAGAATAACTGACTAAGAGTGTTATTATTAGTAGTTTATGATATTTTTTAAGCATTAGATAGTGATTAGGTTGAGTTGAAACAATGAAATTTAGTGATCTTGGATTTTTTTTTATTACTCACTTTATCTATGTTTAGCTATAAGCTTGTTAGCATGAATTTCCTTCGTAAGCAGCAATATCCGATGATTACTTCAATGATTTTTCAAACTATTTTACAATTAAGGTGCAGACTAAGAACAGTGAACAGATACTGTGATTTAATATATTTACTCATTACTAATACTATTTTACTATTGTCTTCCAATTTGCTAAGTCAATTTATGTTTGACAAAGGAGAATAGAGGTTTCATAAAAAAAATTGTTTGCGTGTAAAAAGGTTGAAAAAACAAGAACCAAAGGTAAAATAAATTTGGCTGGTAGAAATAAATAAAAATACTACGGTGAGCCATTCTCTATGAATAATAGCACTTGAGGTGATCTGTTAAAGTAAGACAAGACTACTGAAATATATAGTTCATGACTAATATTTGGGCCCATTTAAAAGAGCTAGTAGCAAAACATAGCATATGTGATAAACTGTTAAAGCCAAGTAACCCTCCTCAAGGGTAAACACTTAATATAAAATAAACAGCAAACTGAATGATTACAAAAATGAAATATTTGTCTACTGTTCTTCGACTTACACTAAATATACTAATTTTCTAGGTTTACTGTAAAAGCTAGAAGCATGATACAAACCCCACACGACTAGCAAACTACTAAATATATATGAAATATTTAGTTACGATAATTACAAATACCTTTTTACAGGTGCGAACAAAAATAAATAATTAAATAGTATAGTGGAAAAAAAAAACTTAAAATTGTCAATGCAATATTTATACAGGCAACAAAGAAAAAAAAACTTCAATAGTATCGATTCTGACTCTCATAAATAAATTAAATATAACTAGTTATATGTGAAACTTGTCATCTCTACAGCAAATATGTAACCAGTGGTGCAGGCATGAACCATGCAAGTGCTTTTAAAATCCCATACAACAATCAGGAACTGTGCGATCCAAAACATTACCTTGGAAATCTGTTTGAATCCAGTATAACAACGATGCAAACAGGTATGTTGTGCAAAGTCAACATTAAACATAAACATGCTAAGGAGAACATAGACCATGCGAGGATTGTCGTTTATATAGTAAATTATAGTTTGATCATTTCCGATTTTATGATGGCAAGAATGCTAGAATGATTTTTCAGTAACAAACAATATTTCAACGTGTGTTCGTATGTACTGTAAATTATGCTTTTTTAACATCAAGTACTGTAATATCTTTTAAGTTTGCTGGAAGATTTTCAACAAAAAAACCAACGTCTGGTTTCTTTGGATTAAAATGTTGTTTATCGAAAGCTGATTCTCTGTATGGTCTTAAAGAAATAGTTAAAAACAGTATGGTACTTTGGTATTATCCGGAGACCACTTATTTTAGAGATTTTTTTACCGAAGACCAAAAATAACTCCACAATTGGAAAAAAACATACTTTAATTGACTTGCAGTCCAAATTTGACGTGATTATGATTAGCGGCCTTTGAGTTCTGCCTCCCAGAAGGCAGCGATGTTGGCAAGGATTGAGTTGAATGCGTCGCCGCTGCTATACTCCGCCAAGTAGGTATACAGCGCACTGCGGCGGTTATATTAGGTTGAGTTATCAAAAATGTGTTTGTAGGACTTTCCTCGTTTGGTTATGAATCGAACGATGCCAGATGAGTCGTACTTTCGCCTGCCAAATACCCCATATACAGGCGGTCACAGATGATGCGTGCGCTCCGGTCAACTACATGACATTTGCCTACTTGGAGGGGATTTGGCGTGCGGAAATATGACCGTTTGATTCATAACGAAACAAGGAAAGTCCTACAAACCTATTTATGATAACCCAACCTAACATAACCGCCACAGCGCGCTGTATAATGGTGGCCTCCGGATAATACCAAAGTACCAACAGAATATTGACTAGAAAATCAACAATTGACAACAATTGCATCTAGGTGTAAATTTTTATTCAAACGCCAGATCAAAAATAAATTTAATTTACAAAATAATGTTAATGTAAAACCTCACTAACTCGACACCCGGTAACTCAACAGTCAACAGCTGACAGGACAAACATCTAGCTAAATTTGTCTTACTAGTGTGTTTGACTTTTCAAGGAGCATTTCATATAATTTAGTTCTAATTGTTGAATATTTTACATTTCTTTGGAGATTGTTATTTAACATGTAAAAATACTCATGTAAGTATTGAATTTATGGATAAATCGACAACCTCTGGGTCCACAAATTGTTGAGATAGTGAGGTTCTACTTTATGTACTTTCAATCATTTGTTGTCTTGAATTTGTTGCAATTTAAACTGAAGCTAATAAACTCATTGACACAAGCTCCTGAAATTACACTGACTGAAAGTATCTCAAATAACAACAGGTTAAATATAAAATCATTGTGGATTGGTGATTTTTAAAATGGGACCATTTGCTGCGGGATTCTTTAAGCACAAAACAGTGTACCCACTTTTCTACATTGTGTATTCCATCAATGAAGGACATTAGATGCCAAGCTGACTTCACAATTTATTTATTTATTTAGTTGTCAGACTATTCAGCAATTTCGGCAATTTACATTACATCTAAATAAATTCTACAACATTTTACTGAATAATTTTAAAATTAGATGCAAATTCACACTGAATCGCTAACTACATTGGACGAGTTAAAAAAAAAAAATCAAGATCTAAGTGAAAAAATATTAAGGAAAAGCAGGCTAGACGCATGCATACCTGGTCCAAATCATTTCCCTCTGGGTGCCCCTCGTTAGTAACTTCTACAGCCTCGCTTGAATTAGTTACAGACAATGGTTCCGTTAGCATAAGCTGTTGACACTGGCAATCTTCACTAGAGCATTGGTGGTCTTCACAAGACATTTTTCGCTGAAGCTGTTCTACAATTAATGGTGACTGGGGGGCACTGAGAAAAGCGTGGGTTAGTTCTAGCGAGTTCATCGGTATTTCAGTTGCAATCGGCTCGTAATTGACCGTCTCTTTCGGTTGATCGGGAACAGAATTCGCTACAAACACCGTTTGTTCCTGTGGTATTGGCATCGGTGTAGCAACATTTGACGATTGAGAAGCATACTGTTCCTGTTGGGGAGGAACTGAATTTGAGTCAGAAAATGTTGGCGGAAATTGTTGCCCTGTCTGAGGGGGAATGAAAGTTTGGTTTGGAACTGGAGCTGTGAAATGAGTTTGCTGATTGGCTGGTACAAAATTTTCAGCTTGGGTCGTTTGTGAAGGGAAATTCACCTGTGAAGTGAAATGCCCCTGATTGGGCGCCGGTGCAGTAAAATTCTCCGTACCAGCCTGATGTGTGAAATTCCCCTGCGGCAAAGTACCTGAGAAATTTCCTTGATTGGGAGCCGACACATTGAAACCTTCAGGTTGAGTTTGCGCTGGGAAATTAGCCTGAGTAGCAGAAGCCGTATATTGCTGATTAGTAGCTGGAGCGACAAAATTATCTGGTTGAGTTTGCGGAGCGAAATTCCCCTGTTGGGGTACAGGAGCGATAAAACCATCGGGTCGAGTTGTCGGCAACGAGTATTGAGCTTGAGAAGAGGTTGTGAAATGTTCATGGTTAACCGCAGGTGCAAACTGTTGGGAGGTGGAAACAGAGTAAGTCGCTGAAGGAACGGGGACTGTGAAATTAGATTGTGAAGTCCCAAACTCTGCCTGCGAGTTGTTGGGGAAATGTGTCGGTTGAGGCCCAGATGCGGGATAACCTTCACCCTGCGAAGGAGGGAAACTTTCTTGAGATTGACCTGTGAAATGGCCTTGCGGAGGATATTGACTCTGAGAAATATTTTCCGACTCTTGTCCGGTAAGTACTGGGAACGCTACACTATCCTGACTCGCAGTGTTATCCACAGTTTTGTGTGTCTCGGACTGATTATCCGCGGGTATGTTAGACATGGTGCACTGGTAGTATTGGGTATAGTATGCGGGATTAAGCACAGACTGTGGCGGAAGCACCCCTTTCTGTCCGTCAGCCTCACTTACATCCTGTTTTCCCTCTATAGCTTCCGGTTCCGTTGCGTTGACTTCATCCTGAAAACAACACTTCATGGTTTAGTTTCATAGTTAGTTTGTGGCAGAAACTTTAATCTTTAAGTTACATAAATGTTTCAGCAGATATTACACACCACATAGTCTTATGAATTCAAATTTGAAATTTTACTTTTCTTTATCTTCCATTAAAACATTTACTTTACATATTTTCAAAGAGCTAAAATTATAAGTTCAAGAACTGAAAAAAAAACTGACTGATTAAAAATGTTAACTAAGGATATTTTTTCTAACATCATTGAAGGTAACATCTTAATCAAATAATATTACAATAACTTACACTTAAAAACATATGTAGATGGATTTATATATATTTAATAGTATGGCATTGTAGCAATTATAAGCACAACTCAATGGTTACTTATACTCCCCCTTATGGTTAGCTTGCTCCCCCTAGTCGGGACTTATAGCTTGATTCTTACCTTGCATTTTTCTCATTATTTCTACAGCCAATTCAAATTATATTTAAAAAATACCAATCTAAAAAGAAACATAAATATTCTAAAAAAAATCAAATAAACATTAGCGCCTTCTTAAAAGTCGCAAGGATAATTTACACGATACATTCGTACACAATTATGTTTTTAGCCCTTCTAAATGTAAACTACGGTGTAATAACCTTCAATGAAGCGCTAGGCAGTAGCTGAGACGTCTGGATGGGTGAGTAGAGGGGGGTCTGTGTGTACGAGCCGCTGACACTGAGGAACGTCAATGGTTGTGTCGGAGCGAACATATCATGCTCAGACTATACACAATTAGTGGTTAGCACACCCAAGACCACACAGACATGTGTTACACAAAGATGTATGATGGTAAAGTTAACTTACGACTAACGCTTTACTAATTCACAATAGACGATGTACACTGTTGTTACCAGGAAAATTTAACGGGTTGGAAGTTTTCCAAGGGTCCCTAGGGGTTTCCAAGGTGTTTGAGAAGAAAAATTTCAGGAGAGTTCCCGAGGAAAGTTGTATGTTAAAACTCTGTTTGTTGTTGTACTGTATGTACATTTTGTATTGTATGTAGTGCTTCTTTAATATTGTGTCCCCTTACCATCAATAAACTGGCCTAGATGTAGGTTGTAGGCCTAGATGTAAATAGGAAAAATGAACTACAGTGCTTTAAATTAGAAAATCATAATGAAAACAGATTTTGCAGCTGTATATGAAATTTTATCACAATTATAGGACAAAACATATCATTGAATTCCTAGTTTGGGGGTAACGGTAATCAAAATTTAGAAAACTAACATTTTTAGTCGTATGTGAAATAGACATCTGTATCGCAAGTGTATCTCAGGTGATGTATCAAATAAAAAAGTCAAATAGGCATCAAACAGTAGTTTTCACTCTTACAACACAAGGGCCTCATCGTGATTGGTCAAAGTGAACCTTTGATAACATGCTAGCTTGTAAAAACAATTACAAGTATATCAACCCAGTTATAGCATACGAAACATATAATTTCATTATTCTTGAACATAAAAGTTAACAATTTACAAACAGACATCCCTCGTCACTATTAACAAACAATTTGAAAATATGAATGAAATGATCGATTAATCCACCAAACTTAAATTCACAGATTAGACATTACCGGATTTAACATTGTTTGTGGCAAAAGCAATTAATTTTCAGATAAACACCATCCTACCTTTTGGTACGTTTGAGGAACCATCTCTGCAGGGATGAAATGGAAACCATCATTTTGAGGTTGAGGAGTCACTGCTCCCTGTTGGGGTAGAGTGTAAACAGTCTGCGAGATCCTTCCATGTTGTTGACTAGATGAGTGCGGAGGCATGAGTTGGTCGGGCGGATGTTGTTGAGTGTAGACAAACTGTTGTTGAGAATCTTGAGGCATTTCATGCTGGGAAACTCGTTGCTGCTGCATCTGTGGTGGTTGCAGCTGTTGTTGTTGTTGCTGATCTTGCAACAGAAGATGTGTCATCTGCTGTTGTCCTTCCATATGATGAGTTGCTTGCTGTGGTAACTCATGCTGCGATATTCGCTGCTGCTGCATTTGTGGCGCTGTAAGTTGCTGAGTTGTTTGCGAATGTCCAATTACCTGATGCTGACCTTCCATCGAGTGAGTCTGTGGAATCTGATGTGATATTTGAGTTTGCTGCAACTGTTGCTGGGACATTTCCGGTTGGGATAGTCGTTGTTGAGGCATTTGAGGGGTCTGAAGCTGTTGATGAGGCATTTCCGGTTGGGATAGCCGCTGGTGAGGCATTTGAGGCATTTGCAATTGCTGATGGGGCATTTCGGGTTGAGAAATTCGGTGCTGTGGCATTTGAGGTTGCTGAAGTTGCTGTTGAGGCATTTGAGGTTGCTGCAACTGTTGCTGAGAAATGTCGTGTTGAGACAATATCTGCTGAGTCATTTGAGGTTGTTGTATTTGTTGTTGTGACATGTCTTGTGTCATAATTTGCGGTGGCATCTGAGGTTGTTGCATTGTTTGCTGGGACATGTCTTGTGTTAATAATTGCTGCGGCATTTGAGGTTGATGCAATTGTTGTTGCTGGGGTATTTCCTGTGTCGACATCCTTTGATGAGGCATTTGTGGTTGCTGCAATTGTTGTTGCTGGGGTATTTCCTGTGTTGACATCCTTTGTTGAGGCATTTGAGGTTGTTGCAATTGTTGATGCTGGGGCATCTCTTGAGTGGACAACCTTTGATGGGGCATTTGTGGTTGTTGTAATTGTTGCTGGGGTATTTCCTGTGTCGATATCCTTTGTTGAGGCATTTGAGGTTGCTGCAATTGTTGCTGGGGTATTTCCTGTGTCGATATCCTTTGTTGAGGCATTTGTGGTTGTTGTAATTGTTGTTGCTGGGACAGCTCTTGAGTTGACATCCTTTGCTGAGGAATTTGAGGTTGCTGTAATTGCTGTTGCTGGGGCATTTCTTGAGTAGACAATGACCTTTGATGGGGCATTTGAGGTTGTTGTAATTGCTGTTGCTGGGGAATTTCTTGAGTAGACAATGACCTTTGCTGAGGCATTTGAGGTTGTTGCAAATGTTGTTGCTGGGGTATTTCCTGTGTCGACATCCTTTGCTGAGGTATTTGAGGTTGCTGCAATTGTTGTTGCTGGGGTATTTCCTGTGTTGACATCCTTTGTTGAGGCATTTGAGGTTGTTGCAATTGTTGCTGCTGGGGCATCTCTTGAGTGGACAACCTTTGCTGGGGCATTTGAGGTTGCTGCAACTGTTGTTGTGACATTTCTTGATACTGGTGTGGTATTTCTTGATACTGTTGGGACATGTCTTGGTACTGCTGGTTCATCTGTTGAGGCATCTGTTGTTGCTGCTGCTGCTGCTGGATTTGAGGCATTTGCTGGGACATTGACTGCTGTTGTTGCAAAATCTGATTCTGTTGGTTCATTTGTTGTTGCTGAGGTATCTGTTGGGATGTTTGCTGCTGATATTGTTGTTGGTTCTGCTGAGACAGTTGTTGCTGAAGCAACTCCAGTGTTTGTATCGGCTGTTGCTGCTGGGTTTGTTGCATATTTTGTTGCAAAACTTGCTGCTGACTGGGCAATGTTTGACCGGGCTGTGTCTGCTGCATCATAATAACTGATTGTGAGTTCCCACCAGTCTGACTCATCTGAAAAAACCAATCTCTTAGCTTTGGTCGCAATTATTAGCACAATTTTTGTATTTAAAAACTCAAGATAATTTTTCTATCCTTAATCTTGGCTTAATCTGCTAAGTTTAAAATATATAAGCAGAAGAGATATATTGTTTAAATATATGATTTTAAAATTCACTAACTTCTTAGTGTACATTTTGTAAAACTTTTAATAAATAACAGGTTTTAGCCAAATATAGCTTATCATTAAATAGTTAAATATGTGGGTTTTTAGTTCAATAGTAAAAATACTCAAGATTGTATATCTTTATTTGGTACAATTTAACTTATTTCATTACATCCAGAGAATATCTGTTTACCCAAAATTATTTTGTAATTTGAGAATAAAAATATATTTTAATTCTCGTTATAAATTGTGCCAATTCAAGTACCAAAATCACAATCTCATTTGTAAGAAAAATAATAAGACCTCCACATTTTTTTAAATTTTATCTATAAATTTTTTTATTTATTACAACCATTTTCATGTTTTGGAAACCTTAGTTTTCAACCCAACTAATCTTTTCCCCATACACACAGGCAGGTCTGCTGGTAACCAGTATATGCAGATGTCAGTGCCAATCAAATGTAACTTTAGTCATGGAGCTGATTGCAATTCCAAGCAATATTCCCAAAAGTATTTAACCTATTTCAGTTCTCAACCACAATACGTTACCTGAGAGTTGAAGAATATCGGCTGAGACTGCGGCACGCTGCTAGACTCCACCAAAGGGATGAAGTTGCCATCGTCGATCACTACAACACAATGATCAATGATCAATCACATCAAAATGTCACCAGCTGCCAAACACAGTCACTTGCCAGCCTCACCTACCCGAGTATTAATAGACACAACAGTAATAAGCATTACATTCATTCAGAAATCAATCAGAGTAATCACAACTGTGTTTTATAGATATCTATGTATTTTAGAACTATTTATTCTTCTTAAAATGTTAAATTGAAAATTCTTATGTGAACTAGTGAATTGTCATTTTTGTGTTTATCTTTTTGATTAGTTGGTGAAAACTTAGTGACTGATTTCACAACTATAGAATGGATGAAAACAACTGAGATAAGTTTATCAGATAGGAAAGGCGAGACAGGAACAATTTTGAGTTTGGTTGGGATAAGGCCAAGTTTTTTATTTACTATCGAAGTATGAATACAATTTAGGAAATAATTATTTTTATAATCAAAAGCTAAAATGTTTGAAATCAACAGCAAAGCAGGCTTAAACCTTTAAATAAGTCCATAGAGACATACGTATATATACAACACAAAAGTAGAAATTTTTGTGGTCTTCAACCACTGGAGAAGTGGCAATGGCCTTCTCTATGGACTTATTTAAAGGCCTGCTTTCCTGTCGATTTCCTTAATAATTCCTGGCAAAATCTTTTTATCAGGTAAATGCTAACATTTCTGTAGTTGAGCAAAGTTTAAATTTAATCCATAATTATTCACAATTTTGAAGGTAGTTGTTTTTGGGATCAGGAATCTGACACCGTCTTCATGTTGACAGGTTGAGGAAGTATTAAAAACGTCACGAGAAAATATTTGTTTGAAAAGATTTTTTCAGATCTTGTTATTATTATTATTTGTTTATTGTTATTGTAATATTTAAAATAATTTCTCACCTGAACAAGAGGTCAAATTTGAGATCGATGGCTTTTACTTATCGTGATGTAAAATATCTGCAATAATCTATTTGATAATGCTTTACTAGAAGGCCTAACTTTAAAAAACGTGCTTTACGATAATTATAAAAACATTTTAGAAGCTGCTACAACAAACAGCTAGTATGATTATAGAATTCAAATTATTTTATACAATAAAAGGCACCAAGATGCAAGCATAACCAAGCCGATTATATTCTGTCTGATTTGTGTTTACCACCAGAGTAAGATTGTAACGTAGAAATGATCGTTAACATCGTAAGTAGGGATGGTCAAGTCTCGAAATTTCGGGAAATTTTCGGGAAATTTTCAATCTTGTTACACGAGACGAGATTACTTTTTGGCCGAGATTTTTATCGAGACGAGAATAAAAAAAAAAAAAAAAAAAAAAATTAAAAACGCCTGCAGAAAGTCAATGCAATACCCGCAATACAGGAGCGTGTTGTAGTTGCGTTTCCTTTTCGAAGGCGTTCTTATTTAATTAATTCTTTTAATGTAAATATTACTTTAATTCTTTTAATGTAAATATTACTTTCATTATTTTAATAATATTACTTTAATAACATTTGAGAAGTTTTGTTAAGTGTAAGCAGTGTGAGGAATGTTTTATTACTATAAAAAAAGTCAAAACAAGTAACTATTTTATAAAAATTAATATTGCTTTTATTTTATGATTTATTTTATTTTAGGATAAGTTGAACTCTATCCTAACTGATATCACCATGTTTCCTAATCGTAGGCATTTTTAATAAGTTAGGCGTGATTAATAAAAAAATGTTATGCTGATGTTATTTAATGAAAGATTGTAAATATTCTTGCCTATTATCATTATTTTAGTATTTAAACAGTCATCTAACAATGTTACAAAATCAGGTAAAAATTTTGAACGTGCATTTCCCGTTGTGTATGAGAAGAGAAATCTCGTCTCGATCTCGTCTCGAAATTTTATGAGTAATAAAAAATCTCAAAAATCTCGTCTCGTCTCGTCTCGAACCAAAAAATCCAATCTCGTCCATCCCTAATCGTAAGTTTCATACTGAGCCATGGAAACTAATCTACTCATTAACATAGACAAGTGAAGGTTGAAAAGTCATTATCACAACAGCTGTAGATAGTACACTATCAACAATTATTGACACATACCTTGAAGGTTGGTTGGTAAAATAGTTCTCATTGGCCTGCCTAACTTGCTATCTTTGAAAACCTGAGGGTAGGGACAAGTGCGGTTGGGTTAGGTTAGGCTAGAATTGAGGCATTACCTAAACCCTAGGATTGTGTATTGACACACAGGTTTACAACTTAAATAGTGATAGTGAATTTACAGAAACGGTCCCAATGTCAACATAAGTGAAACTGGGCAGAAACAACATTTTTAAGTGAAGTTTCTGTAGTACTCCCTTGATAGATAAACAGTTTGAGGCTAACATAGCGTGGTGTCTTACCTCCCAAAGCCTCGTCGAAGGCCGGAGTCTGCATAGTGTGACTCTTGCGGTCTTCTCTATCTCTCAGCAAAGCGTTGACCTGAGCCATCAACATCTTGGCTACTTGAGGTGCGTCCTCACTGAGAATCAGCCCTGACTTGGCCTGGGTACAAAACAAAATTAAATAGACTTGTAGATATTTATGGATGGAAACCAGTTAGTACATAGACAGGTTTCCTTTAAGATAAGTCTATTACTGTGTGATAGGAGAACCTAAAAGTCAAACCTTCAAGGCAGGATGTTTTACTGCCTGCCAGGTCCCGTAACAGCAGTCAAACCGTTTGCTGATCAACATAAGTGTTAGTGCTAGTCATGATTAAATTAGTGATTTCATCTCAAAATATACTTTATATCTAGAAAGAGTTCACTCTGGTACGAGGTACCCAAAAATACTTTTCACTATCCCTACAAAATTTGAATTTTTTTCTCACATATTTTTTACGAGACCGAAAGACATCTCTCACCCAACTATAAAACTCTTTGGTTGAAAATTCTGTCAGTGAAGTGAAATATTCTAGTTTTTATGTACCTATAGTAGGCTATAACCTTTTTATGTTTCTTGTACCTCAGTGGACTGTTTCCACTCATGTAAGCCTGTTATTCTAACAAAAATTCCTTGTTTCTGTTTAAGATAGTTTATCTGATTTACATCTATGAATATAGCTAATCCAGACATTAGCAACAACCTAACAGTTTCTCAACTTGAAATTGTTGAACATACCATTTCTGACGACACTTCATCGGCGTTGTCAGTAGCCATGTCAAAGTCAAACTGGATAGCCTCATTCTCCTTGTGTTTATTACTTCTCTTCTTCGGATCGATAACTCTCAGACGGAATTCCACTTTGGTCGTGTTAGAAATTACAGCTTCATCCCTCGACACCATCTCCAGCCGCAGACCAACGTCTTCGGCGAAAAACTCATGAGCTAGCAGCTCTTTGATGCCAGGCCTGAAATCGAATATTCTTGGATGATTGGATTCAAAAATTTGATTGGATGTGAAAATTTGATTTCTGTATACACAGAAGATGATTAGAAGACACGTTAAAGTATAACAAGAAAGAAGAAAGTCAAATCAAATGGTTTTACTTAGTCATTAGACTACATTTCACAATGGCTACACCCACCTTTCCTCCTTCTTTAGTCGAATACACCTTTCGATCACATCCCTCACCTCAGGGTTCTCCACCTTGTCAAAGCTGGCTGGTTTGATCCCCTGTGAGAAAAAATATTTCTGTAGTAAAATATAGTCAAAGTGAGGTACACATTTTAAGATTATTAAATTAAGATTAATTTGAATTTACTTTAAAATCTGTCTTAAAAAAACTTATTATACATACATCAAATAAAAGATAAACTCAAATAGTTTTGTCTGCAAACCTACACCTGTTCAATAACACCATTCTTCATATGGCAAAACTCACCCTAATAAAGGTAAGTAAAGGCCTACTTTTACATCATTAAAAAATATACAGAGTGAAAACTTACGCTAATGACTTTCTTGTATATCTGGGCCGGCCCAGTACATTCCGAGTAAGGGTATTCCGAAGTCGCCATCTCCAACATACACATGCCGAAAGCGTAAACATCCACTGCTTCGTCGTAATGTTCCTCGTACATTTCCGGAGCCATGAATTCTGGCGTTCCTGAAATAAAATTCATTGGATACAGTTACAGAATTACCACCAAGGGTTTTGCTTGTTTTTTGAAGATAGAATTCTTTCTCCTAAGTAATCTAGAGTTATTGTATAATTTACTGCAAACTAGATCCAAATGGCAGCAACTTAAACACATTACTAAAGCTATAGTTAAGGGAAAAATTTTGAGCATGGTCATCCAAGACAGGCCTATATCATAAACATAACACCAAAAACACTTTTAGTACTATTTACTACTTCAATTAAAATCCATGTGTGTAGCCCTCTGAGCTGTTGGACATAATGCAAGACTAAATTACTTACATAATCCCGTCACAGCTCAATAAAATATGTCAATTCACATGTTTCCGTGTTAAAACACCATAGTCAGCTTCAGGTACATATGTAGAGTTGATCAGTAGTTAACATTGTCAGAAATAAACACAGTACAAAAACAAATAAATACATAAAACAGTTCAACAATTTAGAATCAGGCTTGTTCTAACAAAAGATGACCGACCGCACAGGTAGCAAGGGACAGACTCAAACCATGTCTGTCCCTTGCTACCTGTGCGGTCGGTCATATTTTGTTAGAACAAGCCTGTATCTTAAATGTTTAATTGTTTTAAGTAGTTATTGACCTTAAACTTTTAAAACAAATTGTATAACCTCAACATCTTAATGCGTGGGAATCTTATTTTATAGAAAAAACCGACCAAAATTATTTGTTAAATAGTGAAGACCCCAATTATTAACTCGGAATTACTGAAAATAATTACATCAAGAACAAAACTGTAGGCTAATATATCCGAAATTCAAAAGACTATTTTTCTAATATTATTTTTATATATTTTTCCTATATCCTTTACATTATCTGATTTAACTTTATTTCTTTATTTAAAATGTATTTATTATTAAGAATTTTTTTCTTTTTGTACTCGTGTAAACACAGCATGACTATGGAAATCTAGTTTCCGAAAGCGCTAAATTTGTTGAATATCGTTTTGTGGAACATTTAAATTTAGTTATACATTTCATAATCAATCGAAAAATGATTGTGAAAGCACATTAATTATTCACCGTTTTGTAAAAGAAGTTTATAGTCATAAAGCATGAAATTTAGATCGTAGCATATTACATTTAAACATTTTGAACAGTCAACAGTTTTACTAACCAATGACAGATTTTGCAAAAGATCTGTTTTTCAGTGTAGCCAGCCCCAAATCTCCGATCTTGACGCTGCCAGTGGTTCCAGTGATGAAAATGTTGTCGCATTTGAGGTCCCTGTGTATAATGGGAGGCGATCGGGAATGCAGGAACTGTAAACCCTTCAGGATTTGACGACACCATGACTTTAATACTTTGGGATTTATCTTTTTGAATCGGCGGAGATAGCTGGAATAAAAATATCAAATTAGTTTTTGGTGAATAATAGACTAATTTAAAGTGAATTGAATAATAGTGTGGTACAGGAAACTATGTTTAGTACAAAAATAAAATTTAAATCACCCTAAATTCAAACTCAAATTAAGTTTATTATATTTATAATTCCCTTTACATTTCATTTTCATAATATACTAAGATGTAAATACTTGACTATACTTTACTTTTCATTGGAATGGCGACCATAAAATAGGTATTTTAAGCCAAGTACCTACAATTTATATGAATGGAGATGAGTGTAGGATGAGTGGTCCGATTTTGTAGTCTTAAAAGTGACTAAGGCCGACATATTCCTTAGACACAGCTTCTAATTTCATGGTGAGGTAGCCTCTGGATCACTAAATTTAAGCTAAAAAGTTTTAGCTTAGTACAAAGCCAAAAAACAAAGCCAGGTAACTTAAAACTTTTTAGCTTAGACACAGCTGTTAATTAACAGCTCATACTGTTAATGGCAACTAAGGGACCTACAGTTCATAGTGGAATCCGAACCAGATTTTTGCCTTGGTATAACGGATTGGTCTAATTATCAGGATAGTCGTAGTACTCACTAGTGCGGACGTTAATCCATACCAGGGAGTATCACATCCACAGTGCATGCCTATAATAATCCACAATTTGTGACCTCCTAGTAGCTGGATTACAGGTCGACGCCACTGTATTTAACTCTGCAGTGATAGCATATAATAATGTAAGCTTTCTCAATAAAGGCATTTTATCATGTTCGTCTTCATCGACAGAAATCACCAAAACTCACGTTTTAAGTGTTCCTGAAGTCATGAGTTCAGTCACCAACACAATGTATTTACGCTTGGTCAAGGTCACCTCCCAATAGTCGTAGAAGCGGACGATGTTAGGATGTTGTAGCCCCTTCAACATCTCCGCCTCCTCTCTAAATCTCTGCCGTTCATTTTTGTTGAGTTTCTTTTCCTGTAAAGCATAAAACGTGTATCAATATCAATTTTGATTATGTTTACTTTGACGGAAATGGCCTATGTAATAAAAGCAACAGCAAAAGTAGGTATAGTACATACATAGTAGCGCTATGTTGTCCATCAATATAATGTAACATATGTGCTAATCGTTGGTTTTTTGAACATTTTCCCTGTTTTCTAGGTAAAGTTTTTTTTTTTTTACAAGTACTGGTAATGGTTTTTTATGGTAGGCCTAATGCTTACTTAGTAACTGAAGGTTTCAAGTTAGTTTTATAGAAAACATGGAGAAAGGACACTTTAATACTAAACTTTGTCTTAGTTCAAAACTGTGAATTTTTTTTATTTATTTATTAGGCTTAAGATTAATGAAGAAGACATTGAGGAAGACAATTTCTAATCTCACAGCGCACTAGGTATTTAAATTACAAGCACTTTGTTATTTTAAAAATAATTTGAGATGTTAAACAACTCTTCAACGGCTATTTGAAATTAACATAAACAACATTGCTCTTATGGCGGGAAAATCCAAGATGGCCAGCTTCCATGGACTCAATTATAAAAAATTACAAAACTGCAGAGAAATTTTCTGATCCAACACTGCACTAGATATTTAAATTACAATCATTAACCAGGGAGTACTAGAGTAAAATATATAAAATATTTTTTAATGATAAATAAATAACCCTTCAACAGCTATTTAAAATAATCCAAGATTGCTGCTAGCCTCTAAGGACTCTTTGATAACAGAATTGATTCAAAACTGAAAATAATGTTTCTGTAACTGCAAACACTTCAAAACTGCTAGACATCTTTAAACAATCAAAAGAGGCCGCCAATCTCTTTAAATAAAAAAATAAAAAAAATGTTTCAAATCATAATATTCATAGATTAATTGAGTATCTAAATATATAAAAGGCCCTCACTGACTGACTCACTCACTCACTCACTCATCACTATTTCTCTTACTTCCCATTTACCTAGGAGGCTGAAATTTGGTACACTGATTATTTAGGCATTAAATAGGAAAACTAAGCTGTTTTTATTCTGATCGGACTCAAGGGCTCCGCCCCAGTGGCTCTGGAGTTTCCCATGTTAACCTTATGAGTTCTCATATTTAAATGGAATTAATGAATCTTAACAGCTGTTTCAATTAAACAAGTTGGTTCTGTTCTATGATGTTCAATATAGCATTAAAGTTACAAGGATTACCAACAGGGTGCAGCAATATTATTTCTTTTATATTTATGACAACAGCTAATGAAAAGGTGAGTGAGCGTAGCGAACGAACTTCAACCTGGAGGCGAGTTAGCGTAGCGAACGAGCTAACCTGAAGGCAAGTGAGCGCAGCGAACGAACTCCAACCTAAAGGTGAGTGAGCGTAGCGAACGAACTTCAACCAGGACCTGATTGAGCTATGCGAACGAGCTCACTTATGAAGTTAAACGGGGCGCCCGCGGGTACAGCTAGTATTATATAAAAGGCAAAGCCCTCACTGACTGACTCACTCATCACTAATTCTCCCACTTCCCATTTACCTAGGAGGCTGAAATTTGGTACACTGATTCTTTAGGCATTAAATAGGAAAACTAAGTTGTTTTTATTCAGATCGGACTCTCGGGCTCCGCCCCAGTGGCTCTGGAGTTTCCCATGTTAACCTTATGAGAAATGGAATTAATGAATCTTAACAGCTGTTTCATTAAACAAGTTGGTTCTGTTCTATGTTGTTCAATAGCATTAAAGTTACAAGGATTACCAACAGGATGCAGCACTATTATTTCTTTTACATTTATGACAGCTAATTTGCAACCAAAAGGTGAGTGAGCATAGCGAACGAACTTCAACCTGGAGGCGAGTTAGCGTAGCGAACGAGCTAACCTGAAGGCAAGTGAGCGTAGCGAACGAGCCAACCTGAAGGCAAGTGAGCGCAGCGAACGAGCTCCAACCTAAAGGTGAGTGAGCGTAGCGAACGAGCTCAAACCTAAAGTTGAGTGAGCGTAGCGAACGAACTTCAACCAGGACGTGATTGAGCCATGCGAACGAGATCATCTTGAAAATTAAGAAGTTAAACGGGGCAAAGCCCGCGGGTTACAGCTAGTACCTAATATATGTACAAATAATATACTATAGGCTATATGCGTTATTGATTTGACTGACACAACGTCCTAAAACCAGAGTGTGCAAAAGGAGGGATGTGGAAATGAAAGAAATTGGGGAAATGCAAAGAACAAAAAATTAGAACAAATTGATAAAAATTATAATTTTTACCTGCAGTTCACACCAGGCCACAGCAACACCAGTTTGGGTGTCGAGTCCCCGGTAAACTGTTTTGAAACTTCCTCTTCCAATCTCTTCTTCAAACTTAAGGAATCTGAAGTCAAAACGTTGATGTATACAAATATACTAACAAAATAACAAGTCTTTTTTTTCAAAGAAAAGTATAATAAAAGTAGGTTTGAAAAGCATTAGTTAGGTTTAAAATTTAAGATGTACATACCATAGGCCCTACATTAATCTGTTAAAGATCAAGGAGGTAAACCATTTGGTAAAAAAGCCAATAACAGCATTGACATGTGATCGATAGCATTTGTTGAATCAAAGTAAATCTTTAGCATTATAAAATTACAATTACAACTTCTTTTTTTGTTAAAATATTGACATCACCTATTTCTCCATCTGAGGAAGTTTTTTAGTTAAATTTATCGTGATAGTTATGAACTTAGAAATTTTCACACAAAAGCTAGACTACGACAAGTTCTGTCCACGATAGGTGGTGGAAATTCTTACAGGCGAGCGGATAACCGGACGGGGTCAGTTATGACATAATTTACAGACCTGCCATCATGGGACTGTCCGATGGCCTTCTCCTCGTCGTCATCCTCCTCCACCGGGGGCTCAGACTCTGCCTGTGTGTCTGGCTGTGGGGCCACAGGCTGTGGCGGGTCAGGCTGTGGCGGGTCTGGCTGTGGGGCCACAGGCTGGGGCGGGTCTGGCGGCGCGGCCACAGGCTCCTCCACTGTCTCCTGCAATAACAGACGTTAGTTTATTAGAAATATTCATACACGTTTATATAAAAAATAAAGCCAAAAAGCTTTTAGAAACACACACCTATGTCTTCCCATGACAACTACGGTAATTACTTTCTAAACAGAGTAATTTACAGATGTCTCTTGAAAAATTAGTTATAGGGTGGGAATAATGATTATTACCAAAAATAATACGTAATTAAGATAACAGACCGACTAGGAACTCTTATGTATACTCCTTGATTTGTGGGCATTAAAATTAATCAGTTTATACTTATTTGACAAAAACCAATGTTTAGTACAGCTTATTCATTTGATTTTAAGCTTATTAGATCCTGCAGGTAGCCAACCTACACATCGTTAGATAACCAATATTTCTAATTCTTTAGCCTACCTAAAGATTAAATGAAAAAATTTAGGTACTTAAATTTTAAAAACAAATTACAGTAATGTACTTAAACTTATTCTACCCATTAACCGATATTGTTTACCGTAAGAAATGTGCTATCAGGCCGAACATTGCAGGAAAGGAAGGCTCCTTTCACTAAACTAATCAAATTCCAATCTTGTATCACATGGGATGACTCATTTGACTTTGTGATGGTTTAGTCTAAGTGTGTTGAAATGTCAGTGTTGAACCACTGAGTGTCAACTAAAGACAACGGATTTCAGGTAAAATAATTTAATGAATCTAAAAAATAGTCCATCTGTTAAGGCAAAGAAATCCTACAGTATTTTGCACTCCACACTCCAGGGTGCAAAATACTACAGATTATAATTAATGTTTGCGGACCTGTCTGGAGGGGGAGACGGAAGTCCCATTGATTGCCTTGTCTATGATGCGGCGGCGAGTGAGTAGAGCCTCGGTAGAAGGCCGGGGTCCGCTACCCCCTCTGGAGCCTCGACGCAGCGAACCGCCCGGACCACAGTTGATGACGCGAGGGAGGGAAAGCTGCAATACCAAGGAGAATTAGCGATGAAAAATAAGAATTAGGGGTTAGGAATGAGAAATATGAATCAGAAAAGAGTAAAAACCCGCTGATCCTGCATCGGTCCAAAAATTATTTTTGTATGCTGTTTTAAGCAGTTTTAGCTAAATCATTCTGAGATCAGGAGCAATTATTGTTTAGACGTAAAGAGCAATTGGGAGTGATTGTTCAGAGAAAGGATCGGCCGACATCGGTTGCGTTCTATATAGCAATATTTCCGGTAGTCTCCCAACAACTGCTGTTTTTATAAGCCATTCAGTAATCCAGCATTTTAAAATAATCCAACACCAACGTGCTGAATTAGCGGGCATCTACTTTATGAAAAATGAGGTGAAATGAAAAATGAACATGAGGTGAGGAGAAAATACATGAGAGATTTGGGCTTCAGAGATCAGAAATGAAAGTCATACTTTTACAAATAAAATAATCAGACTTCAGATCGACGAGCAGGCAACAACAGCTTAGGGATAAACCAACTAGGCCTACACATTTCAGAATTGCTGCAATTTTTAGCACTATCTCTTAACAAGTAAACGGTGTTCGAATATGCTTGTGCAGTTAAACATTTTTTACTAATTATGTTTGATATCAAGCACATTCTTTTCCTCTATTTCAATTATAACATTTCAGGTAAAAATGAAAATTGAATTTGAATCCTATGTGTGATCAACTTTTTATATGTGCAAAGAGTCAATCAAAACCAAGGAAATTGGGAGTGGGCCCTGTTCAAATTACCAAATTGTTCAGATTTGCTGGAAATGCAGTAAAATTTCAAAAAAATCAACGATGTGTTTTAATGGCTGTAAATGACCATATATACAGTCGCGGCCAATGCTTGAGTACTATTATTAGTATTTGGTCATCAAATTGAAGGGAAAAGAATGCAGTTTTTTCCATACTTTGTTAATATTCGGAAATGTTAAATGAAATTCGGATTGTCGTCAATCTTATATCAGAATAAAACTGGCAAAGTCTGTATGTCTAGAGCGATCAGCGGACTTAATCTGATGTCTTGACTGAATTTTATAGGCACAAAGTCTCATCCTTTTACAAATAGCATCGTGGAGAGTCAAATCAGGTATGTTTAACTGAAGAATTTGTCGGGCAATTGATTTTTTCAGGCTCCTGAAGCAGGATAGTCAGATTTCTTCGACTTTGACAAAGACTTTGTCATCCATTGTTTTTGGTCGGCCAAGTAAATGACCTTTCAAAACACTTCCTGTCTCACAAAACTGATTAAACCAGCGACAGGTGAATTTAAAAAAATTTAAAATTCAATTTAACACTTGGTTTACACCGTGCAAACCACTGATCACACTGAGCCTTCTGTTGCGCTGTAATCATCGTGGATTAAAGTTTTTGCTGCACGGAAAAACTTTGTTATTTTAACTCCATTTGACGTTTAAATCATTTACTTAACTTGAATAGTCTCCAAAACTACCATTTAAAATCATTGGCATTCTTTTAGATACGGTACCCTGTATATTACTCCCGCCATCACAACACTGTAGGCCTAATGGTTCCCCGCGATCTAAGAAATATCCAGAATTATTTACTGCGATCTCATACTTTCAATCCTATTCCAAATTTTTCGGTTTCATACAAATTTCAAGTCATAAAAATTCACTACAAATTTAGATTTTCCAGATTTCCTGGTCAGCTTATGTGCCATCTATGTGTTTAGTATTTCAGAAAACAGCTTCAAATTCAGTATCAAACTAAGTTTATCCATAAATAGAGACTAGCAAACAAAATAAATTCTATGCTACTAACATAAAAAAACTATGCTATGTTAAAAAGAAAGTCTCCAAACCCAAACACAAAATATTTTAATTCAAATCAAAGTTTATTATTTACACATAAAAAAAACGTAGGCCTATTGGTAATCTGCTTTTTGTTGTGTTCGTTAGATGAAAGCAAATCACCTGAAAATAGAAAATCCAAAATTAACTGATGATTTAATTTAAAAAAATAAAGGTACGAGATCTTATATGGATTCATTTTTTAGACTTGTGAGGATTGGTAGTCATATTTAGTAAGTCAAGTAGAAGTATACGTGACGATTGTGTCCGTTCTAACACTGGGTTCTTGATTGTAGAATATTTATAAAGGGTAGCAGCACCCGACCAGAATCGAAATTCTGTAGTTTTTTGTAATGAAAATTTAGTGCATATGGAATCAATTGCAACGTGTATGAAAATGTGTATTGTGTAGTTAGTTATATTAGGAAAAAGTGTGTAAGGAATTTAGCTTATTAATGGTATTTTTGGTATTTTCCTTATTTTAAGAATAAATATCTCAATTGACTTTGCCAGATACGTATTGTGATTTGTTATATAGCCTGTATGAAGTATGACTGATATTTTCAACTATGATATGTGCCGACCTCCATGCTAAACTGGTTGAATACGTTTCACAAACATGTATTATTTTTTCAAACTTTATGACTTTACCATTCCGTTGCAAAAGACTATGGTTGGTATTAGTCTTGGCTTCTTGTTTAACTGTCACTAACTTGTTTATTAAATGGCTACAACAAATCAAGGAAAGGCGTCTTGTGCATCGGACAATGCTCAAATTGAAGAAATTGTAAATATTCAACAAACTTTCAAAAGTTCAGAAGGAATCCTCGTCGTAACAACATAAGTTGGGTGAGAAAATTTTGTAAAACAGTGACAACGGCTCCAGTTCTAAACTAATCCCGACTCACAGCACCCCTCTTGTTGCTTTGTGGTAGGCCTAGCAATTTTAAACAGGCCTGTTCACAGTTAATTAAGTAGTTACGACAAAACATCCCAAAACTGTATAATTAACCAATTATTTAAGATAGGGAAGGTGCTTATTTTAACCCAAATATGAGTGATGGATAAAATGCTCCATCGTTAGTATTAAGATCGGTTTTTAAGAAAAACACAAAATCTACCCTTTTTAGTCTAGTAGCATTCGTTTTTAAACTAAATGTATTTTTTTATAATTACAATAAACTTTAGACCTATACAGTTTTGTATTTTTTTGTCCCTGAGTGCTAAAAAAGCCTGAGTTTCCCCCCATTTAAGTAAACCTGCTATCCTTTAAATGTTTAATGGATGAATTTTCCATTTATTACTAAACTCACCTTTCGTTCGTTGTTATTGGACTGTCCGAGGCCTGAGTTGCTGGAGCCCGTTGTGCGTGAGGATCGGAACTTGGCTCGGACGTTAGCGACCGCCTCCCGCCTCTCCCTTTCCTCCCCCTCTCGGCCCGTACCTCTCACGTTCCCGTTACTCTCGAATCTAACAAACTCCCCATTTCATCACTTGAAAAATAACATCGGTACATGCATCAATCTAACTTACGACTCTAAACACACTCCCATGTCATGCTTGCCAATAACAAATTGCCCTTCATGCATTGAAAGGCTGATGTTGATAATCCGACAGGTATGGGACATACAAGTTGTGGGATTAACAAGAATTCTGAATTCTTTAGTTTTAATGCTAAATGCCCATGATGAGATGCAAAAACCAATTAAAAAATATTATTTTATGAAGAAGAAATAACGTTATTTTGTTATATTTACAATAGACCTACCACTACCCTATATTAAAGAATACCTACTATAGTGTTAGCTTACATGGGCCTAAAGTACTGAATGTAGATTTAGCAAAAAAACAGAAATTTTGAAAAGTACCTAGGCCTAGGTACACATTAGAAAGGAATAGTTTTTTTTTTTTTTTTTTTTTTTTTTTTATTTGTAAAAGATTCTATGATAATAGGCCTACTTTCTAAAATTTTCTTCAATTTGACGATTGTGTCCGTGCCAACACTGGGTTCTTGATTGTAGAATATTTATAAAGTGTAGCAGCACCCAACCAGCATTGAAATGCTGTGCTGAAGGTCTACGGTAAACATCAACATAGTCAGTTAAATCTGAAATATCACCTTTTAAAGCTCGCTGAATTGCCCAAACATTTCGGACTATCAAGATCACACCGTACCAACTTTGCAATAATTTTTTTAACTTAAAATGACAAGCATTAAGCAAATTGAATAGTATCCCCACCCCACTAAACGAAGCAATAAATCAAGAAGTATGAATCTAATTCCTACCCTATTGACAAAAACTACTTAACTAGAAATTTGAACCCGTCAGAGCATTATCATTGAAATCTATATGTTGGGTCTTAGTTTAGCATATAGTGGGATGTTTAATTAACACAAGTGATTTAATTATTTTAACTTACAACAAACGCCATCCCATTTTATAGGCGGGTTGAAAATAATTTAGCCAAGATTTGTTATGTATTCCAACTAACATTCATTGGTAAAAAACTGGCTATTTAAACTTTTCATAATCTAATAGAGAGAGAAAAAAAAACTAAGTTAGGCTAGCCAAAATTTATTTGCCCATCTAAAATTTACTTATTTTTACTCATAGTATATATATATATATACAGGGTTAGTAAAAAGTGTGGAGACCCCCTGTTATTTTTTTAACGGCCCATACTAGAAAAACTAAACTCGGCACACCTTTATGACATGTTATGAAGTACTTTTTGGGCATAACCGTCACTTGGTGTACATCCCCAAAATGGGGGATTTTGGGGAAACTCAAAAATTTCAAATACAAAGACCCATCAAGTGACCCCTCATTTTGAAGGTCCTGGTAAAAGAAAACCAACAACGCAAACTAGAGGTCTTTATCTCAATCCAGTAAAAAATGGCAGTCAATTGAAATTCTCAGAAGTTGAATTTAACTTACAGCTTTCCAAGTCTGGAGACCCACTGTAAATTTTGTAGCAGCTCACACTAGGAAAACTAAACTCTACACACCTTTTTGGCATGTTATGAAGTACTTTTTAAGCCTAATAGCCACTTACTTACCAAACCCAAAATGGGGGATTTTGGGAGAAACTCAAAAGTTTTAAATGATAAGCCCCATCGAGTGACCCCTCATTTTGAAGGTCCTGGTAAAAGAAAACTAACAACGCAAACTAGATGTTTCTATCTCAATTCAGTAAAAAATGGAAGCTGATTGAAATCATTAGAAATCGGAAATAACTTGCAATTTTATATTCAATTGGCTGCCATATTTTACTGTGTTAAGATAGAGACCTATAGTTTGCGTTGTTAGTTTTCTTTTATTATGACCTTCAAAATGAGGGGTCACTCGATGGGGCTTATCATTTAAAATTTTTTAGTTTCCCTCAAATCCCCCATTTTGGGTTTGGGAACTTATGAGAATTTCAATTGGCTGCCATTTTGTACTGAACTGAGATAGAGACCTCTAGTTTGCGTTGTTGGTTTTCTTTTACCAGGACCTTTAAAATGAGGGGGCACTCGATGGGTCTTTGTATTTGAATTTATAAGTTTTCCCCAAAATCCCCCATTTTGGGGATGTACACCAAGTGGCGGTTATGCCCAAAAAGTATTTCATAATATGCCATAGGCCCTAATGGTGTGCCGAGTTTAGTTTTTCCAGTATGGGCCGTTAAAAAATAACAGGGGGTCTCCACACTTTTTACTAACCCTGTATATATATATATATATTCTATTCTATTATAAGGCTTAAAGTAAAATTAATCAAGCATGTTTTAAGTGTTCATCATTAAAATTAAAATTGCACCCACGATAATAAATTCATTAAAACACAATTTTAGACAAAAAGCAACCCAAGCAAAACCATTCAGTGGATTATTTAGAAGCGTTAAAGCTTTGATTTTAATAACGTACAAGTCTTAAAGTAGGTAGGCTTACTGTACCTCAAATTGTACAAATCGGTATACTTTATAGCACTCATTTAAAATATGTGCATTATAAATGGGGTTTTTTTTTTATTTGTTAATTAAAAACCATTTCAGGGCTTAAGCTGCAGTAGCATTTTTAGCATTTTGTCAAAATGCTACAAATAAAAATTGAAGATGTAATGTTCAAATGAAATATTACTGGCAATTAAAAAAAAATGCTTAAAGAATAATATTTTTGCTACGGTTGATTGAGATATTGTAGCATTTTTGTGAAAAAAATTCATTCCAGACTCTGCATGCATCTGTATAGTTGTTCAGATATAAATAAACCAACATGCTTTTTGAAAGACTAAAAGTAACAAAATCTAACAAGGGACTATAAAAAAAAAAAAACATCATGTACATGGTTATAAGGATTTGTACAACGAGCATACAATAATAATATTGTTATTTATTACTTAATGAGACGATGAAATCCCAATTACAACCAAAAGAATACAGTAGTGGTGTTTAAAAATTTTAAAATTGTGTTTGTATCATTAAAAAGGCTGCCCCGTTGTAGATTAAATTCACAAAAATTAAAAATAGAGAGATGTCACGCTATTGAAAAAACCCAAGTCAAGAAATTTTAAACACATATTTGATAACTCCTTTCAGGCCCTTCACAAATCAAATTTGTATTTCAAAACGAATGCTTCCTTATGACAAATAATTATAGGCCTAATCATTTTAGTTTGAATTAGACTTGGGATGAAAGGAATAGTTTAACTTCAATTCTCAGTGTAGCCCTTGACTGGCAAAATCTCGATAAAAACCAAGAAACAAGTTACCAAGAAGATTAGTTTCAAGAATATTTTGATTTTATTTTAATTGTTGCTTCTGCATAACAAAGCAGAAGTTTGTAACTTTACAATCCAAAGAAAATATTATGTGCCTTAAAAAACAATACTGTAGTAGAATGAAATGTAAATAAAAACAAAAATGTTTGAATTCGCCTCTAGGCTATATTTCCTTATAAACCTGCCTTTAAAGATAAGACTATGATTACGCTACTAAGAATCGATTGCATACCTGTGATTTAAAACATCTCGAGACAGCCTGCTGCGCACGTAAGTATTCCTAGTGTTAATTGCAGGCAGAGACAAACCCCCCACCACCACGTCTTGGCACTCATTCACACTCTGCTCGGAAGTAGTTGATTCAAGTGTTAGATTGTTATTCACACTTCTGCGATAATTACGATGACTACTTGTCATCGCATGAGTGTCATTTCATTAAAACAAAAACTTTAATATTTCTGCTTAAAATTGAGGAATGTTACAGTTCATTTCACTCGTAAGCACCAAAAACTATTTAGCTACACCTACTTTTGATTCGCAACACAACAACCAAACTACCACATTCCCTAATGTATTGGATGGTATGTTAATATTAACCAATGATTTAAAAGTTACAGCGAAAACAAGCCTTATTAAATTATATGAGTATATTTACCGTAACCGCAAACAGATTTACGAGATTAAAAAGTTACACTCCAAATCAAGGATTCGGTGATAGCTTGACTTGTCGGCACAAACGTCGAGACCATCTGGAACAGAGTAAAGTGTTGATAACTTACCGGTAATGTGAGTTCCCTCTATAACTTATTACAGTAGTATTCTCCGAGCATCTAGCCTAAGCCTAACTGATATAGAGTAGAGATATGTTAATAATCCTAATAAGTTAAGCTACAGAGGTCCTAATAATTATTTATTGAGCACAACTAGGCTACCTCTAGTTACAAAACCTCGCAATATTTTTAACTTTGAATAGGTTGGGCAAATGCCTTCATGAAGCTACAAGTTACATGTTGCAATTTAAGGAAAAAACTGATAGGCCTATTGCCTTTCATTGTGAATTGTGATAGCCCAAAAATGTGATTAAATTAGACTTTGGCTAATTTAAAAGTTAGATGGATTGTCTAAGTTATTATTTCATCCCACTAAGTTTAGTGTAGACACCTGACAGCTGTTAACTGTCTGTCAAAAAATTAGGCTTTTAGTCTAACTTAAATCTAGGTAGCCTATAAAAACCTAAGATTAATAAGTAATTGTAGACAAAACATTATTTTTTAATAGATATAAAATTACACTTAATGATAACTAGTGTTTAATAATCTAACATAGGCTACTTTGCTCACGATAATGTAAGATGGGTAACACACCTAGACCTAGGCTATCATATTATCAGAGCCATGATTTCAAGGTCAAGATATGGAGATGATAACCATTCAATTATTACTCATTATTCAATTCAGTCTAGGTCAGTAAGCGTTATCGATCTATTTAAGGAACACTACAGACCATAAAATATGTGAAAGACGTAGTTAAGATTGACGAAAAGGAAAATAAAATCCCACCCTAAAGGCCCACTCGGTGACAAAAAATCTGTCAATATATGTATAATTCATGCAATACTACCAATGGATTCGATTTTAAAGGATTACTTACGAATTTTACAACATTTGCAAGTCATATCCACACGAATTAGCATTAACTAAACAGGTTTACTAAATAAAATGTGTTAATCTTGATACTGAGATACTCCACCAAAAACAAAATTTCTTAGCAGTATACAGCACTACAGCAGTACGAGTACAGCACACTGCCTTCTTGAGCTTGATGAAAAAAATTCAATAACCAAGTTTTGATTTTACTAATTTTTACACTTAATGTATATGTATAATTATACAGAATTGTTTAAATAAAATGTGCTTGAATGTTATGTTATGCTTATACATATCTAATTAATTGAACCAACTTCACAATGTTTCCCTAAATCTTAGAACATTACCATAATTAATTACTTGACCCGAGGTGGTCGATATCCCATAGCGACGTTAACCCATAATATCGACGAGGATGTAAACGTTAAAGATAATGGTATTGGCTTGAAATCCTCCCACTGAGCTAGAAGGGCAGTCTATATATTACCATAGATAATAAAACATACTCCTCAAGTAGATAAATCACCCCCATGCTAAGCGTTGAAGCTCGGGAAAATTGGCGCGCACACCTTGGTATAGTTTTATTAAAGCGCCATTGTTTATTGTTTATTTTTTAATTTTAGTTATAAATTTAAATGACCAATGTAATAATTTTGTATTTGTTATTTTGGTTCAATAAACGAGTTATTCAGTTATCGACTATTGACGTATGTGGTACATGTCAACACAGGATATATCAACACCATGGTGGAAGGAAAAAACTTAGGTGTGCTATTCCCACATATTTTGACGTCACTCGGATTACAAACAAAAGATCACCTGATTGTAACTGTCAAATTAGTATATATATGTATTGTTTTGATTTGGTTGTTATTGTTTTTATTATTATAAAAAAAAACCAATAATTGATCAAAACAAATACAATTTGACAGTTACAATCAGGTGATCTTTTGTTTGCAATCCGAGTGACGTCAGAATATGTGGGAATAGCACACCTATGTTTTTTCCTTCCACCATGTATCAACACAGTATATTTCCGATCATAATGCCATTATCATGAAAATGAAGACTCCATTGGTAAGTGACAATCATACATCTCATCCACTGTGGTATAATTATTATAGTTTCTATAAGAGGCATATTGACGAATCCAACTTTGACGTCCTCAATGAGGAATTATCTAACATAAATTGGGATGGAATTATTAGCGATAAGTTACCAGCTAATGCATTTGAAGGCGTTTTCCTAGCTTTTAAGGATGTGTTTGACAAGGTCTTCCCTGTAGTGCCAAAAAAGCCCCCGAATCATAATTCAAAGAAAATTCCCAAGACTAGAGTTAACAAAAGCTGGTACACATCTGACCTGGCCAATCTGAGAAATAGAGTTTTATTCCTAAATGACATTTATAAATCTGCAATAAATCATACTGATAAGCAGCACTATTATCATCTCTATCTGTGTGCCAAAAAAGACTACAGGAGTAAAGTAACCAAAGCTAAAAAGGAATCAAACTCAAACTATATCACAAATTCCCACAACCCGAACAAAGCAGCTTGGGAAAATGGTGAATGGACCTCGTAATCTACAGCCATGTTAACCGCATAAATATATAAAGTATTATAACTTAAATATTTTTAAATGTTTTTCCTTTGACGAAATCTATCCAGTCACTACTGGTCATCGATGGATACATGGTATAAAGGTATAAAGGTATTTTGGGCTTATTACTGTAGTTATTATTGGGGCACCTCGATGGCGACCCATAAAAATCTATTCTCATAATGGGTCTTAGATGTATTGAATATGTATGTTAGGGACAAATTAAAAATGTTACTTTGTATGGAAGCATTTGATGTACAACTATATAATCATTATTGCAAATAAAATTGCATCAAACATTTTTCTTTTTAAAACAATCAAGTTTTCACTACTGTTTTTCTTTTCTCGTCGTGGTTGTTCTCTCTGCTGCTGCTGCTGTCTTTCTTCAAGTTTCTTCCTCCTTCTTATTCTTGTTTACCATTTGATACCAATTTATTATTTTTTTTATTATCACTTTACTTTGTCAATCTTTCTTAACTCAAGCTCAGGCTGTATTTTAAATTTTACCTCTTGTCTTTATAACAACATTACTATAAATAAGTTAGACTAACTAACTAACTATACCACTATACGAGTTGTTTTATTTTTGGTGATAGTTTAGGGGAGGTAGGTCTAGTAAGTAACTTACCCAAACAATAGTTGGGAACCTCTACTTCTACTATAGGGCTGATTCTTAACCAACTTATACAATATAACAGGCTTTGCCAATTTCCGCACACTGCAAGGATTATTAAAAAGAGAAGTATCACATCCATACTTTATCACAGTCAGTTTGACATTTTGAGGCCTAGGCTATTCTAGAACAAATAATATGGCTACTTCAGATTCAGATGTTGCTGATGGGACTTATGACTTGTCAAGATCTCCAGTGTTTACTGCATCTGATATGGAAAAATTAAAAAATAAGGACAGAGAAAGGAAAGATGGTGTACCACTTCAAACTAATTGGACATTCTGGGTCGACAAGTAAGTACTGTAACTTAACTTAGACCTCTAGGCCCGACCCTATTTTCTTAATTAAACATTCTATCAGATTAAATCTTAGGTTAACTTATTAATTTTATAGCCAAGTAAGTTACTGTAGCCTAGTTAGGAAGCTTACTTTTCTTCAAATCTAAAGGTTAGCCTATTTTACGTTTAGGCCTATGAATGCAACGGAACCTGCAATCAAATCGTCTTTATTTCATATTGTACATAAATCAGTACATGGAATGGCGTCAAAAACTATATCTAAAACTTAACATAAAGAAATCAAGTCTAATAGAAATAAAAAACACTAAATTAACATATTCTTCTTAAGAGTATAGAGGTAGTGACAACAAGTGGTACTTCAAATGTTTTTTAAATTTGAAAAAATAATTTTCTTTCTTAATGTGATCAGGAAGTTTATTATAGAATTTACCTCCAGCCTAGGTAGTTTTCTTTTCATATAGGCCTAGACTTAACTTAGTCTATGGGCAGGTGCTGCAATATAACTTAGCCAACAACAAATGAAATGATGAAATGAAATGATATTTATTCGTCTATAGACATTATATAAACAACATTATATAAAACATGATATATCCTATGCTAAGCTTAACATTTTAAGAGCCAAAGCTGGGAGGCCTAAGTTACTATGTAAGTAACTTAGCCTAAGTTAAGTTAAGTTAGGTATAAGGTAACTTAAAGTTACTTTGTTAAAGAGAAAATTTTACAAAGACGTTAATTTGTAGCCTAACCTAGGCCTACTTGTGTCCTCTTTATTCGTGAGGTAAGCTTTTTAAACAGGGGTCTAACTTAATTTATTTGTCATACGACCTATCGTTATTCTTCACTACAGGGTTTCCAGCTTCGATGCGGGAATCTTGAACAGGGGGGGTTATTCGGTGAAAAGGAGGAGGTTTAATACAATTTTAAAATTGTTATAAAATATGTCGTCATTCACTGGTGCGATGGTTTAACTTATGTGCAAAAAATTGTATTTCGACACTATTATTGAACATAATACATTTTAAGTATCATTGGAAAGTACAGGGAAATATGGGCAATACATTTCAAAAAATTCGGACAATGTAGCTTAGTAGTATATTTTCCCATGCCGTTTACAAGTAAAAAGTCAACCTTAAACGGTCATTCACTGGTGCACTCACCCTATCATTTTTGGAATCAGCACTAAAAAATAATATTATGAAAAAATAAAATTTAGAGCATTGGCTAGAGGTTGATAGTTTTACCGAGTAGTTGCACTGACAATTTTAAAACCCTCACAAACTTAATTTTTTAATTTCAGATCAATACCTGGTGCTTCTGCTGCTCAATATCAGGCCAATTTAAAAAAGATCTATTCCGTTTCAACCGTCCAAGAGTTTTGGGCAGTCCTGAATCATATTCCCGGAGTTGAAACACTACCCGTAAGTAATTAAAAACCTACCATATGCAATACAGTAAAATACGAGTAAATCCAACCCAACCCATGCTGAGTCAAGTGTGATATATTAGTAAGACCAATTCAACTTTGTGGTTCTCATTATAAATTAGGCAATTTCTTTTAAATCAGCTGAAGACACTAAATCGGTATTGCCAACTCTCATTTTAATCCCCACTGAACTTTCTATGTTTTTTTTAAACTCTATTACTTTAAAAAGACAAATTAATACTACCTGTAAGTTAAAAACTTAGTCTAAAACTGTTACGGACGGCAAGTAACCCATAACCTTCTGCCTACTTCCAGCCAAGATGCAGTTATCATCTAATGAGAGAGGATATTCGGCCGATGTGGGAAGACGACCAGAACAAGAAAGGAGGCACTTGGCGGCTGCGGGTCTCAAAAAAAGACACTGTAAGGATTGTATTGACTATTAATAACAGTTTTTGAATTAATTGTGACCAAAATGTCGACAATTAAGTCTTAAATTGAGTTTTTAAGAATTGTTATAGCTTTTTTAGTGTCTAAGTTTATGCCAGTGCATTTTAAAAGGAAGAATCGTAAAGTCTTTCAAGGAAAACGCGCCCAAATCCCTCTAATTTTTGTGGATAGTTGGGTATCAACAAAATTCTTGCCGCTAATTACTGGGCTATCAACACAACCCACTTTGTGTCAATTTAATTGAAATCGTCCACAAATAGTTTCTTAGATTTTCCTTGCTTTTGGTGACTTAATTAATAATACCCTAAATAGACGTGCATGTAATATAAAGTAATATCCTGCTAATTGAGAAGTGATAGAAAGTTGTCGATACTGAAATTGCCTTCCAAGCACACACAGGAGAGTGTACTCAGCACAGATTACAAATTTTCAGGCAAGTTTTTTTATTATCTATTTTAGGAGTGTTTCTACTTTCATAATATAATCAATAGGTACAAGGCCAAAATAAGGTGCTTAGTAATCTAGCACTAACTCTCAACCATTATTTGACCAAAATAAGTTATTTTCAATCGGTTCTTTAATCCTAGCTTTAACCTGCATTACCATACTGATGAATTGTCGGGAAATGTCTAGTGCTGCTGCATGTTTTTTTTTTTAAACAACTTATGACCACGAACACTGTAACACAGTACATGCTACACTGTTACTTTTGTTGAATCATAGATGAAAATTCAAAAATTCACCCTCTTTCAGTACACAGGCATTTAACACTCCTAACTGACGCGGCCGACAATCATGCAACCTCAGTGAATGTAATCAAGCTTTTGTTTCAGTTTGATAAAGTTTTCGACCTACAAGATCTTTTGTAGCACTCTTTTTGCTTACCCTTGTGTTTACCCTTACTAGTGTTATTATTAAAAATGTCAAATTTAGTTAGTTTCTAGACCTGCCTCACCAGTAAAATTTAAAATTTCAGATGATTTGATCTTCAAAGTTCATTCAGACATTCCTCTACCCTTGGTTGACAAAGAATCATTCTATGTATAATATTCAATTAACGGTTTGTAATTTTATATAACTTTGGCAGCCGAGAGTGTGGCAGGAGCTATTGCTAGCTGCTATTGGGGAACAGTTGTCGGAAGGAGTCAATGAAGGCGATGCCATCTGCGGAGTCTCGGTTACTCTGCGTGACAAAGATGACATCGTGCAGGTAAACAGCAAATCCCATGCTCTTAAGTTTTTTTGAGTCCATTTTTGTATATGGTAAATTTTGATTAAAAAATTATTGCACTATTAATTTTTCTATAACATCTTCTATCATTTTAAGTTTTAAGTATTGAATATGACAGTTTTAAACCATAGTCTTTTCAGGAAGATTCTTTCACACTGCGCTGCATAATAACAAACAAGGTAACATTTACAAAAAAAAGTTGTCATGTAAAATTTGTTAAGGGATAAATTTACAACAACGTCAAGTCGTATTTGACTCCTTGCAAGAAGTCAAGAAAAAAATTCCCACAAGTTTGGAAAAAGGTAAATTTTTATAAATGGTACGTTGTTTGTCATCAATTGTTAGTTTGGTTGTAAATTAAGCTGATCCAAACTAACTTAATCTAAACATGGCAGCGCACTGTAAAAGAGTGGCAGACTCTTCTTGGAAAGACCTATCTATAACAGAAAAACAATATTTACACTCAATAGTTATTTTACATTGAATGAAATATTTTAATCAATATCTATATCAAATGCAAATTTAATCAGGTAATATATCGCAGGTTCTCTGCGGAACTCTGTACCCCCTATTTCCTTCTGGTTTCTGAATATGTTTGAATTATTAGGAAATATAAGTAAAAAAAATCAGATTGTCACAATACAATTGTATTAAGAGTTATGTATTTCAGATTATTCAGATTCTAACCTGGTCGGATTTTTTAATTTCAGGTGTGGAATCTACGCGCCAATCTGGCAGAGAATTCCCACGTGTTGCCTAGGATTCACAAACTTGTACCTGAAATAGAGTTTGACACAGTCTACTACAAACGTAAGTCTTACAATTTCTTTTCCCTGTTTTAAATACTCATCTTTTTATTGTTGAGTTTATAATAGTTTTTGTCTTTGTGAGAGTTTTTTAAAGTAATAGTTTAATTCCTCGGAAGATTTAGCAGGCTTGTGTACATTATTAGTTCATAAACGTAGAGGGCTGGAACTGTCAAAATCTCGAGGGATTTGAAAGCTCTACAACTTTCTATGGGACCGAGTCCAGAAAGAACCCTGTCAGTCTTCTTCTGAGCCATTAGTATTTTATTTTGGTTGTCAGAGGTGACAACCCAACAAATCAGCACCTTATGTGTGATTCCACCATGGCATTGTACGCTGCCTTGGCTGATTCTATTCTTCCCATCCACATCATCCTCGTTACTGTGTCTTCCAAATGAGAGTTTTGCATATTAAATGCAAGACGTGTAAAATAAAATAGGTATATTCTGAAATGAAACTTAAATAACAATGAATGTAAACAAAAACTAAGTGAAGTAAATAAACATAACATATGGTATTAATTAGACATATGTTAGAAGCCCCAACAGAGAGTTTTGTGGTTAGTCATGAACGTGATTGTCCCAAAACAGGCCAACATCAATTTGGTTGTTTGTCAATGTTGTTGTTGTCAGTTATTTGTTTGTTTGATACAAGGTATGTTGATACGAAAGCTTATTTTGAACCTTATTGTATTTGCAGCCCACCAGACGCACGCTGCGTACCAAGGGGGCAGATAGCTTACGCTGAGCACTGCGCTGACATCCTCCGTGGTGTACAGTTTAGTCACATACTTAGTCTACAATCGGGTAACTACTAAACATATGGTGTAAATAACATTTAGTACTTAGTAATTAACTGATACAAAGATGATTTGAGATTGCAATTATTAACTTTCAGAGCCGATATTGACATGAGGGGATTAATAAAGTAAAATTTCGCCTAAAGCGCTTGGTCACCTAATTAGAAATAGGTTGTATTTTATATCTTGTGTTGATTAATTTTACTACATTTTATCTTTTAGTGAAGGAACGTTTGTATTGTGCCATTCAAGCATAGCTGATTTTTAAAGTTATAAGATGATTTAACCAAGCATATCATGTATTTTTTATTTAGTGTTTTGAAATGTTACTTATAGATGAATTAATGGGATTGTAAATAGTGAATTGAATGTGCTGACCACATACATTGTAACATAAAATATGGAAGGATTAAGAAGACCTTGATAAAAATATATCATTTCATATAAGTTTATATCACAATTTCTTAAGATTGGTCATAGCCATTACTTTATTTGCCTACCGGTGGTTGTATAACACTTTTTTTTTAACTTTTTATTGTTTTTAATGGCAGCAAAATAGCCTTGATTGTTGGTATGGAAATGTGCATAAACCTAGAAAATATTTGCAGTTTTTATTTTTTAAGTATGTTTTGTAAAACAAGATAGCTATGATAAGATCGTTAGGTATACATCAGATAATATGCAGCTTTACAACCTTTTTAGATTTGCTTAGTAAGGAATTGGAATTTCTCTCAAATACATTTCAGCGAGGTGGCTTTTAAAGCTCACAAAACTGGTATTTCCATATCCTTTGTGTCTTGCCTTGAAAAACTGTGGAAGAAATGTAACTATAAATGTAATAAATGGTAAGTTGTGCGGTTTTATACGGTATTTTTGTTAAGGAAGGCATATTTTAGAGAGAGGATGTTTGTTCTGAGATGTTTTTTAATTCAGTAAAACCTTAATAGTCACTGTCAACGGATTTGTAAGACTTAAATATTATCTAGGAAATTTTTATTGAGATTTATGTCATTAATTGTTAAGGTAGTATATTAAATTTGAGAGGATTGGTACCTCTATAAGTGTGAACTCTACTGGGAGACTGTTTAGGTTTTACTGCAGCACAGACTATGGCTATGTTAGGAATATCAACTTGAACTGATTAATGTGTTTAGTGTAGAATGAAAAATATATGATATTATCGTTAGATTAAGCCTGGGACATAATGCTAGATGTTAATATGTAAATGAGTGAAGGATGTGTGTGAAATAGAGTGTAATGTCTTGTGTAGCTTTGTTACTAAGATCAGATGTTTCTTCAGTCAGGATCATTTATTGAAAATCCCATGATGAAGGATATCGAGGCCTAGTTTTGAACCATCAAAAAGCTGATAACATATTTTACCTAAATAAATTCTTCAGTTTGTTGTCGAATCGAGAATGACTTGGTTAATTCTTAGAAGAGAAGATCTAAGATTAGTTCTTATTTACTCCTACATAATATCATAGACAAATAGAATAAATACAGACTGTCAAAGTAAGGTTCCGGGGCTTTTAGAGCATGTCCAGTGTTTGTCGATTCGCTGCTGTGGTCGACTCACTGGCTGCTACCAGCACTACCATCCTTGCAAACGAAATGCTACTAACGTATCAGACCCAATTTTCAATATGGGTAAAGTACAAAATTCGGATATCCCGTAATTTAAAACGGTAAAGCCTATATTCTTTGAAAAACCCAGAAATTTGTAAAACACGGAAAAATGACAGAACAAAGACCTACCCCCCAAATTCCGGGGAATTCTCCAGAAGTTGGCAATCCTGGCTCAAACTACCAACTTGTCATGGCAACGCTCGCTAGCACTTGACGCTGCAGCGGTGTGTGCCGAAACTACACGGCACTCCTAGCAGTGGACGCCAGAATATATAGCACTTCTGTCGGTCTATATTTAATTCCTTGGTCTATGATAATACACTTTAGTCATCCTTTCTGGTGGATATTATCAAATAATATAATTTAAGTGAAGGTAGGTTAAGACTTAAGTTTGATGAGTTTGTAATTTGAAATGCATGAATGTAAGTTTATATAAGCAATCAATATTGAAACTGACCATGACTGGAAAGGGTGTTCCGAAATTAAAATTGGTCTTTAAAGTTTTATAAGCTTTACTTATCTTACAATTATAAAATGTATACCAAATATAAGGGCAATTGAAACAGTTTGTTCCACACTCCTAAGTCATTGTGATTTTTTTTCTTTGTGTATTTGCGTCATCATTTTTTAAGTTTTTTTTTTTTTTTTTGTAAGAGAACGTTTTTTTTTTTTTTGTCTGCATCCTGGTGTTGTCAATATCTAACGTAGACCTTTTATTAGGTAGAATCATTAATTGATAGTCCAATAACAATTGGCATCTTCTGGGTCCAATAATGATCTCCCTTGAACTAACGACCTTTAGATTTTGAAGGCGTTGAGAGTTGAGCCAGTAGCAAAGGCAAACCACACAATTCTTTATATCCGTAAGGTTGAAATCACGGGGAGCGAGCTGGTCTAGTGGTAGAGCATGGGTTTTGGGTCCCTGAGGCCTTGAGATCTAATCCCACTCATCCCTAATGGATTTGATCTAAGTGATAATGTCACAACCTCATCTAGATCTAGCCTGAAGCAATGTATAAAACGGGTTGAGCCTAGTAGGATGAGGTGTCATTAATAAAAGCTAGAGATCACAATGGCCTCCAAAATCACTCAATGACGTGTGAACCATGTTAGGAGATTTAAATAGTTCATTATATTAGGCTACCGTGAATTAAAAAATAATAGTCATGTACTTGCAAAACTTCCATAATATACAGTTCAACTTAAGTGTAACTGTTTTAGTTGCTCTTTTAAGTAATCATGCTCTGCAAACATGATAAATTAAGTATCATGAAGCATTCAAACGTTGATATTCATTTTGAAACACTCTGAGAACTGTTTGTTGACTCAATCGTTATCGGAAATATTGTTGAAGGCAAAAATCATTAGCTTCAAACTTCAAACTTTTTAGCTTCAAATTTTTTTACTTTTTGGGTTCCCAAAATCAAATTATATCTGGAATAAAAAATGTAACTTAGAGAACAAGGGCGTAGGTTTTTAGGATTTTTAGTGAGGATAAAAGGTTTGTGTAAATAGGGAAAGAGTCCAAACTGGCACAAGAAACTCTATACAATGCGCAAAACATTTGAATATTTATTTGTCTCTGACAACATTTCAACTGCGAAAGGTGACTTGAATAGATATTTATAGGGAGAAGAATATCCTTAACTCACCTTCGTTAGTTGTAAATTCTCTCATTGAGAGTCAAATATTTTGATGTTTTGTGTGTTCTTGTGCCATTTTGGACTCTTCTCGATTCAGTTAAGCCTGCTGTGCTATCCTCACTACATATTTGGGACCATTTTACGGAATTTCCCATATAGGGAATAAGCTATTATTGGAGGTCTGATGGTAAGACCTAGACCCGGGACCGATTATTTTGTTGTTGTTTATTTCCCTGGAGGCAAACAGGTAAACCTACGTTTATTCAAATGATTTTGCAAACCCTTATTGGAACAGGCTTTTTGGGTAGAAATTAATTTTTCCTACAGTTACCTAACAATGTACATGTTCTCTCACTGATTTGAGAAAGCAAAGTGGCCAGTTCGCTCATCAGTGAGACAATGTTAACATTGTCTCACTCTAATTACTTTGTCTCACTCCAGATTTGCAACGTGAAGGCACGAAATAGTGAGCGCATAACATGCAGGCAACGTCGTATACGCGCGAAATACGTTGGAAGCACTGGCTGTAAATCAGCTGGTCAGCTGTTGTACTGTTGTATTTGTCACTTCACATTAAATGTTATATTAAAAGATTACTTCTGTGTAAAAATAGGTTATGTTTCTTCACCAATTTATTAGTTTTATGGAAACTGTAGGAAAAGTATGATGTGCAACTCTAATTCAAAGTACAATTGCCTCACTCGAGAAACCATTCCTCACTCGCCTACGGCTCGTGAGTAAGGATTTCTCTCGAGTGAGTCAATTGCTCACTTTTCTCACTAGTTGCACAAATAACTATTTCTCATTTTTGGCCCTCAAAACATATAACTTCTCAATTTTTCTCTAAACCATCTTGTAGAGTTAAAAAAACTATAATTTACTATCTTAAAGTGTTTTCGTAAGGTTAATAGTTACGTAGAAAATTCTAAAAAATTGTAAATTTTAAATTCCTTTTGTTATTGTTATGGAAGAATACTGAATATATTGAGAATTCTGGTGAACGGTTGTAGTTTGCTTGTTTACGGATATATTTTGATCAACCTAATGTTATTGAAATAGGGAATGCATATGACATGTTTAAGGAAATATTCAAGTGAAAATGTAATGTGAATGGAAATTTGCTTAGTCTGCAGGTTTGCTGCGGTGGGTTTTTTTAAAATCAGATAGCTGCATCTAATTTTTATATTACAGAAAAGTCAGTATGTTTCAGTATCAAACCAGTGACCTGTTTGATGAAAATTCTAAAATAATTTTATTTAGAATAGAAATTATAATCTATTGATTGCAAAAGTAATAGGGATTAAAATGAGAACATAATAAAGTTCACAACATATCTTATACAATATTGTTCAGATCATGAGTTTCTTGACTGACTCATGTTAAACTGAAACATTAGACTGAAGGTTTTGTACCTAATTGTTACCAGATTAAGCTTCAGGGAATGGAATGTAATGAAATGTCCTCAGTTTACCGAAATAAACATTTTATTTTTGTATCAGCCATATTATTTGCCACCCAGTTCACAGGTTCCTTGTGTTTCTTTTTAATTTCTTTTGCTATGTGTCAAAAGTGTTGTAATTTGTTGGAGAATTATCTTGTTATATATTTAGTATTTATGGGAGACGCTGCTGATATTGGTGATTAAAAATTCCTTTTAAAAACTATCATTACTTTTTTATGTTCATTTAGTCTGCTTATAACTTTTCAACTACTGAACCAATTTTATTGTTTGATGACTCAAAAGAGCAAAGAAAGTAGGCTACTAACTTTTTGTGCATACTCATGTTTTTTCTCAATTAGTTGATGAGTTATTACTTCATAAATAACTTTAAAAAATATTCCTATGTAATTTGTTTTTTAATTATTTTGTTCATGTACTTGTATTAAACCTATTACAATATTCATGCACAAAAAGTTGCTTTATAGTGTAAACAATGTGTGTTAAAAATTTAATTCTTATAGCTTTAAAATTTTAAAAGTTATAAGAACTTATGTAAAAAATAACAAAATATTAAAACTGCGGAAAACAGCGGTTGAAGTTTATACTAACCTGCTCAGTCTGATGCCCCGAAAAAGGTGTGCTTGCTCTACTTCAAATATTTTTTCACAGTGGTGGAAATATTTATTATACCATATGTTGTGATTTCTGAAACTTTATAGGCTATAGCATAAAACGATAAAAAAATTATACTCTTCACAAAATTTGTCACTTTTAGTAGCGACTCCTCTTAACAATAATTTACATAAGTGTGAAGTATTTGTTTATTTACCTTTAATGGTGACCAAAACAAGGATATTTAGTCAAAAATACAAAAGCAGGATGCAAATTTTGTTTGTATATTTATTTTGTTTGTAAGAAAAATAAACCACTCCAGTTTCCTGTTTGAAGATTCTATTTGAAAGGATATTCTTTGTGTGCCTTTGCTCTGAAACATAGAAAAATTATGAATTAATTTTTAATGTTACATTAATATTTGCCTCTTGGCGAGAGCACATTAATATTTACCTGAAACAGTTTACATTTTTGAAAATTATTAAGGACGAAGCTCCTTTCAATTGATAAAATAAAGGGATTACCTTATCTAACCACAGTTGTTGGTAAGACAACTAGTTTCGTTCCTTAGAACTTCGTCAGGTTCTTTAAAATACTGTAAAGAATATTTAAACATACCACAACATATTAATACATTGAAGATGTGGTTGCATACAATGGCCTGACGAAGTTCTAAGGAACAAAACTAGTTGTCATACCAGCAACTGTGGTTGGATAAGTTAAACCTTTTATTTTATGAATAATATATTTTAACTGAGGGTCACAATGAATAACCCTCCTTTCAATGTTTTAATAGGTGATTTTTTTTGTAAGGGTCTTTGGTTATCTTTTATTATTAGGTACTTGCAAGATGTTATTGGAATCTTTAGATTCAAAAAGAGTTTTTTTGGAAAATAGCAACTTACATTATCTAGAAATTTTATAAGTTTATATTTTCATACAGTTGAACCTCTATAAGACGAATTTCAAGGGGTACGGGAAAAATTCGTACTATAGAGGTATTCTTAATAAAGAGGGTCGTTTTATCGAGGTTTAATGCTGCTGTTATTCTTCTTATAGAGGTTTCTCCTCGCTCCAAGGTTTCTCCAAAAACAATGACTGAGGAAGGAGGAGGGATGGGTGGGGGTTTCATGTTGAGACAAGCTTCTGCTTGGAGTACAAACTACGTACTATGGAGGTTAAGATTATGATAAATTCGTCTTATAGAGGTCACGTTCGTCTTGTAGAGGTTTTGTGCTAAGAATATTCGTTGTATAGAGGTTAATCAGTCCTAGTCCATGTCACAAACAAATTCGTCTTATGGAGGTTTTTAACTTAATTACTACGTTGTATAGAGGCGTTTTTAGCATTGACCTATATGAAAGTGTCAAGGGGATTAAGAAAAATTCGTCTTATCGAGGAATTCGGTTTATCGAGGTTCGTACAAACGAGGTTCAACTGTAGTAATAAAAATTATCAAGATTACTTACGCCTCGTAATGTGTTATGCGATAGTTTGTGTGAAGAGTCTGTATGTATTTAGTATCCTCGACATCCAGTTTGAAGTCGAAGATATCCATATTTTCTTTTAACCTTGCTTCCTCAGCTGTTTTTGGTATTGGTACAACTCCTAGCTCCACCTTCAACGGAAAAACACAAATTTTTCAATAAAACTTTGGTTATTTTGTCCCATCAAGGTTTGGTATATTTATTTAAAGAGACAAGCTTTGGTTGACGTCCAAGGACCCTGAGTTCACCTCTCGTACAAATACAAAATTATAAAATAAGACAGAGTTATTTATTAGAATTGCTTTGTCAGACTCACCAAGTATCGTTATCAGACTTGACCAGGTGTTTAATGGTATTTCCTCCCTAATATATTCCCTTTTATAATTATTTTCTATCTTATTCTCAGTTTTTCTCCGGATTCAATTTACTCACCAAGTAACGCAAGCAGACTTGCGCTGGAGTTTTCTTGTATTTTTTCCCAATCTCTATCAAGTTGTGGTTGCTTTCTATCACCACCTGCCACTCTTCTTCAGGGGTCAGTTCTATCTTCCTGCCCGGAGCTCCAAGTGGTCGGTAGCCCATCACGACAATGTCTCTCGCTTTACAGAACTGAAGAATCTCCTCTTGTACAAGCCTAACGTTGGTTTCAATCTGAAAAATATTAACATTAGCTGTAGTATAATTTATTTTAAGAACATTATTGTCCATGAAAATGTGTGTTGAAATTTTGAATCAGATTTCAATAGTGGTGAAGTAATTATAACAATACGTTGAAGAGGAATCTATACTACTAACTCATCCATGGAAGAGTTCCAGGCACAAAAGGTTCCTAACACATTAAACTACAATTTCATCTCTCTAACGGAATACTACTCATTTTAACGAGCTCCCTTTGTAAAGTGCTTTTCACAAAAAAAAAAAAAAATTGTTTTGGCAATCTGACACATACTTTCTTTGGTTAGCTTGTCAACAACCCTTCTCGTGAAGTGGAAGTAACTATAATATTTAATGGGGAAAATCAGAAAAGCTTCAATAATTTTTTTACCGTAATTTTTACAGCAACAAGGATTGTATAGTTTTGTATAGAGTGAAAAGTACTTTAACAGACTATAATTTAATCAAAATAAGTCAAGCTGCTTTGTTTAAAATCCAATTTTTGTTATTTTATGGTTTTTGGGGGGGGGGGAAATCAGAAAAATTGAATAAACATTTGTACAGTAGAGCGTCAAAAGTCCGAACCAATTATGTAGGTAGTTCAGATTACCGATTTGTTCTGATTTTCAAATATAACCCAGAAATACCTAATAGACACATAATAGGCCTACAGTATTAAAAATACAGTAAATAAAATTAAAACAACGGTTTTTGTACTTAGGTATTTTCAGTACATTACCGACTAGCCGACTGTTTTGCCCACGACATTTTAAAACATCTGTTGTCTCAGTGCTAATTAAATATTTTAAAACCCTGAGGATCGGTTCGGATTTTTGACGTTCAAATTTTCGACGCTCTACTGTACCATAATTTGACTGATTTATAATGTCTCATATGTTATAGTGAAACTTATCCTCTGTGCTAGGATGAGATAGGAAGAAAATCCAGGCTACTCACCTGGTTAACGACAGGTTTGTATTTAGCGATTTTCAAAATCCTCTCAAGCTGTCCTGTGTTAAAGTTGGCAACTCCTACACTCCGGACCAGACCTCTGGATACTAGGGTCTCCATCTCCTTCCATGTGTCTTCTATGGATGTTGTGTCAAATGCGTAGAACTCTTGTTTCTTAAAGTGATCCCTAGTATTGCTCTGTGTAAGTGAGAAGAGAGGTCAAACTATAAAAAAATTCAACATATTAAACTATCTAGGTTATGAAATGTTATTTTATATTAATATACCCATCCCCCAATTTCAGTCAGATTTGGGATTAAATACAGTAGAACCTAGATAACAAGACCCTTGATAACAAGGATCATTTTCAAATCCCCTTGACATTTTTTTACCCCTAATCACATTTTATTGCAAACCTCGATAAGAAGTCAACCTTGATAACAAATCTTATTTTATAATCCCGTTGAGTCTTGTTATCAAGGTTACACTGTACATATAGTTGATCAAAAGTAGGGATGGACGAGATTGGATTTTTAGTTCGAGACGAGACGAGATTTTTTATTTCTCATAAAATTTCGAGACGAGATCGAGATGGGATTTCCCTTCTCATACACAACGGGAAATGCACGTTCGGAATTTTTACCTGATTTTGTAACATTGTTAGATGACTGTTTAAATACAAAAATAATGATAATAGGCAAGAATATTTACAATCTTTTATTAAAAAACATCAGCATAACATTTTTTTATTAATCAGGCCTAACTTATTAAAAATACCTACGATTAGGAAACATAGTGATATCAGTTAGGATAGAGTTCAACTTACCCTAAAATAAAATAAAATATTAATTTTTATAAAATAGTTACTTGTTTTGACTTTTTTATAGTAATAAAACATTCCTCACACTGCTAACACTTAACAAAACTTCTAAAATGTTATTAAAATAATTAAAGTAATATTTACATTTGAAGAATTAATTAAATAAGAACGCCTTCGCAAAGGAAACGCAACTACAACACGCTCCTGTATTGCGGGTATTGCATTGACTTTCTGCAGGCGTTTTAAATTTTTTTTTTATTCTCGTCTCGATAAAAATCTCGGCCAAAAAGAAATCTCGTCTCGTGTAACGAGATTAAATATTTCCCGAAAATTTCAAGACTTGACCATCCCTAGATCAAATGTAGGATAAAACATGTCTATAGTCTGTTCACAAACTTTGGTGATTTTAGGGGAAGTTAGTTCCTCCACCACTTTTTTTGCTTATTATGTTGCAGCTGATTCACTGATTGAATACATTTTTGTTTTTATTTACTCTTTATCTCAGCTGTTGTTGAGCTATTGTTGAAGTGGAGGGGTTAGACTTCTCCCCAAAAACCGTCTAAATTTTATGAACAGAGCATAGTTGATGCATCTGAATCATGAGTTATATTCTTCTAAAGTAAGTATGGTTAGCTATCAGTGGCGGATTGTGGCCTCGGAGGCCCCAAGGCACATGTAAACTTGCCCCCCCCCCCATGGGTGTCATTTCAGAATTTTAACTGGTGTTAAATTTTAAGCTTTTTCAAACTATTTTACAACAATTTTATTTTTATTTGTCTGTCTGAGGTCCCCTGAGACCTGCGGCCCCCTAGGCAGTTGCCTATCGTGCCTAATGGGGAATCCGCCACTGTTAACTATTGTATACATCGGATATAGTTGTGGTCAAGCTATCTCAGATTTTAAGTGTTGAGTCTATATCCTAAGCAAATTATTGTTCACCTGCTTGCTGGTGGCCGGTCCTTTATTACTGCAGTTCAAAGGGGGCTAGAGAGTCCAACAGCAACAATTAATTTTCGTTATCATAAATACAAACAAAACCATGCTATATTGTGGTTTATTTAAAAATTTATGTCAATTTGATAACAAATTTTCCACAAATTACTTAAATAATTGATGGGGCGTCACAAATCTCCTCGTAGATTAGACTCCTCCACTTTTCTCTATCATCTGCCATATTTCCACGAATAAGTCAACGTTTATTTATTTTTTTTAATTTGAAACACACAGCCCAATCCTTAGGTACACGAGGCATGTCCACGACTATAAGCTGTTATATTTATGAACAATTTGCCAAGTTTTATAATTGTTACAGGTAAACAGGCGATAAAAAAGTAATTATTCAACTGACGACGAAATCTAAAAACTACAAATACCGAACATTCTTTAGTTTCAGATACAATAAAACCGCAAGGTTGTAATTTACCTTAAGCCCGAACGGCCAGTTGATCAAGTACAGGTCTATGTAATCAACGGAGAGAAAGCGTAAAGACTTCTCACAGGCTGCGGTCACTTCACCCTTGGAATGATGAGTATTCCATAACTGATCAAACAAATTAATAACAATTAACTGACCCCAGAAATGTGCAATAAATTGGTAAAATAAAAAAACAGCATGAGATTATTAATCTTAAGGGTTAGCAAACTGAATTTGCCACTTTAACATCAGACGAAGTGAATTATTTACCTTGTTTTGTAGCCCTTGTTCTTGCAGAATTTTTGTTTTTTCCTACATAATTTTAAAAATACCCCCACCGCAGCAAACCTGCAGACTAAGCAAATTTCCATTTGACTGAATGGATTTACACTGAAATGTCTACTTAAAAATATAACATTTATCCTCGATTTAAATAGAATTAGTTTAACAAGTACTTAGGTTTGCTGCATCAGGGAGGGTAAAACGTTTTTTTTTTTTTTTGTAAAATGCTAGTAGTTGGTAAGAAATAAAAACATTTTCAAAATTTGATCAAAATATGTTTATAAACAAGCAAACTACAACAGTTTACTTATTCTCCATAAGAATAACATGGGAATTTTAAATTTACAATTTTTTGGAATTTTCTCCGTAACCATTAGGCGCATAACAACGCTTCAATATACTAAATTATTTGTTTTTTCAAGCTCTACAACATGGTTTGGAAATAAAATGCTAAATTTTATGTTTTTTTGGGTCAAAAATAGGAAAAACCTATTTTTACCCCATAAAACCCCCCATAAACCACCGTTCCCATGGTCCGATCATGCTGGATCGCGAACTCGTTCGAATAACCATAGGTTTACACGTTTGTACCAAATTTAATCAAAATCGGATCATATTTGCTCGAGTTATCGTGCTAACGGACACGTATATATATATATATATATATATGAATCTGAACGGATGGTGTTTTTGGCCTCTGGGGACCTCAAAACGAAAAAAAAAATCGGTCCCGCGTCCAGGTCTTACCATGAGTACTACGGTAATAGCTTATTCCCTATCTGGGAAATTCGCTAAAAGACTACAAAAACAAGGTAAATCATTCAATTGTCTTTCTTGCCACTAGGAAAGTAAATAGAAACTTATAAGACCTATGTTTCATTTATAGGCAATCTTCTAGTATACATGTTGATAACCAAGTAATCTTTAAAATCATTGATAATGTTGAACTCGTACAACCAAGTAAAATATACAGTATAAGTTAGTTGCAGTTTTAGTTTTCAAGTCAATAAATTAAGACAATGCTGAGATCATGTTCCACCTATTGTGCCACTAAGTTCCTGGAGTTGGATTGTCATTTCTTGTGTTATGTTTCAGTTATTATTTGTGTACTTTTCATAGTGTAATAAGTGTTTGGTTTGTATTTAGGTATCTCATTAATTTATACTATGCCTTTATTTACAATGTTTGTCTATGATTTTATAAGTAGAAAAAACTCGACAAGTCATTCCTTGTGTTTTAAAATTAAGTAACCTGTGAAGGGTTAAAATCCGTGCGTAGACATAATTTTGCAGAGACTTCCTCGTCCAAAATACAAATTAAAAGTATCCCCGTCAGTTTGACTCCAAACCGTACCTTGCTGACAACGAACATTTCCTCCCTCGTGACGACGCCTTCTCTAATCTTTTGTCTGATGGCTCGACCCACGGCTACCTCGTTGTTCTGATACACGGGAGCCGTGTCTATCAGACGGTAACCTTGGTCGATCGCTTGTCCTACAATCTCCTCCGTCAAATGGGCAATCTGTAACCAATCAGTATTACAGCTTGCATTGAAAACTTAAAGAATTTATTTTGCGTAATTTTAAAAGCCGTTGGTATTTTTATAATTTTTTAAAGTAATGTAAGTAAAAATTGTCTTGTTACTATCCGACATTGTTATTTTGTTAGATTGCTATTTCAAGTACCTTAGATTGCTATTTCAAGTACCGATATGTCAACGTCAGTGGCATTTTTAACGTTGTCTATAAGTGGACGTTCCAAACCCAGGTCTTGATACTATCTATTTCGACCTTTTGTTGGAAAGCATAATTAATTGATCGCCCTGTGACAAATGACGTCTAGATCTGTAATCGAGTGGCATTACACTTGGAATTGAACCAGCGACCTTCAGATTTGACGAGAGAACTAACCACTCAGCTGCCTAGAGAATTAAATTGATAACCCTACGACAAATGAATAATAGTCCGAATAGTCATCATATCTTACTTCGCACTGATAGAGTCACATCTTAGATATGGCTTGACAGTGTGGGGAGGAACTTAAACAAAAAAATAGGACTGGGTCCAGACAAGGCCCCACTAGAAAAACCAGTATTGGAATCTAACCAGTAACATTCAGTTTGAAGGTGAACATTAAAACGTCTCAGCTACCCAAACAATTGACTAATAAGGTAATGCTTTTTGTATTTCTTTTGATAGTTCATGAAATATTTGGGGACAAGTTTTTTTGGTTTGACAGAAGTTTGGTGTTGTCATTGTAAATGTAGCTTAGAAGTTGCTCAGCCTTCCCTCAAATCAAATGTTGCGACTTTAATGCTGAGCACTTGAGAAGGATTTATTTTGAACCTAAATGCCTTTGTTGTTGGGCTATTAGTTTACTTAATAAACAACTTTTTTACTGTCTTCTCACAAAATACGCTATGAAATGTGTATGGCGTTAAAAACACAAGACACTGACTTAAACATGGGCACAGAAAAGTACCAAATAAACAATAGAATATTATAATATAGTGATAGCATACCCTGTATTTATCATTCAGTGTTAAACCGATTAATGATGTACAGGTATTTTCGGAGTTGGATTCAGTGTCTAGCTGCTATTTCAAAAAAATAAATTAAATGAAAAAAATGTTTCTTATTAAAGTTATTTATTAATGTTATTGACATGCACTTACCTTAAATGTTCCAAGTCCAAGTGCTGGAATGTACTTTCCATTGTTTAGTTTTACTAATGGTATGGTAGATGTCATCTCTAAACTAATTCTTAACTGCAGTTCTGTCTCTTTACTATCAGATTGAATCAGACCTCCAAAAATAGCTCTTGATTGTTTACTTGAAATGACCACACAATAATGACAGTTAATTTAAATTTGTGGACCTCAAAACAGAAAATATTTAGTCAGATATAAAAAATGTTTACAATTGAAAATGCTTGGGTGAAAAAATGTTGTCTCTAACCCATTACATGAATACATTGTAATACATCTTTGTTGTACAAACTGTGAACCGAAATAATACTACAGTATATATGATGGTTTCTTTAATTTTGTATTGTAAATTTACAACATCATAAAAGAAAAATTAATTTAACAAAATTCTTGTACAAGATAAATATTCTTGAGCCATTTAAGAAATTGTCTTTAGGAAACTATTACTGTACCATAGGCGAGACCATTGATTAGTCAATGGCGGCACAGAATACAGGGTTAGGGTTAAATACCAGTTGTTATTGGGTTATAAATTTATGCAATCTAACACAAGCAAGAGGTTGACGAGATTTTGGATGGTAACTATACCAGTGTTTTGATTGTTCCCTTAAAGAATAACAAATTCTTAATACTTTAATACTTTCTTATGAAATGGCGACCATACAATGTAGGTATTTTAAGCCAAGTATGAATGGAGATGAGTGTAGGATGAGTGGCGCGATCTTGTAGTCTTGTTAGTAACTAAGGCCGACATTCCTTAGACACAGCTGTTAATTAATAGCCCAAACAGCTAATGGCAACTAAGGGACCTACAGTTTATAGTGGAATCCGAACCACATTTTTTCCTTGGTATATACGAATTGGTCTAATTATCAGGATAGTACTGCGGATAGTCATAATACTCACTAGTGCGGACGTTAATCCTCACCAGGGAGTATCCCATCCACAGTGCATACCTATAAATATCCACAATCCGTGACCTCCATAGTAGCTGGATTACAGGACGACGCCACCCGTCCCTTATGTATTCCTTGGACGCTAGGCAAGAGTCCGGGATTACTTTTTACATTACTTCAGGCTAGACCTAGGGTTGCGGCATTATCACTTAGATAAAGTCCATTAATGATTTGACAGGATTTGAACCCAGGACCTCGGGGACTGAAGCTCTTCCACTAGACCATCTCCCTCCCTCCAACAAAAAGCAAAATATAATACAGTATTTAAAATACACATTTTTGAACAAGTGGTTTTTAGCACAGTATGTTTGTGTAAGACAGAATACTTTATTCCAATACATGTTTAGTCTTAGCAGAACATGGATTCAAGTGTTCAATGAACCCTGAGTCCTCCTTTGATGTTTACATTTAACATTAATGTTTCGGTTGGATCAGATAAGATATAGATCTAGTATCAGTTGCAGTACGAATTAATTTTTTTGTTTTACTTTCAATTACTTTAATTCGACAAACAGGTTATTCACCATTTTTTGAACATGCCTCCTACTGTACCATCAGTAAAACTTAACAATGGACACTCAATGCCGGCCTTCGGACTAGGGACATGGCAGGTTAGTCAGTATTGCAGTTTTTAATTATTGAAATTAATTTAATACCCAAATAGGTAAACACCATTATAGTGTAGTTGGTAATATTTAGGTGTGTTTCTGCAAAACCTAAAATGCATTTTCTAAATACTGGGGCTAATAGTCTAAATTTGTTTATGTGTGTTTTGTCTTGGTGTTGTGTTTGTGTTCTGATGTGGACTAAATCTTTTTCTCTTATTTTATGTGATTGAAAAAGAGGTTGACGGCCTCTTTTAACCTTGTATTTGCCCGCCCACATCTACGGATCTGTTTTTGGAATGTGTACAGCAAAGCAAGGGATGTGCTGTTACAGTCGAAGAGTGAACTGTGCTTAAAAAGTAGTGGCAAGTACCAGGATCTGAACCCACTACATCGCTGCCTTGGGCTGAAAGTCTGTGGCGCTACCACTTGAGTCACCAATTGCTGGTTAATTTAATGTTTTTTTTTACTTTTTGGTTAAAAGTACTAAGGACAAGCTATAGTTTATAAATAGATTGTTTTATTTTTTCAAAATTGTCTTTGATTAGAAGAGACAAACAATTAATATGAAATGGTACAAGTCAGATGACCATATCCGACACAAGGCTAAAATTAATGTTATAGCTTGATTAAATTTTACTAAAATTAGCTCAAAAAATCATTAAGCAATGTATTATTATCTTTTTACAAATAAATATTTTTAAACCTGTATCACTGTAAATAGATGGACGAAGCGGAGGCAGAAACAGCTGTGAAGCAAGCAATAGACCTTGGTTACCGTCACTTCGATACAGCTTTTATCTATCACAATGAGGTTGCCATCGGTAAAGCCGTCCGACAAAAGATCAAGGAAAACGTTGTGAAGAGAGAGGATATCTTTATTGTGTCTAAGGTGAATTTATTTAGTTTTTAATTATATATAATAGAAGTTCTTTCCATAGCAAGTTCATAAAATACATCTTTGAGCACTTTGCAATGTATCTTCACTCACTGTAAACAATTAAAAGACAGTAAATGTAGCCTATATAAAAAATGTTCCAATGGTGATATAGCTTATTTTGACTACTCATTCCTGCCACACCTAGGTTATGTCATCCTGATCCTGATCCTGATTTGGTCCCAGTTCGTAGGCTAAGTTTGAACATGTACGTGAGGCTTTAGGATAAGAATTATTTACTTTTTTGGAAAATATCCATTCATTTTTAACAAAGTCTAAACATTTTTTGCAAATTTTAATTTCAGCTTTGGAACACCTGCCACGCCAAGTCGGAAGTGTTGCCAGCATGTCGCAGATCTCATACTTATCTCTCCTTGGATTACATTGACCTCTACCTCGTCCATTGGCCTTTTGGTCTCAAGGTAAATATTAAAAATTCTTACTTTTTTAAAATTTCAATCAGAATTTGAATGATAACCTAGTTATAAGATATTGAGGGAAGTTTGCCTTCTTCATAGCAGTGACATGGAAAAGTTATCAGTGCTTTACCTTGAAGTAATTTTGTCATCCCCGTTTAAGGTTCTACTAGATGAATTCAGGGGGTACTGTTATATTTACGCTGCTCTCCAATGTAAAGACAGCTCTCTCTTGCTGTCGTCAACCTAAAGCATACACACGACAGCTTACTCTCTTACTACTTACTCACTTACTCTCAGTGCCATGTATAAGGAGATATTTGGCCGCACCAACTAAGCCTCTCGATCTTCTGCATCTTCCTCTGTCGCTCCTATCTGTTCTAGTATCTCCATTCACGTCTGTCCCACCATTTTTTTAGTGGCATTCCTCTTATGGTCTTCTTCCTAGGTTTCCTCATCACTACTTTAAAATTGTTATCTTCCACTCTTTTGAAAACGTGCTCAACACTTCCTCCACTAATGGACGTAATATTTTAACAGTTGAATAACTTTTACTTGAATTTTTGGTTAAGATGAGCCTTCCAAAATAAGTTTTCACATCACCTTGTAATAAATGCTTGTTTGGCAGAGCAAGACGGAGTCCCGTAACCCGCAGGTGTTTGATGGGTTTGACGACACTTCACTGGAAGACACATGGAGGGAGATGGAGAAATGCGTAGACCAAGGATTGGTCCGTAGCATCGGACTGTCTAATTTCAACAGCCTCCAGGTCGATCGGATAATCAAAATTGCGAGGATAAAACCAGTGTGTAATCAGGTGAGGTTGAGATTAGGATAGTACATTGCAAATGACAAGACAACAGACAATAGGCAAAGCTAATAGGAAAATGGCTGAAGACAATTAACTTTAAAAAATTTCGGTACACATTTGCTGAATTTGATATCTATACAGAACATTGCTGACAAAAACGCCAATTATTGTGACAGACGTCATGTTATTAAATTATATCAAACTACAACTAATAAATAAAATTAATGGTAATATAAGTCAACATATCAAACACAAAGATTTCAGCGATGTAATACCAACAATTACTCCCTAGATAGAGGTTCACGTGGGGTTCCACCAACAGAAACTGATACACCACTGTAGGCAGAAGAGCGTAGAGGTGGTGGGGTATTGTCCTCTTGGAGCTCCCAACCGTCCAGTGAAGAGAAGGAATGAGAAGTCAGTGCTAGACCAACCTGCAGTCATGCAGATAGCTTCAGTCCACGGCAAGACTCCAGCACAGGTCGCACTGCGATATCTGGTAAGTTGATACACCACTGTAGGCAGAAGAGCGTAGAGGAGGTGGGGTATTGTCCTCTTGGAGCTCCCAACCGTCCAGTGAAGAGAAGGAATGAGAAGTCAGTGCTGGACCAACCTGCGGTCATGCAGATAGCTTCAGTCCACGGCAAGATTCTTGCACAGGTCGCACTGCGATATCTGGTAAGTTGATACACCACTGTAGACAGAAGAGCGTAGAGGAGGTGGGGTATTGTCCTCTTGGAGCTCCCAACCGTCCAGTGAAGAGAAGGAATGAGAAGTCAGTGCTAGACCAACCTGCAGTCATGCAGATAGCTTCAGTCCACGGCAAGACTCCAGCACAGGTCGCACTGCGATATCTGGTAAGTTGATACACCACTGTAGGCAGAAGAGCGTAGAGGAGGTGGGGTATTGTCCTCTTGGAGCTCCCAACCGTCCAGTGAAGAGAAGGAATGAGAAGTCAGTGCTGGACCAACCTGCGGTCATGCAGATAGCTTCAGTCCACGGCAAGATTCTTGCACAGGTCGCACTGCGATATCTGGTAAGTTGATACACCACTGTAGACAGAAGAGCGTAGAGGAGGTGGGGTATTGTCCTCTTGGAGCTCCCAACCGTCCAGTGAAGAGAAGGAATGAGAAGACGGTGCTGGACTAACCTGCTGAACACTGAACAGTGTGTATTCACAAGAATATTTTGAGCTGCACATAAATGTTTGCTGTAAAAATGGAGTGTGATGATTTGTGTAACTTTTTTACTGACTGTAATTTACTTTCTTTTGCGAGTATCATTTTTAAGGCCCAATGATCAATTCAGCTGGGTCCAGTTACGAGTACTGAAACTTACCAGAACTGGAAGCCACTACAACCCTTCCCCTCCACAGATAAGTGTGATTGCAAAAAATAACAGCAAAACACCAAAAAGAATAAGTATTTGCTTACAATTTATTTCTAAATGTTTTTAACTGCCCATAGAGAGAGGTCCTGAATTCCTGAAACGCTGTTCCCCATTATCCTGCTTAAAATCAAGCCATATATATCCGTAACAAATGGTATACAAAAAAGTTTAAATCTATTGCAATTCTTATGTAATTTTGTAGGTACAGTTGGGAGTTACACCAATACCAAAATCAAATACCACACAGCACATGAAAGACAACATAAATATATTTGATTTTAAATTGAGTGAAGAAGAAATGACTGAATTAGACAAACTAAACACTGATGAAAGAGTGATGCTTTATCCACTGTAAGTATCTTATTCATTTCATCCACTTGAGGTAGTTATTGAATTGTTGGAATTATTCAAGAATCGCCTCGAACTTGTATAGATCCTTAATTTTGTTCACCGCTTCCCAAACTAAAACTATAAGAAAGCCCAAATGAGTAATATGAGTTAAATCATACATTGAATAGTTTAAGTCTAGCCACACTATTTTGGAACACCATCTCAAAATGTTTTGTATATATTGGCATATTAGAATTGATGATTTTATGTATTTTCCCAGTGGTAAGAACTAGAATATTCAATTTTTGAACTAGTTACCTTAAGCCTTTGTTCTTGCAGGTATGAAGTTATAATTCTCCAATATATTTCACCACAGTGTGTGGCATCTTCAGGGAGTCTTGAAGTTCAATTTACATATTTACACAGTTTATACACATATCACCCGATTGGCACGTTTACGTCACAGCGACTTCGCGAACGCGAGCGCGGACGCGCGACGGGCCGGAACCACTGATCACACTGTCTTTGTCTATGTTCACTGACTTACTGCCGGGGACGGGGATGGTTGGTTTTGCAGGTTGCTGGTCTAGGCTTTGTTGGGGTAGGAAACTGTCACTATTGCGGGTTTGCCAAATCGTTCGTGAATTTACAATGTTGCCGGTTGGTGCAGTATTTTCTATATCATAAATGGTTTTAAAATATTGGAGAATTATAACTTCATACCTGCAAGAACAAAGGCATAAGGTAACTAGTTCAAAAATTTAATATTAGAATTGTTTTTAACGTCCTCTATTGTGAAATGTTCCACACCCCAATCTCTTGCTAATTATTAGGTCATCATCTGTTTTCCACAGCGTTGGACCAGTTTCAAGCTCACTGTGCTAACAACTAATTAATACTATAAATTAAAATGTAAATTTGGGATCATTTTTCAAGATTTATTTATTTATTTACATTAATAGTTGGTACTCACTGTAACTATTCTTATTTTTCAGAGCAAGACATCATACAGAGTGGCCGTTCAAGATACCATTTTAGATATGGTTGGAGGAAAATTTAAAACATCTCACTGATGGACATTTACACTTGTCCTACATATGATTTAAGTTTTGTTTTAGTGTTCTTGATATATTTTTGCCATTAATACATACAGTTCAATAATCTAATAAACAAGAGTTTGGTCCCTTGAATATACCTTTTTTTATTAGATGCAACGGTATTGGTATTGTACTACAACAGTATTGTATTATTGGAATGAACATTTTTTTGTGATATTAAACTAATAAAAGTTATAAAAGATGTAAAGTAATAAATAAGATGTTTTAAAATTTATGTGAATATTAAATCATTTTCCTGGTTCAGAAGACAATTTTCACAAACTGATCTTACGCTACAGGCTACAGTGCTGTGAATCTACATAGTCCAGGCAATACTAAAAGAACACATCTTTAAGAGAAGGAATGTCGTTGGCAGTCAAGGCATTGCTGCAGAGAATATATTGGATATGTTCAGAACTGTCTTCCGAACAACCTGGAAGTTTTTTTGGAGCTTTGTCAACAACCTAAAACGTCACAGTTCAGTGTGGCTTTAAAACCGTAAAATGCTTGAGTAAACTTTCTTTCACTGCAAATGAAGTGTTCGATGCATTAGAAGAGCTGGATAATTCTAAAGGCTGTGGACCCGATCTCATTCCTTCTAGATTGGTTTCAATCCTATCTTTCCAACCGTAAGTTAAGAAGATTCTTTGGACATTTATCAACTGAATTTGAAGTTAAGTCGGAAATACCCCAGGTCTCGCATTTGGGACCGTATCTTTTTAACACCTTTCTCTTTCTGAACAATATTGTGGAGGTTATTGGGTCTGACTGTCTCCTTTTTGCAGATGACTTGAAACTGTAATGCAAAATTACCTCACTGTCTGATTGTCTGTTGCTTCAGGAGATTCTTGCTATTGTGAATTGGTTCCAGATGAACAACATGTCACTCAATGTGAAGAAATGCAACTGCATTACATTTTATAGAACTAAATCTGCCATCATCTTCGACTACAAACTGGATAACATTCCACTGACTCATTGTGAGAGCATCCGTGACCTCGGAGTAATGCTTGCTCAGGATATGAGACCCAATTTACATATCCAACACATTTGTGCGAAAGCGTCTCTTGTTGGCTCGTTCTTCCAGAGACTTTGATGACCTCCGCTCTCTTAGGACACTCTATTGCGCTCTTGTGCATCCGTTGCTCGAGTATAACTGTGTGGTATGGTCGCCGCATGAGATAACCCTCTGTTTTGGAAGCTTCAGACCATCCAAGATAAGTTCTTACGTCTCCTTGGCTGTCGGTTTGGTTTGCCTTCAGAGAAGTTCCCATTAGAGATCTCGAGCTGTCGTTCAGCCTTCAAAGCTTAGAAGCTAGAAGAGATGTTATTGAAGTAGTGTTTCTGCACAAGCTGGTGAATATTTCAGTGGACTGTCCGGAGCTTTTGGGTCAGATTTGTTTTCCGTTGTCGTACTGAAACCAGATCTACAGACCTTTTTGGAAGACGGCATGCGAGCACCAATTATGATGCAAACAGCACCCTGAATAGACTCCAGAAACTTGGGAAAAAAGTCTCACACCGCATTGACTTTTTTGCTGACAGTTCTACAACAGTAGTCAAGAGGAAACTGCTGAAATAAGTCGCAAATGACAAGCTCTGCAGCCTGCAACAATGATATGATTGTAATGTAGGTACTTTGTACCATTGTTAAGATTATCTTTTTTGTTAGCAATATAGTATTTATTACTTGTACACCTATTTTATGTTTGTTGACAATTTGAAATATTTATTTGTTGTTATATTGGTGCATGCTCAAATCAACACTGTAAGATCAACATCACTTATAAATGGTTATTAATTAGATGCACACATTTTTTGCTGTATTAATTTATACTATTGTATATACATTTTTGTTGAATATTTATAGAACAAGAATACAAAAAATCTTGCCTTGATGATTGTACATGAATTAATGTAATGGTTTTCTGTTGTAAATAAAAAAAATAAAGAAATAAATAGGTAAATATAGATTTTAAAGTACTGCCCATTAGCACAATTAAAAAATATATAAACTGATTTACTATTAAACATTTTACTTTATTGCATTAAAATTAAAACTGAAATCAAAAGGGAGTACTAAATTGAGCAAGTGCTTTAATTTGATAACATGCATCCCCTATTATGGTATTTTAGGGGATATTAATGGTCCCTGGGGCCCATTTCATAATAAACTACAAGTTACAACTTGTAACTTGTAATTTCCATTAGATTTGCATTGGGCGATCAGCTGATTTACTAATAATATTAGTTTGTACTTTATTATGAAATGGGCCCCAGATCACTATAATGGATTATAATAATTTTTAAGTTATATTACCGTAACTAGGTCAGAATTTTATTGTCATAAGTAATGTGAAAATGATCCCGGGAAAGTGTCTGGTGTCCTAGGACAAAAAAGTAACTTTAAATAATAGTATTTTACATTTATGAGCCTGCTGAGCATATTTTCTACTCAAAATTGGATGAAAGGGTTTTTTTACGGTTTGGTGAAATGTCATGGAAGCTAAGCTTTGTTAGAATGTACAAATCATTCAAGAAGGATACTCATCCTACTCTCTCATACTTGGCTTAAAATACCTACTTTGTATGGTCACCATCTCAATGAAAAGTATTTAAGTACAAAGGTCGTAGCCAAAATAAGGCAATACTGTGGTTCTGGATATGACAGCAAGTATATAGGGGTAGGGCTTATTGGCTTATAGCTTATACCGTAGCACAACAATAGAGTCTGATGTGCTTATAGGAGTATCAGTGGACCAATTTATAACAGGGTATCCAGAAAAGGTTGTCATCCTCAGCTAGAGATCGAGGGTGAGGGGAGGGGTCGGAAAGTGTCACAATTAATATTCAGCCCTCAACAGATTTGTAGACTTTTTGGTACCGTAAAAGGATGCTGGACAGGAGCCTTGGGGCAGGATTTGCAGTAATGTGGCTGCGCCTCTTAAGCTGGACTTTGGCTGGTTTATTACTTTACTGTACTTCACAACAAGATAAAAAAATGTTTTCTTTTAAACTTCCAGGGATTTTGAAATAATTTGTTCGGTGAAATAAACATATAACTAAAAACAATATCTACATGCAATTTATTAAAATACAGTATGTTTCTAATAATCTTTTTTCTTCTTTTTTTACTCTATAGTCTATGTCATGCATTGAGCTGTCTGCTATGTATGTCTTTGTTTTTATTCTTCAAACAGCTGGAGCTGGTATGATTATTATTGTGAAATATCTGTAAATTTAGAGACCAAACGGTTTTGTGTCAATTTAACCTTAATGTGTTATTTTTTACCTATATTGCAACATTGTTTGTAAACACCACTATAACATGACATTTTGAATTTAATATTAATTTTTATTTGTTTAAAGAATGGTAATTAGTTATCTATTACGGACTAGGGTTAGATTTTTATTGGATTCTTCTTTCAACAGTCACAGAAGGTAGGCTTTAGTTAAACTAACCTCATAAAAATGACCTTTTAAAAGTAACAGTCTGCAAAATAACAAAAATGCTTACCTAATTAAATTAGAAATTGCATTTCTTGGTTTATGTATCCTTAATGGCCTAATTGACCAATTAGTCCTACTTGATATTTTATTATTTTGAATGTAGGCCTAGTCTAAGCCTATTTGCTAAGGGCCTAAGCTAGACCTAATCAAGGAATTAAATAATTGAAAACAACCATCAGCCTGGGTCTATCAGATTTAAATAATTGTGGTGAGAAAGTATTAAGAATATTTGTCACATCATTAAACTTATTTCCTTGCCTATATGGTTACATTATATAGACCCTACACTTTGACCTAGCCTACTAGCTTTGAAAGTACGCAGAGGATACGCGTCCGGTAACCGGACGTGGATTAGGTGTCCGGCAGTTACTGTGATAACCTAACCTAACCAACCAAACTTGCTAATGATGAAAAAATCGAATGAATGTTTAGTTCTGTTAATAAAATAAAATTATAAATGCCAAAAATTCTAACAAAAGATGTACAGTTAAGAAGAAATGACATTCAAAGCAAAATCTTTGACAAAAAGTTAAATATAGACCGAAGGGTTTCGAACCAGGGACCTCTTGCATATCAGCCGAGCACTCTATCCACTACACCACGAACACCGATGGTTGTAAATCGTATCATTGTGGTAATGGCGTTTCGGGACCCCACAACCCAGTGACGTTACTAACTTACCGGACGCCTAATCCTTGTCTGGTCACCGGACTTGTATCCTCTGTGTTGAAAGTAGGTAACATTAGAAACACATTAACTTATGCATTCAGAGGTTTGTTTAACAAGGGACTTAACTTATTTATGTTAATTTCTTTAAAAAAAAACTTCATATTTAACTAGCTTCATAAACTCAGTGATCTTATTGATTATCAAATGAGAGTTTTTTTTCATCTGCTTTAAAGAAATGGATACCGGTTTCAAGTTACCTTGTTATTGTCTAATTAATTTTCCTATCTTACTGTAATATCACATTGGCCACTCACATGAAAGCTATTCCATATATATTTTGAAATTTGTTCATATTAGGCTACATTGATTAGTAAGCTGTGTTTGAGCATAGACAAAAATAATTAAATATAGACTGTCATCCATGCTGCGGTTACCATAGGTTTCCTGCGCACACCGCTGGGAGCGTCGTGTAGTTAAGTACGTAGCGCATACCCCGTAACAAACAACATGGCGCTCCCAGTGGTGTTCGCCAGAACCTACGGTAACAGCAGCACAACTGACGGTCTATATTTAATTCTTTTTTTCTATGTTTTAAGTGAAACATGCCAAATAGGTACCTACTGAAATTAGGCCTAACTTAATCCTTTGCAAATACTAGCATGATAACCTGTAGAAAATCCCAGGTTTAACTAAATTGAGTAGGCCTAACTTACAATGGTTATTTTTATTGTTCTTTCCCAGGTGTGTTCACAATGAAGCCTCCAAGGAAAGAGAGAAGCAGATACGCAATTATGTACTGTCAAGGTACATGCAGTATGTACAGCAATATGCCGATGTTTTGGAAAAAAGATTTCCAACAGCGATACGAGTTTATAGAGTTTTCACAATTGGAGTCAAGGTATTTTTACTAACTTAATTTATTTCAATCTTGTTAACTTTAACTATTAGTTTTGTTTGATACAAATGTCGAGGACTATAAATCATAATCTTCATCATATACAATATGAAATGAAAAATTATTTATTTACACCGGCACAGTTAGGGCCACATGGGGAGGGCCATATTTTAACATAATCAGCTTATACAATAAAACAAAACAGAAATCATAGATACAGAAACTTTTATCGAAAATCAGTAAATTTTAAAAATACTTACACACACACACTCACTCACATACATACGTGTGTGTTCCAATATGTTCCCTTTGAAAATAATAACTAGTCATAAGAACTAAAATAAACACATGTCAAATGTGATTGGTCAAAAGTGTGACGCTCTTAGCGCTGTCAACGTGTTTAATGAATCAATGCAATCTACAAAAATTGTGCTCGTTTGCAATTAATTTTCATTGTGTTTTATTTCTAAAACCATATATAGGCTAAATAAATTATACCAATCAGTTGTCTTTTTTCAGGACTTTTACGGTGACCTGAAAGTATTTTTAGCTTTATTTCACAAAGTGAATCTTACGTCTAAGGGATTAGAAGCTTTAACTAGAAGAGAACTGGAGATATATCACAAAATGCCGAAGGATATGGTTAGAATTGCTCCAGTCCTGTTGTTATCTGCGTTACCTTTTGCAAACTATGTTATTTTTCCTCTTGCGTAAGTATTTCAGTTTTAAAATTAGATTTGTAGACTAAGATTTTTTTAAACAATAATTTAGCCTATAAGTGGTGAATCGTAAATAATGGTAATGATTACTAAAATGACTTTTGTACCGGCGGAGTAATAAATGTCGACTGGTTACCCCTGACTCTATTTTTAAATCTAACAAGAATGAAATACTTGTTGTCTGGCTCATTGTATTATTTTGGCCAAGCCGGGCCAGCTCCAATTGATTTAGTTTTTAATACCGTTTCGTTAACCCGTGTTTCAGTTTAACGGGGTGCGGTTATAAGGTGTTTTACTGTAGCTAGATGTTAACATGAAACTTACCAAGTTTTAATTTCAAATAGCCTTTTTACCCAGTCTGTTTCATTATACACACCAAGTTAAATACTTTTTAAAGGATCTGATGTCTAGATGTAATTGTTTCTGGTTTTTTTAGCTACTATTTCCCGCGGCATCTGCTCACGTCGCATTTCTGGTCGCTGCAGCAGCGCCACGAGTTTGCACTTATCGACCACCGCAATCGTTTACATCACTTCAAGGGCGTGTTTCGAGCCCTGCAGTGGCAGATGGAGAATTTGAAGGACCACAAGCTGTATTGTCATTGGGAATCCGTCATTGGGTAAGAAAATTACATTATTTCATAGGCTACTTCTTTACTTTTATTAGAAACTGTAGCTATATTTATCAGTGTAGATACTTATGGCACTGTCTAATACCATTATAAAGGCCTTCTTGTACCTTCCTAAAGGTTCCTAAATGTACTTGGCTGGAATAAAATAGTTAGGTTAACACGTTCGCTGCTGACTACTCCGATCGGAGTCATGCCGTATTGGCACGGCCTGCTTACGACTCCGGTCGGAGTCACGGTGCAGTGTTGTACAAGTTTGTCTACTGTGACCTACGTATTTATCGGGTATCAACTAAACTATGTCAGAATGTTGTGCTGGTCCTATACTTTAATTTGCTGTAGGTTGGGTTTAGGTTGGTGTAGTAAAATTTCCTCTAAAATCCTGTCTGGCAACTCTTTTTGTCCCGTTTTCCGGGGTTTTCTCTCTTCGAGCCACATTACAAACTCACTGGCTAAGGATCCAGGCAGTGCTGCTATCTGTGAGTTTTTCAGTGAACTCCACTCTCGGGTGTTTTGCCGCTGTCAAGACTGAAATATTTGAATGCTATTGCGTTCGCTGATTCAATGGCGCGCTGAGGCTGCGTCACATTTCCGACCGTATTGCCAAAGGGATTCTCGCAGCGAACGTGAAGTGGCGGCATTTGACTTTGAAAGTAGGGTAGGTGGAACCCTTCAGCACCAGGGAAAATTTTTTAAATTTGAGACTAAAAATGGTGAATAGAGTAGCAAATAGCTACTCTACTAAAAAACTTGACTGAAATGTGAGACAAGTCCATTGAAACCCTGCCACTCGTAAGATTATCTTTGCTAATCTGTAAATAAAATATTTCATTAAAAAAATTGAATAACTTTACCAAAAAACGTTTTTGCTCCTCCATTTTGAACCTTAGCCAGTACACTAATGTTGGCCCCAACCTTATATGCACTGGATATGTTGTTAATACTTGTAAATTTTGTTTTTGTTTTGTATCCTCCTATTTGGTGCTGGTGATTTTATTTCACTCTAGTAGAGAAGACTTAGCTCTAAAAGTATTAGCATTAAGTATGATTTAATGCACAGCTAGTTAGTGACTCTAACCACTTAGTATTCCAGTCTCTTATTTACCAACCAAATTATTCTCATTTGTGATTCATGACGGATTTACAGGTGTCTTGGTTCAGGGCTGCACCCGAACACTGAAGAGGTCCTTGAGTGCAAAACTTTGTTTGCGGAGGCGCCTTACCATTTGAACTGCATCTATTCTAGTCATGTGGTTAGTATGAAAAAAATACTTAAGTTACATTTGTTGAATAAGACAAACTTGGCAAAACTGTTGGCGATGGAAAATGAGGCTGAAAAAGAACTTTATCGAACTCCCTGCCCTGTTTTAATTCATCGTTAATTCAGTTTAATTTTATTTGGTACTAATAAAGTGCTTTAGAATACGTCTGAAGAACCTAATACAGTGTAACTTGATAATAAGACCCTCAATGACAAGTGTAATTTTCAAAAACCCTTAATTTAATATTACCCTTAATTACATGTCTAAATATAACAATCTATCTGTAAAATCTATATGAGGAGTCTGCACTATCTGCTTGACTCTTGCTTTCCTTGTTAGTAAATTTTCTTATAGGGAAAGTAGCTATTACCGTAGGTGGTACAGTATGTCCTAGGTCTGGGACCGATTTACTTTTTCATTTTGGTGACCCCAGAGACCAAAAACACCATCCGTTCAAAATGTTATATACCTATGTTTATATACACCTGAATGTGATAACTTGAGTAACTTTTGTTCAATTTTGATAAAATTTGGTTTGAAGGTGTAAGGCGGGATAAACTTGAATAAGTTGTGAACAAGCATGATCGGATTATGGAAACGGGGCAAAAATTTGTTTTTCTAATTTTTGACCCTCAAAACACAAAATTTCCCAATTTCTCTCTAGGCCATTTTAAAGAGCTTAAAAAAATAATTTAGTATATAACCACGTTGTGTTTTTGTACAGTAGCCTCGTTGGTTATGGAGAAAATTCAAATTTATAATTTTAAAATACCTATTTTACTTTCAGAGAGTATTGTAAAATGAAGTAACTTACAGTAGTTTGCTAGTTTATAGATATATTTTGATCAAACTTGGCAATTTTTTTTTATTTTATACTAGCCTATGCAATTAATATTTTACTAAAAGCACACTTTATTGGCCTCCTTGTAGCAGCAAACCTAGGTACTTGTTAAACCTAATGTTTTTTAATAGATTTAGTTGAAAAATAAATTCAGGTAAATAAAAATTTGCTTAGTCTGCAGGTTTGCTGTGGCGGGGGTATTGTGTATCAAGCACAAGCCAGGAGGCTCTTGTAGATAGGTAAATGCAAGGTAAAAAAAAGCCACCAATCTCTTAAAACGTTATTTGGTTCACATCATAAAGTTGTTTGGGATGTAAATATGTTACAAACTGTTTGTATTTACAGAAAGAGTTGCTGAGGTCTCATGGGATGCACACTGGATGGCGTCGTCGTAGAAGGTTAGCGGAGAGAGCCAAGCTGGTGCAGCTGATGGACCAAGCCATCTGCAGGGAGGGGGGAGTCAGCAGCCTCAGTCAGGACGAGATAAGAGCGGTCAGTAGCTTGGGCTCTTGGGAATGGAAATTTAGTTAAAAAGCTTTCTTTGCTAGAGAATTAGTTTTGTGATGTTTCAGTTCAGGGAGCCGAAACCCCGCTAGACTGAGGCTTTTCAAGGACCATATCCTCTTGAGTTTGCAAAGAATTTAATTTTACGTTTTCATACATTTTTATGAAAACCCAAATTAATGTAATTGCATGTTCCATTTACTATCAATAATCAACTAGGCCTATACTTTGTTCACAAGATTTACAGCAGTTTGAAGGGAGGCGATTACACCCCCTCCATCTTACCCTGACTTTAAACAGGAGCCGACTGCTGATGTATACATTAAGCTAAAAAAGTAATAGAACCCAAAAACATTCCCCATAAACCACCTTAACCCCTGTTATTGGACTATAATAGTAAATTAGATTTATCCGAATTGAAAAGTAAAACTGATAGGACGACTTTTTTCAGCTATAGTATCTTTTATGGCACTATTTCAGTAATATAATGTAAGATTGAAAATATGATTTTTTTACTCTAGCCCAGCTTGTGACTGGCTTACAGACCTTTTTGGCTAAGAAATTGGCAACAGCTGGTCCATTTAGATGGGATATCTACTTCAGTATCAATAGTCAAATGTTTAGTGTAATTCTCATTCGTCTTTCAGGCTTGCCTATTCCGGGGCCTAAACCCGGCCAACATGAAGAGAGCCGATATGGAAGCTTGGCTCCAAGATTGGTTGTACGTGTCCCAGAACCTGACCAAGGACTGTAGATCCCTTGTGCTACATTGTCCTATATTGTTGGCCTACAACCACCCTTCCAACTGGGTGTTGCGATAGTGATGTTACCGATCAATAAACTTATTTATCACCCACACTCGTTATCATTGAACCTCTTTAATACACTGCAATTCTGTTTAGTTAATTTACTTGTCAGTGGCGAAAATGGAAGAATTTGTTAAGTAGAATGAATGTAAAACTAACTTACTTACTTCTTGGTGCGTGCTTCCAGCTTCAAGTGATGCCGACCACACGGTGTCTCTCGTATACATAGCTTGCTAATCTCCAACAGTATGTATAACTAACTAGTATGTATAATGTATAACTAATGTGTGTATGAAAAGAGTTATAGGCGATTCTTTGAACACCATACATTTCGCTTTTCCCACAGCGATTAAGTAGCAGAATCTTCTTTCGCTTGGAGAGGCGAAATACCAAAGTCTTTTGTACGAAATACACAATTTGTTCGATACTTTGAACTTTTTTGTGTGCTATTAAGTTTTAGGTTTGTTTTGTGTGTTAGTTTCTTAATCCTTAATGTTTTTACACAAACTGCTATTTCCACTAAAAGATAATTTATTACTAAAAACAGGCAGTTTAAGAATATAATTTACTGAGAGAAGTATTTAAAATGAATAGTACTACACAATTAAACATTGATGAAGTGATTTTATGGATATGTTTTTAAGAAAAGCACTCTGTGGAATTTTTAATAAAACACAAAGAGATGGGTTTCATGCTTTATTTAAAAATATCAGACAATAATTCGACAATAAAATTAGTAATAAAATAAATCTTTACATAACAACCTGCTAATCACTGACATATAAGTAGATTTATTCTGCTGAAATACAATTCAAATTTCTTTTACACTGAACTATTTTAACCAGGTTTACTGGAAGGAGATAACTGCATAGACAAATAAAATAGATATAGACTGTCAAAGGAAGGTTCCGTCGCCCACCGCTAGGAGTGTGTGTAGTTAAGGCACACAACGCTGCAGCATCTGCTGGTAGCATACGGCTCCTGCGTTCCACGCCTGCAGAGGTGTGCGCCGTAACTACACAGCACTCCTAGCGGTAGGCGCTGGAACATATGCTAACCGCAGCACTGCTGACGGTCTATATTTATTGATTCTATTTGTCTATGATATCAGTCACTTCTGTTACAGCTAACACGTGTAACAAGTTAAAATTAGTATCGAATCTTCCACTAACTTTACAATGCCAGTGTTTCTTAGCAAAGAGTAAGAAATATTGCATGAAGTACTCTGGATGGTTAATAAAACTTCCATCCTTACTCTTTGATAAGAAATACTAGTAATAGAAGTGCTCTCAAAACGCTCATATAGATAGCTAAAACTTGTTTTAGTACTCACAGTACAAAACAATTAAAAACACTTTGTTTATCAAGTTTTTCTCATAGAGAATTATAATAATGGCCACATTTAAAATATTTACCAACCAGAGAACAAAAACATAATAATAAGTTAAATAAATTAATAACCGGACTCATTTAGTACACTGTACATTGAAAGACTGAAAAAATATATTCATATTTGTGTATATTTTATTTGTACTATAAACGACATAAAAATGCACTGTACATCAAATGTCTAGCATTTACTTTTACATTCTAGCTTATAGAAAATATATGTTTGAGATCAATATATATTGATTGGCTGGATGGAAGCAATATTTATTTTACAATACAATAAAACACATTTTAAAACATTTATATACATTTTTATGACATCAAAATTATATTGTAAAGTTATATAACGTGTATATGATAGAGCTATACACATTATTTTAGTTTATGATACATTTCTTAGTTATTTTACTTTTAATTTGTGTGAGTGGAATTCACAAATTAAGTTAAATGTAAATCGTAGTAATTTTGTAAACCTAAACAACAATTATAAACACATTAAAATAGTTGGAAACATTCATATTAATAACTAACCATCATACAATTGGCTTGTGTTGTCAATCAAACACTTTTAATATCAACGATATATTGTTAAAACCAACTGTAGAATGTGTATAGTGTACTTAACTCCTATTAGTATCCAGAGTAATAAGAAAAATGCAGATTTGAATGAATATGAACCTGCTGGAAGCGTATTTTTCCAAACGGATTGCTTTAAATTAGTTGTATGAATTACACTTTAAAATGTTGCATATATACTAATAAATATCAATTAAACTCTCCAGCAGAAATGGTGGAAACTGGAAACATGTAATTTTAAATCTCAAAATCAAAACATTAATCTTATCTCCTTAATACGAGACTTTTTAACATTCCTGGTTTCAGTTACAAGAGAACACTATAATAACAAAATGTTTACTATATACAGTCTGGATTGACCCAGCGATAAAGTGTTGGAACACACGATTGAAGTTGTACCCATCTTTTAATCTATTATATTAAACCCACTTAAAGAGTAGATTTACCTATTTAGACAAAAGAAAATATTTATTTTCATATGAGTAAAAGTAATATACGATGCAATCTCGTTCATCGTTTGATTAGATATTATCAAAACAAGCTAAAACTCCCGGAGGATATTTTTATCGGCAGGTTCATTTTCACCCACTCCTCCATTATACTTCAACCAAGATTACTTTTCACAATATTTTTTTTAATAGAGGATAGGAGTAACTAAATGTACACTGAAATTTCATTTTAAAGACAGAAATTCATCAGAGTGTAGTTTGAAAAAAACTTAAGTTTCTCAGGCAAGCTCTGGATTCCCTTTTCAAACAATCTTAATCAGCTGATTGGCTTTCTTTTTAATAATTATTGTTGTTGATTATTTACTTATTTAATGTATGTTTCAAAGGTTTTTCTAGTTTTTAAAAACTATTATTTTACCACAAGAACCCAATATTCTACATCTTTTATAGATACTTTAAATTCCAAAATACTATTTCACAAACAAATGAATTTAATGTAAACATATCACAACTTTTGATTTTGATAACCAAAAACCTGACCAACAGAAAAGCGACTAAAATGTTTCAGTTTGAAAATCAAAAGGCTCGAAACAATTGACCTTTTATCACAGAAAAACACAATCACATGTATCGAATACACTATTGAGAAGTTTCTTCCATTTTATTACGTCAAGAGTCTTCTTGAAAACTACAACTCAAAGGAATGAAAGACGGAAGCTCTCCTAGTTGAGGACGTTTATTTGGTCGAGTGACTTCTTCAGTTTCTTCATAGTCGTCTTTGTTTTCTTCCTGTTCTTCCTTCAGACAAATCTCGTTTTCCTTTTTAAGACCGACATCTTCAAAATATCTTAAACTAGGTTTACTTACCGTCTCCGTGTTCCTCGGTGGGTCTGGTTTCCTCTTGATGCGTTTGAACTTTCCTTTAAGATTTTCGCTTTTGTTCTTGGGGTGAGGGTAGGGACAATACTTACCTCTGGCACAGGTCCCTTTCTCAAAAGATGGACAGATTTCAAAATGTCTTTTGGAACACTGAAAAGAGAAAATAGAATGTAGGTTAAGCTTGTATTCCATTTAAGTAGCTAATAGCTGTATACATTTTTTTCATAAATTGTTTATGTACTAATCTTGTTATGTTTTATGCATTTTTTACATGAGAACTGAATCACATGCTGCCTTTTTAACCTGCTTTTTTAAAACGTTTTTATTAGCTCGCTTTCTTGTCCGGTACAAATTTTGCAATCAATTTTATACTAACGCTGGTTACACATTGGGCGGTTTCTGCCGCGGTGGTAATTTCGCCGTCGCCGCCGTTCGAGCAGTAGTCTATAGACTTAAATGGAAGCTTACACACTGGGCGGCAGAAACGCCGCGCGGCAATATTGCCGTTAGCGGCAGCTGTGCAGCCGTCCACTGCCACTGCGGCTGGCGGTGTTTTTGCCGCTCTTGTCTACGCAGTGGCGTACGTGACCAAATGGGAGTTTACACATTTGGCGGTTGTCTACCGTCGCCGCTGATCGGTCGTCTTTCCCAGTTGCTCCAAGTCAGAGGTCTTTGAAAATCTGCCTTTTAATTTGTGTCTTGTTGTTAAGTTTGTGAGTTGTTTATAACATGTATTTATTGTTTTAAGTGTTTGCGGTTGACGAGTGTGAGAAAATAATTAAGTTTATAGACAATGAGTTGTTAATATCATTTGTAGAACAGAGGCCAGTTTTGTGGGACAAAACCCTCAACATATTTAAGGATCGAGATGCAACAAGGAATGCGTGGAAGGAAGTGTGTATGGAGATTAGGGGAAATTAGAAAAAATGTGCAAAATACAATTTTCTGAACACTCATAAAACAGAGAAGTCACAACACATTAAGCGATGAAGAACTACAAGAATTGTTTTGGCTACCGATCATACGTGGTGGTAATTTTGCCGCTCGATGTTTGGCGGTATTTTTGCCGCTGAATGTGTAAGCTCGACTTTTTTTTCGAGGCGGCGACGGCAGTTTCGCCACCGCGGCAAAAACCGCCAAGTGTGTAACCAGCGTAAGTCTAAGTTTCCGATGAGCTAGAGACTTGAAACTTGAAACATAGCTCACAAATGGATGACAATGTACAATATTCTATAATTTAATTTTCATATTTCCCTTGGGCTATGCCCCATGGGCTTGTTTTTATTAACTTGCTTTCTTGCAAATTTTGATACTTCCCGATGAGCTAGAGACTTGAAACATAGCTCACAAATGGATGACAATGCAATATTATATCATTTAATTTTCATATTTCACTCTCCACATACAGTAGACTCCCTCTTATCCGGACTCCTCGGGACCGAGGCCAGCCCGGATAACGGTTTTTCCGGTTAAACCGACGTCCCCAAAATCTCATTAAAAAGGACCGTTTAAATGCATACTCTATACAGTATTTGACTTAAAACTAGGAGAGCATTATTGTATTTAGACATGTAATCACTGGTCTCAAATCTTTCCCTTGAGAACAGTCGTTTCAGTACCACCCACTTCCTGGCGATCTAGTCCGGTTAAACCGATGTGCTGATAAAAATTATCCGGATAAAGAGATGTCACTTCTACCGAGCGTGGTCCGGTTAAAAGGTGTCCGGACAAGAGGGAGTCTACTGTATTTATAAATTATTTTCTACTGTTTAGTGCGTTTAAAAACGTTTTGTTTGAAAAAGTTTTTTATTTAAAAATACATCTCCTGCAATATGTTGAGTAGATTGATGATTTACAAGGGTCCTCACCTTATCCCCAAGCACGCAGTATCCCTTAAGGAAGTCCAAACAAACAGGAGCCGAGTCGCTGACCTTGATGTGAGGATACGCGCAGTTGTCCCTACCACACTGGCCAGCCAGGAAGTGATGACAGGTGGGCATGTTGTGACAGGTTGGTGCATGACTCAGCGTGCACTGATCATCTGTACACGATCCTTGCAAGAACCTACACAATAATATAGGTTGAGTCCACTAGACGAATCTCTTATGTTCAAGTTGCCGCAAGTTTTTAGACACTCTGTGAGTGACAGGTTCAAACATGTTAATTTGTAAAAGAAGCTACAGTTGGCCCATATAGATGGGATGTCTACTCCAGTATCTAAATTTGAATGGTTGAGTACTTAGTCAAACAATTGGAGGGGAGGATAAATTACTACATAAATAATTAAATAGGAACGCAAGTAAGGGTGTCAACCAGTTCCATTAAAACATTTGTGATATCCAGTGACCTTTAACCATGAAGATTTATCTGAAATGTGAATAATTTATAATTTAAATTACTTAATTTCAGAAGCCTTGTATTTATCACTAAGTAAATTACGATTGTGTCTACATGCAAGGTACAATATCTTTTCGTGTTGACTAAGTATATTATTTATGTAAATTACACAACTTTCTTATTGTCAATGAAAGCACATAATTACATCAGTGACTTTTCTATAACTGTAACACCATGAGGTGAAGGATGGTTGAGATTCCTTATACAACGTTTACTACTGAGACCATCTGTTTCTTTAGCCAGGGTCAAAAAAGCCTATTCTATGTCCACTTCTGGTGGTAAAATAAATAGTAAAACTGTTTGACAAAAGAATTGAACAAAGTTGACAGAATAAGGGTCAACATAGAGGAAAAAGTTAGTAAAATCCTTAAAGTTGAGATTACAAGCAAAATGATAATCTTTACTCCTTGACTTTCACACTTCACTCTTACACTTGAATTTTGTACTGGTTCACTTTTTTTGGAAAATACCTAGGCCCTACTGTAATTCAATTTTTACTAACTTGTTTATAAAATTTGGTGTGTAGTGTGAAATACTATCAGTTAATCAATCATGTACAATATACGACAAATAAATTCTGTGATAACCGAGCAAAATCTGGTTGAAATCAATTATTTAGTTAATGCACTTAAAAAAAAAAAAAATCCAAACTCGACTTCTAAAATGAAAACAGTGCATTACATCCAGATGGGTTTGTTTAACAGGGTCCTAGTATGTTTCATAACATGCAACTTTACTTTTTACAAACTGCCACATATTTCTTGTCATGCAGCCGAACACACGTCCCTCGTTGTAGGCCGGCACATCGGCCGTGGCGATGGAAAAACAGGCACGGCTCATTGTTCTTCTTCAACTTCTTCGACAACAAATACACACTCTTCTTGTTGGCTTGCCTACAGAGGAATTAAAACAAGTTGAAGGCTATTCAGTTGTTGAATGTTATGTAGAGATAATATATTAATTGACCTATTATTTAACTTTGAGGCAACACACTTCAAAAACCTGTAAGTACCTATGCAAGTAAATTTCTGACTATTGTTCTTTTTTTTCGAGCATTGGATAGGAATCTATTTACATCATATATAACAAAAGATTTATGGCGTGGAATATAATCGCATTGACTATATGCATAATGAATGAGTAGGCCTAAGCTCATTGATCACCCGCTAGAGCTATGGTGTTATCTAAATACAACAACTTATGTATCCTAAAACAATGTTATTGCGTGACTCCAGCAAATTGAATAATATTTGTATTTTACAAACCAACGGTGTAATTTGTAAACATTTGTAATATTTATAATAAAATATTATCTCACTTCAATCAACTCTATAAAATATTTGAGTTGTCTACAATATTTCACTTCTAAGATGTTTAGAAGTTAAGTGACAACTTGACGCTGATATCTTGTTAAGCGAAGGAGGGCAAGTACTCTTCTTAGCACACCATTCCAATGAAATTCTAAAATGCTACAAATTCTGAAATCATAAGATTCATAATATCCAGTGCATCAACAAATGTTTCAGAAAATCGAGAAATGAGAAGTTTGAAAAATATTATCAAAAGTTTGAATGCCATATAGCGTATTCTAATATTTTTACACATTCAATAGAAAATAGAAAATTAACAAGATAGAATCCCAATACACTCCAAACCGAATATTATTAGTTTTATGATTATGGTTTAGTATAAAATAGTTCACAATGCAAGTTTCAAGTTTATAACTGTTTAAAATGCAGCTAAGTTTTGATTTTACGGTGAAACCTCAATTAACCGTCAATCTTGGTTACGTGTCACCTAAAAAATGCTAATCTCTTTACTTTTACTTAAGGTTTTTGTGCTTGGTTTTTAAATAGACCTTGATTGATTGATTTTGTGGGGACGGACCTTGTCCTGCTGCACGTGCCGCATAAAATAGGCCTAATTTACATAATATGATTTATCATGTATTAAAATAAAATAACGATAACCAAAAATATAATATTTATATAAAAATATACTCTATGTAATTTACTGGCAGGTCTAGGCTGTTATTTATGCAATCAGTGAGTCTCTGTTCCACAGGTGACAATTCATAGATGTTTCACTGTTTTATTTAGACTTTTTTTCATTATTTGTCAAAACGCAAGTTATATACAATGATGTAAATGTAAGGAAACAAAAAATAAAACATCTTAGCATAATAATAAGCAGACCTAAAATTACTAATATCAGAGACAAGTTTGTACATAAAAATTTCAGTTGACTAAATTTAAAATAAGGAGGATAGCAGCAAGCTTACGTTAAAGAATTGTTGGTAGGCCAAAGAACATACAGAAAAGACATTGAACACACAATATTTCGTCCTCTGGGGGACTTTATCAAATGTAGAGAAAATAGCCTAGATTTTGTAAAATCTTTACCACTTTCTCTACGTTTGACAAAGTCCCCCAGAGGACGAAGTAACGTGTAGGTCTATTCAGTGTCTCTTCTGTACGTTCTATGGCCTTCTTCAAGGTAAGCTAGCTGCTATCCTCCTTATTCTACAATTCAAAATCCTGGCCTAAAGCCTTTCCTATAAAACTAAATTAAAAATAAGTGATAATAAAGCCATAGACTTAAATATTTCTACAAACCCAGTAGAAGAGATAGTTGAAATAGATATTCTTACGTAAGTATGGATCTAGGGGAGTCGTAATCCGTCCGTTTCCATGACATTCCTGCAGGCGGAGCAACAAACTGTACTTTATTGGCCCTTGCTTGTTTTCTGGTTTGTAGTTTGTTGATGCAGTATCTGCTTCGGCTGTATCTTCTTACTCCTAAAGCTTGGTGAATCCTTTTCCGAGGCTGTGAAACTAAAACAGTAAAACATCTTAAATCTGGAACTCAAAAACATCAATAGCCTGTTACACAGGGGTTTTTACTACTAACATCTAAAAATTAACTTGTTAATTTAATTCAAAGGAGAAAACTTACCAGTTTTAGATGGGTTGTTCTTAGTCAGCGTGGTTCGAGAGTACTTATAAAATACTCCACCAATTTTCTTGATGCTTAGGTCCTTTCTGTAAAATATCATTTTTGTTTATATTTAATACAGTATACATACAGTGAATTTTGTGTTGTGGGCCTATGTTGAACAAATTCTACCGACTAAAAATGTATATATTCCTGTTAATAATTATTCAAAAATGTAAAAAATAGGTACCGGTTATTTATCAAAATTAAAGCAACAATTTTATATGTTAATTTTTCTCTCTAATAAATCAATGGATTTATTTGGATCTTAATATAAGACTGTAGAAATACATCTAAAACTAGAATATTATAAATTTTGAAAAGTATAATTTGCAAAGAAGTTTACACATTGTATAAACTTATATGATTTTAATTTGTAACCTTTAAGATTGTATGGAGAAGACTTTTTACACAGTACTCATGTACTGGTAAATAGGCCTTTGCCGATTCCAACATCAATTTACATAGTGATCAAAATTCCTTTAGCATCATGCGCTTTGTAAAAAGTACAATAGAATAGAAACTCTCCAATAGACAATAAGACTATGAAGGAACCTACTATGGTCGGAACAGTCAAAACGTCAAATATCGCGAGGAGCAAAAATTTCTTTAGAAATAATAATAGTTATTTATTTTACAAAAAAACAATAGGTACATTTAAGCTCGGATAGAGTCAAACTGAACGCATATTTTCCCAAATAAGGAAAGTATTTGCGGAGATGTATGATTAAAAACAGAGCAAAAAAACTTGTTCGCTGATATACCTGTGACAGTGTAAGATTTTCTCTATGTTTCAGTGACTGCGGGAAGACAGCCAAGAATTTGTTGTAACCGCGAAAGATGTTCATGATTTTACCATAACCAAAGTCAGGTTTTCCCAGTGAAATTGAAAAATTCCTGCATAATTCCCCTTTTCCCCTCAATACAACAAATTCACGCATAATCCCAAATTTTCTCCACCTGTGGCTTTTTTTTGTAGTTTGGGCACCCAAATTTGTAAGTAAGATCTGTCATTCATAGTTTAAGTTTGTTTGCCTATTGTTGTAACCCTGTTTGATGTTGAATTGATAGCAGCCTCTAATCATTCGATTATTTTTTCATGTCTGATTTTAGTAAGGATATATAAGTATTGCAGCTTATATCTTTTTACAATAATGATGACGATGTCAATTACAATACTGTATTGTTTAAAGACTGATTAAATAAATGACTACTCATTGTAGATCGTATATCCCGAGGAATCGGGTCGGATATGAGATTTTCTACTGTAAATATACTGTATATTAAATTATCATTAGTAGCCTACTAATATATTACAATTGTTTAAACCTACCTTGTAAGTCTTCTCGCAGAGATATCACTTTTTCTCTTCCATCTCAGTTTCTTGCGCTGAACCATTTTATAACGAGACAGATTTTTACTTGCAGTTTTTCCATTGGGCTTGTATCTGCTCATTGAATTTGAAGAGTGTTTTCTTATCAAGCGATATTTTGATCTGACATACTTTGTCAAGTCCAAAGGTGTGTTCCTAGCTTGAGAATTCATTCGGTTTATCGCCTCTTTCTTTCCAACCAGAGCAGCTTTTGTAAGAGGCTTTCGAGACACGTAATTTTTCTTGTAAACGTTATTGTAACAACTTGTCGATTGTGGATTCGTCAAAGGAACATTAATTTTTGAAAATTGATTATTTTTCAACCTATTTTGAAATGAACTCCTGAAAATCCTTGCTTGTTGTCTGAGTTCCATTTTCCTTGATTTCACAATCATTTCTCTTTTCTCCTTATCTAGTATAGTAGCAGATGACGTAGATTCGGCGCTTTTGCGAATCAACTTGAGAGACTTTCCGTTCTTGGACCTTATTTTTGTAACGGATTCAGGTTTTTGTACGACAGGAATTAAATTGGACAGATTTGATGAGTTTCTTCTCCTTATTTTAAGCCGTCCTCGAAGGGATAGAAGCTGTGCCTGGATTATTTTATTGGATTTTTTGGGCTCATTCTTGGTCAAACAGTTGTTGTTAGCTACTAACTTGGCAACATTTCGTACAAGTTTAGTTTTTGACAAAAATAAAGGCTGAGAAAGAGGTTTGCCACTTATTTCAACTGTTTTATGTTTTGATTTATTCTTTCTAACTAATTTTGTTCTACCAATTAAAACAAGGCTGGAGCTTAAGGTTCTGATTCTTTGTCGAGTTGGTTTCTTTACTTCCTGTTTTGCTCGATTCAGTCCTATCACAGTGCACAGAGGGAAGGTTTCTGGTATTAACTTATTTGTAACTTCTTTACCTCCAATTAGAACTGGAATTTGAGAAAAACTATTTGAGGAAGAGGGGACCGAAGTTTGAACACTGCTTAAACGAGTTGACTTGTTAATAATTGCTGTGTTTGAAGATTTGCTCTCGCTACTTGATATTTTGTGGTTCTTCATAACATTCTCTTTCCTCTCAAAATTGGGGTTGACAAATATCTTTGGCACACTACCACTTGTATTGTTTGCCTCCTTTTTTCTTTTCGGATCAACAACAGATGATTCTATTGGTTTACTTTGACCCAAAACGACCTTTCTTTTACGATTCAAATTCATAGCCAACTTAGGTTCAACGATCTTATTTCCCTTTTGACTGTTACTGGTGAGATCACACCTCTCGGTTTTCTTGACAATAATATTTGAAGAAGGCTTGGGCGGGCAAGCACTAAGTTTGGAAGAAGATGAAAATTCTGGATTGAAGAATATTTTATGTTTGTTTGAACTAGGTTGGTTGTGCTCAACTACTTTCAACTTCAATGTTGGATGGTTATAGTTCAACAGTTTTTGTGTTGGCAATTGATGGATTTTGACTAAATGTTGCCTATTTGTTTGTTGGGATAACCGGGTATAACTGGTTTTACTGAGAAGTTGACTTTTATCTTTCGTTTCTTTAGACTCATTCAATTTTGACAATACTTGAGTTGATGATACATCTTGTTTTCTAAAATTTGGATTGATGAAAACCTTAGCAGGCATTTTTGATCTGTCACTAAATGAATTTTCAGAATTTTTAACAGTTCTGCTTACTGGTTTAACTGAATTTAATTTTTTCAGATTGATAAAAATAGAAGGCTTGCTTACAATTTCTTCAGAGACAACCGGCTTTCTTTCATCAGGCATACGTTTTGTACAGTTTGGAATTACGTGTTGTTTACTTTCGTGATCACTTAAAAGTCCTGTAACACAAAAAAAGAAACTTGTGTTATAAATTGTATCTACAATATTATCAAGTTATTTGAGGCCAACTTACCTACCAAATTGCCGCTTTTTTACCCAAAGAGGCTCCTATAGCCAAGTAAAATGTTAATCTATAGCCAGCTTTCTAATATTAATAGCCATTGAAATGCAATTTACATTTTTGTAGCCTAGGGTACATCAGAATTAAATAGGGGCCCCAAATTCCAGATCTTCAAACATCATGTTAAAAACTTTTTTACTAATCGTCTGAAAAATCTGCAATAGGATTAAGTTATCTCTTAAATAACATAAAAGAATGTTGAAGATATGAGTCTATCTGAAAATCTTACCTACAGTAAATTTAATTTAGTTGCAGAATTAGTACCGTACTATTACGTAAGATAGGCTACAGTAAATAGAATAGGTAGTTTAAGAAAAAAATCTTTAAAAGATATCTTTTTACAAAGTTTGAGGGTGTATATGGTAAGTTCAGCCTATGCAAATTAGTTTTTTAGGATATTTCACTATTGTAGACTAGGTAGCCTAAAAAACAAAATACCTCATTACATAAGATATAGGCTAAACTAGGCCTACAGAAATTATTTTCATGAATAGACCAATGAAAAACATACAAGTGTAAGTAAGTTAAGTTAGTAGAGTAGCCTACCGCAATCTAAAAATAAAAAAAAAATGTTTCAACAAAATAGGTGAATACTATACTTACGATTCAGCTCATCAAACTCCTTCAGCAATTGGGCTTTATCCATTCTTTGGTGTCTGAAAATATTCCAAAAAGCAAATTAAAACTACTTAGCTCTGTTATAAAAAATATATATAGGCCTATATTCTACTGCAAATTTGTTAAACGTGTAGATTATAACTTAATTCAAACTAGGCCTAACTATTAGCCTATTATAGTGCAGTAGGAAGTGCTTTTAAATTCAAAAATCTCTTTTCCAAGTCCTTATTTTTTCCTCTCTCTTAGCTCCCCAATAAGTTATTGATTATTGTTCAAATTATGAAAGTAGGCTAATGGTAAAGTTAGCTATGCATAAGTTACCGGTAGGCCTACCCATGCACACGATTTTTGAATTTTTTTATTCAAGGCCTTTTTATTTAAGTAATTATTTTAAGTAAACTTAGCTCCATTAGGCCTAAGTTAGTTTATTAGAATAAGTTAGCTCCACTGAACAACGGTGAAAGCAACAAAGATGAGTAAGTTTAACTTATTTTCAAAAAACACAAAAACGTTCTGGCCGTGCAAATGCCGACTCAGCCTGTTTCCCCTACATTCAATCAATGTAAGTGCTGCCAGCCTGTGTATTAAAAAAAAATATATATATCCCATGCAACCATGTCATTTGCATGGTTGTTATTCAACAATTGTTTGAAATGAATTGATGTATTTATTTTATTCAACTTATTAAGTACCGTAATTAAGTTATGAACATATGTGACAAAGCAGACTCTACCTATTGTATTTTTTGTACTGAATGGCAAATTGAAATACAATCTTTTGAAACAATCTTAATTTCACAAAAATAGACTGGACCTAATATGTTTTAAGTTTTTATAAGATAGCCTAAGCTATGCATTTTAAATCTATATAACTTAGGCAATGGTCATAATAGTAATAAATATCCTACATTGTTTGGCAGAGATAAGTTATTAATAAGTTAAGTTACTTAACATGATCGCTACCACTTCCTTTGCCTAGTAGGCCTACTACATTTATCACTCATATGGACCAGGGACGCACATAGGCCTATCTTATGTGTCGGCTGGTTTATACCCATAGACTGCCGTTGCATGTTTCCAAGTTATGCGACGGCTGGTTACATTAAAATAGACTGACATAGCATATTTGCGTCGGTGTCCCAATTTTTATTAAAACGCTTATTTATATCTTAGTAACAGACTATTTGAAGGCCCTGAATTCACTGCAGTAGTCTCCAGGGATGTCTGTCGCATATGTGCGTCACTTGGTCTGTGGATATGATGACTATTGACATCGTATTACCTAATTGGCAATACCTTTTTTTACTTTGCTGCATCACTGGCCCGTGGTCTGTGTGTACTGTTAACCAAGTGACACCCGGTCTAATGTATACATTGGGGAAAATATGTGGCGATCGGTAGCGAAAGTGCATGACAATTCTTGAGTTACATCTACAACTTTGTTTAGGCATATACAATTGAGTAAAGCCAATGGATGGCCCTAAATAGGTCTAAGATGCAAAAGATGTAAATCTTACAACTTGGCCTAGGCTATTAGCCTACTTAAAATCAGTAAATGCAATCTACCTACATTTTGACTAAAATATGTTACTTTTAAAACTTGTCTTCAGACTGAACAGTTAAAAGATTGTCATGTCACTTATTTTAAATTAGGCCTGATCATAACCTTCAAACCTTGTAAAAGGAATGGTTGCTGACCTAGATCCGAATTCAGAAATTCGTTCAAAAACAAAACAATATGAGTTTAGCTAATTATAAGAACAAATTTTACTGTGTAATAAAATGAGCAACTTACAAGTTCAACTAAAACCTTCAATTATTGCGCTGTTGCATTGCCATTGATGGTAAAATGTAGAAATATGGTTTAACTTAGTCAAAAAATTAAAATGAAATTACCAATTACGCAGTACGCACACAAATATGCAATAGGCCTAAATTAAAATAAATAATAGCTGCCAAAGCAAAACATCAGCAAAGGAACAAGAAGACAAAAGAAACAGCAGAAGGAATCGGACAGAAAGGAATTTTTTCTTCGTTTTTTCAGTGGCCGACTTTAGTGGCCATGCAACTGCGAAGTATAACCATAGATAAAACATACTCCCAACTTATCATATACTTGTTTTAAAAACTGTTGCTCACAGTGTAAACCCCAAGGTTCCAAACATCTACCAATACCAATGTGTGTTTCAAAACAATATCCTTGGAAGAATATTTGACTCACCTTTGTCATTTTAAAAATTCCATTGCATCACAAATGAGTGGCTTAATAAAGTCAAATAAAATCATTATTACCGGTAATCATAAAATAACACGTGTTAACTTACTATATATTTCGTCAAATTATAATAATAACTTTAAAAATAACTCAAATAATGACTTGGCATACTGCGTGAATGATATTGTATTCATAGGATTTCCAGACAATAAATCAATAATCAGTTCAAGCAAAGTTTCAAATAATCAGTTTTGCGTAGCATAATCTTTGGTTCAAGCAATCACAGTTAGTTGCCAAACAGTTAACTATAAAAAGTTAATAAATATGATATGTATATTTTTTTACCACCAGTTACATAAATAAGTTACATAATATTTTGTTTAGTCTGCTTCGCTCTTTGATACAGAAAAAAATAAGGGGCCCGGGGCCGTCTACATATTAACTTTGACTATTAATACAACTTCAGTATCTAATAGCATAGACATTCCTTTTGCCTATGCTAATAGGCAATGATATTACGGTACGCTCAAGGAGAGGGAGGGGTTCGGCTTAGCGTAACGTGGAGGGGGTAGAGGTTTGAAGATCGTTACGGTAATGCACTAAGAAATATATTTTGATAAGTACCAAAGGGATACAATTAATTGAGAAACAGTATTTTTAGTAAAATATATTTAACACCATATGTTTAAATTGTCATTGTTTATTTTTGGTCTGGAACTGATTATCTAGTTACTAAACGTTTTACCATAGATAAAGCATACTTTTGTTGGTTAGTTTATGGTCTTACTAATTCCTAGGTCGGATCTTCCCCATTTTTTATCTTGACAGATAAGTGCATGCATTATGAAGCATCACAGTGGAGAGGGAGGGGATAAAAATGAAGAAAAGTGCGTTACAAAATGTGTGGACGACCCCTAAGCAATATAGTTGACTTTAAATAACGCATTTGAATGAAAAACTATAAAATCAAAGCTACAAAGGGTAAAGACAGATAACTTGATTTCAGTAACCCAATGTTGGTCACACTGTTTGACGTAGACGACTGCAAGCAAGGGGCGAGGTTAGGTTTCGGTTTCAGGTTTGGTTTGTCATCTGGCATTTCTCAAACAAAACTCACAAAACTGCAACTCCAACCCAACAAACTTTTGTCAACAGCTACATAATTTTGACATTTTACTTGTTCGGTTCAAATTACAATGAGTGTCGGGAGGTTACCGGCTTGTGTCATAGATGTAGGAACTGGGTGAGTTAATAAGGATTATTATGTGCTTGGTTCGATTTAATCCTAGGTAAAGTCATATTCTCCTAATGTCTTGCTTTTTGTTTGGTTATTTAGGGCGGAGATAACAAAAGACTAATACGAGGTTTCCTATGAATAGTCATATACTTCCAAGAACACACAACTAGGCTATTAGGATGTTATTCTGTAGAAATGGTTAAGGAAGTTCTAGTAGGTGTATGGCTCTGGGGAGTGGGATTTTTTGACAGGGATTTTTTCCTCAAATAGGAGAAATAGGCCTATCCTGTAGGGATTCCCTGTCAGGGAAAGGGAAATCCCTGTAAAAAATGGGTAGACTTCCATATCTGTTGGCACAAACAACTGAATGAAAATATTGATCGATATATTTATTATTCGATGTATCGTTTGGTTAGTTAGGTAAGTTTAACCAAACCAAACGATATATCTAGTGAAACAATCAAGTAATCAATATTTTCATTCGGTTGTTTGTGCCAACAGATACGGAAGTCTACCCCAAAAAATCCCACTCCCCATGGAGTTATTACACCTAGGCCTACCAAAGTGGAAACTTAAGTATCCCATGTTCAAGCTGGCAAGCCCCTTTCAATAAGTTGATGATAGGCCTATGATGGATATTTATTTATTCTAATTCCACTATTTTTTTCTGTATGCTGCTGCTAGGCTTACCGCTGGGCAGCTATTATGCTGCTTTAGTTTCGAGTTGTCCGTAAAAGTGTGTGGTTTAACCCTCCGAGTGTCACGCGTTTTGGCCTTAATGTCAGCCTATTTTTTGCTCATTTGCAAGGTTTTATTAAAACGGATCTGAGAAGCTTAAAAACAATGTTAATTCTACTGTTCTATATACCATTTTGTTTGGAAAATCATGGGCTTCAATATTATATATAAAACATAAGGAACATTGTTTCAAAAAATATTTTTTAGGCCTAGGTAAAAAAAAATATAATTTGGAAAATTTTCAAAAAAAAGAAGTTAGCGCTCAATGAAATTGTATAAATTATAGGCCTATAAATATTTGAAAATAGCCACTTTGTTCTAAATTTTATGAGGATTAAAAATATATAATAATATAAGGAAGTACCGGTAGCTTTGCAAATAAATAAGTTATGGGCAAAAAACAGATTTCAGTACATAGCGTTTAGCTAAGAATGCATAGCCTAACCATAGCTAGGAATCTGGCTGATAATTTACATCAATATCACTACCTACTTCTTCAGGATCATCAATCAGCCCTTCAAAATCACTTAAATCTTCTTATAATGCACCACGTATATCACTACTTTTGAATTTTAACACTAAAACAATGATAAACATAATAAAACACATCAGTCATCGGTCCGAGGTTATCTAACCTGTTTACAGATATGCACGTCAGCTGTCTGCTACAATTACGATCGGCTCAGAGACCATACAGCACTTAGAGACAGACCTTTAGAAAGCTTAGAATCTAACGAAAAGAACGATACCTAACTCGATCCAGTTCAATCCGATTTTGTCAGTCATAGAGCCTTCGCCGTAAACAGTGTTCGTGAGTCGCTGCAGCGACGCATGACACTCGGAGGGTTAAGCCTGCGATTGTATTTTTGTCAGCATGAGATAGACCTGAGTTTTTATTCCTAGAGTCAAGAACTAGGTAGGCTAACTAAAAAAATTGAATTATTTACCCTGCTTTGTAGCCTTTGTTCCTTCAGAATTCAGGGTTTTCTCTAATAGGCTAGGTATTATGTTTCACCATGCAGTGTTGCATCTTCGGGGAGGATTGGTAAATAGGCCTATTCTTTTTGCCCATTTTTAAACTTATAGGCCTATACTATTTACACTGATCTAACTTAAACGTGGCACAACGTTCCTGACCCAGAATTTTTTTGAAGGTGCGTAGGGGCGCAGATGCGCGATGAAGTCTTGTAGAGGTACATAGGCCTACTGCCTTTGTGTTAATTCACAGACCTACTCTAACGTGTTTGCGACTGTGACCTTACACACCTTCGCAAAGATGCTATGTCATGTAGCCTATATAAGAAATGTTGTGCTGCACAGACTTGTATAAATAGTGTTTAAACAGTAGGAAACTTAGCCTATACAATTTAATGTAAAAAGAACATTCTACAGTTCTCTTTGAAGATAACTGTGGCAAAATATATTGGAGTAAAAAAAGAATTCTGCAATGAAAAAAGGCAACAAAACAAGGTAGCCTAAATAACTATATAATGTTTTTTTGAAAACTCAGCAAGGAGTATTATTTTTGCATATAGTTCGTTTTAACGAGTTTTTAGTGACGTCGGTTTAACCGGAAAAACCGTTATCCGGACTGGCCTCGGTCCCGAGGAGTCCGGATAAGAGGGGGTCTACTGTATTAAGTTACTACATAATATGTCGATTTTTCTTAATTTATAACCACAAATTGATCATGTCTATTGGATAACTGCCTAGTTTCAGAAGGGAAAATATTATTTGGAAATGTCAGTATTGTGTAAGTAATACAATAAATCCCTTGAGAACTAGTGATGTGACGAGTCGGGTACTTTCCTGACTCGAGTGACTCGACTTGCCAACTGCCGTGAACTCGAGTTACGAGTCGAGTCAGACTCAACTCGAGACGTTCCGAGTTCGTGTGAGTTCGGCATTCGCCGTACGAGTTCGTTAGTTTTGCGAGTCGGCCGACTCGGTACCGGCCAATAGCGTGTCAGCTTTACGAGTCGACTCGACTCGAGACGTTCCGAGTTCGTGTGAGTTCGGCATTCTCCGTACGAGTTCGTTAGTTTTGCGAGTCGGCCGACTCGGTATCGGCCAATAGCGTTGAATCTATGCAAGTTGACTCGTAAAGCTGTGACGCTATTGGCCGAAAGCGAGTGCGAGTAAACTCGAGTCAACTCGTTACGTCCCGAGTTCGTTAAGGTTCGGCTTTCTCCGTATGAGTTCGGTTTCTTGACTCGGCTTTTGCGAGTCGGACTGGTAACGTTACGAGTTCGTGTAGCTTCGGCAATCTCCGTACGAGTTCGTAAAAGAACTCGAGTTGGAATTGAGTTGACTCGAGTTAACTCGACTCGGGTCTTGACTCGAGTCAACTCGACTCGCCAACTCAACTCGTCACATCACTATTGAGAACGTTGGCCTGGATATGCTTTTCTTGTACAGTACAAATTCCTGGTTTTCAGGTATACCAAACTGGGGTTTGCCAATAATAAAGAACCTCAATTCATCATTCCATCAGCGATTGCTGTTAAAGAAACCGCTAAAGTTGGTGACCAAGCTATCAGGAGGTTGACAAAAGGAGTGGAGGATTTAGACTTTTACATTGGAGATGAAGCATTTGGTGCTACTGGATATGCTGTTAAGGTAGGCCTACACATTTGTTATGATACATTTTTTAAGAGGTACCTAGCTAATTTATTCATTAGGCCGGTGACACACTATCCCGTTTAGCAGGATGCAGTTTTGCGGGATGCGTTTTTGCCGCATTGACATTGCCCTGTCACACTTGTCCCGTTCTACCGCAACATATTTCGAGTGAAGAGCGCGAGCATCACATGCAGTGCACTGTTGATAGCGACAACATTACGATGGTGTCTAAAGTGAAATTTGTCTGTGCTCTTGAAGACACACAAGAAATGTTTTGGTCTGTTGCTAAAACCTTTACATAGGCGTTATTGGGTACACCCTTTTCATTGCGAAAATGATACAGATGGACAGTTTAAGAGTTTATCATGGTATAAGGCAGTATCCTCGCAAGTTTTTTAATTATTGTAGAATGTCCATCACATCTTTTTATGAGCTGCTGCGCGTTTTGAGGCCACATTTAACGAAGATCAGTACACAGTTCAGGAATTCAATCAGTGCTGAAGAAAGATTAACGATAACAATAAGATCAGGACAATAGTTTTCCTAAATTCTTTTAAGATTTTGTTAAATTTGTATTTATTGTAGACTGTCCATTTAAATTTTGTTTGTTGAAGAAGTGCGTTCAAGTCGAAAGAACAGTAAATAAAATACCCCCGTCGTAGCAAAACCTGCAGACTAAGCGAATTTCCAATTACCTGATTGGATTTAAACTAAAATGCCTCTTTAAAAATATTACATTTATTCCCTATTTAAATGGAATAAGTTTAAAGAGTAGTTAGGTTTGCTGCAAAGGGGGGGGGGGGGGTAAAAATTTTTTTGTTGTAAAATCTTAATAGTTTAGTAAGAAATGCATGCATTTTCAAAATTCTATCAAAATATGTCCATAAACAAGCAAACTACAACAGTTGACTTATTCTCCATAAAAATAACATGAGAAATTTTAAATTAACAATTTTTTGGAATTTTCTCCGTAACCATTAGGCGCACAATAACGCTTCAATATGCTTAATTATTTGTTTTTTTAGCTCTACAAAATGGTTTTGAAAGAAAATGTGAAATTGTGTGTTTTTAGGGACAGATTAATTATCAGATTAATAATTAATTGGTAGATTAATTTAAATTGCATAAATGTTGTCCGTGTCGAACATGCTAAACGCGCGGGGCAAAACAGGACAGTGTGACAGCTCTCATTTAACTGCATGTATTTATCTTTTCATCCCGTCGTCCGGTCGTCCTGCTACGCGGCAGCACCTTGCAGTGCATCCCGTCGACGCGCCGCAACCGCATCAATGTGACAGCTCCCACTAAAACCCATGAGTTTGAATCATCCTGCGAAACGTGTCCCGTTTAACAGGACCTGCAAAACGGGATAGTGTGTCACCGGCCTTACACTGAAATTCACTAGCTTGTGAAAATTTATTTTTTCATATATTGTAAATAGCTTTATTTTAAAATTTATATCTTGCCTTAGTTGAAAAAAGTCATATGCTAGCCTACAGACCTATATAGACGGTGGCATTGTCCTGTAATCACCAGCTGCTAGGAGGTCACGAATTGTGGATGTTTATAAGCATGCACTGTGGATGCGATACTCCCTGGTGTGGATTAACATCTGCACTAGCGAGTACTACGACTATGCGCGATACTATCCTGATAATTAGACCAATTCGTTGATACCAAGGCAAAAATGTGGTTTGAATTCCACTATAAACTGTAGGTCCCTTAGTTGCCATTAGCTGTATGGGTTATAAATTAACAGCTGTGTCTAAGGAATATGTCGGCCTTAGTCACCAACAATACTACAAGATCGCACCACTCATCCAAAACTCATCTCATTTCATACTTGGCTTAAAATACCTATGGTCACCATTTCATTGAAAAGTGTTAAAGTAAAATATTATTTTAAGTAATAAACTAAGGATAAGACTATAACTATGTCAGATCATTCGACCGTAATAGATTGTATCGAACGTATGGTTGATGAATATTTTTATTCTCTTTCAAATAATAGGTAGGCCTACCGGTAATTAATGAGAATTTTCATACTTTTTTAGTACCCCGTCAGACACGGGTTGGTTGAAGACTGGGACTTGATGGAAAGATTCTTGAAGCAATGTATTTTCAAATACCTCCGAGCGGAGCCAGAAGATCACTACTTCTTACTCACTGAGCCCCCACTCAACACGCCTGAAAACAGAGAATACACCGCAGGTATTGTAGGAAATTTGTAGGACTTTTAAATTGAACAACTTACCATTGAATGAAACCTCTAAAAATTCATTGTTTCAAAACTAGTAAAGGCCATATTCAAGCCTAAAAAGAGAATCACAAAACTAATCTAGGCTGAACACATTTGTGTTGCTAAATGATTTTAAAAATAAAAGTGTAGGCTACATTTAGAAATTCACTAGTGCCCTAGGGCAAGCACAAATTTAAAAGAGGTGGCTATCTAATGGATCTGGCCTTTTGTAAACTAAAAGCAATATCAAAGTACTTTCAATTGCTGTTACAAGTCTGACATAATACATGTACTTTATGCCTCGCTTCTTCGCTGTTGCAGAGATCATGTTTGAAACGTTCAATGTGCCGGGGTTGTACATCGCTGTGCAGGCTGTACTCGCTCTGGCTGCCTCGTGGATGTCTCGCACCATCGAGGAGCGAACACTGACTGGCATCGTAGTAGACAGTGGCGACGGAGTTACCCACGTAATTCCGGTGGTAAGTAAAAATATCGATTGATATTGAAATGGTCCAATCCCTCTGTATGTAGTAACCCCTTAAAACACGTTTGGCATCTGATTCCTGGGCCCGACTCAGAGTAATCTTCAGGTTGTACATAGACAGGTCACGGAAATCACTGAAGTCACATAAAAATCGCTGATTTTACTAGGAGGTTACAGAAGTCACTGAAAAGTAACAAATTTTCAATTTAGGGTCCCAAAAGGCACGGAAAAAATCGGGCCCAAGTTTCCCAGACCTGTCTTTTGTCTGCAACATGCTGCAAAGTGCGAGCAATGATTCAATACATAATGCAAATTCAGTGAGAGAGAACAAGAACATATTTTGGGAGAAGGCAACAATCTCAAATCTTTATGGCACAAAATATTGTGTCCGACCATCTTACGTTCAAATCACCCTAAAGTATTATTTTCTCTTCAAAAGGTGCGTTTTAACATCGTCTTTCCCCCATAAAGTCACTGAAATTTAGTTTGATAAACTGACACCCTAACATCTTAATTTACACTATTTTTAATGTTCGTCATTAAAAGAGATTGCCGGAGATAATCACAGGATTTGTCCTAATTGTGGAAGATGAATAAGATGTGATCGTGTTTTCTTAATCAAGGGAGCAATACGGCAATTCGCAGCCGTAAAAGTATGTTGTTTGTTTTTTTCCTCCAATTCTACTGGATTTTCGGCTAATACAAATAATCCAAACCTGCCCCAGTCACGATTATTTCAGATTCGCAGGACCCTGATGACCCTTGATTATGAAATTAATGATACAGTTCCTAAACAACGACTAAACTAGGCGTGCAACTTAAAGCTTACACATTATATTTATTCCGATGTCGTGTTTGTTTGCAGGCGGAAGGGTACGTGATTGGCAGCTGTATCAAGCATATCCCCATAGCTGGGCGCAACATCACATCCTTCATACAGTCGCTGCTGAGGGAACGAGAGGTCGGCATTCCTCCCGAGCAGAGTCTGGAGACGGCCAAGGCTATCAAGGAGAGGTAACATCGGGATATGTCAATAGCATAGGGGTAAAAGTATCAATCCGGCGCCAGACATGTGCCATTCGCCAAGCACCGAGCAGCGACTCTCCAAATCACGAGAAGTGTGGAAAGGTGTTTGTCTATTTGGCAAGCAGTAAATATTCATCGTGTTTTCCCGTTCATTGTCGGGTATTTTTGCACACATCAAAGTACATGAATATTTGCTATGTCTGAAAAAAACAAAAAGCGAACAGTTGCTCGGAAAACAACACATGTAGACGTCTACTCTACTGGTTAATCGCCGAACGTAAATTTTTTCGTGCTTGGCGACTGGCGCATGTATGGAGCCGCCTTCAGGGTACCTAGCTGACCAAATTTTCAGAAATTTTGATTTTGCCTCTTAACTATTGGTTGCTTGTATTTGGTTCATATCTTATTAAGACATGTCTTTTCTTCACTCCAAAAAAAATTAAAAAAATGGAAAAAATCATTTCACAATTCACATAATTAACTAACTCTGGTCAGATAATAAGCAATTTGACTAACAAGTTAGTTAAATAAAATAAAATAGTTTTATTAAATTTACATGTACAATTAATGGTTTTCTGCTGTTAAACTAGGCAAATGGCTACTCTATGTTTCAGTGTGATTTATCTGTTCCACATTTCTTTTAACCGTTCTTTTAAAATTTTGGATATTTACCCTATCTTTAAAAATAGTTTTGCTTGGCCACTTTAGATGTATGATTAATGTATCGAGTAAATCAACAAACAATCCAGTGCAGTTCAAGAATAGGTAAACATTTAAACATAAATTGTTAATGGCATCAGTATTAAAAACCCATACTTTATTCTAAAGTTCGCCAAAGTATCAACTGAGCTTAACTCATACATGTTGAATGCTATCCTTCATTTTGGATATAAATTTTGGTGTGCCAATAAACATGAAGTAATTGGAAACCTACTCGAGAATTAAGTGTATGGTTGATAGAATTCATTACTTTAAAATGTTTAGGCTAATTCCTGTATTGTGTTTGTTAGGTATTGTTACATCTGCCCTGATATCGCCAAAGAGTTTGCCAAGTACGATGCAGACCCTTCCAAGTCCATCAAGAACTATAAGGGCGTCAATGCTGTTACCAAGAAACCCTTCAGTGTTGACGTCGGATATGAAAGATTTCTGGGACCGGAGATATTCTTCCACCCTGAGGTAAAGCATCTGTTGTTTGAAATAATTCAAGATGGCCGCTAGCCTCCAAGGACTCTTTATACAAAAACAACTCTGTAATTCATTGGCTTGATATTGAACTTCAAATCAGTTGTTTGACAAAACTAGATAATTCGGCAGTAAAATGGCTATTTAACCTTTTTATTTGTATGAATGAGATCCAGAGGATAAATAGGTTTAAATATAATTCTTACTATTTTTGTATTCCTTGGAGTTTTTGTGATTTTTATTCGACTACCTAATGGGAAAGCATATGAAAAGTTCCCCTCCAAATCGCAAGTATAAAGGACCTGACTCTCGGTTTTACTCAAGATAAAACAACATGTAATCCTGTCTACATAACTCTCCCCCATTTGTTTTGATTCGTACATTCTTATTTTATTATAAACTTATAGATTAATTTGTTGACTATTTTACAACTTTTATTTTATTTTGGTATTTTTTGTTCAGTCCATGTCTATATATTTTTAAACATTTTATTTTTGTAGAAGTTGATTCTTTTTGGTTCTTATAAAGAATATTTGTGTTTTGTGTGATTATTAATCGTCACATTTCCCAACAGTTCTCCAACCCAGACTTCACCCTTCCGATATCCGACATCGTAGACAACGTCATCCAGAACTGTCCGATAGATGTGCGTCGTCCTCTGTACAACAACATCGTGTTGTCCGGAGGGTCGACCATGTTCCGAGACTTTGGTCGGAGGTTGCAGCGAGACATCAAGAGAGTCGTGGACGCTCGGCTACGAGACTCAGAGGCGTTGTCTGGAGGTCACATAAAGGTGCTTAACTCACACTTTGTTCTACCATTTAAAACAATAAACTTAAAATCATCGTGTACTTCAACAATTTGTACCATTTTCTACCAAAAACGAATCATTGCGCACCCCAATAAGTTGGTTTATTGATTGACCCTAAAGATTTCGAGCATCTGATGAATGCCTGTAGTCTGCCAATCAATTCCTTCTCGGCAACGTACTATACATTGCCAAGAGTTGTCCTTCTTACTACAGAGAGTTGTTCACGTCAAAGAGCAGGTGATCGGCTGTTTCCTCTGACCTACCCAATTCCGACAGACTGGTTCGGCTGGTTAATTCTTCCATTAATGATTAAGCTCTGTAAAGTTTTGCTCCTGGAAAGCCAACTATTTAGATCTTCAATTACAATTACGCCTTTTGCTTGTAGGTTAGTTAACTAAATACACTATTACACTATTAACTAAATATAATTATTAACTAACGCAAACTTGATTTCAGCCTAAGAAGATCGATGTACAAGTTATCTCCCATCATATGCAGAGATACGCAGTCTGGTTTGGAGGCAGTATGCTAGCTTCTACGGTGAGTCCAAGCACAGAGAAGTACAGAACAGAGGATACACTCTATGGTACACTTTAGTGGTGTCTAGCACTAGTGCTGGTGTCTAGGACAAAGTCCAACACCCTTTGCCCTTATCTACTACAATGCTTACAGTGGAGGAAGACCCGGTGTGTTTCCGCACAGTGCTTGCCGTTCAGGCTCTTTCTTGCTCGTCTCAAGTATATTCCCGGCTCAACATACCAGGCTTTTGAGCTTTATGTAATGCCGAAAACATAATTTATTATAGTTGTTTCCGTCATACCTTGTTTTTAATTCTTGAAACTAAATTTATATACTTTCAGCCCAGACTTTCATTCAATGTTATCCTCTTTAGAATTTACCTGATGTGATTTTCATGTTACAGCCTGAGTTTTACAATGTGTGCCACACAAAGAAGAATTACGACGAGTACGGCCCGAGCATATGTCGCTACAACCCTGTGTTCGGCACCATGACATAATTGCCAAGTTACCTTTGAGGTCGTCTTTTAATCGTAATAATTATTTTAGTGGTACCACAATGTTTTTTCTATATTCTCAAGGACGGTTGTTTCTGATTATTTTTGTTATGCAGTGTTCATTTTATCTTTATGCATGAATCAGCTATTATCAATCTAGCAAAATGACATAACCATTTTATTGTATTAGATTAATTTAGTCAAGAACTTAAAACATCAAATCTAAACCACAACAACTTTTATTTTTAAGGAAAGATTCGTCAATGGTTTCAAAAGCTTTAAAATGAATTTCCCTGTTAAAATTATGGCTTAAGACAATGAAAACATTGTGGTATCATGTAATATATGGACTTATATTCTTTATGTGTAAATATATTGTTTTCTTTATTTTCTATTAGAGATTCATCCTTATTTTATGTTTGAGCATTTATACAATATATTAAAAACAATATGCATTATCAATAAGTATTAAAAATACATTAAATGTTTTTCTATTAAAAAGTATTTTAGTCTCGTTATTTCATTTCCATCCTTATTTTTTAAATAGCGATTTAACTTGATGCTGTGAAAACCTTGTATGCTTATGAATAGTGAATCCAGAGTAAAATCACACTGTTTGTTTTGGAGTGGGTTTTAGCAAATTTCCCATACAGGGAATAAGCTATTACCATAGGTATCATGGTAAGTGGTAAGACCTAGATCCGGGAGTTTGCAAACCAGCATGATCGGACTAAAGTAAGTAACTGGGTTATATGGGGGAGTTTCTCATTTTGTACCCCTAAAACATAACATTTTGCATTTCCAAACTATTAGTAGAGATTAAAAATAACAAATAATTTAGTATATCAAAGTGTCGTATGCCTAATTGTTACGGAGAAAGTTGAAAAAAATTGTAAATTGAAAATTTTCATGTTATTCTTATGGGGAATAAATTTAAACCAAGTAGTGTAGTTTGCTTGTTTGGGATTTAACTTTTTTTTTATTTGGCAAATTTGTTTATTTTATACAAAGCTATTAACCTGTTAATTTTCAACAATAACACACTATTACCAACCTTCCCTGTAACGATAATCCTAAGTACCATACTCATTTAAATTAATATTATCTAAAAAGTAGACTAACCTGACAATTTTAAGGGAATATTTTGGTGAAAATCCAACCGGGTAATCGGAAACTCACTTAGTCTGCAGGTTTGCTGCGGCAGGGGTATTTTCATAGAGATTGTTTAGTGGGTTTTACAAAATATACATCAATATTGTCATGATAAACATCCTAAGCATGCAAGTTATCAGTGACAATACGTATATTAATTGCAGGCTGTGGTGATGGTCCCTGTTAATGAAAGATTCCTCTTGGGGGTTGGTACCGTTGTCACGTCCGAATGAGGGATATTTATTGTTATAACACCAGGCCTGCCTGTCAATGTCAGAATCAACTTTACCTCTGAATTTTGTTTCAAGTAGCTATTTTGGATAACAGCTGATATCAAAGAAAATAACTGTTTCTCAAGCTATAATTTAGAGCAAAAGAAAAACAATCAGCTGATTTTCCCTTGCTCTAAATTTACTTTTCCTTGCTCTCAATCAGTTCTTCATTTGCCCACTACAGGTTATAGTTTTTGTTTAGAATTTATTTATATTGTTGAACTCCGCTGTTTTTACTGTTCAACAATATAAATGTTAACATAAATATTCATAAACTACTTTTCTAACTGTGTTTTAGCTTATAGTGCAATGAACATAACGTTTAACTTGAGATTAAAGTTTGTACTTGTTATGTAGGTTTCCTATAGTATTTTTGCTTTTATTTTCATATTTAAACTAGCTGGCCCGACAGACGTCCTGTCCTAATGTGGTATGATGTCAAATGCTTGTTCATTTTAAGATGAGCTCGTTAGCATCACTCAAATCACTTCCCGGTTGAAACTTGAAAATGCATCAAAAATTCCACTTTCGGTTTTAGTAATGAATTAATTATTTACTATATTGTCTTATTTTAAAAGATTACTAAACAAATCTTTGAACCAGACAGGTTAGCAATAATTACTGCCTTAGCTTTTTAGTTTTAGGTTTACCTTGTAATATGTTGTTAAATGCCCAAGTAGCACACATCGTTGGCCCAACGTTGGGAAATGGTCGGCACGGTTGGGAAATGGTTGGCAGAAATGTTAACGATTTGCCAACGTTGGCCCAACGGAAACTGGTATTTGTTGGCCCTACAAAGGAAAGAATCGTTGGGCCTTCGTTGGGCATTCGTTGGGTTTAAGTATAAAACATTCTAAAACGAATTTTAACAAATTGATTTATTTAAAAGTACATAAATGTTATGGCAGCAGAATATAAGACAAATATTGTAAAAATTTGGATCAATAATGAATGAAGTCAGATGATGTTGTGATACTAGATACAGTGGGGAACACCTGCTTAACATATAATAATTATTACTAGTGGTCGTCCTGTGGTCGAAACTCGACCAAAAATAATTAATGTACAGACTTCTCTATTTTCTCCCCACACTGTAAATAAAACATGTGATTGGAATTTCTTCCATTTGTTTTGATTTTCTGTTTACATTTTGTTGTTATTTCGTCACCATCATGGCAACCCATATGGTCCATGTTAATTTTTTGAAGTTTTCAAATTAATTTTTTGTTCTTATTTGTTAGCCTATTTTAATTTTTAAAAGCATTCTGCACATCTACAGGAAAATATCTTTCCAACAGTATGCGTAGATTTTCCCTGCGATGCACACGAGCTGAGAAAAAAGGTTTTAAAGAAACATGCTTGCCTATTAATATATAGATAGATAATTATTTTTTTTATATTCTTTAACTTATTTAAGCAAGTTTTTAATAGTTATAGAGATAAGATTAATTCATTATATAACAATCAATCATAACAGTAGCCTACTAATCTAATGGTAATTAAATAATCTATATTCAAATACTAGTATCCTCTCCAACTACCAGAAAAACAATTCAACTACTTGAGGCCTAAACAGATTAACAGAATTATATTATACTGTAGCATCAAAAATATTTAATTAATTGTGACCATTGCACCTGTCGGCTACTCTTTTACCACTTGAAAACACTCTTAATCAACAAGTACAGTTAGCTCAGAGGTAAGGCGTGAATCTCACATGTCGAAAGTACCGGGTTCGAGACCCGACCCGGCCAAAAAATTTTATTTCGTTTTATTTTCAAAATAAGTTTTTATGAAATATTTAATCAATTTACTCAACTCATAATTATGCTTTGCATACAAAATCTTTATTATTTTGTGTTTTTTATGTTTATGCCCAATGGGATGGTTGGCCCTTCCGCAAAAATTGGTTGGTTGGCCAACCGTAAGACTGAGTGCCAAAACATACCGTTGGCCAACGATCGACAGAAACGTTGGGCCAACGATTTGCCAACGATTTTTGCTACTTGGGTGGTGTTATGCTAATTTAAACTCAAAAAATGAAACTGAAAGAGTGTTTTCACTCTAAAAATCATTCTTTTGCATAATGATAATATTTTTGTATGTGTTTTGAGTGGACAAGCGTGATTTTGATTTGTTTACATATTTATCTAAACCTACTCACATTAAAGAGAATATACATTTTTTTATATTTATTTTATCGATTAAAACTGTGTGTTAATAATAAATCTTCAATTAAACTGATATGACTATAATATCTTGTTAAAATGTCATTTTGGAACCATTTATTTTATTCTGTTTGTTTTTAAAGTATAAATTATAAATAAAATTTACTTTTTAGAAGTTACAATATTGTCCAACATTTTTAAAGATCCTGCTCCATTGTAAGATACAAAAGAGCACCCATATTTAACCTGGCAATTTCCCATCTTTAGTAGAGGGTTATTATTGTTGTTTAATAATTCCAGCCTACTTCCCCTTTCCCTCCTTCACACCCTTTACAGGGAGGTCGATATAAGGGAAAAATACCCTACCAAATGAAATAAAATGTATATAATAATTTAAACATCGGATACTTCGAAAACTTCTATTGAATAACATTTATGGGTAAATTTGTTGGTTATTGATTGATTGACTTTTTAATCAGAATCAAAATCTTCCTGCCCCCTGATTAATCTTGTTCTAATGCATCAGTTGTCTAATATGATTTATATTCCAATTGAAAAATGTTAACTCATAAAATTTGGGATTGTTAAAAGTCTTCAATACAATATATCACAAAGTTGAAATTATTGAAAGCAGTTGTTGCATTAACTGGACAGCGGACAAGCTACATTTCATCTTCATCTTGTCCTGAATGGATAAATGGATAAAACAACCTATTACATATGCACCATTGGTATGTGATGTAATTTTTTTTAAATATAATTCCAAATTGATCTTTAACCTAAGTTTGTTTTTCAGTACGATCAAAAACGAAATAATTATAATGTCATACATAAAAATATTTTTTCTTTAAAAAATTCTCATAGAACCCAACCATACTCTAGAAAAACGTCACGTATGTGTCAGAATGCTGATACCGTTTATTTTTCAGATTATGTAGGCCTAGTAGTTTTAAGTTTATAGGTACAGTAGTTTCATAAAGTTTCGTGATAACAGGTGAATGATAATAAAGTAGAGAAATTTTGTTTCCAGCCTCTCTAGTTAGCTGGCAACACTGAAGACAAAACCAAACATCGTCTGCTCGCTGTCAATGTAATCTGGGGGCCAGGCAGCGCCGCTTTGGCGTCCGGTGCAACTTGTTGATTACGATATGAAGCTAAAATTGGATTTCTATTTTATTTGGAATATAGCTGTTGTATTTTTTATCATAGTGATGTTTGTGATGATATTCTTTTATCTGTAACACTGTATACTTTAGCGATGGTCGTCTTTCAGTGTTCCACAAGGGCCTACTACTTTTCCTAACCTAACATGTTATAGGTTAATTTGAAAATGGCTTTTTACAGAAAAGCTATTTGGTTTTATAGAGGTTGGCAGGAATACACAAATGATGGTTTTGTAGAAGCAGAAAAGAAGTTCAATCCGGAGGATTTGGATGTAAATTTAAAAGGAAAATCTTATATTATAACAGGTAAGTTAGGACTAGTCTATTTGTCTAATTGAGAGAATGCCCATGGCCTAAACCATGTTGATAAGTAATACCCTACATGAAATAGGTAATAATGCAACTGAAATGTATTCCGATCTTATAGTGATGTGTTTTCACCATGCATCAAAGTAACGGGTACAGTTTCTTAACTGGGCTATGCTAATATCGATTGAAACTATCGATTCGATTAGTAAACCTTCATGCAAATTTTTCACCATCAGCAAGTTTGGTTGGTTAGGTTAGGTTATGATAGTTTAATTTTATAATAGATATATTTAAAAATATTGATTATTAATCAATATTTTCAATTCGATAATTTCAATCGACATTAGCATAGGCTAGCCCAGTTAAGAATTGTACCCAAAGTTAACTGAGTTGTCAGAGGTTGCTACAAAAATCAATAAGTTAATTTTTGTCCTTCCTCTCTATAGCATAGGCCTAATTAAATTATTTATTTACTTGGGCAATGATTCTTAAACGCCACATTCACCTAAAACGTTCTGTAATCCCCTAGGCTAAAGTTGGCTGTATCAAATAATTTTCTGCTTAGTTATTCATGTAACTTCTGTTGTAAAATTAACTTAGCCTACCAATTAACTTAATTGTATCTGTTTAAATGCAAATGTTATTCCATACATGAACAGCTTTTAAGAACCACCATTCCTAATCTTACGTCTGTAGCCTTGTCATGATGGCATTTGGATTTTTCAGCTAATTCGCTAATCCATAATGTTCAGGATATTCACAGTGCTGGATCACTACTGCTGTCTAGAAAGCTGTAGTTTGTGAAAATATCTATGAGTCAAATGGGCTATTTTATTGGTATCAGGTCATTTTTGTGAGTCATAGGCCTAGTACCAGTATTTACCGTTAGTTGTATTAGGCTTAAGTATTTAAATAGATAACTGTCCACAGGTGCTACTAGTGGAATAGGAAAGTGTTTGACCGAGGAGATTGCCAAGAGAGGTGGGACTGTTCACATGGTCTGTCGCAACATGCAAGTGGCCGAAGTCATACGCTATACTTTGATTGATGAGACAAAGAACGAGGTTTGTCAGAGTTGGAATTACGCTTGTCTTGTACTAGCATAATTGAAACACATTGCCTTGATGTTAAAATTACGAGTGGCACATTGATATCAAATATCCTTTAAGCTATTTGCTGTAAAAGACAGTAACATGCATGGCTTGAATCTGTGTATTTAGCTCAAATTTCCTTCCCATCCATTTACGTATGGTTGGATAAGATTAATCTAATCTTCAGATCTGCCCATCATCACTGTCTATAACCAGACAGACTGAGAAGAATGCATTTTGCGGATTGATGGGTGAAATTGCTCTGTTCTCAAAATAAATTTTAGTTTTTCCCTCAATTGTCCACTCAACTGAGAATAACTGACTCAAGTAGTTGTCTATGTGGAGGCAATTAAAATTTTTCATAATCCACCACTTCGTCTACCGCCCTGCACCAGTGCGGCACAAGTGCCTTCTTAGGCCTGTCTGACTGCAGACTACTTTAAATTCATCCAGTTAATTTATTTTTACTTTAGGGTCTTTTTAAGGGTCTTTTTTAAAATATGAAACTCTGTATATTATACTAGATAGCCTATACATGCCAGATTGATTGATTAGTGATGTTTTAAGGAGGTGAGTTGACTCGAACAGACTACATTGTAAATAAAATAAGAATCCTTCATACTCAATTTCACATTCATTGTGAGATACGGATCTTGTATGTGAAATGGTCATCATCATCTTTATTGCCATAATGAGGGTATAGTATTACAGTAAAGGACTTTCAATAACGGAGGATTTTACAGATTTTGATTTTTTTTTTTTACTAGGAGTACTATCGCGGAGGCTGTCATTTGAAACACATGGCTTTTGATCCGCTGTAAGCCTACGCCTGAACACGAAATTGAATATAGCAAAATAGAAATTCTGGTGGTATTTACAGGATATCTTTGCTAGAGTTGTAGAGTTTGTCAAATACTGCGAATGTAGAAGAATGGGTTTTCTATGTATTCTCAAATTAAACTAAAACTTTTCAGGAAATTTACCTTCATGTTGTCGACATGGCGTATCCAAGAAGCGTTTTTCAGTTCACACAAGAATTCCGAGAACAACATTCTAGTCTTGATGCTATCGTAAGTAAAACATTCACTGATAAAATAATTTTAGTTAGTCTAAGTTTGGCTAGTCGATGACGTTGAATTGTTATTTAACGTTGGCTTACGGTAATATTATTTCAGTACCATAATAATTAGCCTTCTTTCTTTTACTGAGATAGCAATGCACACCTACTTATCTTTATTCTTGTATTTAGTAGTAAAGTGAATTTTATTTCCAGATACACAACGCTGGTAGCATGGTCTACACCTGTCACGTTGACCCAGATGGCATAGAGAAGAATTTTGCCGTAAATGTATTATCACCTCACATCATCTCGCGTCAACTCGTCCCTTTACTACACAAGTGAGTCTGACGCTCTTTTATTGAATTATCTTCTTAGCAGTAGTAGGCTATAAGTATTTCTTATGACGTAACGTCTAGGCCTAAACATTGAAATTGACCAACCTTATGTCTGCCGAGATTCTGGTCACCTATTTAACTATTGACGCCATTTCAATCTTTAAGATTGTAAATAAAGGTCTTTCTCTCTCTGTCTCTGTGTTTATTTAATTACGTCTTAAACTACTTCCAAATATGTTACAGCCCCTTAGAGCTCCAAAGCTTTTATGTAGGGGTTTTGAAAGTACAGTCAGTTGGGCGAGTAAAAATAAGGCAAAGAGATGAACAGTAGTAAAACATTGTAGTGCCCATGCAAGGACAAAAGGCAAAACAGCTGTCGATTTGCTGTTGATGAGGACAAGTATCTACTAGTATCGGCTGTCTGAAATACATTGTTAGTAAAATGTCTGTAACATACTTTTGTAAACATGCGTGGTGGTTCGCCACTTGCGCAACAAACTACAAATACACTCATAGGCAACAAAAACTCCGATGTTTTACATTTTGATTTAGATAAAGTTGTATAATTTTACTCTGCAACATATCCAGAAAGAAAATAAAAGTAAGTGATTCAATTAAGTTTTGCTTCTATAATCAAATACCTATGAGGGTTTCTACAGAAAGCTTAAAGAACTACATTATTCTCTTCAAAACACAATCAAGCCAACTGATTCTGCATAACTTTCATTTGAATGTTTTCAAGTTCTCGATTTCCATTGTTGTGTTTTCAGGAGTGAGCGTGGAAGAGTAATATTCATATCCTCCGGCTGTATGTTGGTGCAGAAGTTGGATCCCACCGACATACAGTGTCAAAGCCTCAAACACTTTGATGGGATGCACGTCTACTCCAACAATAAACGACAACAGGTTGTTGCTTATTCTTTAGTTACATAAGTTTTTAGAATTTTCTAATATTTCTTGAAAATTATATTTAAACTTGTAGACCTACTGTATTCAATCAATCAAGATAAAATTATTATTATTACCAATTAATTTGGCGAAGCAACAAAGTCAATAAAGACTCTGAATGAAGAATGATTTTAAAATGAAGTCAGATGCCTTTTGTACCTGTGTTACTAATTAAAACCAGCTTTTTCTCTAGCCAGTATCATTAATTCAAACTCAGGTTTTTTTAACAGCTGGGCACAGTTCCAATGAATCCATAAGCTACTGACTTTTCCCAGGAACATTATTTTTAAGCCTACTAATATTTTTAAGATCTTGCTAGTTCTCCCAAAATTGTTTATTAATAGTGATTTATTAATGTGTATTTTCGTCCCAGCTCAAAAATGTGGAAGCTAAAACCATGGTTTCGATGCCGATTGTGTTATGGTCACAAAGGACATGTTGAGAATTAAAGCATTGTTGTCACAGTCGGTCGCTTCTTGGACGTCGTCAAACTCACATTAACACAAACACATTAGGACATGTACATATTTATACAACTTTTTTGAGCTGGGACGAAAATAAAAGGTAAAAAAACCACTATTAATATGTCTTACCAGCTCAGGGGCAAACCACAACAATGAGCAAAATTGTTTACTATCAAAGACAATAATTTTAATATTTTAAAGTAGGTCTACAATCTACATGCAGAAATGATTCAAAACTATTCAAGAAATGGAAATGGTTGTCATGTTTGAAGTTACAAAACTTGTCTCATAATTAATTGTTCTTACGTAGTGATTTTTCCAACAGGTGGTGCTAGCAGAGATCTACTCTCGAGAGTACCCTCAGTTGTTCTGCGCAGCGATGCACCCTGGCTGGACGGATACGAAAGGAGTACAGACCACGATGCCGGAGTTCTACGAGCGGATGAAGGAACGACTCAGGTCGCCGCGTCAAGGAGCGGATACTGCTTTGTGGCTAGCCATCTCCCCCGCTCCGCTGCGGAACACTAGTGGCCTGTTCTATCAAGGTTTAAATCAACCCTTCTGTCTCTATAGTCCTCGCCACCCTAAGTTGAGGCAGCCAAAGGCCATACTAGATATACGCCGTGCGGGCTGCCTCAACTTAGGGTGGCGAAGACTATAGGGATGTTTTTATGTTGCGGAAAATGTTTTATTGATAGTTACTGTCCAGCCAACCTGGAAACCAGGAAAAGTGAAAATTGTACGTGACCCACCTTCATATTCTAGAACGCTAGATTCTAGCCCAGAACCCTTTTACACTTTACATCTTGTTAGGCCTAGAGGATTGAAGCACTCAGGTGTAATCCATTAGATATGTGGGGTTTGAACCCTAAACGTCAGGGACCAATGCGTCACACTCTACCACTAGCTATCACTAGACCAGCTCCCCTCCTCCCCAACTTAAAATGAGTGATTATAAAGGGATCATAAAGTGATCATGAGTGATAATAATCAATTTTGCAGCTTTTTGTTATACAAATTCCAATAACTTCTTACACAGTGTGTTTTTACGTTAATGTATTCGTGTATGTTGGTGAAGGAGATATTGTTGACAAGACTGTATTTTTCAGATCGATCAGCTATCCCGACACACATGCCTTTCTCATTTACCAAACCTACCTTGCAAGAGGAAGACTCCTTTATTAAACAGGTGAGGCTGATGATTACAATATAAAACACAAAATACCCATACTATTTTGTATACTTTGTATACTATTTTGTATACAACAAATCCTTCTCATACAAGTATTTTCGTGAGGGAAATTCAACAAAACCATTGAAAACTGTAAAAACAATTAATTTGTAAAACACTGATCCTGCTATGATGTAGGCCTACTCGGTAGAAAATACATAACTTTAGATTGTGTAGATTGTGTATTGTTAACAGTTCCTAAGAAAGGATGTAACAAAGACATTTTTGTAGGTGGACCATTTGATGGAGAGGATCGGAAGATCAAGACAAGTAAAGCAGTCTTCGTCCAACTCAGGATAGCTGCGGAACTTCAGCCTTTCAGTTACCAGTGCGGCTACATCCATTTATTTGGTTTGTTAAAGTTTATAGACCATTGAAAAGCTTGCATTAAAATGCTTAAGCTTTAAAAACTAAGTTTTCTTATTAGCGTTCCAATTGTGTTATTCTTGTTGCATCCACGCCAGTGTTAATTTGTAAAAATGAACATAAAACATTTTAGGAAAGTGGTCCAAAACGTCAAACTTTTGTTGATATATCTGGGATTTTATCTGTCACTGTTGCACCAAAATGATTACCTTTAGGCTAGCGTTAACACACATGTAAAATTATATACTCCTCAATTCTGTTACCATTTCTACTTCTAGGTTTTTGTCTCAAAGAACGTCTTGTTTAAGTAATTCATCATAGGGATTCACCAGACAGTGTTATTGAGTTTTTATATGTGTTAAGCTAAAGAAAATTTTTACGTTTGAATCTAGTGTATACACCAGGATCTAGGGGCACTACTGTTGCTGTGATTTTATTATTAATATTACTACAGTAATAGCTTATTCCCTATACGGGAAATTTGCTAAATCTATATCAATTATTGATTGATTGATATAATTGATTTGGCCAATTCCCCATATAGGGAATAAGTTATTACTGTAGGTCCCATAGTGAGACCTAGACCCTGGACCGACTTTTTTCCCCCAATTTGAAGTTCCCAAAGCTTCGAGGCCAGAAACACCATCGGTTCAGATATATAATGTCATTTAACCCTTTAAATGCTAGAATTTTTCCCCCCAAAAAATGCAAGTGAGTTTTTTTACTTATTTTGTCCGAAAAGTGCTAGGCTTGCCACAGGGAAAAAATAAAAATCTTCATTTAAAAAGTGCTAAGGAACGATATGTGGGCCTCGATTTGATGAGGAATCGAAAGAAACCATCGCTGTTTCGAAAGACCAACCGAGTCAACTGATATGCCCATTTAAACTCACACGATCGAAAGTTGCGACGCCACGCTATATTGTCGCATAGCACTTTTCGGACGAAAGGCGAACAACGATATATCGTTCCATAGCACTTTTCGGGAAAAAGACACACAACGATATATCGTTGTATAGCACTGAAAGGGTCTGAAAATTAATATTTTAGTGACAATCCAATCATGAAAATGGAAATTACCTTAGTGTACAGGTTTGCTGTGGCGGGGTATTTTAAATGTATACATTTCACTTGTTTATATGGTCAGCTGATATCAATATTGTTGTGATGTTAGTTCAGCCCGCCAGCCAGCGAGAGCAGCGCTCCTACATTCTGGTCTTGACACTAACAGATTCGAACGCAATGTTTTTATTTGGCATAGTGAGATATTTTTGTTAGGTCCTTATTCTGTGGCGTTATTCATTGCACATAGCTGTGTATAATTATTTACATTTGTGTGTTTTATTACATTTTTAATGATTGCTTTATCATATAAACGGTCTTACTGTCATTACTGTGTATTGACTATTTTGTTTTGTTTTTGTTTTGTGTACTGTGTATTTTACACACACAAGTCTATGTACATATGCATGTTCAACATACATTTTGATTAAAGTTAATTTATATTGTAATGCACATATTTTTATATTCAAATATATCTACAGAAAATTCTTGTCTGGTCTATTTTGACAGAATGGAGACCTGGAAAATTTGTTGGACTTCAACACGAGCCGTGTTAAGTCCAGGACTGTACAATGTGTCATAAATGATGCAGGGCCATATTATGTCTAACCATTTATGCAGTAAAATGAGCTTTTTTCAACTACTACTCTAAATTTTGATGAAATATTTATATTTTTATACCAAACTGATTGAATTAATCCTTTAATTGGACTGGATACTTTGAATTCAGTTTTATGGGGACTCAAGTATTATACTGACGGTTGTACTGGTTACTTAATGGTAAAATAGCAGCGAATTCATGGATTGATGTTGAAAATAATCTTGGATTTAAAATCTACAGAAATCACCTTTAAAAAACCAAAAGTTTTAGTTGTATCGCAGGTTTGTTTGTATTAGTAGTAAAAATAATTACTAAGCCATTAAGTCATCATTACAATATTCAACAACTCTTTTAATGTTCCACTGTTCAGGTTAAAAACCTATTTATCTTTACTGATGCTTTACTGATATCACGTTTGAAAAGAAAATGTTAACATTCGTACCTTTGTTTCCTCATGAATTTAAATATATATTTTAGCTTTTGATACTCTAAATTCATACTGTACATCTTTTATCCTTGAATAATATATATTATATATACACGCAATTGACAAAATAAAGCTAAGGGCGCACTCATCGGACGGGACAGTATGAGATTTTCCAAAAATTATTATTGTTTATGGGAATATTAGCATTGATTTCGTCGCGGTCGGGACATGACCATCACCATCTGTACCTTCCCCCGCCCGAAAGAAAATTCCTTGGGTAAGATTTGGTACTTAAGTAATATACCGGCCACACGTAACGACGACACCTAATAATTTATTATTATAACCTAATCCAAACTAAGGGTGGTTATTGTGGTAGTTTTTGGTTAGGTTAGGAAGATTTTGTTATTTAAACTATTTAAAATTTTATTTGGAAGTCGATTTATCGGTGTGGTTGGTATAATACCAAAGTACCAAAGATTTTTTATGACATCCCGACTTGACATACCGATGATTCATTCACCGCTTTGGATCTCCATTGCACTCACGTGTTTCAGCTCGTACGGGACGGACGTTCCATCTTTTTAGGAACTTGAGTATTTCACTACGAGGAGAAGACTGTGGAGGTATCTATCGTTTGTACGTCTCGTACCGAACATTCCAGTGCTCACAGTCCATTAACAAAGTGTGGAATGTCTGTACCGTCCATTCTTGCCGTACCAATCCAGTTGCTCGCTATCTTATACACTTTTTGTCTGAGCTTGAATACAATAACTGTGATTTAAAAATTTACAATGTACCTGTTATGCATTTTACTGTCGTTGTAAGCGTTTTGTTTCTGACAAAATCATTCTCATTCAAATTATCTTCCTCTACTTTAATAATTGACTTAATGCAATTGAATAAACCTTAACTTATAATTTTTTTTTAATTCTATCCCTCACACAAGTACGGTAGTTAACCACAATTTTAGTTTAAAGGTATTTTAAATAAGTAAAGTAGAAGTACTTAAGAGCACTGTTTGGAACTAAATTAGTGTCTAAATACACAATAATTACAGAGTTTTCATAAAAACTAGTGATTACTCATTAGTGTATTTAAAAGAAATAGTAGAATTTTAAGGGTTCAATAAATTGTCTAATAAATGTTCTGTAAATCCATAATTTGTAAATTACACCCCAAATACTACTATAACTAATACTGTAACAAAAAATGCATTCTCATAGTAAACATTTTAAATGTTAATTTAGGCATAGTAAACTCCCTCTGTTGGAAATTATTAGTATATACTAATACTCGTTAGATTGGGAGTAAACTCAAGTTAGAACCATCAAAACTGGGTTTTGAATTTATTTTTTTTTAAACTCAGTATGTGCTAAATACTAAAAAAAATAACAATTTTGCTGCAACAAACCTGCAGACATAGGTTCATTTGAATTTCACCTCCATAATATTTTTTTCTGTAGTCCGATCATGTTGGTTCGCGATGTTTGAATAGATTTAGGTTTACACGTTTGTACTAAATTTCATCAAAATATGTTGATTTTTACTTTATTGTGCTAATAAACATTCCAAAAAAGAAGGAGTTTACATGTTTCTTCACAAATTAATTTTCTTGCATGTGTAATATATTTATGGATAGTCAGGATAGGTATTAATCTAGATACTAAATAATAACTTTATCATGCTAGTAAATAAATCACTTTCAAAATGTGAACTCTACTTAGGATAAAAGATGAAGAATCTCTTACAGACATGATTGAAAAATAAAAGTTCTTGTATATTCCAAGATAATAATAAAATACTTAACAGAAATAATTATTGTACCCTGTAAACTAGAGTCGACTTCATAAAAATGGTCAAAGTAAATGCAATGTTCTCAAATTGCTAGAAATCAGCTGTATCAATCGGACCATTCGTGCTGTTTAAACGGTCTAATTTTGTTTACCCATGCACAGATCTAAGTATAAGCATTTTTTAAATATTAAACTAGCTATTTAAAATACCTCTTTTAATACATAAAAAACTAATAATGTTTTAATAGTGTTATTGGTATGATACTATAATAACTGGAAAATAGCCTATAAGTACCATATTAAGATGTAAATTTCGTGTTGAATTAAATCCTAGTGGTGGATAAATTTAGAGATGATGTTAAAAGTTTTGTGTGTGAAGCTTGTTCTTTGTGGTAGTTGCAGTTATTTTTACATAGTGTTGTGTTTATCATAGTGAAAAGTTACAACAGTTATTATAATAGTTTAATATCCTTCAGAAAAGAATTTACAATTAATAGATGTTTATCGATGTGTAAGAACTTTCACAAAAAAGTAAGAAAATCGTGTTCAGGTTGCCCAAAAGGGGAAAATATCAACCAAATGTTTTTAAACGAAAATACCGTAAAAGATTTATTGTAATTGAAGTAAAGAGACTCATTTCTTATTGTTGTGCAGTAGTGGACTCACAATAATGATTTGTTCACAAATCTTTTGTAATTTTAATATAAAAGTTTAATCAAAGACTAAACATTCCCTTGAAAAATTGCATTATGTACGGGGATGCATGGATCTTTTTCTTTTGGTTTCTTGGGTACAAATTTACTAAAAACTAGAACAATCTATTTCTTAACTGCTGCGTGTTCTGTTATATTATAATCAAACAGAATTTAACATGCTGCAAAGTTAATTTTAATCAGAGAAAAATCATAGCACTCAAGGGTAAAAAAAGGCTTTAGATTTTTCAATAGGGTCAGATGTTTACTATCAGTACCAAAATCAAGTCAGTTTAAGTATTTGTCTTACAAAATCAAATGTAATTTTGCATTTTTAATCTACTATTTAAAACTTTTGCATTATTGAGGAAAAATATCTTCTTTTTTCTTTAAATATTCTTCACACAATTTAAAGAATAAAATTAAATCATCGTTCGAAAGCGTACGAAACTACCTGTCAAATGATTGTTCCAGTTTGAAAATAATACGCTTATGTATGTCTAGTCACTCTGTACTGTCTTCATGTTAAATGTGCACAATGTTCTTGATGTAGGTTAAACAATCGTGAAATTAGATTTTATTGCCTTTTTATCCGTTAGTTATTGTATTTTTAAGGAAAATTGTTTTGTTTAATTATGCAGTATATCTGTAATAGCAGGTGTGTGCCAAAGTTAAGGTGATGTGGAACGTAGATTTATGAAGGGTTTTGCGTTTTTAGATACTATTTCCTTTTAGGTTTAGTATTATACGGTTTTCAGGTAATAACAAGAAATATTTGTCTGTTGTAAATAAATATCCATATGAGAATTCTATATTGCACCAAAAACAGAATAGATAGATATTACACACTTTTTGTTGTACTTAAACTTTGTTTTTAACCCATTGACGACGACTCACATTTGTAGACTGTTACTACATTTCGTGACGAAGTAGTCGTACTGCTAACCCACTGGCGTAGTAGTTTGTCAAACCTAACTGCTAGCGCTAGTGTCATTTGTTTATTGTGGCAATCAACAGCTGTTCGGCCAACGTTGGCGTTACTGAGTTTAATAAGGATTGCATAAAACACCTGTTTTGCTTCTTTTTGCATCAGTATAGAAGAGGAGGACTCTGATTTATCTTTTTTGGATTTTATATAAGTTAAACATATATACCTATACTTTTATCATAAAAGACATAAAAGGAATTATTATAAGATGTAAAAGGACATAACCAATAACAAATAACTAATAGAGAGATAAAAACATATTCTGGCGTCAATGGGTTAATTGTTTGGTTGGTTTGAAATTTTGTTAGATTTTTGGGTTAAGGTTTTTGCAAATTTGATAGTTTTTAAATATTTTTTTATGGTTTGGTATAAAGTTGCATTATTTATGTTTCCACCTAAAACTTTTTTGTAGTACTATATATTTACTATTACTACCAACTGTGCTACTTATGTTTATTGCTATTTATGTACTTATTACAAAACTGGCTGTGGTTGATCTCAATTAAAGTTTACAATATATATTTTCATGGCGATAAATCTAATGTGTTATTTAAAATCTCAAAGGCCTATTGTATACTCTGTCATTCTAAAGATTGTTTCATATTTTGGTGCTTAACGTCTAAGTTTCAGAATATATTATTACCATTATTTTCTGCAGTGTTTGAATATTTCCTTAATTCTGACCTGTAGAAAACTATGCAATGCTTGTGATATTCATAATGTCAAATATTTATACCACATCACTCATATATAACAGTTGATTCTGAAATAAAAAAGGCGTTAGTAACTAGGTCTTGAACTGTCATCAATACTTAGTTTCTAATGCGGGGTATAAACAATTTCACATACACAATACAAATTAGGAGTTAATGTTTTTACTCCACACTACACTGTTTTAACAAACTTCCTGCACAAGGATTTAGTCCAGAAAACAGCTGTTTGCTGCCAGCTTAACCAAATAAATGGGGGTTCATTATGTACTAATGTACTGTAATGAGTTTCTACCGGACATCAATCAGCTGATTTTATATTTGACAATGAGTAATTAAAAACAAAAACAAAACCTGCCTTAGAGGTTATGAGTAGTGATTGTTATTCCATTAGCTTGAAGGAATATATAAGGATCTGTACAGATTTTTTATCGTTAAGTTAGCTTAGAGTAGTATGGCGTAAAATATCGTACGTCACTCGTCCAAAATGTGTTTACCTATTTTCAGGACTAGTAACGTAATACAACAACTTACAAGAATATTTGAACTACTTAGAATTTAAAATTTTTAGAAAAATATTAAGATTAGAGTTTGGCACAAATTTCATTGCTTGCAAGAACATAGTATTTTCATATGTACTTAGGCCCCATAGTCTTCCAAGTGTCGATTTGATGTTTAGTTGAAGTATCAAGTGTGTTTTTATTTAAAAAAATTCAAGTAATTTTTCATTGTGGTTAATGTAGTGTCTAAGTTTAAACATTTTATTGTAAAGATAAAACCTTTTCAACTGACCAAATGTGTTCTCCGATTAATAGCTTGGGTATCGGCTGCTCATCAGTTGGTAATTTAAGGATATTATTTTTTTAAGTGGTCTTAAGAGGAAGTACATTTTAACCCGAGTTATATTGATATTTATCAGAAACACTGTTCTTATTGTTTTCAAGTAGAATTCTTCTACGAAAAAAGTTTATATCACATAAGTGAAAATAAAATCATAAAAAATTATATATCTTAACAATAGTGACGATGGTTCAAAACTTTTAAAAAACTAAATTTAGTGTCATTGACAGAAAAAAAAATAAAACATATGTTGTCATCAATTTTTGTAATCACACATGCAGTGAAATTGAAATAAATGTCAGCCTACAGCACAGAGAAGTAAGATACAGTGGATACATTCAATGGTACACTAAAGTTGTGTCTAGCACCAGTCTTTAGTGTCTAGTGCAAATTCTATTAGTCTCACCTTCCGTTCTCCTCTTCCCCCTCATTGTCACGTACTACAGCGCTTCCGCTGTAGGAAGAGCCTGTGCGCTACAACTGATGTTGTAAACCATAGCCGTTTGGGCTCTTCCTTGCTCAGTTCTAGTCTATTTCTGCCCCACCATTCCAGAGATTAAAGCGCACGCTTGTTCCATAAGCATGTTTCCTCTGTATCTTACTTCTCTGTGCCTACAGGCAACTTCAAAAAAATTAGGCCTATGTAAAAAAATATTGTGGCGTCTCTAGAAAGTTTAATTTCTATTTTAATTTTATTGTATTGCAGGTGTAGTTATTAGACCATATAGTTGACATCGATAAAACTTTTATGTCCCGTCTGTCTAATATGAGCGCCACCCTCTCTTGCTCCAGAAAGATACGTACCACACTCTCGACACTGGATAGAAAACTTTTGTTCATCTGAACATTCCGAAAATTGAAAATTCCGAGCTTCTCTCGCCAGAATTTCTGCCTGTCTTAGAATATTTTCATCTGAAATATTAAACAACGTTTTCGGTTTCCTAGAACTACCTTGAGAATCTGCAAGGTACAACGGATCATAATGTATTCCGCTAAAGTAAAGAAAAATCCTGTAGTTGTACGATTGGTCCTCCCCAAACCGGTTGAGTATACCATTGACAGTGTCGAGTACAACAATTTCTATCGTGTAAAACTTGGAGAGAATAGCCAACTCTATGCCCCCGCCCCACGATGTCGGTTTGAGGATCCATTGACAATATTCAGCGTTTGGTCGACCCAGAATCCCCTCATTGAAAGTTTCAGGGTCGTTTTCTACAACTTCAGCGATGATTTGACGCATGGGGTCGGAACAGTTCAAGTCTAACTCTCCCATAAGTGCAAATCTTATGCTGGTGAACAAACACGAGTTGTCTGGAGGAACTATTTTTCTCTTGAGAACAGGTTTCTTTTGATCTTGGTACAAATTATTTTCATCATAATTTTCTTTCAATGAAGACCTAAGATCTTTTTTCAGTACTATTAGCCTGTCTCCTGAACAAATATTGTTGGATTGTAAAGTTGTTTGATCATCGTCTAGCTCTAAACGCACAAGAGGGTTCCCTGAGAGAATATATAGATTGTTTACTGGAATCTCAGCTAGTTTAGAAAGTTCACTTTTCAACAATCCCACTGAAGAATGTGGCTGTAATGTTTCTATAACATGATTTCTGTTTTTTGACACAACAACATGCAATATAAACCCTGTCATACCGAGTAAATTTTAATTTTATTTTTAAACACTAAAAATTGGTTGAATGTTTGTTTACCTGACTAATTTAGCAGATAAACATTATAAATGTTTATTTACTTTTGACTAAAAGTAAATAAACGTTCATAATATTTTATCTGCTAAGTTTTTCTTGTGAACAGTAGAAAGAGTATCAGCTGCAAAATAATAATTCGAAATGTTTCCTCAAATTGGTTAGGTCATAGACTAACTAACACAAGTAGACTTCTCATCCCATTGTAAATTTTGAAGCACGTTTTTCGTGTCTAGTTCATGTACGTGACACAAAGGCGCTAGTGTCGACAAAACTTTGTTTCCATTATTTTAGGGTTAATTTCTTGATTTGTGCATTACTGTTTGGTTATATAACTAGGGGACAAGTTATTGTTTATGATTAGATCGTATTATTTGGTTAAACGAGGTTTTAAATGGCTGTAATAACAGGAAACAAATTGCAAACAAAACACGACCTCTACGTAAACCGTACAGAACTAACAATAAAATTGTCTTCAGCTGTTCCATAAGGATGAGAAATCTACTAAGGAAGTATGTTTTATCTATGGTTAGGTTTTGTCCATGGTGGAAGGAAAATACATAGGTGTGCTACTCCCGTCATATTCTGACGTCACTCGGATTGCAAACAAAAGATCATCTGATTGTAACTGTCAAATTAGTATATGTATTTATTTTGATTTGGTTGTTATTGTTTTTCTAATGTGTGTTTCTATAAAAAAAAAACAATAACAATCAAATCAAAACAAATGCATACTAATTTGACAGTTACAATCAGATGATCTTTTGTTTGCAATCCGAGTGACGTCAGAATATGACGGGATTAGCACACCTATGTATTTTCCTTCCACCATGGGTTTTGTCATAGATAAAACAGTTTTGTCTTACATTAAACCTTTAAACCTACTCATGAATATCTGTATTTCAGGGATAAACAGAAATACATTCCAAGGATAAACTCCCTGGATATGGATTGTTAATGTTTTTCTGCTAAACCCATACAGTGTTTTTTTAATATCCATGTTTTAGTTTTATGAAAAGCGTTAACAAATCAAATATTATCAATGTTAAACATTCTAGTTTGAAAGAGGATTTCATTTATTAAACATTTGTCCATTTTAGAACCAAGATGCATCTGCTCTAAGATATATTTACATTTTGTTATATGCAGTCAACTTATTTTCATTAGGTACTTTGATACTTTCTTGTATCAGCTGTGTTTCAAATCTAATTTGGTTTCTTAAGAAATAAATATTTTTGTAAACAAACCTGTGTTTTTGTTTTTGAAGACATGATGTTGATAGTGAGTTTACCATTTGAGACTTTTAACTAGTTTATGCCTTAATTTTACGTTGTTAACTATACTTTGGAAATAATTGAGAAAAAAAAAGAATCAGTGTTTTTTTAATATCAAGATTAATGTTTCTTAGTGGTGTGTGATAGTTGTAAGAAGATAAAACCTTGAAATTAAACCTAAACTGTTTGCATACAATTGATCAGTGAGTAACCATTAGGATATTGGAAGCCAGTTTTTATGGAAGCTGACTGGGTTTGTGGTTTGTGTTGGAAAATCATACATAAGGTCATGTGCTTATCTCTAACATATGAGTGGATTTCCAAAATGTGTTTTGATAATTTGTAGGTTTAGACACAAAAATTGAACAAATACTTTCAATTGTTCAGTTTATAGATTGAAAACCTAACCAATTACCATATTTTACAGATAGAAACATGATAACCTAATTTAAAAATTTGGGTGGCCATGGAAAATAAAAAAGATAAATCTCAGAACAACCGAAGTCCTCGGAGAACTCAAGATGAAAATGAAGCAAGTGGATCACTAAATAATCAAAAACCAACTAATTCTCAAAGGCCTCCAAGATCACAAGATGATGAAAAGCCAAGTAGATCCCCAAGACCTATAAGATCGCAAGAGGATGAAAAACCAAGTAGATCTCCAAGACCTATAAGATCGCAAGAGGATGAAAAATCAAGTAGACCCCCAAGACCTTTAAGATCACAAGAAGATGAAAATCCAAGTAGATCCCAAAGACCTTTAAGTTTGCAAGAGGATGAAAAACCAAGTAGACCCCCAAGGCCTTTAAGATCACAAGAAGATGAAAATCCAAGTAGATCCCAAAGACCTTTAAGATCGCAAGAGGATGAAAAACCAAGTAGACCCCCAAGGCCTTTAAGATCACAAGATGAAAATCCAAGTAGATCCCAAAGACCTTTAAGATCGCAAGAGGACGAAAAACCAAGTAGATCTCCAAGGCCTTTAAGATCGCAAGATGATGTAAAACCAAGTGGATCTCAAAGACCTTTAAGATCACTAGAGGATAACAAACCAAGTAGATCCTCAAGGCCTTTAAGATCAAAAGATGATGAAAAACCAAGTAGTTCTCAAAGGCCTTTAAGATTACAGGAGGATCAAAATCAAAATAGATCCCCAAGGCCTTTAAGATCACAAGAAAATCAAAAACCAGATAGGCCCGAAAGACCTCAAAGGCTGCAAGATTACCAAAAATCAAGTAACTCAACAAATATTGGAATTCAAGATACTAGGAGGCCAAAGAAATTTTCAAAAGTGTCATTTCCTGATGAACCAAAGTTAAAACAAACTCACCAGCTTACTCCGATCCAGAAGGTACTAAGAATACAGCTTGTAGTTACCTACATTTTCAAATCAATTTTGATAAATTTGTTAGAAACATCTATAAATTGCAAACACATTTGGTGACTCCAGATTATTATTGAAATTTAATTCTGCTTATTTACCAAATACTTAAAAAAATACACCTTCATTCACATGAATAGGACACTACCATGATTGCATTTTAAGAGAAAATGACCAGTAACTAGTTTCAATTGCTGGTTTGTGTTCAAAGTACAGTAGACCCCCTCTTAACCGACCTCGTATTAACCGATAATCGGATTATCCGCCTTCGATCTTAAAATAATACAGTTTGTTTTAACCGACCTTCCTTTGAGAGCAGCTCGGTTTAACCGCCGCTTTCTAGGAATCTCGGCATTTCCGCTCCCACGCTGGGCGATGAGAACTGAACTATACGCTTATCTTCACAGTATATGACTAACAATAAGTTATTTTGTGTTGATCACAAAAAATATAGCATAGCCTATTGTCAGTTTGTCATCATTTTTCGTAGCTCAAGCACATCTGATCTGATTTGTTATCTGTGCAGCAAATTTATAACATCATAAAGTGCGTTACGATTTTGAGAACTGATTATCTTATCGCTGGAGTAAACAAACAACGCAACTTGTAGGGAAGGCAGGGAAGGGGGGTTAACAACTGCAAGGTCAAGATAGTTTTTGTGCCTCGAGCCTCCAGTGAGAGTCTTGTAACAAAATGGTCGCTTGTATCTTTAATGTCGACAAAAGGTTCTGTACTGTATTACGATGTATTTGGAAAGCATCAATTAATACATTACAGTACTAAAGTTATTAAAATAGGAATTTTATTGACTCTTGCCTAGTACTATAATATATTCCACTGAAAGTAGGCCTATTTGACTTAACCGTGTTTTGTATTTATTTGTGACTTTTCTATCAATATGAAAAAGGAAATAAGAGTAGTTTATTTAATAAATAATGAAAGTATGACTTCAAAATAATGATTGTATAATTCCAAATGAATAGCACTTCATTATGTTCTGATTTTAGGGATTGCCCGTTTTATCCGACCTTTTGAGTTATCCGTCCTAGGTCCAGTCCCATTAGGGTCGGTTAAGAGGGGGTCTACTGTATTAAACCCATCAATTTGTTTGGACAAAAACATAGTTGACAGAATTTAATCTAAACATGTTCTTCTTTAAATGAATTCAATTATCATTAAAACTGGGTGCAACAAATGATTTTTTCAAACCCTTTCAGATTTTTTCAACTCATCTGTTTCAGTCTTCTCAAAATCTCCAAACATCTCAGGAACCCGAACAAGAAGGATTCTTCGTCAGGCTTTTGCCAGATATTGCAAGGAAGGAATGGTAAGTTAATATAAAGGTGGCATTATTTTGTTCTAAAGAGAATGTCCGTTGTCTATTTAACTTTGCCCTCATTTGATGAATATGTTTTGGATCTAGATGAAATCAGAATCACAAACTCCCCTTTAGTCTAATTAGATAATAATAAACCAATGTTATTAATTTTGTTGAATATTCATGAATGCATGATTAGCGAAAGTATGTCATAAATATAGTTCCCTTCAGTAATATCAAGTCTTGTGTTTCATAAACTAATTCGTCATGTTTTCCAGGGCTGCAATAACTGCAAGATTTTTAAGTGGTGATAATACTGACAAGACCATACCAAAGGAGATCTTTCTTAAACGAGAAATGGGTTTATTTGGCGCAGTCAACTTCTTGATTACTATTTCTGTTGGTAATGTAATCGCTTTATTTTATATTTAGAACTTCTTCTCTAAGGGAACGAGAACAAGAACAATAATCATAACTTGGTAAAAGTTCCTAAAGAGTATGAAATTTTAGAGCAAAAAAAAAATTACAGAGAATCTTTCTACTAAAAAATTTTCTTTTGTTTTCAACCTACATAGGAATTCTTAACGACCCACATAGCTTTCCTTTCAAATTGTTTTCTAAATATATAAGTATCAACAATATACTTGAAATTTTTGACATTTTCCTCTCTCTTCATGATATCCTTGTTACGAGTTTCTTTAAGAGATATTTAAGGACAATAATGGTGCTATAAGTAAAAATCATCATACCTACTTACCGCCAAGGCCCTTTGTACCCCAGTTGGTACTTGGGCTCAGCAACACATCGCTTTTATCTGTCTCTGTGCTCAGCATCTTCTTGAATTCACAAACCCATGTCTTGCTGGACCTGATCCCACCATCTAGTTCTTGGCCTTCCCTTGGGTCTTCTTCCGTCCACCGTCCTAGTGTCCTGTTTCTTATCTTCTACGATGTCCGCTTCTTTACACAACTCTCTTAATACCTGGCTATGCCTTATCCTACCTTGTCTTATTCATCACTTTCTTTAGTTGGCCACACATTTTTTTAACAGGCCTATCTCATTTTCAAATACTTTTATTTTCCTTTCTCCTTGAGTACTCATGTTTCTAACCAATATAAAAGCACAGATCGAATTATGGTTTTATATAAACAAAAAAAGATAGTAAAATTCATTACAAACTAATTAATTATTAGTTAATTTATTTACCTAACCCACCATGTTAAACTTCCCTATCCCAAGCGTGATGTATACAACTTCCTTACTTCTCGAGTGATGTAAAAGTATCAAAAACTCACTCAGTGATGTAAAGAAACCCATTTAAATAACATTGAGTGCTTAACTTAAAAAATATAACTCTATGGAGCCAACGACGTTCAACGCTAGAAATCAGCTGTGCGCTTGAATGTTATTGTTATGCTTTAAAGTATTTTCCTATCTAACCTAGCTTTTGTTAGTAAAAGAACGTTACTGATAGAAGATGAGTGAAATGGCTAATGAAAAATATTGTACGTAAACCCATGTATATTGTCGGGTCAGGTAAAATCTTGTACGTTACACGTTACGCAAGAGCGTGTTTACATCACTTAGGTGAATTATGCAACTCGCTTCTGCTTCTTGCACAACATTCACCTGCGTGATGTAAAAACGCTCTTACTACCCTTGTAATGTAAATAGCTATATTACCATTACATAGTGTAGTGTTGACAACTGAAGTATTTCAGGTACGGGGATTTTCACCAACCCTCCTGTGCTACTAGAGAGGACTGGCTCAACCACGGAGGCTTTGCTAGTCTGGTTGTTCTGTGGCTTCTTCTCTTTATTGAGTAAGTTTATTTACAACAATCTAGCAAATCTGAACAGATTTGAACAAATATTAGAAATAATTTGACACCTAATGGCTCATGACCAAAACATTCAAAAGAAATGAGTATTTGGTATGTATGATGAAGTGGGGACAAATTTGTATACTCTTCATGAGAAAGTATGTGTATCAGTTTGTTAATATTGTTTATTTTTGCAGTATTTCCCATTCCGTTACATTTTCAATGAGAGCCAAGTGTGTCCATCATGCTGTTAGTTTATTGTAGTACTTGGGGAGCAAGCTGGTGCAGTCGTTAGAGCATGGGACTTCAGTCTCTGAGTTCCCGGGTTCAAATCCCACCAAATCACCAATGGATTTTATCTAAGTGATATTGCCGCAACGCCTAGGTCTAGCCTGAAGTAATGTGAAAAACAATCCCGGGCTTGTGCCTAGCGACTTCGGAAAAACAAATTTTAGTAGGCTATTGTATTGATCGGCAGTAAGTCATCTGTAAGTAGCATTTTCTTCTATTTAACTTTTAAACTATCCTAATTTGTTATTATCCCGATAGGGTCCACTACCCATTTGATCTGGATAATTGTACTTATATTGTACATAATTGAACTAACCTACAACTCTGGTTCCAGTCGCTATCACCTACGGAGAATTGGTATTCCTCGTGTCCCAGTCGGGAGAAAAGTTCTCGTATCTTCTGGCTGCGTTCTCCCCCATCAACAAAGTGTTCGGCCCACTGCCTGCGTTCCTCAGCATGTGGATGGAAACTTTGTTTACGGGACCTGCGCAAGTCTCGCTCATGGCCCTACTCTTCGCGGAACACCTGTACTCCCCGATATCCTCGTCTTTGAATACCTACACCAACATCGACGTCACCGAGCCGTACCACTTGAAACAAATTATTGGCGTGACAGTTCTTGGTGGGTTGTTGCTGAGATTATTTTGAAGTTGTGATTGTTAGATAAAATTTGTTGCTTGAATTCGATAATTGCTTACTTTACCTGCACAGTACCTTGAAACGAGGAAGGATGGAGTATGGTTCTTTACTTGCACCAATACGAAAAGAGGTTAGGATACTCATTTCATTGCAATATGGATAGTGATTGTAATAAATAAGTGGACTTAAAACAGTTATAAAATAAGTACAATAATTAATGGTTTTTTTTATAATATAGTAGGTTTACAGTTTAGGTTAAATTTTAGATAGAATCTTTTTCTGAATCCATATTTATCATTGGACTAATTAATGATGGTAATCTAAGAAAAAATCACCATTTAATCGACTCGGACGGGTAGGTCTCTTTCAAAAACGTGAAAAATGTCAACAAGGTAAAAGATTTTACTAAAATAGCGTTGTTAGTATTAAACCCAAATGTTCTATCAATAAAATAATAAAGTAGAGTTTAAATAAATTTATTTCAGCACACCTATATTTTTTTAAAAGAATTAGTTTGACTTTAGATGCTAAAAATACTATCATTAAATATCTATCTGGAGGTAATTTGTCTTTAAAAACAGCAGAATGATTTATTGAATGTGTAATTGAAATGTTATGTAATTTATGTTTCAGTTCTAATAACATGCGTTAACTTCCAAAGCATCAGGACTTGTGTGATGGTCCAAAACTTGTTTGGAGTTGTCAAAATGCTGATTTGTTTAGCTGTTATTGTTGGAGGACTACATGGTCTGAGTTCAGGTAAGAAAAGTATTCTAAAACCAATTTATAACCTTCCATCAGGCGCTAGCAATGATTAACACACGTTTTATGAAAATGCAAAGTTATACATCATACCTTCATTAGTCCTGAAGCAGAAAATAGGTATTCAGTCTGAAAAGTTTTAAAATAGTTCTATGCTATGTTTTTAGTTGATTTCCAGGTATTTTTCCAAAACTTTTTCACCTGCGGTTATAGCTTTTCTTTGTTTCGTTACAGGCAATGTTCATAGCTTCGACTATCTTTTCAACGACTGGAAAGGCAACTCCACGGGTCTGTTGAAGGCTGTATACAGAGGAATGTGGACTTATGAGGGATGGTACGTATTGCCAAACACGGTTTTATCTGAGAAATGTGTTTTTTTACTTTATCTACATACACAACAAAAATACAACACAATGATAGAATAACAAGTACTTTTGGCTGTAAAGTTTATATTTACTACTGATTATTTTTTCAAAGTGTGTGTTGTGAACAAATTAGTTTACATAAAACATGACGGATAAAGACAACAAAAGTCGGAGAATTGTTTTCTAACAAACAATATTTTTTTCAGGAGTACAGTAGTGATTATTTCAGAAGAGGTCATAGATCCTTTAAGGTAATTTTTTTTAAGGGCTAAATAGTTTAATACAATTATTATTGTCACAGGAATATAGTAAAGAACACTGAATTTTAGTGGATAATAAGATAATTTTTAATTTTCTTATTTGAAATATTGTACAAGTTTTTTAATTGAGAAAAGTTGTTACTTCATAGAATAATATTTAAAAAAAATTAAGAGTGAGGAGTTTTAAGCTAGTTATTAACCAAATTAGTTTCAACGTTTATGTTAAGGGGTTAGTCATACAGAATCTTTGTGTTATTTGTTTAATGATTTTTATTTATTTTTTTAATGACATTGGCACTACTCTTGTATTTGTGTAGCCTACAAAATATAAACGGGGGTTTTATTTGATTTTATCGTTTTACTTTTAGTAAAAAAAAATTAAACATAAAACTTTACAAAAAATCCCTAAAATAATCTATATAGCCTCCGCAGGTTTGAATATTTCCTCAACAGTAGACTTTATTCTCAGTAAGCATGCTAGCTATAAATTAAAATTACCACAGCAAATCTAATAATATTCAATTCATCCTGTTATAACAAACGTTTATCTAATTGCAGGACTATTCCAGCAGCCATAATTATTGGTGTGCCGATAGTAACTTTTTTATACCTGGCGATGAACGTGTCTTTTCTCTGCCTGCTGACAGCAAGTGAAATAAAAGCTGCGCCTACTAGATTCTATTTTGTAAGTATACAGAAGAAAGTATGATGGACGATAGAATATTATCTGAAAACTTAGAAAAACAAATCCATGCTGTAGACCCCTTCCATAAACAAACCACCATGAAAGAAAATACAATTTAATTCCATTAAATTTATAGAATTCATTATTTGTGTTTAAAAGAGACTAGCAATATAATTTTAGGTTGTGAAAAAAAAAAACTTTTGTTAGTTAAACCACTAGGCGCTATTTGAGCTAGTAAAATCTGTCTAGTTAACCAAGGACACAGCTGAATTAAGGAAATAGTGTATAACGTAAAACTAAAGATAACTGAGGAGTGTTTGTTGTTAGATTAACATTGTTACAGCTAAAACAGAAATGAACTGAAGAAGTGCTCAAGTTGACTTTTCATTGCAATCCGCTAAACATACGTTTTATTTTGGAAATTCTGCAAAGCGCTGCGATGGAATAAGGAGTGTAAAACCATCGGCTGAATTTGACCAGTTCTATCTTTACTTGTAAACAAAGAAACGTCAATTTACTTCTAATAATCTTTTAATATACCTCAAACAATTGAAAGTGTATGAAATATGTATTAGATGTAGTAAGATTTTTCCACCAGTTATCCGTCAAATATAGGAAGAATATTGTTAATATCGTTTTTTGAAAGCTTAACAAAGTTGACATATACTTCTCAGCGTTTTCCAACATTTTTCTTCTGGATTTAAAAGCGTCACTCCCCCATCCCCCTATCTTAAGACTATCCCTTTAAAAGTAAAATGTGTACTACAAGTAAACCAGGGTAAAAACACAACTCACAACAACTTAAAATATTTTTTATCGTTTGATTAAGCTGTAATGCGATGTTGGGTTGAATCCATAAATCTAACTTCAAAGTTTAATTGGCTTAATTCTTTTCCTATTTGCAGATTTTTGGGGAAAGACTATTTGGCCCTGGGAGTATGGTTATGCCAACATTCTTTGCAATCTCAGCTTTAAGCAGTTCTATGGGAATTCAATTGGGAATGTCAAGGTAATGTTTGTATTTATGTTTGTTTGTTCTAAGAAATAATGTTAATTGTAGATTCAGTCATTGATAATTAATGTCCAATCAAAATAAATGTTAATACATTTTGAATTATTTTGTTTAAAGAAGCAATATTATATTCCATCTTATATTTGGAGAACTTTTTATTGGGGTAATAAGTGGATTTAGCAGCCCTCAAATCCTACGGTTTCTGAGTTATTGTGTTATTGTGTATGCGTGTGTTTGTGTTATTTTTAGGAAATTTCCCTATAGGAAAGTAGATACCGTAGGTGGTACGGTAAGACCTAGGCCCGGAATCGATTTACTTTTTCATTTTGATGTCCCCAGAGGCCAAAAACACCATTCGTTAAAATTTTTATACAGTATATGGATTTATTTATATTTATAGTATTTAATTATATACATTTATATATATGTGTGTCCGTGAGTGCGATAACTCGAGTAATTTTTGTCCGATTTTGATGAAATTTGATTTGCAAGTGTAAGGCGGGATAAACTTGAATGAGTTAGCGAACCAGCATGGTCGGACCATGGGAGCGGGGTTTTATGGGGTAAAAATTAGTTTTTCTCATTTTTGACCCTCAAAACATAAAATTTCCCAATTTCTCTCTAGACCTTCTAAAAGAGCTCATAAAAAACAACAAATAATTCAGTATATCAAAGTGTTTTTGTACAGTTATTGGTTATGGAGAAAACTCAAAAAATTTGTAATTTAAAATTCCCATGTTATTCTTATGAAGAATATTGTAAAATGTTGTAGTTTGCTTTTTTATGGATATGATATATTTTTATCAAATTTGTCAAATTTATTGATTTTATACTAAGCTATAATTATTTTACTTAAAAACACACTTTATTAGTTTCCTTGTAGCAGCAAACCTAGTTACTCGTTATACCTACTTTTATTTAAATAGATTAATTGAAAATTAATTCAGGCAAATTGAAATTCGCTTAGATAGCAGATTTGCTGCAAAAGGGGTATTTTAGTTTTGGCTGGATTTTTTACTGATTTTCTTGTATTTTACGCACCATCTCACCTGAGGATGGAATCAGATTCGTGATCTCCAAACATCATGAATACATTTATATTTTTTTTTGTTACCAATTAATTGTGATGGATAAATTATAAACTTCTTACACAAAATTATACCATAATTACTGATCACAATGAATCATAAGCAGGTCAAAACACTAGTTTTCAAAACTGTAACAGAATGAAAAAATGTTGATGCAATATAATTTTTAACACTTTAATGACCACTGTGATTTAAGATTAATTTATTTTTCAGGTCGTGTTTTGCGGGCGGAAGAGAAGGCCATACATTGGAGGTTTTGTCTTACATCCATGTTCGTAGATTCGTGCCGATCCCGGCAGTCTTAGCTCAGGTTTGATTAAGGTTTGATTAATAAAATAAATCTACAATATTTCTACCGCTGTTCCAACCAACAATTGGTGTATTATTCAAGAAATTTCACTAGAGAAACATCCTTTAACGTAGAATATATTGTTTAACGGCAGATATGGCTTATTTGCAGCTGTTTTCATTGTTTTTATTGCATAGGTGAAAACAATCATTAGTTCTATGGTTTGATTAAACAAAGATGTTTTAGTCTAATGCATGTATTCCTTTTTCCTATAGGTGATGTCATTGCATCGACCACAATATATAGATGTTTTAGAGTAAGATTCTATGTTTAACGTTGACTTAATATAGTTGATTGTCAACAGCTTTTTGAATTTTGAATTTTGAAAAGAGACCCAACTGTCCCTCATCATTGATTGGGTTCAAAATAAATAAAGCCTGGCCAATGAAACAGCTGATCTCAGTCAACAACAAAGCTACATAATCATCTCACACCAAAAGTCTTCCTTCAATAATATTTGTGTTAAAATACAACCCTAGGTGGGATCGCTACTCATTGATGTGAATAAAAAATAAATAACCATACATAAAAAATCTGAAAAGTACAAATTTTTGAAAATAGAGAAGTTTTTTTTATAAGAAGATTGTTATTGAACTGTAAAACAATTTATAAAAGTATAAATGTTGTGATTTATTGATGATTTTATTTTCAGGCCTTGATATCACTTGTATTCATCGTATATATCCCAGCAATAGACATGATAGAGTACGCAAGTTTCATTATATGGTCATTCTATGGATTGTCGTTTGTTGCTCTTATCATTCTACGAGCTACTGAGCCTAACACATACAGACTTTATAAGGTAAGAACATCTCTTGGTTGTGTTACCGACAGTTTTACTCTCCTAACCAAAAACTGACGGTTAAAAAAAATCCTTTTTAAAACTTGTTTTTGAATAAAGTGGAACCCTGCTAATATCTACAAAACTCTTTTTTTCAGACTCCGTTGTTCATCCCAATCATACTCACAGTCCTGAGTATCCTCGTAACTCTTGACCCGTTGCTAAGAGCCGACGGAGGAGCTGGATTAATCTTCGCTTTCATATACATGTGTGTCGGAGTTATTGTTTACTTCCAATTCGTCTACAGACATAAAAGGATACGTTTCATGGGTAAGACTGTGATAAAGACGTTTTTTAGTTATTTTTCATCGACTCTAGCTATGAGTTGTAGTTGAATTCTTGAGATGGTAAAACATTTTAAAACATAATTATGTCACAGCAAAACTACATCTATAAAATCAATAACAGTAACATTAATCAGTTTGAAAAGGATTAATGTTGCTAAATGTCCATGTAAACTCCAAAATTCCATCAAGGCCTCCAAAACCATGGTTGTTCACCTACAATATCAGGATAGCTTGGCGCAAGTGTATTTTAGTGTTCCCAAAAATGTAGCAAAAACCAACTCTTAATTCACAACTTTACAACTTAGGCCTACTTATTACAACTGTTCATATTCAGCTTAAAATGTTTACCTACACATTTATTTATGTCTTAACACTACAATAACTGAAAAAATTCACTATTGATGCTCATCTCTGATTGAAATCCTGATGTAACACGTTTTGTTTTCAGATCTATTCAACGATTTCATCCGTTCACATTTGAACGTAGCTCCGCCGACCGCACTACCAGAGGGATACTCTCACTCAGGCTCGTCTCAAAACAAGTTTTCCATCGCGGACAAACTCGTTGACAGGGAAAGATATAGCAACTCTTAATAACTTGAGGATTCCATTCGATAAGTTCTCATTGCCATCTTCTATAGACTTTGTCTTTTTGTGTGTAGTTTACTATAGGTACGTGTGTGTGTAACATTGGAGTGGGGTGAGGAATAAATGAATGTCCACTGACTTTTTTGATTAATCTGTGTGTGATATGATATTTCGGATAAGAGTTCATGAGTTGTCAGAGTCAGAAGGCTGCTAGTTCAATCCTGAGATAAGTCTAATACTAATACACGTCTTTGAGACAAAAGTGGCAATGCTGCACTCCCGGCCTACTGAAACAGCTGTTGAATTAATTCTTAATGGGATGTATGCGGCTATGGCCAATGTTTATGTTTAAATTTTTGTTATTAGTTATTACTATTATTACCATGGCAATATGCCTCTCACGCACAATTTTTATTTCAGTTGCGGTTTTTTTGATACGCACAAAATGAGAGCATTCTATTGGCTGTCATGGCGTAACGGCACTCTCTTCTCTTGGTTGAGACCCACAACTCACTCTTTGTCACTCTTTGTTGTTTGTTGATTCAGTTTGAGTAAAGTAATCAATATTTTTACCACGAGGGCTATCCAGAAAGTAGATTACGTTTTTGTCTGTATCCGCTAGGGGCGGGGCTAGCGCGACCATCTTGGTGTTAGTTTGTTATGCAGCTCAGCCTGTATCTAGCCGTGCTAGTAAGAGGTTTCTACTGTACTCCGTTGAGTTACTGTGACAGTTTAAAATGTCTGTGGTAATTGAAAATGCCGCAAATTGTGAAGTGTGTGAAAAAAAAAATGAATGGACTCTTTGGTTACAGTTCGCTAACCAAGCTTTTCGGTTTATGATCTCGTGCAACAAACTTCGCAAAATTTGTGGAAAACCCATAGAGAGTTCTGTTATTGTGAGTTTTACGGACATCGGCATCGACATTTTCGACAAGTTCGGTCGTCACAATGCTGGGTCTTCCACTTCGCTCTTTGTCGTGAACATTAGTTCGGCCATTTTTAAATTTGATGACCCACTGACGAACTCCACCTTCAGTAATAATGTTTTCCCATATACTTGACAAAGATTTCTAATTTCTATCGATTTACAGTTTTTTGCAGTCAAAAACTTTATAACTGCACGCACTCCACAGTTTGCAGCATTTTCAATTAACACAGACATTTTAAACTATCACAGTAACACAACAGAGTACAGCAGAAACCTCTTACTAGCACGGCTAGATGACGACTGAGCTGCATAACGAACTAACACCAAGATGGTCGCGCTAGCTCCGCCCCTAGCTTATACAGACAAAAACGTTATCTACTTTCTGGATAGCCCTCATATATCAATTATAAAATTAATCTGTCATAACCTAACCTTACTTACCAAACTTGCTGATAATGAAAAAATCAAATTAAGGTTTACTAATCGAAAAAAATAGTTCTGTTCATAAAATAAAATTATATAAATGCCTCAAATTTTAACAAAAGATGTACAGTTAAGAAGTAATCACATTGTAAGCAAAATCTTTGACAAAAAGTTATTGTCACTGGTGGGATTCGATCTGGTTACCTTTTCTACATCAGTCGAGTACTCTATGCACTTCACCAAGGACACCGATGGCTGCACTTTGTATCGTTTTGAATGGTGTTCCCTCAAGAGAAGAGAGTGACGTCACGCCATGACAGGCAATAGAATGCTCTCATTTTGTCCGTATAAAAAAAACCGCAGCTGAAATAAAAATTGTGCGCCCTCGTCAATACCGCAACCTTGTATTAAAGTAGGCTAAGGCTGTCCCTGATCATATGGGCTTAAAATAAATGGTTCTAACGTTGTAACTAAAGAACCAGCTGATCATAGTCAGTAATCCAGCTACTAAAATCATTTCCCGTATCTTCCTTCATACTTTTAGGTTAAAAATCCCCTTTTGTAGTGTCCCTATCTCTAAATTAATATGAATAACAGTTTCTTATAGTGAAGTTGGATTCTTCAACCAATAATTAAATAGAATTAGGTGGTCTGTTTTATAAATCTACTAGCTGTAACCCGCGGGCTTTGCCTCGTTTAACTTCTTAATTTTCAAGATTATCTCGTTCGCATGGCTCAATCACGTCCTGGTTGAAGTTTGTTCGCTACGCTTACTCACCTTTAGATTGGAGCTTCATCGCTACGCTCACTCACCTTTAGGTTGGAGCTCGTTTGCTGCGCTCACTTGCCTTCAGGTTAGCTCGTTCGCTACGCTAACTCGCCTCCAGGTTGAAGTTCGTTCGCTACGCTCACTCACCTTTTGGTTACAAATTAGCTGTTGTCATAAATGTAAAAGAAATAATAGTGCTGCACCCTGTTGATAATCCTTGTAACTTTAATGCTATTGAACATCATAGAACAGAACCAACTTGTTTAATTGAAACAGCTGTTAAGATTCAATAATTCCATTTCTCATAAGGTTAACATGGGAAACTCCAGAGCCACTGGGGCGGAGCCCGAAAGGATTTTTGAAATAACAATATGCCTATATGTTAATCGGGAATGTGAGCTATGATCATGCCAAATTTCAGCCCAATCCGACCAGTATTTTTCGCATTCACTTGTCACAAACATACATCCGTACATCCATACATCCATACATCCAAACTTTCTCATCCTACTTATTAGTAGGATGATGAGTGCAATGAAAACATTGGAAAAAGTATACAAAATTGTTTAATTTTTAACAAAATACAAAGCAATATCCTAAATTATATCTCTTCGTTTATTAACCTAAATATAGGCATTTATTTTTAATTAAAAAACTATACACTATGCTTAAAATTTGACTTTTTAGTATACAAGATTACACGAGTCTTTATTAATAACATGTGCTAAACATGTTTTACATGCCATAAGCAATACATTTTAATATATTAGTTGTACAAATAATTGACAATCTCAAAACTTCTAACATGTTTGGAAATAAATATTGAAACTTTTGGAAAGCATATAGAATGCAATACGTTAAATTTCAATTTTTTATAACCTATTTATTGCTAAACAAGTTTATGTATATTTTATATAGTTTTAAAATTCTGATTAGGTCCCTCTATTATTTAATGTGAAATAGAATGAGTACCTGTGTACTTTTTACTTAAAAAAAAAAATGTTTATATTATTTATACAACAAATTGTAACCATACAATTCAATCCAAAATTTTTACGATACAGTGTATGAGTTAATTTTCTGGTTGATTGATTTGTCATACGGGACTCAAAATTGTAATGTCATTTTTGAAACGTAATAAATTGGTTGTTAAACAATAACAATCAAAATAACTAACTAATATATGGAAGTTTATAAAACCTCAAAGTATATTTGTATAGAAATACAACTAAAAAGCTCATTTTACAAAATTATATTTTAAATAACAATGTTTGAAATTGTGTTTTTAGCTCACTTAGCTTATCTTAAAGCATTAATTTAAGCGCAACGTAGGTAATATTAACTATGCATAGCTAGAACTTATGTGAATTAATTTTGTATGTTATATACAAAGCCAAGACATTTTTTCTGTACGGTCAATTATTAATGGTTTTTGTCTCCAGTTACCTTGGACTTGAAAAAAGCAATAATTTTTCAAAGACAGATTTAAAAAAATATTCTGTAATAAATTTTGTAACCTAATACTGCAAATATCACTTATTAGGTTTTTCAAAATCTTTCTTCGTTTCACCAATTAGTTTCGAAAGTTTCATCAAGTTAAAAACAATAAGTTTCAGATCTACGAAGCGTCAGGAACTTTTGTAGGTGGAGCGACTTCCATCAGAACTTGGATAAAGTAATTGAATTTATCTGAAACATAAAGATTGGTGTATATTCAAAAAATTACAACACATAACAATAATATAGACTAAGTAAGTAGAAGGCAATTTTTATGGGTAAATGATTTGTCAGTGTGACCATTAGATAGTTTCTAAGAATTATCTGTCATTTTTCGTTTGAGTCTGAGATTGAGTTCTTTTCGGTGATTCTGATTCTTAACAACAGTGGTTTTATCGTGGTATAGTTGCTGGTCTTCATTGCGCTAGTTCTAACCCTCCATCGGTGACACCACAGAGCTTTCCTTTGGGCGCATTTGTTTTTATAGAAAAATATGTGATATCACCAGCCAGCAGCTTTAGTAGTAACAGTACCTTATGTTCATCTTTCTAGGAACCGATATTGAACATTATTTTGATCTCACACCTCCCCTGCTAAGCTCCTATCTAATCAGTTAAAGCCTGAAGAGTCGCGTAGCACTGAGACCGGCTCCGTGGGTGGTTGTTTTTGTTTGCTATGTATTTTTATAAATATGTAAAGCAAGAGTTTTTGTTGGTTTCATGTACAATTTTATTGATTATCATGCTCTTAATACTTTTTGTATTATTATTTGTAGGCTATAGAAAATTGTTTGTCTAATGTTTCAACACCTGGAAAAACATCCGTGTGTCACCAATTGTGTTTTAAAATCAAAGACACTGATGAAGGGTTAATAATGTGTGTTCCTTCAAATTAACATTTAAAACCTCATGAGTAGTCCAGGGCATTAGTTAGTTGAATCTCACCTGCAAGCGCTAGTGTGCTTGTCTAAAGGAAAAAAAGTTTACACTATAGAAAAATATTGCTTACCCATACAAGGAAGCCTTTTCCTCTTGTAAACCAGTGGATAGTAGACCACAACTCCCAAGAGCATGAACAATACAGCAGCAATGTATTCTGGTGCTGGGTCCATCACGATTGGCACCCCTGCTATGATGGCAGACAGTATAGCCAACACAACCGGAATGATTATTGGCACCTGAAATATGCAATTTAAATAGGTTTTTAATATATTTCTTGGTGTAGCAAAATAAATTAATTATCTACCTATCTTCTTTATTTTAATACAGTAGGGGGCTTCTCCGTAACTTCTCAGTCGTCCAACTTAATCGACTTTTACGATTGAGATGTAATTTCAAAGCTTATGACCTAGTGGAGTGGCAATTGTTAACTGAAAAGGTAATTTATTGCAGTGCTTCACCCCCCTACCGTTTGATTTATTTCTTTGATTTTATTCTTTGCTGCCCCCCCTCATAATATTAATTACAGTGGTAGTAATATTCACTACCCAAATAAATTCAAAATATTTTTAGGGGTTTCAAAAACTGATACAACACTATAAATTACAAAACCGATTTTATCACAAACACAAACCATTACTCACTTTGTAAGGCCTGTAAGCGTCAGCCTTGGTTTTCCGCAGAACTATAAGAGCTACGAAAGCGAGACCGTAGAACATCCAGATGAGGAAGCTGGCAAACTCTATTAAGCTCACAATGTCCCCTGACACCATGAACAACAGTGTTAACAGTGCCTGTAAAATAAAACATTCTTTATGGTAACACTTTTAATGTACAAAAACATGACAAATGAATTACATAAAATTGTATGGTTCCATCATCGATTTAGTAGATCATATCTTCTAGGTGTATATACTAGGTGTTTGCCTCTCCACCTACCTTGTGGGGGAGTTGTTCTCTTCCTTGTGCCCCCAACACCTAAAACTTTTTGCGCTCCTGTGCCCCGGCCCACTGGGTCCATTTATAAAAGCGACCTTGTGTATATACCTTTTCCATCATAACATTTTTAGGTAAAACTTCTTCTCTACTTGCTAATGATGTCTTAAATTCAGAATTAGGAATTCTTTTATGAAAGGCTATTTGGTAGTTGGTCTCCCAACTCTTCTACTTCTGTCAATTTTTCTCTTTGACCGAATTTTAACTCTATCCATACTAATTGCATTAGCAAACCACCCTAGTCTTGCGACTCTAATTGTTTATAATAATTTTAATACTGTTCTATTGCATCTAACTGTTGACTAATATAATTATCTTTGTTTTTTATCCTGACCCATTTTGTGTCTGGCCTTGAGGCAGCAATGAACGGATTTTGGTTGAGTTCTCAGCACTTTCACGTAGTTTAAGAAGATTGTCCTTTTCTGTCATATTTACTACTTTAAAAAGTTTACAAAAATGATAGAAAAGATTTTGCAAACCCACCTGCATTCCAACAGCTGGGGCAGGAGTATATCTACGGACATGTATGTAGGAAATTGACTCCAACATGTGGCCTTCCCTGCCTGCCGCAAAACACAGCCTATAAAATCATAACGACCTTCAATAGCACAAAACACAGCTTTTAACAAACATTAAGCATAGACGTTGACAACATGAAGCAAACTAAACCAAAACTAAAAAAAATCCAACAAACATATGAAACACAATCGTCAAAAAGCATGAAACACAATCGTCAAAAAGCATGAAACACAATTATCAAAAAGTATGAAACATAATGTTCAAAAAGCATGAAACTCAAAAAGCATGAAACATAATGTTCAAAAAACATGACACATCTTTCAAACAAACTCTTGAAACACAGCCTTCAAATGAAACATAGCATTCAACAAAAATTAATCACAACCTTCAAAAAATATTAAATACAACCTTCAATGAACTCTCCAAATACAACTTCCAACAATAAGAAAATATCTTAAACAACATAATTCACGACTTCAACTAATAAATAATAGTAGACTCAAGCTTCAAGAAACATAAAACAACATAAACAACATGAAACGGAATCTTCAAAAAACATGAAACACAGTCTTCAATAAACTTGTGACTCAAAACACAGTCTAATGACAACCTCAACAACATCAAAACTCAAAAACCAACATTCACCAAACTAAACTTGTTGTTGCAAGACTCTGCTTTTTGTTTATGAATTTCACATTTACAATCAAAACTGTTGAATTTTAAAATCTCAATACATTTTAAAGTACTCAATTGTGCTATATTTAGCTTTATATTATGGTTAAGGGTTACACTTACCTAGACACACCAAACTGCACTCCCATAGCACAACTGAAGGTAGACAGAGCTACTCCTATTGGAATGACGATCTTTAGTGGGCCAAGAATCTTGTCACCAAACGCCTGAAAAAATATTGGTCGATCAATAGGCAGTCTTTCCTAAATTTCAAATTATTCCTATGGAGGCTACAGCACAAAGTACCTTTAACTCTCTCTTTTAGTTGAAGTTTGCCCAATTAAGGTCAATGATTTGATTTGATTGATAGGAAAAGTGAAAAAAGTTGCTAACTTTAACTTACCACTGCCACAGCCGGTACGGAGATCATTTCAGTGAACGTAAGGACAGACATGTACGCTATGTTCATCATGGTGTACAAGCACGTTACTAGAGGAACTCCGATGACAATACTCAACGGAATGTTCCTGAAAAAAAAGAAACTTTACGGTAGAATTCTTGTAACCAATCTTACCATTATCGGTTCATCCAGATAAACAACCTAGACTCCATTTGGCAAGCCTTTTCAGAAGCTGAAGAGTTTACTGTATTCTTTGTGTGCAAAAGCTATGCTTGACTGCGTAGAATGTGCTAATTGTACTATATTCTTATGCTGTTCCATTATTTACAACCGCACAAAGGTTCATTGCTGGGTGGAGTGGTCATAGTGCTTGCCTAGTAATTAGAAGTTCAATGGTCCAATCCTGGGAAAAGTCAGTAGCTTTTTGATGGTTCAAACCATAGTGCCCTTATTGGACTTTTAACAAATCGTTCCTGGCTATGGGAACAGCTGATCTTGGTAAAATTTAAAGTTTTCTTCTCATTCATTGAATACTCATCACTTATCTTTCACGTTAAAAATGATGCATCATTGTCATTCAAAACTAATCAAATCTGGCAGAAAATCTATAAAAATATTAGGTGATTTAGAAAATTTTCTAGCAAAGTTTGGCATCATAGATGGGAAATGTGTAATGGCATGCAACAAGTTATAGTGGGGTAAAAACACAGCTATGGTAATTATCTTGTTATTTGTAACACAAATTTGAGCATTGATTTAGTCATTTAGAATCTTGCATTCAAACAAATTAAAAATGTAACAAAAAGCATTATTATTCCTAAAAACCCTTTAAAAAATTTTAAGCCCAGATTTGTTTAACCCAGGGGCATCAAAAGTATTTTAATTTTGTACAGCTAAAATATAATTTACCTATTAGGCTTCTTCACTTCTTCTGACACTATTACCACTGAAGACCTGAAATCAGAGTTACAGAAAACATTAAAAACAGGAATGTTATCTCCTTCACATCCAATAGCAATTTTAATAGACTTTACATTAATTTACCCAGACATACTGCAATTTCCCCAAAACAAATAGTTCCAAAAACACATAGTTTCATATAGCGAAATTCCTTTACTTTTAGTACCTCTTTACTTTCTTTCTTTACTTTACTTAAGTACTTCCTTATTTCTAGTTAAATTCCTACTTAACTTGACCAAAGTTCATAAGCCAAAATGAAATCTCAAAATATGAAATACCAAATAAACTGTTGTTAATCACTTACCAACCGTCATAAGCCCACAACCCACTGTATACTGCTAAAATAATGTCTTTTATTCCAGTCTTTGAGCCTTCAAATCCTGAACTCAGATTTTCTACATTTCCTGGAAAACAAAACAACTTATTTTAATTTCCTAATATTTTATCATCTTCACTCCACAGATAGTCAACAGATTTGACATATTTGATGTATAGCTTTCTTAAATGAATCATTATTGCTTTTGAACACACTGGGGAACTCAAATTTAAAATAATACAATTTTTTCAAGATACATTCTACACATTCTAAAAACCCCCAAAAATATAAACATATAGTAGTAATTAAGCTGTACCAAAAGGAATCCACACTAATAACTACACTCATCCATATAAACAAATTTAAAATATAATGTTCTGTAACTTATAAAATGTTATACATTTTTAATCTTACTTTATACTTATAACTGTCTTTACAAAGGACGAGTACTCTGCTAGTAAATATATAAAAATTAAAATATTTTTGTGTAAGAAGGTTAACCCCTTCTTGATTTTCAATTAATTAAGTTAGAAGAAACAGAAAGAGATGTTTATGTATCTTACCTAAACTCAAATTGTAAATGCCTCCTCCGATAACTATGATACAAACTAAAATCTTGAAGGATGAAAATATATTATTCATCTGAACAAAAAGCTTCACACTCTTGAAATTGACAAATGTGATTGCACCTGAAAAATACAAATTAAATAAACAAAGTCTATTAAAAATATTACAAATTCTATTATAATACTCGTAACATATTGATTTGGATTTTATACTCTCTATCATCGACTTCTACTAGTAGACTTCTATCAAGCTATTGTGCTAAGTTTGACGTGTGTTTCATGTTCGTGATTCTATTTTTCAATGTGATATTGTTGACTAATTGTGTCTTTATTTTTTTTAGGGTGGATTAGAGCTTGAGTTCACTCATCTTACTATCGAAGGACAAACAGTAGCTGTGTTTAATTGGAATAGTTCCAAAATTGGTTAAACTATAACCAATTTTAAGCCAACGGTAGTAAAAATAGTAAGACAACAAAATACTTTTTGACATAAACCAGATAGAAGCATATTTCATTATACTATCAATTGAGATGAGGATGCGATTGGGTGTATTTTAACTTAAATTGAGTAAGGTATAAGTTTTGATTGAAACGAGATGCCTTGTGTAGCTTAGTTACTGTCTAAAACCAGCTGTTTCTTCAGTCAGGATCATTTATTAAAAGCCCAATAGGACAGCTGGGTCCAGTTTCAAACGACCAAAGTTTCTGACATTTTTCAGCATTTTATAGAGAAAATGTTTATAAACTATTCTCAAACAGATATACTTGTGTGTAACAATCAAGATGATTCAGTTAAAATTTTGAATAATCACTTACCCAATGCAAGAGTACCGATGAGTTTCTTCAGCAGTTCCTGATCAGTGTGAGTAAGATCTGCGTCTATAGAGGTAGCGATCGGGTCGTAAACATACTCAGCGAATGTGAGAACAATAATGGCTACCTCAGCAGGTCGTAAGATCAGCACGACCACCCAAACGTAGAGGAAACTCGGCAGCGGACCTGCGAACTTGTGAAGGGGGGAGAATGCAGCTCGGAAATACGAGTACTCAGCTCCTGACTGAGGAACTACAATACCAAGCTCGGCAAATGCAAGAGCACCTGTAGAAAAGTGAGAGAAAGAGATACTGTAGTAGCGAAAATTAGAAGAAAGAGCCACGAAGAGTAGACTTGGATATAGAGGCAAATCGAGTGGAAATAGATCAAATGTTTTAACTTTACGTAACAAACTGAACTTCATCAACTAGCGAAATTAACTATTCTATTTTCTATCTTAGTTTTTGATACTAGGCTATATGTTATTTGATGTGACAACTGATGCTTTAGTTTACAATACACTGTCCTTTCAATTTAAAAGGACCAAAATCATTATTCAACATCAGGAAATTCTGTCGGTGGCTCAGTTCGGCTATGTCTATTAAAAAAACCAGCGACAGTGTTAACATAAGTATGGGAAGTCCACATATATATCATAAAAGTGACAGTTGAGGTTTACATAAAAATCCTACGACCCTTAGAATCAGGCTCAGTAAAATCCATTCCACCGAAGGAAAGCTTAACGTTACTGCGTCTGAGTTGATTATACAGTTACCACATTGAAAAAAATTTAGCCGATTTAAATCCACCACATTTGAATACTTAGTAACTTCAAAATTAAAATTAAATGAATAAGCAAGTACATTTTTATTTTTACCTAAAAGAGAGATGCCTCCACAGGCAGCCCAGACAACGAGAGCTTCACCTACAGATCCTGACCTCTGAAGAGCGCTGGAGGGTGATACGAAGATACCAGAACCTGCAGAACAATGGTTAAAAGATGGTTATTAATTGTAAATACAGTAGATTTATCACAATATTTGCGCTAAATAAACAGAAGAGAATCTACAACTATAATTATTATCAAACCACATTGGGTGAAGTATACAGTAAGGACAAGAAAGAGTGGCAAAATACCTGCTTGAGGTGCAAATCTCATTAAATCCACACATTCTATCAAAATCCACTACTAGATCAGCTGTTTATTTTAGGTGTGCATCTGCCACCAAGCTCAGCTGAAGAGTTGCACACTAGACCTAATCTTGGCGCGAGTTGAACCCTCATTCTACAGATATCTAACGTTCCACCACGCTTAACACACTAACCCAGAGTCCAAACATAGTAAACTTAACTCTATGTTGATTTAAAGTATAGCTATCAGCTGTTAGTTAAGCTACCGGTACTTGTATAAGTAGAACTTTGATTATTACTTTTTTCTGGTACAGGTTTTTGGTGTTCAAAAGGAATGGACTAACTTACCCATGACAAGATGTTACAGCCAGTTAGCACCAGAAGTTCCAGTGCTGTAGCCAGGATTTCAAAATGGGGGGTCGACTGACCGGGCCCAAGTAGAAGGGGGGTCCGGGAAAACTTTACGAATATAGGCCCTAAAATGGTCTCTTTTAGCTCTCCTAGCATTGAAAATAATCAACGCCAACGTCAACACAGTATTATTATATTATTTATATAATTATTATTATATAATTTTACGTTTAATTTAACAACAAAATATTATATTTAGGACCAGAAGGGAACCCCCAGAAGGGGGGTTCGGACCCCCAGCACCCCAACCCTGGCTACGTCACTGGAGGTTCACAACAAAATAAATGTGATATTTCTCCTTCCAAAGAAGGCTTATTCAGAAAGGTCTATTAACTGCCTGAAACTTCTTTCTTAGGTGTAAGTTGTATATCCCCATGATGTTTCCATGATGTATTCCCATGCCAACTGTTCTTTCCAAAAACTATTTGTAAGTTTTTGAGTTCCCTTTTTCCGTACCTAAACTTAGTTTGTGTATAAGAATATCAGCAAGAACACTAACACAAAATAAATTTCAAGTTCTTGCCACTTGGAAGGTAACCAAAACAATAATTTGTGTCTCACCTATCATAACACTAATGATGAGGCTGACTGCGCTGAACAAGCCAAGTTCTCTTTTGAGATTGATGTCCTGTGATCCTGCCACATCCTTCCCCTTGATGTCCTGAGACAGAGGAGGTATCTTCTTCTGAGGCGTCTCCCCTTCTTCTTGACTTCTGAGGACATCTCCACCCAGGCACATCTTAGTTGTGTATGTTAGCAAGTTTTGAGGGAGGTTATGTTTACCCATGTGTTTGATTGTTTATGGTTAACGACTGAATAAGTGCATAGACTATAAAAATGTTAAGGCTTTTGCTCCACTGAAAAATGGCATCATTAAATTTGAATGATGGTACATGTAGTAGACTGGCACATGATATTGGAAAATCTGAAGAAAATTGTTATGTTTCATTATGGTAGTCCAACAATTGTTCATGTCAATATGTTTTCCCCATTTTCAAGCTATCTAACAAATTTGTGCTTTACTGTTTGGTTACATAACAAAAGAAAACCTATACCATTGTTTATATAGTGAAATTAGTTTTAAAATAAGAAAAACAGCAAGAAAAAGTTGTAAACAACAATAAAGCATCTACCTATACATAAAATGGAAAGTTTGAACAATTTTTTGTAAACTCCAGTTTTTAAAAAGACGTTTTAAACAAGGGTAAACATGTTGCTGTAAACTTGTAATAGACTAATAATTTCAGTGGAGGTATATACATGGTCAAAAATAAGGTAAACATTTTTAAGTTGTTTCATGTAGATAAACTATTCATGTGCAATAATTGTGGCTTAAACTATTAGGAAAATCTTCAGAGTATGCATTTCATACGATTCATTAATTGGAAATCAAACCACTTTTGTATAAAGAACTTGTGTGAAAGCTTTCCAACTTTTGAGATAAACTTTGGTGCAACTAAATGTTGACACTCAAACAAAATTAATTGCAAAAAAAACAAACTCACTGATATTCTGGGGTTCCATAAGGAGCTTGTCCTGTTCATCAGGTGGAGGCCCAGGATCTTGGGAAGTCTAAGAACAAGATAATCAAGATAATCAAGATAAAATACACAATTCCAATACAGCTGCATACAACACTTTCTCGAGAACCTCTTCTAAGCCATTACTTCAGTGATTATTATACATTCAGAAGTCTCGACCAGTCTCAATGCGTAGTGTCTGCGAAGATCGCAGAATCACACACCTGTTCTAATTTGCGCAGATTGACGACAATACAAACACTAGTTAGCACTGTTGACTCTTAACATTGTCTCTGTTATGGGTTTTGTTTTATTTGAGTGTGTTTTGGATTGGAAATTACCGGTATTTAATTTTAGTTTCATAAAACTGTTTTCACACAGTGGCTGTTCCAAGGGGGGGAGGGGGTAGGGGCTAACCCCTCCCCCATTGGACCATGGAAATAAAAATTTAAGCATACATCATAAAAACGTAACGGATGTTTTTGGGCACAGTTAAAAATTGCTTTTAAAAGTCACCAAACGGCTTTGAAAGTAGTAAATCTTTCGGGAGAGGAACCCCGGACCCCCCTTCTGGTGTGGAACACCCCCTTAGCCCTCTCTTGACCAGGTCCTAGAATCACCACTATTTTAAAATTTATTTAGTGATCTGTGTGAATAAAACAGGAAAATGGAAATTCGCTTAGTTTACATTGTTAGGTTTACTGTGGCGGGAGTATTTTACTCCAAACATATGTGATAAATTTCAAAATATCCAAGCCACACCACTAAATTATAGTTGTTTCATATTGTTAGTGTCATACTCTTTATGATATTATATCAGCTGTTTCAATGTTGGTTTAATAATATGTTTAGCTGACATAGTAGATCAGCTGTTTCTAGACAGGTGTATTGAAAGACAAACTAGAGTTTCAGTTTTTCATACATCTTTTCATTTAGATAACAAAACTGTATATTTTGGTTCAAACCTACAGTACCTACTAACTAACTGGTTTAGCATAGTACTGAGACCACAGACAGTAGTTTGGTTAAACATGGTAAATGAATGCTAATTTAATTATTCCATAGGAGTCAATAGACTGTTATCTTTATTAAGCTATCAAGGGAACCTTTATCTGAATGTCAAGCTAACATTTCAGGGGTCAAAATGCATTATATCAACACAGTTAGTTCTAATGAACTCCAAAACTCATCAATTTTCCTGATTGGTAAATTAATTCAGTTGTAATAATTTAAAGGTATAATTTTATATAGAACTATACAACTTTAGATGAATAAAATGGTCGACTACATTTTTGAAGAGTTGGGTACAGGTAGATTATGTAATTTCCAATTTCATATATATTTTTTAATTTTGATTAATCTGTACAAAATTCAGTTTTGTATATTTCAAGTTTTATATCAATTAGTCTAGTCCTGTGTATTCAATACTTCATTATTTAATGTGTATCCTATATTACTCTGTATACTAAGTATATTCAGTGTTTTTAATATATTTAATAATCTGTCTATACACAGTATTAAGTCTTAGTACTTATATTTAGCACTCTACATATGTACTAAGTGTATTAATACTCCATTCAACTTACACCCTGTATAGGGACTAAATCCTCGATATATTTAACACATTGCTTACTCAATATCCCCTGTGTTCAACACTTTCTATAGGCCTACTCAACCCACACTTAATGCTCCCCATACATATATCACACTGTACTAAATCTATTTATATTCACCCTGTACACTCAATACTTATATCCAACATCATAATCTTGTACACACTCAAATACTCTGTATATATTCCTGATTACTCACTATGTTTCGTCTCTGCATCTTGACCACTGAACCTAACGAAACTGACTAAGAGATTCAGCAAAGCTTTCTGACAATTAGACTCTTGGTGAAAACTGGTAAGATGTAAAATAAATAATGAATGAATGCAACCTCTGATGGTTGAGTGTATAGACTTTGGTGTTTTGTACGTGGTAAGACTGCATTTCTGTTGTTGGGAGTTATTCTTCTAAAATTGTATTTTTGACACTTTTTTATGTCACGCCTTTGCAACCTAGGACGTTGAGTCTTCATCAGTGGTAGCCATATTGGGATTTATTCCCATAAAGAGCAATATATTAAATTTGACAGATCATACCATTGTTTGAAGCAGCATGCCAGTGTTATTTATAAATATATAGTTTTGAAAATTTATAATTTGGTTTATAACATAGAGTACGAGGAAATGAGGTAATTATATTTCAAATATTTGTTGTTGTCTTTTAATAAATTATTTAATTAAAGACTTAATTAATGACCATTAACTTATTAAGTGGAGGGAAAATGACACAAATAAAATCTTGACTCCCTAGAGGACCATTAAACCTTAATTTTAACACCTCAATCATTATTTTATCACAACAGGTTTTTTTAGAAATTCTGTTACAAAGTTAACATTGATCTTATGGGCCTAAAATCCAATATGGCTACCACTGATGAAGACTCTTAAGCTTTAGCCCGAAACCGTTTTAAATATTAAGCTAGGCCCTAGGGTTGCGTCATTATGACTTTAAAAAAATCCATTAGTGATTGGCAGGATTTGAACCCGGGGTCTTGGGGAACCAAGTCCCTCACATTACTACTAAGCCAGCTCCTCCCGAGCAGTTGCTATTTTACCTTTAACATTCAGTACACCCATTTAAAATGTTAAAATGCCCATAAAATCTGATTCAAAATTTTACATGTGGTTTTAAAATATTATTTTTTTGTGATAGGCCTATAGGTAATAAATAGATTAAATCGGTAACAATGTTAGTCATTTTATATTATAAACTTCTTTATCATGGGTGCAAGAAATCCGTATATAAAGCCTTTTGATTTTACAATAAAGCTAAACAAAGACCGTATACGTTTACTCCAGTCCCTTTAGGCATAGGCCAACCTTTTTATCTCGCAAACTTAAAACAAAACCAGACTGAACTAGATTGCAAAAACTCCAGCTGTGGTGGACGGTTACCTGCAGCCAGTAATAATGGGTTTCGCAATCGGGCAACTGGTTAAGAATGGGGTTAGGGTCTGTGCGGAATGTGAATTGTTTGTTTGAAAAACGGTCACGAGGAATAAATAGAACATATTTCACCTAGAGGGTTTTTGGTCTTACCATTGAATATTTAGGATACACATGAAAATGCGGTTTGGACAGTTCATTTTCAAAACTTGAAAAATACCATTTTGGTGCAGAAAACACACGAAAAACAGGCTTAAGATTTCACGAAGGGGGAAAGCACATAGTCTGCTGGAGACAACAAGCCAAGCCAATAAAAAATAATCAAACAACAATAAGTAAAATAAGCTTACCTGAAAAAGGTCACATGACTAAAGAAACGTAAGATAATTCATGCGAATTTATCAGATGGAGAACTAACTAGTTTATTGAACTAAGCTGGAAATTACTAGTTTTACAATTATTAGAACTAGTGATCGTCCAGTGGTCGAAAACTCGACCAAATGTAATGTACAGACTTCTCTATTTTCACCCCACGCTGTAAATAAAACATGTGATTGTAATTTCTTCCATTTGTTTTGATGTTATGTTTATATTTTTTGTTATTTCGTGACTAGCATTGTGTATACATTGTAACACTGTGAATACAACAGTCAATACGTTACCTGCATGTACATATATCTATCTATCTACTTAATTGACTTTAGAAGTTGAACGTAGACGTATATACCGGTACTGTAGAATCCGTAGATTTGTTTATGTTTGTGTAACACTACGGTACATTTAAGTGCTTTGAAGTTCTCTAAATACTGTAATTTCTCTCATTTTAGGGTACGTGGCATTGTGGGGGGGGGGGGGTTTCGTATCGATGTTTTCCTATTTTGAATCTTTAAATTAGCCTACTTTATCTATATCGATAAAAAAATATCTGAAAGAACATTTAAAACACGACAAGCAACAGCTGGGAACCACATCGGAACCACATAGCGACATAGTTGATTTGCGTTGTTCAAAACAGCTGACGCTGAGATCAGCTGTTTTAGTAAGCTACGCTGTCAGCTGAGATACGCACGACGCACATGCGTGTAGATGCTAGGTCAAGGATTCGTTTATTGGACAGATCACATAACTTGCCACCCGTCTCGACGAGTCTGTAGACATCGATCGCTATATTCGTACAAGACTCGGTTTACCGGCTGACGAAATTTTTAGACGTTATTTCCAACTCGATAAGTGTTGTTTTACCTGTATTTTCTATTCTCAGTCAAATTTACAGCATTTAGCAAAGATAATTTACTAAAATTAATTGTTGTACAGAGTATAGTGTATATAAAAATTAAATATGTGGACGGTGGGGGGGATAAAATATAAACCCCTTTAAGCATGGTGATTATTTTTTCTTGTGTTTTTTGCGACGTTGGGGTTTTTATGTATTTTTAAGAGGTCTGACAAACTCCTGGTCTCGTTAGTATGTCATCAATCCAATAATATTTTCTTGGATGGAATAATTAATAAATTTATAGAATGATAAATAATATCTGGTTCCACAATCGACCAATGCTTGGGATCTAACCAGCGACCTCCACATTTAAAGGCAAGCATAACTACTTGGGTAACAAAACAATTAACATGGAATAAAAAAAACTATTAACTTTTATTGAGAAATGCCCAGCACTGTCCACTTCTAACGAAAAGGACTTCTTTTGCAATTTAAATTCGTTCACAAAGTCTCTTTCAGAAAAAATATACATAAATTAATTACAATCTAAAATAAAATATTTGTTGTCAAAATCACCCACATTTAAATGGAATAATGCATTGATGAAACGCTATAGGTGTTGGATAAAAATACAAAGTTTGAAATAACGATGTCGTGTTTGTGTTCTCATATGTAATCGTCAACACCTGACTAATATCTCTTGAGGTATTGTGATGCATCTGCAATAATTTCGTACTGTTAGAAAAATTAGGAACAACCTGACCCACATTTGATTAGATAATGAAACGGATTTTACATCAACCGGAATAAAATTAATTAGACCCAGAAGCAGAGTAGTATTGAATACATTAATCTTACAGTTTTTCTTACTGGGTGTACCTATATTTTTTTGCGGGGAATCCAGAATGAAACTGAGCGAGAGATAAGTACAGTATTCGTATATTATACGAGCTTCAAAAATATTTTTCAATAATAATTAGAGGTTTTTAAAATTAGTTAACTGTAGAAGTAAATACGTAGGCGGAAAAACTACAGCTTTTTTTCATTTTCGGCAATCTATCATTTTATTTTTACCTTGTATAAGTCTAAACGTATTTATTCTCTGTGATTGACGTAGTTAGCAATGTCTGAGGTACAGTATAACTTTTAAACTGCAAAACATATAATTTACTGGTATATTTTCAGTATAATAGGCTAAAACCATTATGTGCAATAACAAAAGTTTTACTTGGTTAAACAACCAAAAATAAATTTTCAACAATTATCACTAAATTACACTAATCAACAACAACAAAAACTACTCACTTCATTTTCAGGTAGAGTCATGATTCCCAACAAAGTCCAAAGTTAAAAAAAACACTATCACGAACACATAACTGGTGAGAAAAACCGGCACGAGGAAGGAGTTAGTTGGTAGCGCACATTGAAAGGGTTCATTTGATAGGGGTAGCGACGAGGGGATTGAAAACACGTGCAATCGTATTGGGATAGAGTGCGAGACTGAGCGAGTTTCGTCATCTACCACTACTCAGTACTGTAGGCAGCGTATGAATGAGAACGTAGAGTGAATGCAGTGCTTCTAGAAATATCCCGTTTTACTCGTAGAAATCCCGTTTTATCCTAGTGTGGGATATAATTCCCGTTGTATGATTTGGAATCCCACGTTTTGGTAATCGGACCGTATTTAGGTAAATTTGTAAAAAAAAATGGTATAAGTTTGTGGTAAAACTGCTGGGTTTGTAATTTGTTTAATTAACCAATCTGGACAGGATGTGAAAATTGTAAGCGTAGTGCTTCTAATCATCGTGCTATTCATGCGTAAAATTCCCTTTGGGGAATAAATCCCGTCTGAAACCACGTTTTATCCCTTGTATGCTTTGCTAATCCCTCGTTTGGATAATCAGACTGTACTCATCCTAGCATTTTTTAAAATAATTATAAATGAACGAATGAAGGATATTGAAATTGACTTATTGGGACCCCAGATACAATTGTTTGGTCTATAGTTTGTTTTGGTTTTTAACCACTTATGTGAGGTAAGGAATAAATGAATATGGCCATAATTGTATTGTAGTTCTTCCCATTTCAATTTCCCTTTTCACTCTTAGAAATCCCGTTTTATCCCTGGTGTAGTATATGAATACCTATCCCATGTGTTATCCCGTTGTATTGTTTTCAATTCCCACGTTTTGATTGACAATACCACATACTCCTCATTTACGTATTTTATAATTATTAATTACCATGAATGAGTTTTTGAAAATGAATAATATTTTTTGGTAAATTTTATTGGTATGTTAAGGAAAATCGCTTTCCTGATTCTCTTGTGCTCTTGTATTGGTCAAATAAAAAAAAAATGATTTCCATTGGCAGGCTGCAATTTAAGATGTTAATAAAATTTAAGTAAAATTATAAACCAACAAGTTCTTGATAAAATTAAATTTTTAAACCAAACCACCAGAAACTATATTACAGTATTACCCGATCAGCTGTTTCTTAATTGCATTGTTGGCCTTTTCAACTTCCTTTCCTTATTTACATATTTAGCTCATGTAAGTTTAATAGTTATACAACCTATTGTGCGACTTTAAGTGATATTACATAGAGTAATGGTATACTCTACTTGCCTCAAATATGTTTATTGTGTGATAAATCATAACAATGGAGAAGTTAAAAATGCAATCAAGGAATCAAGGCTTGCTTCGCTCATATTTGTGTTTTTAAGCTAAATTAGTTTTGATAGTAAACATATAGTGACATGTTGGATTTTCAATTAAGATGTGTAAAAAATCATAAAAAATGCTCATATAAATAATTTGGTAAAATATTATATTTTTTTGCAAATTTTTCCCAATGTTAAGAACAATTATACAAAGATAGATAGGTGTTATTGTCCCCAACACTCTTAACGTAAATTAATGCATTAATGGAAGGTTTATGCCAAGTCAAATAAAACCTATCTCAAAAAACGTGAACTTAATATATATTGAAAATTCTTCAGCCATCTTCAGAAGAATACCTAGGTATCATTTGTTCCAATATTGATACCGGTAGTATCAATAGATCAATAGATCAAGTGTAAAAATATGTTTTTGGAAAATACAAAGTGTAGTGGTTTATTAAATATGCCTACTTCTTCACATCTTCGTTCAGTTTCGAGAATATGAACTGAATTTATGTTTAAATATTCATCTGGTGCGAATGTGGTTTGGAATTCAATTAGCAGCCTTTCTAACTGAACATGCATAGCTTTTCTGGCAAAGCACAGCATCAACAGCGATGAGATTGAAACAATTATAAGAATTTCAAAAATATATATACCATAGGAAATGAAAGTTAAAGTATTACTTCCATAAATTTGGACAGAATGTTTTTAAGGACTGCTAAGAACGTAATTACCTAACTTTCAAAAATATTTCCAGATCGTTTTTGTAGAATTTTTATTAGAGCTGCAGCAATGGAAATATTTATTCTCACAATACAATTTGACAATTTTTATCAAACAGTATATCGATAACATTAAATTCACTTACTTTCTACTAAATAAATAAATTCCCATCACTGTATGTCACATATTGACTGACCTGTAGATTCTATTTTATAAATAACACAAATATCACAGTTTAAAGTCTACTGATAGTTAAAATGTAAAAAATATATTATCTTCTAACACATTTAATTTTTTTTAAATTTCTATATTAGTGAGAGACACAAATTAAATTTATTCCCAATACCTGTACAGGTGTACCAAATAATGCAGGTGTTACCTGTCTTTAGTAAAGTTGAGAAGCCACTGTAGTCCCTCTCCCACTCAAAGCATAGTACCTCCTCTCTCTCCCCCCCCCCCCCCCATTGCAGGATGGTAACCAATGACAGGACCCCTTATCAATTCAGACTTCAACACCAGGTAACTAGCTAATTAAACCTAGTAACCTTCGGCTGATAAGACTTTTTTACCAGGTTAAGGACATTTTATCGCAAAAATTTAAGTTTACCTTTAAGAAACCATATAGGGTTTCCTCCAAAATTACCTATTATTTATTTAATATTCATTGTCGTTTAAGGAATTTTCAATAATTTATATTGTTGACTGTGGAAATACAAGTTTCTTAACATGCTAGGATACAGAAAGAATCTGCAGTTTTGTCTTGAGGTGCGGAATCTTGATAGTGAAAATATCTGTACAAAACCAGGCAATGCGGAAAACACAAGAGTGAAAAACAAAAAATATTTAGGGTAGTCAAGATTAATTTTTTTATGGCAAAACACCATTCATTTTACACAATACATAAAACGCAGAGAAGTAAGGAAAAGAAGATACACTTCATGGTACACTTAAGTGGTGTCTAGAAGTGCTGGTGTCTAGTGTAAAGTTCAACACCACCCCTCCCTCTTTCAAATACTAAAAACTCAGGGTGGAGGATGACCCTCTGTGCCCTGTGTAATAGGTATTTCTTTCTACTCGCCGTTTGGGCTCTTCCTTGCTCGTCACAAGTATATTTCCAGCTCAACATACCAGAGCTGAAAGCTCACATTTGTCTCTAAAGCGTGTATCCTCTGTACTTTAGACAGTGGCGTTGCTTGGTTAAATTCCAGGGGGGGGGGAGAAGCCTCAAATTTCCCAACTGCTTAACATAGATTTCCCAACTATTTTTTTTTAGAAATCAATTTCTGTACTATTTTTAAAAATCTACAAATTATTATACTACACTGCATTAACATTCAATTCAGTATTTATAAACTTGCATTAACAAAACATAGCTAGTTTTACATATATACAAAATTTCTAAAACTTCTACCAATTCATAATGAAATGTTATGACTTCAAAAAACTTGAACAAGTAATGTTTCAAAAAACTTTACAAACCATTGTGGTAGCAGACGTAGCAGTGTAAAATTTTAGGGATATAAAATGAGCCTCAGAGTACAAAGTAGTATAGAAAACAGGGCCGGATTTAGCATTTCGGCGCCCCTAGGCCCAAATAATTTTCCGCCCCCTAGTCTGGTCAAAGTTATCATGTTCATAGGCCTAAGTGAATTGCTTGAATACCACTCCTTTTCGGAATTTTATCATTGCAAGTTTTTTGAAGAATTTACCCATTTAGCCTTAACAAAATGCCGTGTTAAACACTTTTAGCAATCGTATGCTTTTAGTAAATGCTCATGTTTGTGGGACTGAAACAAAACAACTCAATCCACTGAGCATTCTTGCAAAAAACATGGCCATTGATTCCAATTTCAGGCCCAAAAACATGAACTCCATACAGTACGTGATACCATAGATTAAACATACTCCTTTAGTAGATTCGTCATCATGATGGATTAGCTGAAAACAATTCTTGTTATATAAACTTAGTTTATCCTAAATAAAACGATATAATCATAAACAATAGGTCGTCTCCTGGTTATATTACAAGAAATTAAAACACATCATAGAACTAACCTAAAAATAATAGAAACAAAAGTACCGTACGTCAAAACTAACATCCAGTGTCACCAACGTGAACTACACACGAAAAAGAATTTGAATTAACAAAGTGATAGGAGGTCGACTTGAGTTATATTTAATCTATGGTGGTACTGCATCTAGGTTATAGATTTCCAAAGCAATACAGAGCCAAACCTATTCCGGCCAACCATACAGATCCTTGGGTCTGAGGAGAAAATTACAGCATTAATGGTGCTCTGGGGGGTATTGAATTAGTCGAAAACCTGTTGCAAACTGAAATTAATATTTTTTTCGTTAATTTTAAAGAAAAATTAATATTTTTTTTTTTAATATTCAACACGTATTATATATTTTAACTTGATCCTGCAGATTGTTGTAAACTAATCAAAAGATTAGTCAACAACTTTTGTTTTGTGAGTTATTTGTTTTGAGTGTTTGGTGGTAACAGTGTCTAGCACGCATGCGCCCCTAATTACTCCGATCAATCAGTAGCACCGAGCCAACATAGTGGCAATACGATGCGTACAGCACGGCTCGGGCGCTCGTCAACATCCCTACAGCCTCCCGTACTAATGTTGTAATGAAATTGATGCGTAATTCAGAAAAAAGTTTAAATCTTCTAACAATTATTTCTTTTCATCAACTTCAGAATCAGAATGCTTTATTAGCGAGCAGAGTTTTTTTTTTTTTAATCAACTATGACTATTTATTTTTATTTTTAGATATACAAAAAATTCTCTCGGCCTTGCGCCCTCTGGGAGCTTGCGCCCATAGGCCCGGGCCTACCGGGCCTATTGGGAAATCCGGCCCTGATAGAAAAAATATTTTATTACAAAATAATTAAACTAAAATACTTTTAGAAGTTAAAATCAACATTTTAACATTCATAAAACTTACAACTAGGGTAGGCCTAAACAAGTTTGTAATGATGAAATATTAATATCAGTGTTGTAAATAATATTATTCTAGTCTAGAAAAGAATAAACCTAAAATAAGACTCGACTCGTATAAAATAAAAACATTCAACTTGGTTGATAATAAACTTATACATACAATAAAAATGTTAACCTTCATCTTCATCAAACTAGAACTTAAACAAAAATCTAACTTAGAGTGAAAGTCAAACATCAAATTTTAGGCTATTTTTTGTCCACGTAGATCTGTTTCAGAGTAATTAGTTGATTCATTTTTGTAAATCCTTAATTAGGAATGATACATAACTTGTGTAGATTTTTAAAATATATTCAGATAATAAATATTGCATTTAGGTTATTAAAAAATAAGAGTTTTAAAGGTAATACATATTCACAAAACCTATCTTTAATGTTATTTTAATCTGCTTATTAGCAAGTACTCCGGTCAGTTAGCCTGCTCCAAATACCACAAAAAGGGTATAAAATATATTTCATGTGACTGACGTGAAAAATATTTTTGAATTTCTTGTAAACACTAACAAACAACATAATTAAACAGAAGGGCTACATTGATTGCACTTTCAAAATTCAAACTCGCAGACGAATCATTCAGAATCATCAACACAGGACAGGATCAAGGTAGCCAACATAGTCCAATAAGGAACAAAAATTCTCGTATACGAAATTCCAACAAGCTATACCGCTATTTGATTATTGATTTCTTAAAATAAGGCGTGTTTAGCCATGGTTTAGCCTTGTTTAATCAAAGTTAAATTAAATCTAAGAAATGTCAAGTTTATTTGTCCAAGTATTTTGTCCAAGTCAAAAAATCTTTTATCTTTGATGGATTTTTGCAAATATTTAATTTTTTTTCAGTTTAAAAATATATTTTTCTTGTATCTGACTTCCCAACTGTCCCAACTCGTGGCAAGGAAATTCCCAACTTTTCTCTTTCCCAGATTCTAGGGGGGGGAGGCTCCCCCCCCTACCCCCCCCAAGGCGACGCCCCTGACTTTAGAATATATATTTACAAGTTTTATAGAAATATAGATTTAAGCATTGTGTTGAGTATGAAATGTTTGAGAATTTGGTTTTCATTTTACCTAATAGCTTCGAAATTAAAGCTCTCACCCTCTGTAAAGTTTTTAAAGTTGTCTAAAAGAAAAGGTGCAAACTGTCCACTTAAGGTTAAACCTCAAGTCTCCTTTCTATCAAAAGCCATAAATATTAATTACCCTTACCACATATATAAATATACACATTAAACAACCATTTCTAATTTTTCTCAGAAGCCAAAACTGTTCTAAAACTCAAAAGTGTTAGACATTTTTGAAGAGAAAAGCAATTAACGACATTCAAGTTCAATCACTCAAATCTGAAATAACTCAAGTTAAGTTCAAGGTCTAGGGCCAACCAAGGGGCAGCCATTAACATTGGAACATTGGTTCCGATTAATTAATGGCCTTGCCCTAAAACAGTTGGTCTTTTGAAGCCATCTCGCTTATCTTGAAAAGTGGTTTAATCACTTTAACATTGGCCCTTACATTCAATTTATGTTTTATCTTCACCCGAATTGAATTGACACTATAGATTAATATGTTTCAAATACATAATGCTAGTATTTCGTTTCAACTACTTCCTAATTTGTTTGTATTGTTCCAACCACTGAATTTCTCAAGCGGACACTCAAGTGTTTTATAATGGTTTTAAGTTTTGCCACAGTGAGTGAACATTGAAGAGTTTTCAACAAAACAAAACTGACAAGTCTCTGAGAGAATAATGTTGAGGGCCGCAGAAATATTAGTAATACTTTATTGTATGGATTCAGCAGGTAGGTTTCTCCAATTCTCTGAGAGTTCTTTCAGTGGAGATTGTTCTCCAACTAATCATCTCTCTGAGAGTTCTTTCAGTGGAGAAGGCTCTCCAATCATCTCTCTGAGAGTTTTTTTCAGTGGAGAGGGTTCTCTAATAATTTCTCTGAGAGTTCTTTCAGTGGAGAGGGTTCTCCAATCATTTCTCTGAGGGTTCTTTCAGTGGAGAGGGATCTCAAAATCATCTCTCTGAGAGTTTTTCAGTGGAGAGGGATCTCAAAATCATTCTCTGAGAGTTCTTTCAGTGGAGAGGGATCTCAAAATCATTCTCTGAGAGTTCTTTCAGTGGAGAGGGATCTCAAAATCATTCTCAGAGAGTTCTTTCAGTGGAGAAGGTTCTCCAATCATCCATCTCTCTGAGAGTTCTTTCAGTGGAGAGTGTTCTCGAATTCTCTCTCTGAGAGTTCTGAATAGAGAGAAAAGTTCTCCTAACATGATAAATTTAAATCCTGTACTGTTGTCTCAATAGGTAGATAGGTAGAACCTATGATGGACTTTAAACCGCAAAATCCCATGATTATCAAGAAGCTAAGTCTAACCCATTGGCGATTGTCAGAAATCGAACCTGGGCATCAGTACCAAAGACCCGCACTATAACCATTGGACTAGCTCAGCTCCTAGGAACAGTAGTGCTAAAATGTTATATTTACATCTGTAACCGAAATAGAAAATTGAATTTCAGTCCACAGTATTTTTTAAATTACTGTTTTTAAATTTAACCAATAACAATCAAATGATCAACACAAAAAAATGTTTGTTGTTGTTTTAGGACATTCAGAAACAAATCAAGCTATTATGAAAACGTACAAACTAGTCATTGCAACTGAGATGCAACAACAGCTGTTACAAATTGGGTTGCAATATAAAGCCGAAACAATACGAGTCAGCTGGATGCCATTATGGAGCAACATAACTGTGACATCATCTCCTTTACTTTTGTACTGTAATTCAATTGAAACAAACAAGGACAGTAAAAGCGTTGACACTTTAGTAGGGCACCTCTAAACTTTTTGCCTGAAAAAATGAAAACTCTAGCTATAGCTATATATATATATATTTTTTTGTTAAAAAAAATCAAATTTTATTAATTTATCATTGCCTGATCTAAATATTTATTTTTTCAGCTTTAACCAGATTCCAGAGCCTAACACAAAAGGTATATCATACTTATCAATGATGAACAATGTAAAACGTCCACCAAGATCCTTCAAACAACAAAATTTATAAATTATCTGTGAAAAAGAATAAATGACAAATTATAAAACAAATCAGTGAATGGATTAAAGACCAATTCGTGGACATGTATTCCAATGAACCACAATGAATGGAACTATTGTCTGTCAATTCTTGGCGCCAGTGGATTGTATTTTTGACCTTGTGAGATACTATTGGAGCTTCCTCCAGAACGTGGGAGCCAAATTGTCGAGTTGACATAATTACAAAACCGTAACAGTTAAGGATATTATTCTCAATTTTACAAACTCGCAAAGATATATAACTTAGTCTATTCATCTTCATAGCTGGAACTGTCATAAACTTGTCAAATAGTTATACAAAATATCAAAATTCAACTTGGTAGCGAATATCTATGTCAGTGATTGTTGGCAATGCAGTATTTTAGATTGAAATCGAATATATAAAGGTTCAAAGTGCATCTAAAAAAGTCATAACTACAGCAAACTCTACTAAACTATGCCAAAAATGCATTTAAGAAAAATAAAAAATTTGGTATTCTCTGAGAAGTAGGTAGAAGTAATTATTCACAATTATTTATAAAAACTATATATTTCAACTTACAAAATGTATTAACAATGCATATATCTCTGATAAACACTAAGTAAATACAATTTTGTCTTTTGACAAACACAAACCCCAAACATAAAAATGGAAATAACAAACTAAAGCTAACGTAGGCATCATAGAACAGAATTTTGCACACTTTGTAATACAATAATGTACCGCAAAATATTGTTTTATATTTTCAATTAAGATAAATGTAACTCAAGCACAGCTTGAAACTCGCTTAATTTATAAATAATTATTCTGAAGGTGACAAAATGAGATTCAGTCTTAAGCGGTAAAAAGAGTAAAACATTTTACCACTTAACTATTGCACTTGGGAAGAAAAAAAACAGTCCATAGTCATAGTGGACGGAAATATTGGCTAGGTCTAAGTTTATGACATAGGCTATTCAAAATATATTTTTTTTAGTTAAATATTTTTTTAGCTTCATGAATCAAATGAGCAAAATGACAAATTTATTGTTCTTTAAAAACTAATAAAATTTGTAAGTTACTTTTAAATATTTTTTGTTGAGCTGGCATACTTTTAAAGGGCCTTGAATGATAGATGGATAATTTAATTGGGTATCCTAATCTTGTTCGGTTTTTAAAAAAGGGCCTCGGTTTATAATACACACAATCAATGAAGAGAAATATATAACTCTAGAAAATGCCCAGGAATATGTTTTTGGCTTCTTACCTTGAAAAGTGTAAAAAGTGTCAATGCAGGAAGCCAAACACAGAGATTTTAAGGTTATATACAAAATGAAATATAAAAATACGCAAAAATAAACACACACAATCAACAGTATTTTGAGTGAAAAATTGCACAGTACAAAGATACTTTACCTTATAAAAGTCTAAAAGTTAAATTGCTGGTTAAGGTTGACATCATTTTTGTGCATGAAAATGGTAACATAAACAACAGTTAGACATGTAATAAAATTTAAACTATTAAAAAAATCTATACAAATTTGTCAAACTTAAACAAGGTTCAAACGTTTTTAAGTGTTAACAATGCCATTAAATGTCTTCTTCCATGAAAAAATATTAAAACCAACTTCTTTATCAGGCTTTAAAAATAGGGAAAAATATAATACAAAGGCTGTTTGGAATGTTTAATCTTAAGCGACAATAGACAACACTAGAGTCTTTATCTTTTTATCAAAAATTTTCTATAATAAATAAGCATTCGACTGTGGTAGCCTGTACACTTATCTTTTGTGCTTCGACTGCAGCAAGGTCTTAAAGGGAGTGAATTATTGTTGTTGTAGCCTATAGGTAAACGTTTTTTTACAAAATGTAAACCAAAAGAAATTTATGGCCATGAATAATTATAGGCCGGGTTGGAAAAGAAATAATTAGCTACCATCAAATTTGGCGGGCTGAAATAATGTTTGCCATGAAGCACCATAGTTATGTGAAGCCTAATCATGTAAGTTGTATTATGCTTAGTTGATAAAAATGTCCAAACCTTGGTTTTCACTGTTACCAAGAAATTTTGGATCTAATGATACTTCAAAGAATAGACCTACATTGGTCAGAATAATAGGCGACCATGCATAGAGCATGAAAAAGATGCCACACAACATGTTAAAGGCCTAACTTTAATGTGTGCAAATAAAGTCAAAGAGTTCATTTGAAAAAGTATATAAACATTTTGTTTCTGTCATTTTTTTCAAATTTCTGTCAATGTTTGTCCAACTTTTCAAAACATTAAGCACTTTCTGGATAACCTTCTAATTGTTTACCAGCTAATAGTAGCAACAATTACAAAACCACCTTCCAATAAGTGCAAAAGTAACCCATCCAATAGTGTACATAGAGTACATAGCTAACATACATAGTGTAGCTTTCAGCTTTCAATTGTATTTTATGACATTTTTTAAGAATACAAAGAGTTATTTTACAAGGTCTCTGTCAAAATCTCGTTGTAAACCAAAAATAGAAACTCACATTGTCCCGACTTGGTAAATACAAACTTGTAGAATTAGTAGAGTTCAAGACTGAGCACTTTGAGGGCAGATCAAGAACCGGAACTGGTGAACTGAAGGCACAAAACTTGCTGTAGCTCATCACTGACGTCTTGAACCTTCTCTTTGCATCTTTCACAAGTTTTCACTTCACTGGAAAAGTAAGTATACAGTTAATTTTTTGTTTGGTCTTAGATAATGTATACTAATAGTGTGTTCTCTTTTCTAGGCCTCAATTCACGGGAGAAGTACAAAGGAGCGTACAAAGAACTGAAATGCTACGGGTGACACAAAGGAACCTGACGTTTTTTAAATAAGTAGTACACAGTAGTTAAAAGGAATAAACTGGTTTTAATACTGTACATAGTGAGGTAAACATTTGCCATTTGTTGCAAAACCGTAATTTTTTGAAAATGACGTCATGCATACGGCGGCCATGTACTTATCTACAAATGTGTATTCTGGTCTGAAAATCCTCTGAAACTCGGGTCAGGAGGTTGAATGCCATTGATATCTTCTGTGATTGCAAACTTCAAATCCTCTAGAGTGTGTGGTTTGTGAGCATGAACACGCTCCTTAAGAAACCCCCAATAGGCTATATACGAATTTCTCAGGGATAAACTCTACTTATTAGTATAAGCTATTGTGTTATAAGCTATAAACTCAAACTCTAACTTAGTAAAATTTTTCTGATGACTGTACTATTCTTTTAAAAATATGTACAAGGTGGTAATGATTTTTGTGTAGCCTTAGCATACACCTTAGTATATGCCTTAGCATGGTAGCCTAACTTCTCTACGATCGACTTCTCTATGGCATCAACTCATGAGTGTCATGACTCATCTTCCGCCGCACGTGTCTCCTTTAAAAAAACACTGGCCAGTTTTGTAGTATTATTTGCTTTTTCACATTTTTTATGTGTCTGTGTTATGTGTGTTCTAAAATGACAACGGAGGATCTAGCTAAATCGGTTAGATGACCTGATGTTTATGTCACACCTGATGGACTTTTCTAGAAGTCCAAAACTATAGTAGCGTACTATTAAAATAGGTATTGACTCTTGAATCCAGCCAATTGAATTGAAATACATTTTTCCTTTGGATTTGCTGGATTTGGGATTCAGCTTTGAAACATCTCAAATGATAAGTTATTTACTAAAAAAAAGTAGGGCCAAAGGAGGAGGATATGTCATATTTTCCCTAAATAAGCATTTACCACACAAACATTCTGTATTCCATCCTAAAATATTATCTTTTCACGACCATAAATATCTTCTGTTTGGGATCAGCCAGCAGCAAAGAGCATTTATTAGATGGCTTTAAAGGTATGCAGTTTTTTCAAAATGAGTTTAGGTATAGTCAATCAAAGGAATACAGTGGCTCAGTTGGTAGCGTCACGGACTTTGGGCCCAAGGCACCTTCGTACTGTACTGGCTCACCCCTTGCTTTGCTGGATACGATCCACGCACAGGCAGTTAGTCTATGTGGACGGGAAAATGCAAGGTTAAAATAGCCGCCAACCTCTTAAAAAAAATTGGACTTACTTGAGCTTTTGAGTGACGGTGACTGCTTTCTCTTGAGCATTGTTAATTGACATTCGCATGTTCATGATCTCCGCTTCTTTAGCCCCAAGTTGCAGCCGCAGTTGGTAAATAGTGTCTTCGAGAGCTTCGAATATAGCCTGTAAAAAATAACCTTAAAAGTCATCGGCAATGTGATAATCGTAGGCAAACCTGAGATAAACAAGACTCAGTTGTCCTTGGTCTGGTTTTTTATAAATGTTCCAGATTTGACCCCCTAAGACGGTTGTTACGAGTGTAGCTTGTTACAGTGTTTTACAATCCGGTAGTAGTACAATGAAATGTGGGATTTAGAAGTTAACATAATTTAACTAAGCCTAAGTTAATTTGACACTGTGGCTAAGTAATTTGTTAAATTACAAACGCAAGCCTTATCACATTTAGGTTTTAAAGGTGCTCGACCCAACCGGCCAATGGTGACATAGTCGACTAACGTGTTGTCGGTGGGTTATGAAACAGATGGTATAGTAACCTACCTACTTGTAATAACTAAAAAAAAACTAGATGTATCATTAATTTAATGTACATTGTACAACCATTGACTATTGGATGTACAACTGACAAAGCAAGCATTTATGGTAATAGTATTTACTCCTTTGGGGTTTCTGTGGGTAAAAGGCAATGAAAATAAGTAAAAATATTGCCTAAATAACAAACAATAAATAAAGTTTTAGTTTTAGAGGACTTACTCTGGACTCTTCACCTATCTCAGAGTACGAAGGAGGTTCATCAAGACAGAAGAAATCCCGTATTGTCTTTGATTCCATAAGTTCTTTGTTGTTTACAATACTATCTATGAAGCTCTGCAAACCCTTTATCCTCTCTTCAATAAATGGTAAACTGAAGTTATTGCCGAACCACCGTTTTCGTGGCAAAGTGAGCACTATCTTCGGAAATTCTAGTTTTAACTGCAACATAAAGAAAAACCTGTAATACAAAGTTTCTTTAGCCTTTTAAACTCTCTTGGAATATTCAGTGATTTGAAAATGCCCGTTTACGAGGGGCGTTTTTTAAGTAAGGGCTGTATGTGCTTATAGCTCCGTAGTTCCTGTGTACACAGCACCGAGGTGGCTCGTACTTACTGGCATTATTTGTGAACAGAATCGGACTATTTGTAGCTCTGTAGCTGCGGACGTGTACACATCACTGTGTGTCCAAACTCAATATTTCATTTTGATTTTACTCATCGCAACACATCAAAAATTTAATACAATTGCTACCAATCTTTTTCCTGTTTCATCGTCTGTGAGAAGTCTGTGATCCCACCAAAACAAAATGTCTTCCAAAAGGGACATTTTCATAGCCAACTCCCTAACCCTTTTCCGCAAATTAGCCTTACTCATTGGATTAGGGCCATAAACTTGTCATGTGGCTATGAATGCATCGAATATTATGTTTTTTGCAGTAAAAAAAGTATAACTAACCTTATTCTCACATGCGGCAGGAAATTCAACAATTTAACAAAATTTCCAAGCATTTATATCAGCCACAGAGCTGTAAATGGTATGATTCTGTTCACAAATGATGCCAGTTAGCAGCTAACCGTCTCGTTGTGATATAAATGCAGGCTACATAGCTATACATGCACCAATGACCCTTACTTAAAAAAAAACACCACTTGTGTTATTGCAATTCTTAACTGTCATCCTAAGAATACAAACGCCAACATTTCTTATTGAAAAATTTTCAGTGGACAGTATTGGAGCTAAAAGCGATAAATTGTTATTTTTGAAAAAAGTTCATCCCTCTACGATGAAATTGGTAAATAATAGTTGTTGATCAGAGTTAATGAAATGTAAAACTCGTCTTCATAGTTTGAGTTCCTCAAATGTAATGATGGTTTGTGTGAATTTGTTTATTTCATGTTGAATGAGTTTAATTTGAATTTTTAGATCAATTTTATGATTTAGTAGGCTTGGTCTTGTTCTTACCCCTCAGGACCAAACTCTTTATCCGAAACATTGGAAGTTGTTAAAACAAATTAATTAATTTTCAAAATCCAAGCTATAAAAAATTTCAGGTTTTACAAAACTAGCACTTACCTTAGAGTGCAGTCTGACAAAATCTGTATATCTTCTGAAGATAAACCATGAGTCTTGGACAGTCTTATTTTCAATTTTGATTTTGTAAACCTGTAAAATACAACATTTTTATCACATTTAAATGATGTTTAGTTATTAGTTTGTTATCTCTGTTAAAATTTAGTCTCTGATGGATGGTCTAGATTCATAGGCTGAGGAATTCTTTTATGCGAATGATTGGTTACAAAAGTACAATAACTAAATTGCGCTTATTGATACAAATATGATTATAGCAATAGACCTACTATTATCGTTAAATATTTTACAAATTAATAATCCAATAAAACTTGGTATTTTACCCAAAAAAATTGTGGATTACTGACTTACTAAACTACAGCACTGACCACCACTCAGGATAGTTTAAGGCAGAAATGATGGAAGGGACAATGAAGAATGAACATCCACAGCCATACAATTTGCTTAGGCCTACTTCTGATTAATCCCCAAGTGTAGCAAAATCATTTCGAAGAAAGTAAAAACGTACAAAAAAGATTAAAGCATTAATCTAATTAGAAACTTACAGTAAAGCGAGCTCTTTCTTCCATTACTTCATAGCCCACTATGGGTATCTGTATGGATGCGTCGGACGGATGAACATGCTTGAAACCTAGCGGAGTCGAAGTATAAGGCAGCAACGGAGTTGAGGCACTTCTCTTGAGGCTGAAATATCGATACAATTATTACCATGACTTATCAGACAGTAACATCACCTAGTTGCGTATTTTAAGCTGAATGATTTACGAGGTTGGACCTGAGATGATCTGTGTAGCTTTGTTATTCACCAAGACCAGCTGTTTCATTAGTCAGGATTATTTATAAAAGCCTACCGGTACTAAGAACAACAAGGCCCAGTATTAAACCATCGTAAACCAAAGGAATGTTTTGGGATTGAATTGGCGACCTTTTGATTGGTAGGGGAGCTCAGTATATTTATTCAGCTACCCTTGTTAGCATGTCACAGGCTTTGTAAACCCAAAAAATTGAAATTTTTTATCCTGACAGCAAGAAACAGGGAATTTCTTACCAACAGAAAAAGAATCTAAGTTTACCAAGAAGCACTTTCAACTTAGGCCTAATAAAGGAATCACAGACGCTTGAATGTGAAAGTGGTCTAAACGCCAGAGATGAACTTAGGGGTGTAACCCTCTTGGGCAGAAGTCTGAGAAACTAACCACTTGTTAGTAACACACACGATTTAACAAGGAAGGCATCTTATTAGAATAGTTTTATTTGTAAATCTAACATAGAACAAAACAACACGTTTACAACCAGGCAAACATAATCTAGTCAATAATGTAGAGCACTTTACGATACATAAGGTTTTTAAGATTGTATTTAGGCTACCTGCAGTTAGATATCACTGAGCATTGAGAGTCTTCTAAGTTTACTAGTTCAGTTCTACTTGTATTGTTTGGACCTTCATCACTTGAGGAGTTGGATGGTAAGCAGACGTCATTATCTTCGGAAGACATAACTTGAGCTTCACTCCTATCCATAGTTGTTTCCGCTCATAACTTTTTACCTGAAAAGTCTATTCAAATTGTGTTAATAAGTCAATAATATATGAATCGTTTATGGGGCTGCGACTAGATTAACAAAACTTGCATTAGCCAAGTCAATACTTAAAATACAAAGAGCCTGTATAAGATAATAGTTTGAAATCTTTGACATTATTTTGCTGTTTACTGAATGGCCGGATAAATCATTGAATTATTGGGAGTTGGGCCTATTATAAAAAGTTTCTCCAGTGAATTGCGGATAGTTAAGGCAATTTTGCTTTTGAGATCTAGGCTATGATGTAATAACTTAGGCCTAATTTAAAACTAGGTTATAAGACATTTTTAAGTAAGGATCTTATTTAAGCCAAGCTTACACATTCTTGCCTCAATAATGAAATTTGACTGTAGGCCTATTTAAATGTAGAATAAAGGCTAAATTCGCATGTAGATAGGCCTAACTCATTTGTTAGTTTCCTGATAAATTACCTAACCTATAAGACTAACAAGTTACTACTCACAAATTAGGCATACCTTAACAATAGGCCTATATATTGTCGTACAAGATAATTTAATCACACAGTTTTAATACAAACGGCATAACAGAAATAATTGTAGCATATTTTAATTGTGTAGGTTTATAGTTTTTGTTTGTTTTGACGTATAAACTGTAGCAAACTTACATTGATCAGTGTCAGTTGACAGATGACGAGTTAGTTAACGTTTACAGCTGATGAAAAAAAGGCAACGGAAGAAACAGCTGATTTATATTTGATAGCAGGTGAGCATACTTTCACCACAAAGGAACGGGAGGTGATGTTTCACGTAATAGCATTGACTATTGGAATTGGATACTAAAGCTGCAGACAGATCCCCCATGTATATGGAGCAGCATTTTTTATTTATTAAAAAAGATCGTAGTTGTGTGAGCCAGTCACAGAATGCGCTAGTGTCTAAAATTCTATTTCCTGCCTTATTTATTTTTTTGTCGTAATTTTTTGTTGGTAATACCATTGACATGGATACTGAAGCTGTATTTATAGTCAAATGTAATACCGTACCTGTTGCTATAGCTCATAGTGACGATTTTGTTTAAAAATCTGGTGATGAACCACGGGGATGGAATGTCTAGTTGCATTAGCAGTCAAAGGTAATAGGACATTGACTATACACCTCTCCTAGTCTAGAGGCGTATGGTAAATGGTAATAGTCAAAGGTTTTATATTGACCATCAACGTATCATATCGTGACAAACGATTTCCATTTCCATAGCTTCGCGATGTAATTGAATTGAAAAATATTTGCAAGGGATGGGTGTGTTTAGTCCATAACAAAGGGTGCTCCAAATGCTCAATGTTCTTTAACTTGAATCATTACCCTAATAGCCGAAACCATAATATATTCAAACATAACACTGAATACTGAATACCGGTACTGCAAGTAAACTTCTAATCCTATTGTATTGTAAAGAGGTTGGTGAATTTTACAGCTTGTGTACTTTGTTCACGATGAACAACAAAAGTCAAATGTACAGCATACTCAATGTAGATAAAACGTACCTAATCAATTAATACAGACTAGCAGTTCGATTTTTCTTTTGGTCTATGTATTAATTAAGTTAAATCAGTAGGAAATTATATTATAAACACTATAAATTATATGAACTCAATCTTTACTTGGTACATAAATTAATATATTATTATTAGGCAAGCGTGTTTCTTGAAAACCTTTTTTCTCAGCTCGTGTGTATCGCAGGGAAAATCTACGCATACTGTTAGAAAGATTTTTTATGTAGATGTGCAAAATCCCTTTAAAATTTAAAATAGGCTAAAAAAACAATAAATTAATTAACAATTGTTAAACAATTAGCACAGGCCTTAAGGGTTAAGGGTGACGAAATAACAAAGAAATTCGAACAGAGAATGAAAACAAATGAAAGAAATTCCAACCACAGGTTTTATCTACAGTGCGGGGTGAAAATAGAGAAGTCTGTATTCCTATTACGTATTATTTTTGACCACTGGACGATCTAGTACGGTATACATAAAAATATTGCCTTCAGCTCAAGAATAAAGATTGAAAATGTGATGAAATATTACAATCATGGGGTTAAGCTTTTGGTTTGATCTAAAAACTCAATATACTGTGCATGCAACTTTTTTATACATTACCGTTTAAAACTATATTGAGGGCTTGATGTAGCCTATTTCATGGGAACAGTAGTTTGTCACTAGAAGGCCTACATTTGAGGCTACACGGACATGGGTCATGTATTTATTCAGCAGAGTTTTTAAATATAAGAGTACTAAAATATGGACTGTTTAGTCGATAGAGTGCTTGCTAAACAAAATTAATTAAAACATTCTTAACAAACAAATAATAATAACACTTAAAACAATGGGAAGAAAAGGGGGCGGAGTGATTCATCAAAAATAAGCAAAATTAATATCACAAACTAATTAAGAACTATTGTGATGATAAAAAATAAATATCAGAAGAATTGCCCAAAAGTAATAGAATAAAGGCCCATACAATAAAATTAACTAGAAAATAATACATAAGTTATTATTAAAAAAAAATTTTACATAGAATATTTTACTAAGAAACTCTTATTGATATAAACTTACATTATCCTATACTGTTAGATTATGATGCCGATAGTGCATGAAGATGAAGCATCAGTGTACTATAATGTGGCTATTGAGCTCATACTTCCATAATAACGCCACGGACCGATAAGCTAGATAAGCTTCCATTATTGTCTATTCTTCACCTCAGTGACAAAATAAACCCGGGAAAATTAGGAAAAATTCCCTCCAAAAATAATTATATTTGATGATACTGTCTTTAACGTCAGTGTAATTTATACATATTTTCATACTGTTATGAATTGATTATAAAACAATATGTATGTTATGACACCTTTTATGTAGGTACCTTGAATCAACCTGTCATAACGTACATCAAAAGATATTCTGTTATTTATTAAATAGTAATTTTCAGAAGGAAGTGATAATTTTTTAAAATTAATTCACAACCTGTGCCTTAATCTTCCTAAATAAGAAACCCCATTTATTTTGAATAGAGTAAGTATAAACTTCTCAATCTGTAATTTTTGAATTTATTTAGAGTGTTTCGTGTAGTTTATGTTTGAGTAAGTTAGTGTTGACTAAACAATTTTTCTTATTTTAGGGTGCATTTTATAATTAGTGCTTGGATCTTTGATTATAATATCAGATGACAAGTAATAGTTTACAAAATGGTTAAAATAGTTATTTACTAGCAAAGTACCCATCCTTCTTACGGGATTGGCGTATAAGTATAAAATGCGTATTGCAGTTATACTCATAATTTGCATTTGCAATGGGAGATGACACTGTTTAAGAAAGTTTGGTTCTTTTAATGTATACAGTATGCTATAGTATAGCACATCTGCCATAGTCATAATGTTTGACCTCTGCACCTAAACAATAAAAAGTGACATTTTTTAACTTTTCACAGTTTTGTTCAAATTAGATGTTGTAAAAACTGAACAAAAATAATAGTGCTACACCCTGTTGGTAAACCTTATAACTTTTAATGCTAATATCATAGAACCAACCTGTGTAGTTGAAACAGCAGACTAAATTCTTTTATTTATTTTAAATATGAATACTAATAAGGTTAACATGGGAAACTCTAGAGCCACTGGGGCGGAGCCCGAAAGGATGATAAATCGATTCGAAAATTACTAATCTAAAACCTAGTTGTTTTTTCCATACAAACTGGTTAGCCTTCAAGCAAAGAACCCTTGTATGATTTTAGATTGTTACAAGATAGGTAAACATAATGTGTCATTGTCCCAAGCCACTATACCGAGCTATATCAGGTCAGTGATGTGTAACATAACCTCCATGGTGAAGCCAATATGATCATGCGGTCATTGACTACATCAGCTTGCGACACTTACACCATATAATCATATGTTATAAGGCAAGCGAAGTTGATGGTAGTACCAGTCTTGTACGTGCAATTTATGCGACTGAAATTGGTTTTTAATTTAGTGATCCAGAGAAAAGTCAGTATAGTTTTCAATGGTTCGAAACTGGACCCAGGAATTTATATTTTGAAAGTGGAATTTTATATTTTTTATTGGCTGTGTTTGGTCATCTAATCAAAGGTTTTCAATGACCAGAGGTGAGAAAAATGACACGTCAGTTGAAATAGTTGTATATCAATTTATAAATTGCATATTTTTACACTGCAGGATTAATATATCAGCGATTATAATACAATAGTATATTACGTTACTAGTCCTGAAAATAAGTGTTTACCGGACGAGTGTGGTCGTTCCCGTGCGAGACGAAGTCGAGTACGGGATTACCATACGAGTCCGGTACACACATTTTGGACGAGTTACGTACGATAGTTTACGCCATACTACTAAATCCGTACAAATCCTTATATATTTCCACCAACTAAAGGACTCTAGTCATAACCTCTAAGAGAGGTTATGTTTTTGTTTATAACTACTCACTGCCACCTAAATACAGTATAACCAGCTGATTGGTGTCCGGCAAAACTCATTGCAGCACAGTAGTACGCAATGAAACCCCATTTGAATAAGCTGGCGGCAAACAGCTGTTTTCTGGACTAAATCCTTACGTGGGAAGTTCGTCAAAATAATGTAGTGTGGCGTAAACATTCTTGTTAACAATGAAATGTGGCTGTATGAACTATCACACTGCTACTGAGCAAGGCTTGGTCCCCTGGTACTGATACAATATAATAGTCGAACCAACAATGCGAGAAAATCTAATATGACGTCATAGTCCCAAGTTCAACACAGCTGACTGAAGCAGACGCAATGTCAACGTAGTCTCGAGCCCGTTCATAAGTGCGCACAAAATTACCTGTGATATTATCGTGTGCGTCGTGTCTGTGTATTCATGTGAAAATGTATGTGTTTGTGATTGTTTATTACGAACTGACAAAGATGCTACAACACAAAATGCAGCCAAAATAATTTTTTAATAACGAGACGAACAGCTGATGATGGTATAAAGGTCGAAAAGCGTACAGTACTTCACTTATGATTGAAAAGGCAAGTAAATACAATTTATTACTGATCAAAAATTGCGTCAACAATAAAAGTTCCAGAATCCTCAAACTTTTGTCCGGAGTTTTTTTTTCGTTACGATATGGGATTTTAGTCGTTAGGTGGTGTATTTAATCACGCTCAGGTAGAAGCCCATGTGATAATTTTCGTATTTATTTATTCTAAGTGTTAAAATAAAGATTGATTTGATTTGATTGTTCAATCCGTGATACGAACCTTTCATCACTTTTACCTTGGTCCTCTTCACCGTAGTCGTAGAGACTAGGGAATCGTCATCATATAATGTATAGAGCTTCCGTAGGAATAAATAATTTTTAGTTCATGTTAGGGTATTTAATTTTTATTAAAAACCTATGATTAATAAGTTTGAATAGGCCTATGCTAATAGTTTTTAAGTCGATTTTGACAAACTGTCTGTTGAAATTTAGTTTACATTCAATAAATGAGTTTTCCCTTGGATTATGCTGAAATATAAGAAACTACGAGTATTTAAAATAAGATGTAGAGGATAATATAAAGGCTGTTAGTTCTTGATGACAATAAGCTTTTCCTATATCTTTCTTACTAATTCCATCCCGTTAAATTC